TAGCATATACTGCACTATACTATAATAAAGTATAGTCTAGTTTGACATAGTATGACAAAACATAACAAGATGCAGTACCTATGGCCATATACAGTATGAATACATAGGCAAATACTGGAATGACTACAGCACATGAGTCAGTGGATACGTGTACGTGAACGGGTACTGAGATAGATAAGCAAGTAGGCAAACAGAGACTTAGATAACTAAAAAGCAAACAACTTCGGTAATCAAGTAGACACATAAACATGGGTACACAGGTGTATATGTACATTGCTGAGAAACACAGATGTATATATGAGTATATCTTTATATGTGTATATGTATATATGTATATGTGTTTATGTATATGTATGTGTATATGTATATGCATAGGTACGTGTATATGTTTGCACATATACAACGTACATGTATACATACATGCATCATACATACCTGCATATTTACATACTTATATACATGCCCACATATATATATATATATATATACGCACAGAGACACATATGTACACACACACACGCTAGCACGGAGGCGCGTACATTCGCAAAATCATCCATGCATCCATGCGCGCGTCTCTTCTCATGTTGCTTTGTCTGTCTGCCTGTCTGCGTGCCGAACTGCCTGGCTGTCTGCTTGCCTGCCTGCACGCCTGCCTGTCTGTCCGTGCGGTTGCCTGCCGGCAGTGTCACTCAGCAGTCTCTTTGCTTCTCTCTTCGAGTATATTCATGTAGCTGTAATTTGTCCATCTCTTCGTATCTCTATGTGCGCTTGCAACGTATCTCTTTCGATAGTCGCAGTTTTCACTTACCCCGCATGGATTTGTTTGCTAACCTGGATCTCTGTACCCGGCTTTCGTACGATATCTCCACCCCGTGTCTTCTTTTTGCGGATCTGTCTGCCAAACTTCTTCTCTGTGCGTGTCGGTACGACGCCTTTCTCTCCAGCATTTCATCTCTCTCTCTCTCTCTCTCCCTCTCTCTCTCCCTCTCTCGCTCTCTATGACTTCCGCTCTGTCTCCGCATCTGACTTCCGCTTTGTCTCTGTATCTCTTCTGTCCGTCTTGCGCACTTGTCGCGATTTTGTTTGCAGTCCATCTCGCTTTATGTCTGTTTTCGCGTTCGAGGCATACCTGTTTATCGGCGCTTGATAAAGCAACCGAGTCAAACTGTGTGGGGGTAGGAGCCAGGTGTCAAGTGATTGTATAAAACTTGCAGAGTTAGCACGGTGATTTCATTTAGCTCTACCAACTTGCACTTGAAGGTGCCTTGGGCTCGAGCGCTACTATTTTGAAGTCACGACTCCAGTTCCCGCTGTCTGCTCCAAGTCCCACGTGTGTGATCCATCCTCCTGCCTATCCTCTTGTCTGTGCCGTTGGCCACTGGACATTTAGCACCGGTCTGCCTTGATCGTGACCTAAGTTAAAAAGCTGAACTCTAAACCCGGAGCCACAGCCCAACTTAAGTGCTCTTCCGTCACGGCGCAGTCCCTGAACCTGGAAGCCGCCTGCATCCCCAAGCGGTTGCTTTCGGATCCCCAGAAGGCCCGGCCACAGTGGTAGAGTTGTTATGATCAGTCTTGCCTGATTTTCGTCATCAGCCGTCGCCAGTGCTACTGGTGCCATTGCTGTTTCTTATCCAATCCATATTAGTAGTTTTCTAGTCTCACTACATCTATTGCTAGCGCTGTTGTGCTTCGGTGATGAATTTAAATGCTGCCATGATCGTCGTTATGTTATTGTTGCCTTTATGCCGAATAGAGACAGTGGAGATTGCTGGGGGAGTGAATCTGCTGTAGGGGCTATAAGGCTGGGCTTCGTCCATGTGCATGCAGGGCAGGGGCGAATAGCGTGTGGGGAAGTACGGCCTATAAGGTTCTTCACGCACTGTTGCAAACTCGGCTGGGTCGGGAACGAGTTCAGGTCCAGGTTGCCTCAAGGTGAGACTGAAGATAGGTCAGGTATACCGCAAGGGATGACAGCAATCTTAGCAAAAAGGGTTGACAGAGATCATCCTTTTTGCATGTTGGTTGAGGCCGAGCCTGAACGCAAACGTGCATTCCTTTTGGCGGGCCATCTAACGGCTGGGCTCTTTTTTCTAAATCATTTTTTAAATCCTGCCCGAACAAATTTTATCGCCTCAAGAAGACCGAGTCGGCAACGGCAATAAACTGCCTTTTGGCCTGCTCGATGCCTAGTTCGCCCGCGTCTCTGAGCTCTTCCAGCCGTTCTGGGCAGACCCCAGCTACCAGGCCGTTGCTTTGTGCATTCTCAGCTTGGTTCGTTGCATACCTCTTTGAGAATCAAACCGAGCTTCCGAGGATATGGTCATGCTGCGCCGGCTGAGGCGGCAACAGAATAGAGAGGGCAGCAACGAGCACGCAGAGCACATGGAGCGCGAGCGCATGGGGCGCGAGGAGCGCGAGGGGCAGCAGAGGGCAGAGGCGGCAGAGGTGGAGTCCATACCACAAGATTGAGGACAGTGTTGGGAGCCTTGGACAGTAAAATTAGGGCTTGTGGCGGATATGTGCAATTCTGACAGAGCGAGTGCGCTCAGGATGATGGCTTCTGGAGCCAGATGGATAGAGAGCATCCTTTGGCGGAAAGTCATAGGATGTGCGACAGCAGCAGAAGACTGTAAAGACGGTCAGAGCTCGAGTCAGGCTCGAAACAGGCCCCCCATCACCGTCGTGGTGTTTTTTCCCAGGCTGAGCCCCTGTACAAAGCAATTCTGCCTAGTCAAGCCGTGCCCAGGGTGTCAAGGTTTTCAGTTGCAGAGCCTAATAACGCGAGAGGTTTACTTTACAAATGAAGGTTGCAAGCGTTGTCACGCGCAGAAAGTCAGAGAGAGACTTTTCTGCGGATGAAGGGCTATCGTGGTAGCCTCGTGGTAGCCACCAGATATGTCGAGGGCACCATCCATTTAACCAAAATTCGTTTCCTATCAATTTTGCAGCGTGCGTCCATAGATGCGAGATCGCACACCAATTCTTTACAAAGCATGACGTGGCCGGATTTGGGATGTCCCTCCAAAATCACCGACATTGTGTAACGTTGTCTATGTGAGCATCAAGCATTGGGAAGCTTCCCAAAGTCGCAAAAGCAGCGGGGACCGGTCTTTCGGAGATCCGATGAAGTGTCGGATCTCTTTTGGCTGTGGCAAATGCTGTCTAACAGCTGAATTCCCGTCATCTCACTGCACCAGACCCACCAGGCGGGCCTCCCATCCTTGGGGAAACTGCAAGAGCCGTCTTTCTCAACCACTTCAGCTCTGTCCATCTGTCAAGCCGCAGTGACTGGGTCTTCAGTCATGCTGGCATGCACTATCTCGCATGAGCAGACGGCTCGGAACTGTGTACTTGCGCGCTGAAGGCGGACCCAACAACCTCCCATTTCTTGCGTGGCCGAGGTGCATCCAGCCGCCCGCCCCTGCTGCGGCAGCGCCCGCGTGAGGTGCAGCACGGATCTGGTAGTACGCACGCTTTGCTTAGATGCGTCTTGCGTGCTTCATGAGGTTGGCGCTATGCTGGTATGAAGTATCACCTAGTGACATAGTGAGCTAGTGGAGAGATCCATTTGTTGATGTTCAGGCGCCTGTGAATTTTCTACAAGATGCGGCGACTCTCGACCCCGCAAAGCTCGAAGCCCCAAAAGTGGCAGGGGGGGCGGGGGGGGTGGCGCAAGGCTCCGCGACCTCCGCTGAAGCGAATGCAGCTGGGGCCTCAGGATGCAAATGCGTTGTGCGACGATGCAAGCCCCAAAGCTGCTTTAGAGCGGACAAGTGCAAGAGCAACCCGATAGCAGCGTTATTCAACCAGTTGAGATGCAGCCGGACCCCCCTACACACTCGAAATCCAACCAAAACAGGACTGTGTCCTCAAGTGCTGCTACTCAAAGGCCTTTGCCCAACGCCAAACTTTGGCAGAGGCCCGCATCCGAGCATGTTCGTGGTTTGGAGCGAATTCCGTGCTGGTAGATGTTCGTGCATGTATGTATGCTGAAAAACTCAGCTACTTGACCTGTTCTCCGTTGTCATTCCTCTCACAGTGTGAGCCTGCTGTTAGAGAGCGAAGGGGCCCGGCGCGACGTAAAGGATCCTCAGTGCGGTAGAGCTCAAAGCTTGTCGTCGAGCATGAGAGAGAATCTCAACATGCCGAGATCCAAGCCCCTGGTGGCCTGGAGCTTGGATCTGCAGAGTGGAGTTCGCAAAGTCCGAGAAGTCGCGGATGCGATTTAGGTCTTGAGGGGTCGCGTCAACTGAAACCGGACCGCGCGAATCGAAGCTGTGGCAGTCATATGCCGTCTGCCTGGGAAGCTTCGAGACATCCAGGCGCCGAAGTCGCTGCCCAAAGCCGGAGTGGGGGCGAAGGCTCGGATGGTCGGATGGTGTCTTAAGCCTAGCAAGTTGCCGCAGCATTCCGCCTCTCTCATCATTAAGTCACAGTGTTGTCCTTCGATGCCGGTGAGTAGACTGGCCTGTAGCCTGCTCTGTTGAGAGTGCTGCTGAAGTCGGCCAGGTACGGTTGCTTGCAAAGGCGAGGACCGCAGGAAGTCAGAGGGCACAGCACGCACGGCACGCACATCACGCACAGCACGCCGGTTCGCGCGAGCTTTGTCAGGCGACGGCGCGTCCACCAGGTCTCGTGCTTCCCAAAGCCAAGACGGTGCCGAAGGCCAAGGCTGCATCCAGCTCAACGAAGGCCTGGGCCAACGTGGACCCGTGCGAATGAGACCTGGGGGGGTGGGAGTGTTTTCGATTCCAGGTCGCGGTACCCCTGGGAGCTCCGCTAGGTGCCTCCGCAGGCCGCAAGCTCTGTCATCTCCTTGGCCTGGAGACAGGGTGGGAACTACTGTGATTCTTGGGCTCATAGCCGTTTTGGCTTCCGAAGCTTGCCAAAGGAGCCAAGGGCGTTCAAGCCATGGGCACCGAAGCCCTGAAGCAATGCATCAGCCACCACGGCAGCACATCGGAATGAAGACGGTGCATCTATAACTTGTGTAAAGCATGGAGCTAAAATCCGTGAAGCCATGCGGCCAGTGCACGTCTGGCTCCAAGACTAGGTTGTGCTGCACAGCGTCTTGCAGCTTTGAACATGAAAGTCCCCGCAGCTGTGCGCCCGCCATCTGTTCAGAGGCCTTGGCGATCTCTGGGTCGTGCAAGACAGCACCGAGCTGTTGCAACAACAGCCCTACGGCCCCTGCGCATGCGCCGGGCCGAGAGGCGCAGTGAAGGGCGAAAGAAGCTCTGCCGGGCCGGTCTGCTCCTCTCAGCTCTGGGGTCAGGCCGTTCCGGCCGTCCAGGCCATGGCTTGTTATCGGCTCCGCGGGTTACGCCAAAGCACGCGGTCGCCAGGTGCTCCCGGCAGTGAGTACTCATGGAAGCGCCGCATGTTGCAAAGCAGGCTCGGCACTGCCGCGTTCCGGCAGAGATGACCGAGGATGAGGCCTTCTCTTCTAGGCTTTGCGATGAGCCAGGTCTTATGCATTTCCACAGGAAGCCACGGATGCAGTGGATGACACCGGTGGAGGGGAGGTCCAGGCGGTGGGAGTGTAGGTCTTGCTGATGCGAGGATTATGCTGCAGTCGTGGCACGTCCCACAGAAATCGCATGTTGCCTTTGCAGGGCAATGCATGCCCTGGTGTGTCAAGCCAAAGCCGCACGCTGGCAGGATGGGCGACGGAGCTACGAGACCTGCCGCTCGTCTGCACCGTGGGTCTCTGGCCTCTGGCCTCTGGCCCTGGCACTGAAGACATCGCATTGTCTGCTGCCTGAAGGTGTTGGCTCCTATGCCTGGCTCTACGACAAACAGGCCTGGGATTGGAGACTGCAGACTTCCCTCAAGACAATGCCTGAGCTCTGTGGCCTACGCCAGGGCTACGACTGGACCGAACTCGCGGGTCGAAGAGAGAAAGGGCCCAAGACCTCTGTGGCATTGATCATAGGCAGGGCGCCTTGCCTAAGCCTATCAGCCCAGCAATCTGCCTGTGATGTGCTTTGCGCCGGACCTGAGCAGAGGTTTGCCCCGGAGTTATCGGAGTTTGCGGGCAGTGAACTTCAGTACGCGAAACCGTGATGTTGTTGGGAGGCTACTTGGGCCACCACTTCGCTGGTCTCCAGCAACCTTGGATAGGCTTTGTGGCACAGAACAGGATGTTGTTCCGTTGCAGTTTTCGTCAATTCCTGCAGCTCTGACTGCAATCGGCACGAAGCATGGTGCAGCGTTGCTATGCTTCGTCTCTCCAGCCGAGCTCGATGTCGGGTTCAGTGGCTTCTGACCTGGCTTCAATCTCCCAATGCACCAAACTAAACTAGTCACTCAACCAAGATCCTCACACGCAAAGCTCTGAAGCCCTGCAAGCCCAATGTGACGCTTGCAACTCAGCTTCGGAGAACTTCGTGCGTGCGGTCGAGACGGAGCTCGAGCTAGCGTTGCTGAAGGCCGGTTCCAGGTTTCTGGGTTTGGGTGCTTTGTTCTCCTAGAGATGAATGCTTCGCAGGAGTGGCGCATGATATCGGAAGTTGAGTGCTTAAGATGCCAGCTGCCACCTCCGCTCAGGGCAACAGTTCCCCGACTCTCATCTCTTATAGTCGTTGCAGGTCTAGTTGGCAAATCGAAAAGTGCTGCTTGTCCTGGCTCTCCGTTTTGTTTGTCTGCATCCTTTTCCGGCTTGAACCGCAACGATAGTCTTTGCGTCTGACCTGGGGCTGCTATCTTTGACTGGCACCTCTTGCTGCTTCCAAGCTTGTTTTTCCTCCATTTGCGGCTTGTGCCGGCGATCTCCCAGTACCTACAGCGACCTGCAGCAATCCGGGTCCGTGTACCTTAGCTCGAAGATGCGCCATACACTGCTGTGTACATCCCGGGGCTGAAAAGCATGGCTATTGTACCCCTGGCCCGATCGCGCAAGGCGGGAGCCATGATTCCGGAGAACTTTGGCAACCTGTGCAGGCGACTGCTCGCTTGCATGCGCAGCGGCGTAGCAAGTCATGACATGCTGCAGGGGATTGCAGGGCAGGGTGTGCAGCAGCGGAGTTAGCATGTTGGTCGCCTTTACAGGCTGCGATGGAGCCGTGTTGGCCGAACGGACGGCGGCGCGAGGCGCCTAAAGCGGACAGTACAAACAAGAACCAATCAGGCAATATAGCAACGAGGTATGCGCATGCACATACTGTATTGCTCCAGGTCGAGTCTCTGAAGCTGCACAAAAAACCAACAAAGGATCTCTCACACAACAACTCTTCGAAATTCTCTCGTTTTCAACCACTGAGCTGATGTGCCCAGGTCAGTGCAGCTTGTGCCCCTGGCCTTGTTTGTACGAAGCGTAGTGCAGCGTGTCCATGTGCCTTCTTCGACGACAGAGAAGACAGAAACTTTAAACACACCGGAATCATGGCAGCATGATCTTTGGGGCAGCTTTCTCGGCAGGTAATGTGGTTACCGGCCGCCTGATTGTTGGCAAGGACGTGCGACTCTGCGTGCAGGGATCGGAACTTCAGTCAAGAACCCAACTGCGCCGTTATCGGACGATCATGGGAATTACAATCAGCCCAGAACTGCAGTCGTGTGCCTGCAGTTTTTTTTTCAACTCGAGCTGACGATCAGACAGACGACCAGTCGCCATAGGTTGATCCACGTCAGCTGTATCTGTATAGTACTTTTACAGATCACCTGTGCCTCAACGCTTTCATAAATCTCCATCGACAGGCCTTGTGACTTGTGGCTGCTAAGCGCCAGGGGAAGCAAACCCCACAGCAGTAGCGAGAATCTTTGTCACTGCCACGATGGGCGGCCGCAATAGCCGTCCGAGCGCCACGCCCGCCGGGCCTCGCATCGTCGCGACGAACGTGCCCAGCGTCGCACAGGCTCGGGACGCTGCTGTGAGCTGCAAGCAGTGCAAGTGCAAGCAGCTCTGACAGCTCTGAAGACTTCGGAGACTCACCGCCGATCCGGCTCCCAGGCCGCCACCTCCGGGCCGCTGACTGGAGGCGAGAGCGGGGCGTGTTTTGGGAGCTCGCAGAGCTTTGCGTTGCAGCGGTTGGAGACAGCAGCGCATTTGAAAAACTCGCTCTGCCATGCTCGGTCACGTTACACGGCGTTTTCTCCTTCCGAGCCAGGTCACGCATGCTGGACAGTGCCAAGAAAGGAACTGGTGTGTTGGGAGCTGTGGGGCTTTCAAAGGTTGAAGGTTGAGGACAAGTCCCAATCGCCAAATTGGGGCAGGACGTCATTGGCATCGTCATCTCCTGGGGAGGCTCTGCTACCCGTGGAGTTCATGGAGCGGTTCCGGGAAAAGCGAACTGATGAGAGCTAGAGAGATGAAGTTTCAGAACAATGAAGACGGGACAGTCACTCCGACTGCAGGTGCCACGTCGTTGGCCACCGCTGACCTCCCTTCGGAGTACAGGGTCCCTTCCTTGCAGCGACCGGGCCGGGAAAGTCTGAAAGCCTTGCGGCCCGTGTGTTGCCCCTTTGAGGTCTTCGCGCTGGGCGACGGTGCCAGCCTGCCTGGAGGCCCGAGTCGTCGCGGGACGTGATGACGGGATGTGACGGGTTGTTGGGACTTCCTGCCAGGCCCTGGGCTTTACATGACCCCACCTGGGCCACCGCTGCTGCTTGTGGTGGCGGAACCTGGGGAGGTGGAAGGGCTCTTTGAATGGGAGAGTAATGGAAGATAATGGGAGCAATCAGGGCCGGAGAGTGTCCTGTCGGGGAGTTGACAGGTCAGGCATTGCTCTGTAAGCGTAGTAGTAGACTTCGCTTGGCTCAAGCTGCGAAGTGCCTTACACCTAACTAGGTGGGCCTTAGGCGATATTTTGCATTTTCCCATAATGGGCTTAAGAGGATCTTATTTACGATCTTTCAGAGGCTTTCCAGGCCAACCTTTCCAAGAACAACTGCACCGTGCTGCAAGCCGTCTGCAGTCCGAAGGCTCCAAATTGCAGCTGCATTCTGAAAGTCCTTCACCATGACCCCCATGATGACATGACGCTTCTGCTGTGGTGATAACGCGGATGTCGCATCACCAAAAGCTAGTACAACCGACATCACCGGTATCATCACCACGACCATGACTGTCGATGTCATCATCATCAGCATCATCATCATCATGATCTTATTCTTCTTCGTCGTCCTCACCATCATCACCATGGCCAGCATGTTTATCATTATACTCACGCTGCGCGCCATCGTCGCCTGAGATTCAAGGTAGCTGTATACCGACAGTATCATACAATTGTGCTTGCAGCATGCGGCGTCCCTGAACTTATGCTGGCCTGCAGATGTACTGGTGTTTCAGCAATCGAGGTGAATGTTTTGAAGCACCTGGCGGTGGCTCCTGGTTGCCACCCGGCAGCTGCAACGGAGCTGGTCTGCGACTGGTTGAAGTCGATGCTGCCAAAGAGGCGGACCTTGGATCGGACGTGAGGGCAGGGGCTCTCAATTCCACGAATGTGGTGATGTAGCGACCGGCGTTGTGTCCTTTCCACGTTCCCCCTTAGCCACGGCTATCTCCTCGTCTGCCTGCGAGGTGCAAGCTCGAATGCATCGAAGATGCGAGCACGTGCGGGCTTGACTTATCCCAGCTGCAGCAGCTGGCATCTGTGTCCTGAGAAAAAAGCGAGGTTCAGGCCTGAAGCACCAGCATGTGAAGATCTGAACTGGCCAGATCAGGGATGGCGACCGGTCGCGTTGCAATGAAGGGTTACTGCGGGGGCGTGACTCGGACATGTCAGCGAAGCTGCAGGAGGAAGGTGCGCTGGATGCACTCGTGGAGAGGATACGCTCGCTGCTTGTCAGCACAGGTCTTCAAGATGTGTGCAGGCAGAAGAGTACGGGATGGGGTTGCGCCCAACTGCAGAAAGTCGCAGCGTGTTGTTACAGTTGCTGTCGCATGTCCAGGCAGCATGTCGAGAGAACTCCCAACGAGACATCACTGCATTCGAATACTCATGGACCCATGGTTTCAGACTGTCCCAGCCTCGCAGCTCCGCTGCTTCTTGCTGGAGGTTCCTGCCTCCCGATGTCCGGTCCCTCAGCTGTGGTCAGTCGAAAGCTGTGGGGCAGCACATTATGCCTTGAGGTTGAGTTGCACGGTGCGGCCGCCGTTTCCAAACGCTACAATGCACGTTGGGTGTTGCCGGCTCATTCTATTCGGCAGCCACGCCTTCATCGTAAGCTCTTTGCACCGACCGCTTGCTCCTGGAAAGGAAGGCGCTCGCCGCGACTACCGCTTTTTGTTGCCCAGCTTCTGTGCCGCCTGGCAGAGTAGGAAACAGAGTGTTAACGACTTCTTATTGAAACTCCGCTGCTTTCGGAAGACCAAGGTCGTGCCGACGTTGGCCAAAGTCCGCCAATGGCTGGCAGAAAACAGGTTCTGAGCTTCTGAAACGTGTTACTCTTGAGCAGTCTGGCAGCTGCAGGCCCTTGGAATCCCCGACGGGTTTTGACGTTGAGGCAGGCAGACCTAGCAGTTTCGACACATCTGATGCGGTCGTTCGCCAGTGCTTGTGGTCCATACATGTCCATGCAAGCTCTGCGGCTGATCCTTGCCATGACTTCGTCAGGATCTTAGGGAGATTGAGAAGGAGCTAGGACTGCGGCAGGCCAAAGTGCTGATGAAGACAGATTACTGCCCAATGCAGCTACGGGTTCTCCACGACGGTCGCTTTTGCCAGGTCCGCATTAGCGACGACCAGCTGCAGCGCTTTCGCGAAGCCTTTTGTAGCTTCGAGGGTACGTGGTCCCAGCGGGATTGAGCCCGAGAATCCAAGCTCCAGTCAGCTTTGAAGTCGCAGCAACTAGCCTCACTTCCCAGCCGCTGCCAGGCATTACTTCGGGAACTTCGCCAACAAGAAGCTGGATCCCATGGCGTGAAGCTGAGCCGTTGACAAGGCTTAGGGGTAGCACTAGGTAGATCATCGTTTGAGCGCATCGCATCATGCTAAATCGCTAGATAACAGGGAGTCACAGGGAGGATCCCATCATGCCATCATCCAGCATCAGTCTGAAAGATTCTGACCTCAGGGACCTCAAGGCTTTCGGCACCTGCGAAGGCACAGCGACAGCGAAGCTTGTTCTAAGATGTTCGAAGGCATTTCAGGTCGATGTCTTGGGAGTTTTAGTGTGGTTCCAGCAGTGCACGGAAGCGGCATGAAAGAAGTGTCCGGTGGCTGTTCGAGATAGCTTGCAAAGCGCAGCTATGCGCAATTCGAAAATCGGATCAGTTTGTCCAGGGTGGCCTGTGGAGAGCCATTCGTGGATAACTTCGGCAGAGAATGGCTTCCTCTGGAGATCAGTCGGTTACCCAGCCGCGACCAACCCTGAGAAGTTAGGGCTGAGTCTGACTGCGAGGAGCAGGCTGTACTGCTGGACTTTAGCAACACGAGAAATGCTAGTGCATGCTCGCAGTCCCTTTTGTCCGCCAGTTGCCTTCCACTTCCCTTCATCCATGTCTACATGTACCTGTGCCGACAGCCATATCATGTCTGGAAATGCTACATATCTATATCTGCTTCGACTTCTACATTTAGCTTCTTTTCTTCTTCCATAGCAGCATACGAGCTACTGTCAGTATTAGGGAGCAGAACACCTCATCAAGGAGGAGCAAGTGACACATCCGGATTCCCGTATCATTGGCCGCTTGTCTCGAATCACAGGGTTGGCAAGCGTAAAGTTGGAAAGCTGAGGTGGAGATAGTTTCCTGACCCACCAGATCCGGAAGATGGTGGCCACCGCCGCCTTGGCCATTCGGGCTTAAGGTACTTGTAAGGTATTCGAATTCCGGTCTGCAGGTTCCGAAATTTCGGGTTTGGGAAGTTGGGAGTTGCTATGGGTACATGAGGGTTCATAGCTTCTTTGCGTTGACGTTGGCAGAGCTTGATGCGGGAAACAGCGCATGGCTTCCACCCGTGCAGGTTGCGCAGGGCATAGTGTCGATGGAATTCATCCAAGCTGCCATGCACAGGCTGCGGGGTTGTAGTCGAAGTCTTCGGAAGACAAGTTGACAAGTCCAGAGTCCAGGAAGGTAGGTGAGATGTATCAGAGAGGCTTCAGTCTCCAGTTTTCGGGATGTCCAGACTGGCAGAAACTGGGGCTTCGGTCAAGCTCACAGTGCTGTGCTCTTGGGCAGGCGCATCTATGTGAAGACGCACCTTGCTTGCAAAGCCAATGCAGTGAATATTCACCTCACATTCTCGAGCGAGTCAAGGCAGCGGTTTCCGCCCGTGGGGCTGATGTTCCAAAGGCTTGCTTGCTTGCTTGCTTGCTTGTTGTTGTTGTTGGGACTTGGGGCTTTCGCAAGGAAGAGACGCCTTTCACTCTGCGCTCGGGCAGGCCGTTCTTCAGCCCGAAGACTCCACAGCGTGCCGGTGTCGAGGCACATGCACCGCCCACGATAGCCTTACGTGCCAAGCGTGACAAGCGGTGCAAAATGTAAATGGTTCCGACGTGTGGCTCTGGCGGAGGCAGCACTCCAGTCTGAAGACGTCTCCGACCGCATTGCTGCCATGAAGGTCCGCTGTTTTGTGAATGAATGCTGGCTTGTTTTGCATATCTGGTATCTTGACAGAAGCTCCCTTCTGCCATTTTCCAGCTCATCTTCTGCTGATCAACTTAAGACTTGTGGTAGATGGTGACGCGATTCCGGCAGGATCTGTGGGCATGCCTTGCACTAATCGCAGATGGCAACGTAGCGCAGGCACGTCTCGAGGAAGCCATCCTCAAGGCCCGGCCCGGCGAAGCGCAGAGCCATAGGCCACAGGCAGCCACAGACTTCGCTGAAGCTTTCAGATGTTGGCCCGTGCTAGGAAGCGGATGAGCGGCGAAGCGCAGCGGCCTGCCTGCATTTCGAGCCTCCCTGGCGCTGAGTTTGCGGCATGAGTGCAGAAGCCGGGACATCCATCTCCCACATTGAGGTGAAGTGGCTGGCCTGCGTGGCGCACTTCGCTGGAAGCTGAGTTTTGCACTGGTACGGAACAGTATTCGTTTATTTGTTCGCCAGCTAGCAACTAGTGTTGCACCGATCTCAGTAGAAGGTGTGACATCTGACTTGTCACGAGGAGCCGGAGGACATGGAGAGCGAGGCTTTCCGCAGTTGCTTCGCGTAGCTTGCAGTTGTGTGTGTGTGTGTGCGTGCAATGTGTTGAGTCCTGGAGACACCAACCGGCAGCTTGTCATGCGATGCCAACAAGAACTCAGTCTTGTAGGAGGACCTTCCTGTATCGATCGGAGACATTGCCCCTGCCCAGTCTGAGTTCTGAAGCATATGCAAACGTCTGGCTTGCCAAAATCAAGCACCAAGTTTCACCTCCAAGAAGCAGTCGCTACAGGTTCTCAAGGAGTTTCGGGAGCTGAAGTCAACTATGGATCGGCAGATTCGTGGGCGGCGTGCAGCAAGCACCCAGGCTTCTCGGTTTGCGCTGGCCAGAATCACGCCTGTGCTGCCTGTTCTACGGGTAGTGTGTTACGCTTGTGCTTCCAGGCGGTAGCCCTGGCAATGGTCCCTTTCCACTGTCGCGGAGACCCGCAGGTCGTTTGCATCCGTGCTGGCGAAGGAAGCGATCTTTGGCCCTCCCCTTAGCAATAGGCGTTTTGACCGTCAGCCAGATGAGGTGGCGATGGAGGTTTTGACACGTAGTTTTCACGGATCCGTCCTCACTCTCTCAAGGTTGGGCCGCCACTTCCAGAGCAGATGACGCTCGCGTCGAAAAGGGAGCATGCTGCCAACGTGCCGCTGCGATGTCGTAGACCCTTAGGCAGTGATCCAGTAGCCAGGTAGCCAGTTTCCAGTCATGTGCTCACCTGGCTGGCAAGCCAGCTGAGCACCGGCAACAGTTGGCAGCACTGTCTCAAGCGGTCTGCCCGGCTTCTGGCCTGCACCCCCCAGACACGACATGGAAGCGGGCGGCAGCTGCAGCCGGTGGAGTCCGGCTGTTCCAGAAGATGATGGTCAGGGCGCTTGCACGCCAAGCCACCGGCAAACCGCGGATTCGTCAAACGACGAGGAGAGCGGGCAAGATGCGATCGTGCATTTCGATTGGGAGCCTGGGCAGGTGCTGAATCGAAGGTATCGACTGCACTCTCTAGCTGGAGACGGGACATTCGGCCGAGTCTGCCTGGCCACCGACACCGCAAAGAAGCGCCAGGTCGCGATCAAGATCATTCGCGATGTCAAGCAGTTTAGAGAGGCTGCACAAGAGGAGGCAGAGGTCTTGGCGGCTATTTGTGCAGCTGACCCGTGGGGGCAATTTCGTTGCTGCTGGATGCACACTTCCTTCCTTCACAACTCCAGGTTCTTCTGCATGGTCCTTGAACCACTGGGCTGTAGCGTGCACGAGTTCACCAAAAACAACGATTACAGAGGGTTTTGGCTTCAGGACATTCAGATCATTGCAAAGCAGCTCTTGTATGCCCTGAACTTCTTGCATATGAAGATGAGGTATACCCACACGGACTTGAAGCCAGAGAACATCATGCTGACCAGCATTGAGCCTGCAAGGCCGGAGTGGTTTCCAAGGGAGGAGTTCTGCGAGGTGCATGGCGACGAAGTGATGCGCAAGAAGAAAAGGAGTCGCCCCCCGTACCTGCGACCACGTAGCGCGGGCATCAAGATCATCGACTTTGGCAACACGGTTCGGGAACATGATCGCCGTGAGAAAATCATCAACACCCGGCAGTATCGGGGGCCCGAGATCATTTTAAAGCTTGGCTGGGATGAGAAGTCAGATGTTTGGTCAGCTGGCTGCGTCCTGATGGAGCTGTACACTGGTGAGATGCTCTTTGGTACGCATGAGAACATGGAACACCTGGCTCTTGTGGAGCAGATCCTTGCTCCGCTGCCTTCGACAATGATCCGGCGTGCCCATTGCGATCATGTCAATAAGAGTCCGATGTTCAAGAAGCTTCGCACTTCGAAAAAGGAGAGTCGATGGGCATTGAATTGGCCTGCCGGGGCATCATCTGATGCTTCCATTCAGAAGGAGGCCAGTCATGTGCCGATTGAAGAGCTCTTGCAACAGAAAGACTCCGATCAGAGGCTCGGAGCTCTGGTGCGTGAGATGTGCCAGCTCCAGCCGGACAGGCGCATCAGCGCCAAGAAGGCCATGCATCACGAGTTCTTCGACTTCTGGTATGATGAGTGAAGCAGATTTACACCTTCTTCGATTGAAATTGGGACCTCCCGACCTGGAGGTCCCCTTGAGCCATCCCTGGCTTCACTGTTTAGAAGTTTAGCATGTTCCAAACGGAAGACTGTACAGCCTCAGCCTCTCAGCCTCGGCAGGGCCTCGGCCTCCTCGAGTGTCAGTCCGTTAGTCCATTAGTCCATTAGCCAACGGACCCCCAAGCGGCCCAAGCGGCCTTCTAGCTCACCGCTGCCGCGAGGCCTACCGCGAGAGCCAAATCAGCCCCCGCCTGGCTACGTGGAGAAGTTCCAGGTGAGAGTCTTTGGGGTTCCGTTGCATCACAGGGCCCGAAGAACAGTAATCAAAGACAAAGAAACACTATGGCAGTACACATGTGGACATCAGCGCTTGGAACGACACGAAAAGCGTTACCAATGCTGGCAGTACTGCTGCTGCTGCTGCACCACCACCAGCAGCACGACTAGTAACTAGTACTTAGTACTACTACTACTACTGCTGCTGCTGCTGCTTCTACTGCAACCGCGACGGCTGCTACTACTACTACTACTACTACTACTACTACTACTACTACTACTACAACTACGAATACTACTTCTGCCGCTACGACGACGACTTCTACTACAATTATTTTTATGACAACTACTGCTGTTACTACTCTACGACGACTACTGCTGCTACTGCTGCTACTACTGCTACTACTACTACTACTACTACTACTACTACTACTACTACTACTACTACTGTTACTATTACCAATGCTATTACTATTACTATTGCTACTACTCTTACTCTTACTATTACCATAACCATTACCATTACCATTGCTGTTGCTATTGCTATTGCTGTACTTTCGCTATTGCTACTACCACCGCCGCTACTGCTACCGCTACTGCTACAGCTACTGCTACACCTACTCCTACTGCTGCTACTACTACTACTACTGCTACTGCTATCGCTCCACCACGCACATGACTTTCATTTCTTTCATCACTTTCACATCACTCTCATCACTTCTTCACACATACGTCTCACTCTCATGTCTTTCCCTTTCATGATCACCACCATTCTCGTCATCATCATCATCATCATCGTCGTCGTCATCGTCATCGTCGTCATCATCATGCTCATGTTGATGAGCATGATCTTGGTTACGATCCTCTTATTGTCCTGATAGCGCGGCCCTTGACACAGAGCTGGCCAAGGCAATTGCCTGTTCAATGAGGGGCCCCGAACCCTGGAATCTCAGTCCCAAAGAAGAAGAGCCGTCCCAGAGACAACACCGGATAACACCGGCTTCAGGGTGGGAAGAAGAGCGTGACCTCCTCCCGAGTCAAGCCAGGCCCCAAGCTCTAACGGTTTGATCCAAGCTGCAGATGGCTCATGGCTGGGCTTCAGCGGTCTAGCTTCGGTTTTTGGGCTCGACGCTCGGCGGCTTCTACGATTTACATACGTACGTATCGTGCCAGCTTGCTTAGTGACGCACTTACCCTCTGATGCGCCGTGTTTGCTTCTCCCGGGCAGTGTGCAGTTTGTGTGTTGTGGCGGTAAGTCTAACTACTGGCTTTCGGTTTGCAGGAGGCCTTGTGGCTGGGTCAAGATGGAGTGCTAGAGGATTTTGTGTCATTATCCTTATCATCTGCGACAGCTGCAACTTGACAGCAAAAATGATGCAGAAGACAAAGCTTGTCCGGCCTTGGTTGCAGAGCTGAGGCTTTCTGCCTACACTCCAACGCGCAGCATCGGTGCCGCCGAGCCACCCACACAGCCGACAGAACTTTAGGAACGATGATGTTTTGACATGTTTTGATAGGTCTCCAGCTTGTGGCGCTGAACTAAACGCAAGTACTTGATCGTCGCCTTGAGTGACCCGCACGTACTTGGGCTCGCAGGCATGTACGGTGGTTATGTGTTGCGTAGACATGTCAATCATGCCAAGCAGTGCCAAACCGGCTCGGGACTCTCTGCATGGGAAGGGAGGATGAGCAGGACGCCCTGGCACAGCTTGTGCAGCTCGTGCTGGACCGCACGGACGAGAGACCGGCTGTGCTGCATCGTGCGGAGTTCCTAAGCCTCGCAGAGCTCGAAGAGTGTGTGGCGGCGCTCTCCGTGTACCTTGGGGACTTGGAATCATTCTCTGGATTCCTGGGGATTTGCGTTCACCGCAGCTTCGCTTTGGTGGTGTCCTTACTGGCTTGCCTTCTGAACAAGAAGGCCTTCATTTGCCTGGACCCGGCATTTCCAGCAAAGAGGCTAGGCTTCATCCTGGACGACTCCGGGCCAGGGGCTTTGTTGCTGGATGAGGCAACAGTCCACCAACATCCCCACCTTCCCTGCTTTTGCCGTCACTTCCTCCTGCTGGACCGACGAGGGCAGGTGTGTCAGACTGGTACGCAGCCACAGAAACCAGGAGGTGAAGAAATCCCAAGCGGAGTCGCATATGCGATCTACACAAGTGGCAGCACAGGCCAGCCCAAGGGCGTGGTGGTCTCGCGGCCCAACTTGTACCCCCGCTTGAACAGTGCACAAAGCGAGTGCACAAAGCACGGTAAAGCAGAGCTCAGAGAGTGGAGCCTAGGGCCTAGGTCCTAAGTTGATACTGAGGGTAGCGGGTGGTTTTGAAAGTAAGGCTCCAGCCGAGGCACAACTTGCTCTCCTTCTTCTTGGAGCTTCTTGGCCCCCGACTCGAAGGCTTCGTTTGGGTGGCCGTGACGACTTTCTGCTTTGATATCGCCCTTCTTGAGCTGCTCCTTCCCCTGATGTGCAGCTGCATGTGGCCTCGATGCATTTGGCCTGACCGGATTAAAGGAGACTTGCGGCCCGAGTCTAGGGGGTTGTAGGGCGTGTGGGATGCGACAGGTTGGATGTCGTGGGAGCGGAGATCTCCAAACAGGGGCCCGAGCTGAAAGCTCGTCTTGCCAAGTATCCCAGGCTTCGGCATGACTATTTTCATGCAGTTCGCATGCTCCATGGTGGCAGGTGAAGGCAAGTGTAGCGCCCTGGTGCAGGTTGGCTTTCCAGGCCACGCCCAGCAGCTACAACCTCCTCAGGTGCGGGGCGAGCGTGGTGAATAAAAGCAAGCATCGGAAGACATCTATCTATCTATCTATCTATATATATATATATATATATACACATATGCATATGCTCGCCCCCAAATATCCACGCTATCGTGGTTCATGTGTGTATGTACATATATATATATATTATAATATAATGAATTGGTCTGTGTGTCTCTCTGTGTGTGTATGTGTGTGAAACTCCTGTAACCGAGGAATTCCAGTAAAGCAGGGGGCCGGTGCTCTCCCTAGGGGTCACTGGCCAACGAAGACACCCGCAGGGAGGGGTGCAAACGAACCTGTTGCAAGATATGCGAAGGGCATCCAGGCTAGGCCAAAAAACCTGGCATGCCGAAAGGCTTGCAGTCAGGCACAAGGACACAAACATGCGTGTGCATGTTCTTGTAGCTCTCCACGACTATTGACTACATTGGAGGGATCGATGAGGAATGGATTGAGGGAGGGGGATCTGCAGCCAAATTTCCCTCGATTGAATAGAGCTACACGGAAGGGCACGGCTTTGTGGCATTGGTTGAGTGTTTGACCTTTCAAGAACTTCTGCACAAGTGGCAGGGGGAACAAGAATGAACAAGGCTTCCAGGGTCCGGTACAGGGAGCCGTTGTAGAACACAGCACTTTGTTGCGTCCTTTCCCGCAGCAGGTCATGTGGCTGGGCTCCTCCTGCAGGAGCTGTGCTGCTCTGCGGAGGCGAGCCCTTCCCTGCGTGGCTCAGCGAGTACGGCAGCGACGTCTACCTCCACAACGTGTGCCTCTCCATGTCTGCTACAGTGCAGCTGTTGCGTTTTATTGGGATAACTTTGGATTTCGCCTCAGGTATGGTCCCACAGAAACGACAATTTGGTCGACGGCGGAGCATGTCGACGCGCCGGCCACTGGTGCTTCGGTGCCTGGATGGTTCGTTAGAATCAATGCCCTCGCTGCGGGCAGGACGAAGCCTCGAAGCTGCTGCAGGTTTCTATCGGGCCTCCCATCCGTGATACGACCCTGCGGCTGTGCAGCGACCCTTGTCTTGGTCCAGACATGCAGAAAGCTCCCGGACGGTGCCTTGCCGGTTGCGAGACAGCTCTTTTGCTTAGAGTCGATGCCTGCAAGGAGCGAGCTGAGCGAGTCGAGAAGTTTGAGTCCGGAGAAATCATCATAGGTGGGGCCCGGGATGGCCAGGGTCGCCGTTGAAGCCTCGCATTCGCTGAGCTGCCAGGAGGCGCTGGCGTGAGCCTGGGGCTGCATGGCTTGACTTGGCTTCGTCTGGGTCCCTCCTCGGCTGTGCGGTTGTCGACTCGTCGTCTTCTTGCTTGCAGCGGCAGCCGTAGTCGCCGTAGTCGTGCACTTCGCTCGGGTCTCTGCAAGTGTTGCGGTCGTCGAAGACACGGTCACTTGCCTACAAGGTGCACAACTGTTCTTGCGAATGCTTCCCTAGGTACTGGAAAAGGGAGCTCTTGACCCTCGAGCGCTTTACACCGTCTCTCAGCGGCGGCAAGGAGTTCCGCACAGGAGCTCAAGCCATGCAGTCTCTTTGGGCGGATATGCGCATGCTAGCATGTGCATCGACTGCAAACTCCAGGTCCCAAATCCGCTCTAAAGGCATGAACATGAGGAAGACCCGAAACTCCTTCCTGAGCCGTAGACAGGAGACTTGGGACGCAGGGATGACAGTGGAAAGACCTACTGCCTGGGTAGGCCTGGAAGTGCCTGTGGAATGAACTCTAATCAGCATACCGGGAAGATGAAGCTTCGAAGCAGCCGCCAAATTGCTGCTCTAGCCCATGCCTTCCTCTGGCGAGGATAGATGAACAGGTCAAGGTCAATGGCTTCCGCTTGGAGCTGTGCGACGGGGCCGCAGAGAGTGCATGGATAAGGCTGGATAGCAGTTCGGTGTTTCATAGGGTTCCCAAGGTACCTAAAGGCGGCAGATAGTTTCTGTTTGTCGCTGGCAGACCTTCTGGCGAGGCGAAGTAGATGCTGCTTTGCGCGGCTTTCCCGAAGTCAAGTTCGGCGCCTGTGACGTGAGGACAGGGTTACCGGCCCAGATAATGTCTTCGGGGTCAGCTGACCAGAGTGCGATGAAGAGAGCGCCAGGCGGAACAGGCTCGACCAACCCGTCCTTGTGGCTTACGTGGTCTGGCGGGAAGGCGAAGGCCCCGTGTGCTAGCTAGAGGTGACTTTAAAGTCGTATAAGATCCTACAAGGGTTAGACCCTGCTTGGGAAGGAAGACTATCGAGAAAGTGTTGATTGCTCTGGAGTTGTCCCGAGATGCCACCGCAGCGCAAGCTTCTGCAGTCAAAGATGCTGCAGTAGTCTGTGGAGGTATGGACAGGCGAGGTCGACTTCATGCCCATCTTCGACAACATCTTCCGGAGTATATGTGTCTCATCTGACGTACGCCGCATTCTTTCGTGCATTCGCGGCGGCGGCAACACAGAGCATGCGAAAGGTGGCCGCAGAAGACACTCGCTATGGACAAGCTGCCCTTGACTTTGAATGGTGTCTCGGTCTTGATGTGCACTTTCGGCCCAGCCGAACCTCATGACGATGTTTCTTCTTGTTCGATTTGCAGGCAAGCTGGAGCGAAAGCGTTTGCCCGATCCTTGGCAACTCCAGGGTGAGCTGGTGCAGGACACATTCACTGAGTCCGGACTAATGTTCTAGCAACTCGCGGTAAGATGAGCCAGTGGTTTGAGGACCTTCAGGCGGACTGTCTCGTGTCTTGGAAGTTGTCAGAACTTCTGGCACTAAGTGGCAATCGAGTAGTTCTGTCCCCGCCGCTTGCTTCATGCATGCTCCTGCGCGACAAAATTTTTGGACCGAGAAGGATGATCAGCTGGAGGTCGGGCAAATGCACAAGCAGGGTGCCATGTGGTGCTCTTGCTGCCGCAAAGGGGCTTGCAACAGGAAATGACAACAGCTCCAAGTCCTCGAATATGCGAGGGTACGCGACTCATGGGTAGGGAACCGAGCAAGAAATCCTGAAGCATGTGGGGATCAGCAAGCAGAGGTGGCGACATAAGATGAAGGTGCGCCAGATTGCAGATGTGCCCAACGACACACGCTCCAAATGATCCAAGCTTCGCATTGCCTCGTCAAGTACATGGGGAATAAGAGATCCAAGCCGTTTTTTGCCCTGGAGAAGAGGACAAAGAGGAACACGAGCCGGCGAAGCCATCGGAAGCTATTCGGCTGCAGGAGGCGTCATTCGTATGGTTTCAACAGCAATCGAAAGTGTTTTGAATCCTTCTCTTTGAGGTTCTCGTATTGTGGTGCCTTTCTCCGTAAAATGTGATCAGTTTAATGCTGTGGTGACAGCCGCTCAACGACGGATGCTGGCAGGTGTGTGCAACAAGTATGCCTACTGCCGACGCTTTGCGATTCCTCGTGTTGCAGGTCATTGAGGATGGGTATAACGCGTCGTCACGTCAGTCAATAGCCTCAATTTACAGAAACAAGACGCGGGACCTGCTTATGGGTAGTTCTGAGATTTGACGGCTGCCACTGCACGTTCGGAGCGTCTCTCATGCCCGGGTCATGCCCTCATCTGCAGGAGCTGATCGAGGGCACGCTCCCGTGTGTCATGCACCAGACGACAGAGGAGAGTGACAGAGGCACCTCGCCCTGCATCACACAGCCGAACTCTAGACCGTTTTCTAAGCATATCACCCGCATTCCAAACTCGATTCCGAGTATACTTATCTAGGCCTCTAGGGGTATTTAGAAGAGCTCTGTCATGAATTTCAGTCGCAATAATGAGGCCACCCTGGAGCCGCGGCTGAGGGAAGCACGGGAAGCCTGCAACGACTTCCAGGTGACAACTCAGTCCGAGACCAATCGACTTCGCCCGATCATGGAGTTGATAGTGGACCGCCTCGACCGGGCGAGTATCGCGCATATGCGAGGTCGTCAGGAGCACCAGAAGAATCCGAACCCCAATACCCTACGCCCTAAACCCCAAGCCTCAAACCCTAAATCCCAAAACCCCACCCCAAGCCGAAACCTAAATCCACCCCCAAAAAACCTGCAATCCCCAAACCCTAAACCCCAATACCTTAAGCCCTCACCCTAGCCTACTTAATCCCCAATCCCTAAACCCAAAGCCTTTGGCCTTAAACCCTCATCCCTATGCAGCCAAGCAAATGTTGACGCCAAAGGAGAGGAGTGGCGGCACCTGGGTCTGACTTCATCCATGGCTGCGGCCTTCGGCATTGCACTGGGGAGCCTGGGTTGCCTTTGTCTGGTGCTCAGTTTTAGAGTTTCTCGAAAGAGCTTTCCAGGAGGAGCCTAAGCCTGCAGTGGCCGCAGAGACGCTGGCCGGCGCTGGGTGCCGCGACCATGTTCGAGCCCCTCAGCGAGAAGTAGAATCAGCGAGAAGTAGAGAGAAGCAAAAGCGGAAGCGGAAGCAGGAGCAGAAGCGCAGGAGAGAGTTCGAGGTGCGGCACGGTCTCTCGCCTGGTGGCCAAGCTGCTCCAGGACGAGGCCGTGGCCGTGGAGGCGACCGAAGCGGCTCCGGCCTCTGTCGGACGCCAGGGCGGCGCTGCGCGGCACGTGGCCTCCCTCGGCAGCCTTTGCATGACGGCCCAGGCGCAGGTCTCTAAATCTTTGAGGCGCGGGCTCTGGGTTCCCTGACAAGCTCAGGCCATGGAGCACCTGAGCTTGAGGCGATGGCCGGGACCTTTTGACTGGGTTTTCTCTGCACCTGAGATGGTCACCCACTGCCTCAAGGATGTCGGGCCAGCTTTCATGGTGTAATGTTTGAGCACAGCGGAGTTCTGCAGACTCTGCTGTTTCGATGACCCTGAGGACGGTTTTGCAGCCTTCCTTGATCCGTCGTGCTATGTTGCAACTGCGTGCCGAGCTGAGGTAGTTTGAGCCCCTGTTCCGCCAGCAGTAGTCAGTCGAAGGTTGTACAAAGGCGGAGCAAAAGTGCCATGCAAATTGCATGAAGCTGGTGCTTGCAGGTGCAAGAAGGCAGGCCACAATATTTACTCGCCCATGTTGCATCGGGATGTGATCTTCAATCACCACAACCCAATGATCCCTGCCGACTACGAGTTCCTCCAGTCTTGTGTGCTCTCCTTCCAGCATTTGCTCAAGGGCTGGACGGCAACACCTGTCGACATCTCGCAGGAGGACTTCGTGCTCTTTCTCCTTTTCAACCTGGAGCGGCGAGTGGAGTTGAAGGATGCAGCAGTGCTGGAGCTCTTCGAAGAACTCCTAAGGCAGTCGCAGCTGCCCTTCCGGCTGCTCGTAGTGAAGGTTGTGACGAAAGCTGCGGATGCACCTCAGGAATCCCTCTTGATGCAGCGCTCTGTGGAAGCGGCCGGGGCCGGACAGAAATCCAAAGTGCAGGAGCTCTATGTGCACGAGCTGCAATGCCAAGGCAGCCATGATGGCTGGCGCTTCAGCGACGATGCGGACTTCCACGCGCTCGACAGAATCATCCGCAGCCACTGTCCGGAATTCAAGCTCTTTGCCGGTGCGCCGACGATTGCTTTGCTTCCCTGCAGTTCCGAGGGCTGCCAGTACCTCTGCACCTGGCTTGCAGGCCACTGCTGCCACCGCTGCTCTAGCAAAGCTGGCTGGCACGGCCCTCGTTGCGACCGTCACGGCTTAGACCAGGACCAGGAGGGGTCGGTCGAGCCTGTAACAGGCTACAAACCTTCCGGGCAGCTCCGAGAGGGCCACCCGGGCAGCATTTCAAGGGCGGAGCGATTTCGCAGCTCCCTTAGTCAGGCCCAAACACAGGGCCAGGGCGGACAGCGCCCGTCACTGTCGTTGCAGACTTCGGCCCTCCGCCGGCTACAGCGCTGCCTCAGAGCCACCGAAGCCGAGACTGACGAGACTCGTCTCTGCGAGAGCTGCGAGAGCTTCGAGGCTTTGGGGCATCCGATCCATGAGGGGCCAAGCTGGAAGCTATGGTGTCCTTTGGAAGCTAACCTTTGCACTTCTTTGAAGCTCCTGAAAGCCGCTCTCTTGCAAGCAGCTCTGCTCTGATTCGCTTCACGACGCTGCCCTGCAGCTTGCCAGGAGCGATTTTCAGATGCCAGGGCGCTGCTGCTTGGCCCCACGAGGGCCTTCGAAGCCCTGCCCGACCTCACAGGCCAGGAAGCGGGAGCTGGAGAGGATCAGTGAGAGCTCCGCTCCTCTGTCGTCATGTCTTGATGTGTCTTGAGAGTGCTGAGTTTGGTTTTGGTCTTTGGTGTTTGGGGCTGTGACGTGGACAGGTGCTGGCTTCCAGGAGGTGTGCCGCTTCAAGCAGAACACGGCGCCTTGGCTTGAGCTTCCTCACGATAAGGCCTGGACCCTGGACCGAAGCGCCTCCAGCTAAAAAAATGGTTAGGGTCCGGAGAGCTCAGCAGGAACTCCCTGCAGAAGAAAGGGTCTTCAGGGCCGCTTCAATCCCCGTTGCTGTCAGGACCTCTTCGCAGTTACAGCCGGGGACAACGGGCCGGTAGAGAAGCTTCCAAGGAGAGCTGGGAGGGGTGTTGCTGGGAATGCGGGAATTCGCATGAAGTTGGGAGGACACCGGAGGAGTTCGTGGTGCTGGCCAGAGATGCGATACAGACAGTGCAATCCTGATCCCCAGCTTTCTCGCCTGACCATGGACGGACAAGACCCTTCAAAGCTGCGGATACTGGCAAGTTGAACACCGGCCACTTCTGGAAGCAGTGGGACGAAAGATGATCTCCTAAAATAGCCGACGCTAGCGATTCCAAGAAGGCCGTAGGGGAATTAAGTTTGGGGTCAAACACTTGTGGAGCAGGCCCTAGGGGTAAAGACAGGAAGCACGACGTTCGACGACTTCGTGTGCAATCGGCAATGCATCGGAAGCATTGCATTGATGAGATGAGAAGATTGCTGAGCACTCGTTCGAGACTTGCGCTGGAGGTCTCATTTGCTTCCTAGCGGCCTAAATTTGGGCTGGTGCGGTGCAGCTGTTTGAGGCCTTGCCTTTGGTGGTTTCGGTTCATGCAAGTCCAGCATTGTTCGTTGTTGGCCGATTTATTCTGCTGTGGCCTGCGAAACAAGCGTGGCCATCCCCAGAGTGATTCGGACACTTTCGGCATTGTTGGTGCGGTAGGTTGCAAATTGTGCACCATGAGACAAGCACTACCTCACCACCCTTGCCAGATACGGACTCTACGCCTTCGGTTGTACGTCAGTTGTGGTGTTCCTGTGCCATGCCCAAACTCGACGGGCACGACCCAGACTTCGTCCAGCAGCACACAGGCGGCACCAAATGTTGCGGGAACTTGTGCGTGAAAGAGCTCTGCAAGATCGCAGAAAATGGCTCGTCGGATGCCGAGGGGTTTGGCGCCGATACGTAGGATTTTTGAAGGCGCGACTAGGTAAGTTTGACAGCACTTCCAAGATCAATCTCAGCTCGTCCTTGTAACGTGGCGGTTGGACTTGCAACTTTCACAAGTGTAGGAAAGGCTAATTGGGCCACTCTAGCGCTGACATGTCGCCGGTCCCCGCAGCTGTTAGCTCGGAGATCCAAGCGGGCGGCGGCGCCCGCGCGACCCGAGCCTCAGGTTCCGTGCTTTACCCTGCGAGAATGGAACCTTGCCCATGCCCGGCTTGCTGCAACGGAAGAGGTCATGTCGGTGAAATCCATCCGCGAGCAGGACGGAAAGGCCTTCTGCGAGACAGGGACAAATACTGTGCAACACATGCAGCAAGGACAGCGGTAAGAGCTGTGCTGGTAGCACCCGGCTGCAGGTAGCAGTGAGTCACAAGCGGCAGACAAAGCTGTTTGTATTATCATACAAGCAGCACCAACCAAAGACAGTCATTGGCCATTCGGCTTGTGAGTGCCAGGCGCTGCTGAAGCGGTGGCTTCCAGAGTGCTCCAAACCAGACAGCGAGGGCGGGAGGGTCCGGTCCAAGAAAACAACGGCAAAGTAGCTTTATCAAGCCCCGGGTCCTCTTAGGTGTGCGGAGTAACCAATCTGGTACGTGATGGTCTGTACCCAGGCAGTATTGCCATATGCTAGATGACGAGTGGCTGGAGGCTCCAACACGCCTTGGGTTTTGGGTCGAACTGGGTGCCTACTCCTGTTCCGAGTTTGGGGGGCTTTCACTTCGGGCAGAGGGGAGCCCCGCCAGGTACTCCAACAATGCCTTTGGACTCGACAATGCTGGATGTCTGGTCTCTCCCGGCGTTCCGAGCTTGGATGTGGCCTTCAACATTTGACTCCTCGCTCTTCAGGGCTTTCAGCCCTTGAATCAGGTGCTCGACAGCTCCAAGGGCGAGGATTGGAACACGATCCTGGAGAAGAGCCTCGAGCCTGACTGGCCCAGGGCCCGCAAGGCCAAAGCGGCCAAAGCCTATACTATACCCACTCTTTGTCGGCAGGTGTGCACACAACGGTTGTGCGTTCAAACCGCAATATCTTCAAAAAGCAAATCGAGGCGAAGTGCAGTTGCCAAAGAATGGTTTAGTGCAGAAAATCTATGCGTCATTCGATATCGCCGCTCCCCAACACAAGGTGCCTTGTATAAGAAGCTGCTAGACAGAGCTGAATTGGGGTTCAGGGTGCGAACATCCCGAATCCAAGGAACCCTTGGCTAAAGACAGAGAAGCTCGTGGCCAAGCCGGACCAAATGATCGGAGGCCGAGGAAAAGCCGGCCTCATCGCGGTGCCCAGGCTGAATAAGAACGAGAACCAAGTTGATGTGTTTAGATGTTGTTGAATATCATGCTCTGCGATCGGGTCTTCTGGCATGTCGCGATGTATTCTCAGACGCTGTCGTGTTCCAGAAGCTAGCAAGCATTAGATTTTGCTTTTGACATGATGACGGCTATCGCTACGGATAGTCTCACTATGTCTCACTGTTGTATCTACCTTTGTCATCATCATTACCATACTTCTTGCTATCGTAGGAACACCATTGGTAGAAGCACGCACGCCGGCAGAAACCATGTTACGTAATACTTCCTTCTCCACTGTGTCCTGTCAAGTAGTCAGTTCAAGGTGAACAAGACCTTCGATGAGATCAAGGCGTGTGTTGGGGGGGCTCACTGAGGGTTTGGGGTTTAGGGTATAGGTGCGTGCACCATGACCTCAGAATGGAGAGAGGGATGTGCTCACAGGCTTGGATCATGGAGCGGATGTGCAAGGACTTTGATCAAGACAAGCTGTTTTCTGCAAGGGCAGCATCGCGGTCTTGGATTAGCTCGCACATACGATGCCTGGTAGGCACAGCTCGAGCTGTGAAAGCCGTCGTGCTTCGTTCGGCTTGAGCATCAGGTAGAGATGCCCGGCAGGCTTGACACTCTGAGAACTTCTGGCTACCGCACCAAAGTTCATCCCCTGTGAAACATCGAATCTTGCCGGTGGCTTACAGTTCATTCAAAGTCAAGATTGCTCCTGGATGAAGGAGACAACCGTGGGTGGCATCACAGGGCAGCTCACGCACTTCCTGCGCCTCAGCTGCGTCGTTTACTACTGTAGAGTAGAGCGCTTGCAGAAGTGCTGGGAGCTCTTGGATTCAACGCTCGAAGCCGAGGATCGAGCCTTTCGTGCCACATGCGCAGTCCGAGGAGGCCTACAACTGAGACCAAGTTTCGCGGCTATGGGTCGACAGTTACCTGCTCTTGACGAAGACCTCGCTTTGCATGCTGCAGTGTCTTTGCCGGAGGTCTACGTCTGCATGCAGTCGCACAGGTATAAGGACCCGGCTGACATGTACATGGGCAGGCGTGCGAGACCCTGCTCCAGCTTTCGGGCTTGAAGAACATCGGCTTCAATGCCTTCATGACCTTGCTTTGGAAGAGCTCTGCAAAGACGCAGCTGCTATTTGGGGTGAGCACTTTCTGGTTTCGAATGTCTGGTTGCGAGGACGAGATATTCTTCTACCATGAGGGTGGCGTGGACGTCGGCGATGTCGATGCAAAGGTGCCGCTCTAAGCCTTCTTTGGAAATCGACCAACGCCTTGTCGCCGGAGGCCTCCCGGCTCTCCATCCCCACGGGTTGCGAGGCGCGGGAGGGGGAGGGTTCTCAAAGACATGTCTCATTCCCTGAGCTCTCAGTCTCAGCTGAACCGAAGGTTTCCGAGGACATGATTCGCTCTGAGCTCCTGGACAAGGTGGGGAGTCCGGTCTCTCCTCGGCGAGTTTCGATGTTGTTTGGGCAGGTGGAGCCGGGCAAGAGCGCAACCCTCGCACGTTTTGTCAAGGCAAGGCCCGATCTGCTTTGGGGCTCGCTGGCTCAAGCTCGGGTTCATGAGCTGCACGCCGCTGTGCTTTGTGCTTTGGTTCTGCCCATGAGCAGTTTGAGGGTCTCATTTTTTCCCTCCATGCGACGGCTTTCGAGGCACTTTTTGCCTTCTACCGCGACCTGCACTTCGCGTACCTCGAGATCAATCCGATTGCCCTGCTCTCGAACAACAAGGTGGAGTGGGTCAGGGTGCACACAAGTCTTGAGGCAGCGTCCGGTTTCTGTGCGCCTCCGGCCTTTGTTTCTCTTGGCTGCCTTTCCCGGTTTCCGTTCCAACCCTTACATGCACCTGAAACGTCCCGTGTTGGAGCTTGGCAGATAGTGCCCCTGGACCTCGTCGCAAAGATCGACGAGACTGCTGCGTTCTTGTTGCAAGCTCAGCTTCGGCAGAGTCTGAGCAGCCTCCCTCTAGCCCGAATCCTCCATCGGATCTGCAGCTTTGCGGCGAGGCAGCCGTCCAACACATAAATCGGAGGGGACACGGCACATTTGGAGCCTAGTCCAGAGGCCGAAGAGATCCAGAGGTTCCAACCCGTGTGCTGCCTGAGACAATCGCCCAGGTGCACCCAGAAGTGGGGCGAATTGGATTGGTCCTGCTGGGCCTGTTTGCTCCTGGTCTCTTTTGTCGCTCTTGACGAATGCATGCCACAGCTCGCTGCCAGTATCTTGTGCAGGCCGTCTCCTTTTGGTCGAGCTGCCTATCCCGAAGAGGTGGGGGCGGAGCTTTTTCTGCCGAGGGGTGTGATGCCACAATGCTGTGAGAGGCCCTCATTCGAGAGCTGGACGGGCCCGCAGCTGAGCCTTCGAGGGGCCCGGGCCGAAGGGACATCGCTTCGTTGCAGCGCCTTTCAGGAAGACCGGTGCTTCCCTGAAGCTGACCATCCTCAACGACAAGGGCCGTGCCATTTCCTGAGATGCGAAGATTCCAGCGCAACAGACAAGTCCATGATTCCACAGAGACTGCTTGCGCAAGCAGACTCAGCAGTTCCAAGCCCGAGATCCGACACTTCCCATAAGCGTGATGGACTGTGAGCCGCGGCCGTTGACGGTGTGAAACTCAGGTCTGGACCATGGTAGCTGGTGGTGGCGCATCGGTTGTGTACTCGGACACCGTAGCGGCATCCCTCGCACAGCTTGCCGATAGCATTTTCGCGCTTGTCCAGGTGGTTTGGGAGCGGCTTCCGACGCAAATCTCAGAGCTAAGACTGGCTAAGACCATAGTAGAGTTACAAACTACTGTAAGCTCGGAGACTCCCTGGTCCCTTCCCGGGCGTACTCTCCGTCACACACGCCACAACGCCTGAGTAAATCACGCATCCTGCGGCTCTGCCTGGAGGACTCCCTGAACTCGCTCAAACTGCTGTCAACAGACCGTCCTCAACCGACTGCAATCGCGTTATCTCTGTGGCCTTTTCTGCTGTGCTTTGGCGAATTTATGCCAGGACTACGGCTGGGGAAAGGAGCTGGCCAATTATGGCGAATATTCTGGAGCTCCCACTACAGAGGCGGCGGGTTGTCCAGGTTGAACTTGTTCGAGATCCAGAGCTCCCTAGAGAGACAGCATCGGCACAGCCTTTGACCAGTTCTGGCGCTTCATAATCATGTTCAGCATCACCATCGCCATCATCGCCACCGTCGTCATCATTCTCATCCTCACCCTCCTCACCCTCACCCTCCTCCTCCTCCTCCTCCTCATCATCATCATCATCATCCTTATCAGCATCAGGATGTTTTGCTCATTCTCAGTTCAGGATCACATCTTTCGCTGACCTGCCTTTTCCGGTGTCACAGAAGAAGGAGACCTTCACGTATGCCAAGACAATCCTCTCCTTGATGTGCCGCTACAAGCACCCAGAGGGCAAGTTCCTAATCATCGGAGGAGGCCAGGAGCGGTTGGGGAGGGCCCAGAAACGGTCTCTCCTCCATGTCCCCGGCCACCTTGCGACATGGACCCACGCCACTGAGATCACGTGCTCTTCGGAAGCTGAGTGCGTCCGAGGTATCGCAAACTTCACTGACGTCGCGGCGTGGACCTCACAGCTTTGGAGCACTCCTCTAGCCAAGCTTTTGGACAGATGGTCAGACATCGTAATTCTGCATGGTGCAAAGCGCGGAGTTGGCACCCGTGCCAAGGCCACGTTCACAGGCTTGATCAAGGCTCTTCAGATGTTTGCGGATCAGATCAAGGCTCGCAAGCGTCAGCTGAGTTTGTCGCAAAGAGCGAAGCCGTGAAGTGCTCGTCATTGTGTTTTTCAGTGTCCAAGAGCAGAAGCATGCCGGTCCCGTCAGAGGTTTGTTGCGCCCGCATGAGATTGAAGCGATCGAATGTCCCAGGAGCACAAGATCCACATCTGGTGTCGCAGAGCCGGCCCGAACTATCTGGAGGTGCTCTCAACGCTCCATGCTGCTTTTCTGTAAGGGCTGATGCTTCAAAAGTGCGTCCAGTGTCCCGAAACGAGGGTCCCGGAGCTGGAGATTCTGAGTGTGGCTTTGGCGGTTGGCAATGAGGGTTCCGGGTTTGGGTTGAGGGTTTAGGGAAGGGTTTAGGGTTTAGGGAATATTTATATATATATATATATATATATATGATGTACATACATACAAACTAGGCATATCGATTTTGGGACAACTTTTGTTTTCCCTCCATTTTCTGAGGCCTAAGTAACGTAAGTTTAAACAATTTTGGGGGAGATTGCAAACCCCACCTAGTACAGAGTTTCGAGGATTGGGGTGTCAGGGGTTCAAACCTTTGGATGTAAGGGAATTAAGCCATCACACGGGAGTTTCCGAGAATAGGGGACCCTAATATAGTACATGTGTGATGGCAGCCCCCGGCAGGGCCTGAAGAAGCTGAAAGTCGCCAGCGACAAGCTCGGATTGGGAGTGAAAGTCGGGAGCTCAACGGTTTGCACTCCAGTGGGAGATGCCCGGCCTTAGAAAATCGTTTCACTCGGTGATGTTGCAAGTCACCCGGAATTCCAACAGGAGTGCCCGTGCCCATAAAGCTGAAGCCGTGGCCGCAGCCGTTGCGAGCACAAAGTGGCTCTTCTTTAGCTCTCGGATTTCACGTCGGTGTGACGTCGCGTGCTGTTGTATGCCGGGGAAGGATGCTTACCGGCATGTCACTGGTGGCTATGACTCCGAAAGTAACGAGACGTCCGAGAGCAACGAGGCCATCTTCAGGGATGGTTTGTATAGTACTGGCAGGTATGTGTAAATTTTGCAGGAGTTGACTGTCGTGCTGGGGGTTTGGAATGTTGCAGCGGACACCTTCTTCTGCTTGACATTGCCCATAGTCACGTTTAACTCAGCTCTAGACCCGTGCGTCATCGCCCGGAGGCCATGCTTGCACACGAAATCCTCAACCCTTTAGTGCAGGCGATAACGCCCCGGACTTTAAATGCCCTGAGGCCCTCATCCCTTGTCCTATCAACCCACCGGTTTCCTTTGTCAGGACGGAACCACCTGCACAGAGCGCTGTGTGCAGACCAAGGACCTAGGGGTTTCAGCAAGGCTTGCAGTGCAGAGTGGGAATCATGGCGATCAGCAGCAACAGCCATAGTGTTGGTGGTGCTGCGGGCGGTGGTGATGTGGCCGTAGTCGTCTTCATCGTCGTCCTTGTCCGCGTCATGGTCATCGCCACAGCCGTGGTCGTCCTCGTCCTCGTGGTAGCAAGCATAATCACGAATACAACTTCAGGAAAACCGTCAGTCTCAGGCAACTGTATTGATAGTAGCCGCACCAGCAGCAGTAGTCATATTACGGATCCTGCAGGGGTATTTGGTTGGTGCGAACGGCAAGGATGGTGGTGATTGCCCGAATTAACAACAACAGTATTAACCTGGCCAAGCTACCGGAAGAACAGAGCGGAACAAGGCAGAGAGTGACTATTGTGTGTTTAAGGCTAATGTTGGTGCGAGCTGTGCACAAGTGAAGGTTGCCTACTGTACCTCAGTCTCCTCAGGAGTGGGGCTTCATTCGGCAGAAGTTCCGCTACTTTCAGATTCCGCTGCTGATTGCGCTACTGTTCGAACTTTTTTGGGTTCTGTGTGTTAAGACGCTTGGCCGCGATGAGCTGGAGTTGCCTTGTCAGATTTAGCCGGATCTAGCGGCTCCAGTCAACCATTGTGTTTGCTTGCTTTAGGCTAGATGCAACCAAGGAGGTGGATCGATCTCACTTGGCCTGAAATCCGCAACAATTGGAATTTCCAGCATCACACTGGTTCCTGGCTACTCCTGCCAGGCGTGTGCAGACGAACTCAGTCGAAAAAAATGCTCCTGTGTGCTGCCCCATTCATTGCAAGGTCGCCTAGTTACGGTGGTCTTCGTGGTTTTCATTATCGGGCGTGTTCTCACCGTTCTCGCCTGGAAATACACACTTTTTCGCGGCAGAGACAGCCACTACAGCGCAATCTTCATGTTTTTCAACTGTATGCAATGGGTGTTATATCTTGGACTGTACTTCTGGCTCATGGATAACCTGAAGGTCAAGTATTCGCAGAGGACTTTCCCAGGGCAGCTGGTTGTAGTTCAGACACTGCAGACAGAGTTCAGACATGTCCGGACCGACACCACTGTACAGTCATGACGCCCAAGCCGTGAGGACGGTGTTTAGCGAAGTGAAGTTCCTTTCGTACGACGCATCACCACCCGAGCATCGGTATCCATGCATGGACGATCCGCCCTTCGGCATCAGGGCTCTTCCAAGGGTCACACCTCCCGCGAGCTTCGCGTCTCTTGGCGCCCTCGGCTCCGAGGTTCTGGAGCAGCGGGGACGGGCTTTCCTGTGACGACTTCTCTGTGAACGCTTCCGGAGGCCGGATGCGTCGTCCATGTCGTCCTCGTCGGTGTGCACTTGCCAGGGAAAAGGCGCTGCGTGCCCGGCAATGAAGAGATCGTGAACTGCCCGGTTGCCTGCAATGCCTCATGCCGGAGTCCGGGCCTGCAACGTCTGCGCCTGTGCAGCTCGGTGCCATTAGCTGCCCCAAGGGTCAGATCCAAGGCGTCAGATCCAAGGCGGTACCGTCGTAGGCGGGTAAACTGCAATCAAGTCTTCAACGAATGTTGAGATGCTCGGTTCGACTGGTCAGCTGTGAGACGCTGGATCGGTGCAATTCCGACTTCCCGAGCACAATCTGGGACAACTTGGCATAGGCAAAACACAGGCGCCGGAGGATTTGAATGCAGCTGATGTGTTGGATGTATTCAAGCGGATTGAATGCTTATCGAGAGAATCGAGGTTCAATGCCAGAAGCAGAAAAAAGCTCCGGGGTAAATGCACGGGTAGAGCTGCACTGCTGCGAGCCAAGGTGTGCAGCGACCTGAGACCTCCATCTATGACTGTATGAAGGAAGGCTCTCATGTTCAGCAATGGGAGGCCAGCAGGTTCTGTTCAGAGGGCAAAGAGCCGAGCCACATAAGAACTGAACTCGTCCCGTGCAGGCTTGCACCAAGCCGTACGACCCAAATGACTGCTTTGGCTATGTGTTTCTCCCCAATGAGGACCTCACATCTCAGGTCAAGTGCTGCGTTAAGATGACATTTCGCGCAGAGCTTCCAGCACAGACGCTCTTCACCCTTGGCATGAAAGAATATTCCCTTGGCATTTCCGATGTCGAAAATATCTGCAAGTGGGTTGCCATCCTTGTGATGACCTGGAACTTTCAAGAGACACCTTTCCTCGCGCCGAGCGCTGCATCGAAGGAGTTCACGAACCGCGTTTGGCTCCTCGTCTCGAACAGTATGCCTCGCATGGCATGACATAGTGCTCGGAGTTGCTTGAAATCCCTGTTGCTAAGCCCTACTTGCGAGCGTTGCGAGCCTGTAGCCAGACTGAGTAGCAATTAAGGGCACCCATATTGATTGGAGGGCTGAGGAGAGGGCCGAGTAGGAGCAAGCTTTGCGTGCTCCTCTTTGATGTCGCAAGGAGCTAGGAGCAAAGCTTCTCAGGGTCACGAACTCGAGACGGTCAACATTCACATCGCTTTTTTCATAGGCTTACAACTACTAAATGACTATTAGCTATTCTTTGGTCGTGGCAAACGGGCGCGGGGACAGAGATGCTTCGTTCCAGCAGTGGGGGGCTTGACCCTGCCGTTGACACGAGTTGTCTCCACACGCCGCAGCAAGCTTCGCTATTTCTTGCACTTAATTCGCTGTGTCGTTGCTCAATGCGTTTGACGGCACAGTTCGGAAATTCACGTGAACAAGAGCCACAACCAGGCTGGATATCCTCGACTGCTTCATGTTCATCTCGCTTTACAGCAAGCCCGCCATCCAGTCAGCGGCAGATGGCCTTGCACCAGACGGCAGACCATTGCCGGGCGGCAAAAACACATTCCTTGAAGGCCTTTTCATTTTGACGTGGTGGCTTGGCCATGCTTGGCCAGTAAGAGCTTCCCGACCGCACGAAGATACATGCAACGCCTTGGAGCTGTCGTTGTGAGGCAGGTTGCTGTCAATTGCGCCGTGCTTGCGCCTATGATCTACACCTGGCATAGATCCCATGAGAAGCGAACACTCCAAGAGAGGAAGATTGCACAAGAAGGTGCTGCCGGACTGCTGCAAGGGCTGCATGGCAACTAAATTTAGAGAACGTGTAAAGGTTGTTCGCTTGAAGCTCGGATGCCTTGAAGTAAAGAGTAGACTGCTTGTGGTCAGGTTGGAGGAACGGGTCCGCCTGCTAGATAGAGACGGAGCTGATCGCATCATGCAGCTGGGCTTCACTAAAGTTCAGGACTGCACGCGACACCATCAGCCCGAAGCCCCAGGCTACCTTAGGGCCGGGACTGTCCTATGCGCGCATGCAGGAGGACATCATCAAACAGAAGCAGGTTCCAATCCGGGTCGAGGTTTCTCCCCAACATGGCCATGCGAGAAAGACAGGCTATGCCACTCGCGAACAGAATTCTGCAGCCTGGCCGCAAGGGAGATGGTTTTGAATTGACAGATGCACTGTTCCATGCTTGACATCCCTGTGCTTCAGGCAACTTACCTTGTGACGTATGACGACTCGACCACAGAAGCTGGAGCATTGGGTTCCTTGAGCGGTTCAGTGGCTCCGGTGAAGACTTGTGTGTTGAGGGGATTCAGTTCTAGACCGTTTCTTCTGCCAAGCGAGGAGTCACTGTGGAAAGACTGGAGCCTACTGAAGAGCAACCTCATGTGGAGACGGCGCAGAGGTTCCTGTCATGTTAAGATTCAAGTTGACCGTGCTGCGAAATCCATATCATTCCGAGAAACCCAGAGGCCATCATTAAGCCTCACCCTACACTTCCTGGAGATTTGCTTCCAAGCTTCGCTTAATTTTTGACACCATGTTTTTTCGACCCACTCTTGTTTGACCCAGTACCTGTTCTGATCTTTTTAGCCCCCCGCTTTGTTTTTTGATCCCCAGTCCATGCTGTTTCGATCCTCTATGTTTTGTAAACCCCTGGCCTTGTTTTCTGGCTCCTCGGACTTCTTAGCTAACCTTCAGGGCCCTAGGGCCCCAAGAGTGCTGGATCATGTCGCTTCCAAATTCCACATCCGGGAAAGGGAAAGACCTGCAATGGCTTGGGTACAAGCCAGAACTCCAAACTCATGTATAGTAGGTTCCATGGGGTTTGCTGCACAATGTGGGAGATCAAGTCCATGTTTGAGGGTGGTGTGCGTCTTTTTTGGATTTATCGGATTTTGCAGTTAGAAGCCTGGACATCAATGCCGACACCCCGAACAACATCTCCGGAAGAGCCATTTTACTGGGTTTTTTACAGTACTTTCGTGACGTCAGCCATCTTATATAGTCGCCATGCAGGCCTACCTCTGGACTTTGTTACGTTGTCTTTTGCCTTTGCGAGGGCTTTCAGCGAAAACTCGAAATTGGGTGGTCATAACTGTTCGAGGCTGCCTGCACGTTATCAGCCCGACCCCCCCAAAGCAACGTATGCAAAAGGGGTAGTTGGTAGGGAGGCGCCGCCTACTACTACTACTACTACTACTACTACTACTACTACTACGACTACCAGTACTAGTATCGCTACCACTACCACTGCCACTACTACTAGTACTACTGCTGCTGCGGCTGCTGCTACTCAACAACAACTACTTCTACTTCTACTGCTGCTACTACTACCACCACAACAACAACTACTACTCCTACAACAACAACAACTACTACTACTACTGCTACTACGATTTACTACGACTACTACGACTACTACGACTACTACGACTACTACGACTACGACGACGACGACGACGAGTACTACTACTACTACTACTACTACTACTACTACTACTACTACTACTACTACTACTACTACTACTACTACTACTACTACTACTACTACTACTATTCTACTACTACTAATACTAATACTAAATACTAATACTAATACTACTACTATACTATACTAATACTAATACTAATACTAATACTAATACTAATACTAATACTAAACTAATACTAATACTAAGACTAAGACTAAGACTAAGACTAAGACTAAGACTAAGACTAAGACTAAGACTAAGACTAAGACTAAGACTAAGACTAAGACTAAGACTAAGACTAAGACTAAGACTAAGACTAAGACTAAGACTAATACTAATACTAATACTAATACTACTACTACTACTACTACTACTACTACTTTTACTACTACTACTACTACTACTACTACTACTACTACTACTACTACTACTACTACTACTACCACTGACTACCACTGCCACCACCACCACCGCCGCCGCCGCCACCGCCACTGCCACCGCCACCGCCACCGTCACCATTATTGTTTACTAGCACCCTGAGTGCCACTACTATCATATCACTGTCGTGGGTACTATAGTGTATTATCATCGTCAGTCTCATTCTGTTACTTCATCAGTGGAAGCTATTTCCTGTTATGTTCATGAGCGTCGACATGTTTGCCATTGCCATTCTGGTCGCTGTTGCTCTACCAAGTTTTGAGATAGGCTCTGTTGCTGTCAGGTGCGAAGGATGGCTCCAGACGTCCTACCTTGCCGCGACGAATGAGGACGACATGCCCGTCGCCATACAGCGTCGAGCGGTGCTGATCGATTCCTGCCGCTCGTTCCTGACGCTTGAGCTCCCTTTCTTTTTGTGGCGCATGTGGCTGAACTGGGGCGAGTGGGGCAGTGTGGATCCCCACCTCCTGGCGATCAAGAACCTACTCTTTGCTGTGTCCGACTTTCTCACGATCTTGGCTTGTGGCAACGAGGCCGTGGTTACCATGCTGCTAGTCAATTGAGTGCTTGAGGTTTTGTTCTTGTCTTCTCAGGAAGCCACGATTGCGGGCTGTGCCCCCGCAGCCATGATTTCCAGATGCCTGAATGGCACTGTCACCGGGGCCATCCATTCGACAGGTCCAGGGGCCATGATAGGCTCGGCGTCCAGAATCGCCTTGAGCCGCCTTTCGGCAGAGGAGGGGAAGCTGGAGGTGAAGTTGGCCTTCCTGCGACAGGTGACGCGCTTCCGTAGAAGAGGGCCAACATTGATCCGCTCTGCTTGCAGACATGCCCCTGCCAGGAACGTTACCTGGCATTGATGCTGGACGGCGAGCACATCGCCGAGATCTATGACAAGGCCATCGCCGAGGTCGACAAAGAAATCGCAGATCAACAGGAGATGCTGAAGCATCTTCACACATAGCGCAGCATTGCGCCAAAGTTCACTGGCTAATGCCCAGAAGCTGACCGGTTTCGGCCGATGCTTAGAAGGAAAAGAAGTGCCGCTCTTGAGATTCCATTTGAGCCCTGAGAGCGCAGGCTTGTAGGCTAGCGAGGCGAGCTTGGACAATATGTGGGCAAGCGTTTAGAGATCTGGCTGCAGGTCTATGGCCCCGAGACGCACATCACGGTCGCTCGGCTGCAGTCGCAAGCTGCAGCGCCGCTTGGTTTCGCTGCTTTGTCTGTGTCGAAGTCCGAGGCGGTGGTTCCAATGGCCCTGGGCCTCACCGATGTGCTGCCCGAGCCGGAATCTTTGGGTTTTTGACGCTGAGATATCTCCAGGATTTTGTGGGGAGGGCATGCTGTGCGTCAGCTGCAGCCAATCATCCCCAGGCCGGACCTCAGCGCAGGGTCCGCACCCCCGCCCAAGCGAGAGATGATCCAGGCGAGGCCGCGGTGCGGTTTCTGTGTTGGAACTTTAAATGCTGCATTTATGATCGAAGCTCGGCCAGCCCGGCCGGGGTTGCCTGCTCAGAGCAACGAGGTCAAGGCGACGAACGGGACAAAGAAGGCGCAGAAGGCTGCTCCCCAAGGTGGCTTGCGTTTCGCTGGTGCCGCTTGTGCCCTGTGCTGACGGACCCATGGCAATGTCGACGTTGAGCCGTCACGTGCACAGGTGAGAGGCATACCATCGTCACAGCCACTCCGGCAACCAGGCGCCAAGACTGAGAACTGAGCCGAGTAATGCTGCTTTCGCTTTCGTTTCTGAGCAGGGCCATCGTGTACGGCATGCAGAACCGAGCAGTGCAGGCCAGAGACAATGAGCTTGAGGACATCAGTGCCATTAGTCCCATAACGACTGCCCGTCCTCCGCGTGCTGCTGCTGCTGCTGCAGCTTCTGTGATTGATGAAGTTGACTGCGCGCCGTTGCCCAGATGTTGCAGGGCATGCTCGACTTCGACTTCATGTGCAAGAGGAAGACGCCCTCCGTTTGTGCCATGGTCCACTCCTTGGATTGCCAGCACCAGGGGGGTTTCAGGGGCTCTCATCTGCAAAGCTAAAGCTCGGCGATCATGCAACAACAAGGGGACTTTCCGCATCAAAACACCGCATTCTGAGACTTAGAGCTCAAGAAGCAATCCTGGGAGGATCATCCCATGCAGTGCACGAGTTCGAGCACTTGTGCTGTTTTGCTTGGCAGGTATTTCCATTTAGCGGCAACCACTACGTGAAGTTTTACTGGGGCACGGAGGACCGACAGTGGTAGATGCAACAGCAGCGACCTTGCTGGGAAGATTTGCTGGAGCCCATGTCCAGGAGATCCTTCTCCCAGTCTACACCACCACCAAGGAGGCTTGCCAAAAGCACACAGATGCGATCACGCGCTGGCCTCGGGGGGGTGAATGCTCAGCAGCCGTGTGCTCTTCAGCGGCTTGGTTCCCAGGTTCATCAACTTCGCATCCTTCCGCTCGGTCTATGAGACTACCATGGCCTCTCGCTCAGTCGGCCTCGTCGGGGGCAAGATCTAGATTCTAGTCCAGGCTGATCTGCTTCTTGTCCGAGCAGCTCATGCACATCATTGCACAGCAATCAAGTTTCGACCAATTTGGTATCCCGTCTGAAGTGGACATTAGAATGTCGTTTGTGTTCCGAATCCCAGCATTGGCTGCAGATTTCCAATGTCGCCCCGGGCCCCCGCTGCGCCTGGGATTGCCAACCCGAGGAAGCCATGCAGTATCCGCAGATGAAGACGGCCTGGTCCCAAGATATGGAGTTGGCTCGGAAACGGCAAGATCTCTGCTTCTGCAGCGGCAGGGGTCTGTGCATGTCTGTGCCTTACCCAGGTCGCCATCATTGCAGAGGCAGGATTCCATGCGCACAGAATTTTTGGAGATCCGTCTCTTGGGTGGCGAGGAAGCACACTGCAGCGCAACATGTCGAAGAGTGTGCAGACAACCTTCACCAGCAGTCTGATTCAGAGCTCTCATTGGCAGAAGCAGCAAGCTTCATGTCCAAAAGTTGCGTGTATCGTCCGAAGTTAGGTTGTGGTACAGTGCTCGGACATTCAGAGTCCTGTCCCCAAGAAAATGAGCCTCTGAGCCTTTAAGCCTTTGCAGGGGTCTCCCCACTGCCACTTCTCGCCTCTCCAGGGCGTTCCAGAGCAGCAGACACGGCTGTTGATCAAGGCAGGATGCGCAGACGACAGAGGGAGGGCCGCAGTCGCTTCATCTTGGTTCCTCTTCCCAGCCCAAGCCCAAGGGAGTTTGGAGTTTGGAAGCCTCCAGGAAGCCGAGATTCGCGAGATCGGCATGATCGGACCGGCCACGGTAGGTGGAATCAAGCCGAGAGCCTAGAGATCCGACCTTCCCCGCATCTCTTCTTTTGCGGGGATGTGCAAATGGAGTTTCTGTCTGGCGAATGCTTTGCATCAACGTGTGTTTGCTGACGGATCGCAGGCCCGGCTGTATCCGCATCGGCAACACAGGCCGCGCCGTTGAGAGACATATGTGGATGTTGCTCCGGCGGGTTAGGAATTTGACGCTCCATTCCCCGGCCGGAGAGGCTTCCAAGAGCTGAGGTGGAATGTTGGACAACATCGTGATGTCCCGGCTCTACCGTCCCGGGTCCGTGGCCCGCTCGCAAGAAGTGGCGTTGTCTCAATGCGTTACCTCATCCGATCCGCCTGGGGACCCGAGGTCGCCTACGTGTCAAAGTCCGGGGGAATGTCGAACGAGTTGGCCTCTAGTCTGCAGGGTTTGCCCACAGCTCCTCAGAGCGGGACAGATGCTTTGCGATGCTCGTTGTTGTAGAATACCGCTAGCAGTAGACAGTAGATGATTTGGAAGTGGGTGAGGGAGAGGTTTCGGAATAGCATGGTAGGAGATGGCGGGATCATCAGGGTTCTTAGGAACTGTCGAGTCGCAGAAGCGAAACCTGCTGTACGAGCTAGCAAGATGCATGTCAGACTAGCTTGACCCCGGCCAGAACAACATCATTTGCCGCAACTCCAACGGCGTGTACGAGGGTGTGGCGATTGGTGGAGACAGGTGCGCCTGATTTTGTGAAGGCGGTAAACCGTGGTCGCGTACAAACTAGTAACTCGCACACTTGTGTTCCAGAGCCGAATTCATAAGCCATGGATGCGCCGTTCTTGTTCCAAGACAGCCAGTAAGGCTCAAGCTGTACGTAGTGTCGGCAGCCTCAGACGAATCAAGCAGTCACAATAAGTGCTGATCAAGCTCCGTGACAACAGTTGAACCGCGTGAAGGGATTCCATGCCTTCGCTTCTGTTTTGCGGCTTTGGATTATTGCGCAGGCTTCTTGAAAAGATGCATGAGATCCTGCCAGGTATCCTGGCAGCCGCTTCATCGATCACCTCCTGCGCTACCAGGACCGTAACGGCGGTGTGTCGGGACCTTTCTCGCACCTCTCTCACAGGGATTCTGCTGATGAAGGATGCACCTGGAGCAAAGATCCTCCTGCTCCTGGGCGAGGTGGGTTCCTGGCTTTTCGTGTATAGTAGCACAACTTTTCTGACATCAGGTTCTGTATGGGTGGTGAAGGGCACAGCGGTGCGTGTGTAGAACAGCCTGTTCCAAGACAGAGAATTTCCGGGTACGTGGCTCCCAGAAGGAGCCTCGCACGACCTTTGACTCAAGGTCGGTGGCCAGGATGAGTACGACGTGATCAAGGCCGTGAAGTCTGGGCGCATTGACAAGCCAGGCCGCTTTGCTCGGGGGGCGAGGGGGCCAATTGTTTCTGCAGCAAGATTTCAGCGAGCCGATCCATTCTGCTTGCCACAAAGGAGATGAAGTCGGGCTTGCTACACCCTTTATGTGCAACTTTAGCCTTAACAATTTCGTGCATCAATAGTTCAGTAGCTCTGCATCCCATGCTCACACCTTCTGACGCAGTCATCGCCTGGTGTGTCGGCACCTGTGCTTCGTGCTTTGCGACGGAGGCCCGCTGCAACAACAGGTACAAGAGTTTGTCTGGGTTCGAAAGTTAGGGCTTTCGTAAACGGCGCTATTAGACCGGCCGCTTTGAGAGCACACCAGAAACCATCGTCAGTGTTCTCCGAGTAGTCCTGCTGGGTCTCCGCCGCGTAAAGGAAGCATGCTTCTTTGATTGACAACAGTTGGAGCTTTCGGGTGGAGCGGAAACCGTCACGCCAGGTGCAGTTCGGCCATGCTGGCGCCCAGGCCAAATCTCCGAACACAGAGATCATGAAGTCTTAAGCGGGATGCTGCAGCCTAGATGATGCCGAGCCAAAGCTGCGGTTGCGATGCCACTTGACAGGCCAGGGGTCAGACGGAAACAGCGATGGCCAAAAATGCAGCGATGAAGGCCGTTTGTTTTTTTTTTCTGGTGCTTGTCACGGACTTCGATGTGTGACAGTGTGCGGCAGAGACGGTGACAGGAAGCCGGGATCATTGTGCCAGACTCTTTCGACAAGCTGCCTGAGACGATCAGCAATTTGCAGGGCGCCCAGCAACCGGCAGGCAGTCTACTGCTGAGAGTGGCCGGTGAACTGCATGACGCCCTACAAGCCAGCCCGAAATTACAGTGATTCCAGAGTCGAGAATGACTCAAACCACACCACGGCAGAGTCAGGTACACGAAGATGGTCGAGGAGGGTGAGATTGTGGAGGCATGTTGGCCCAGCCGCTCCATGTGATTGCGTGGTCTTCGCAAGCATCTCCTAACAACGAATGCTGCAAATCACGTTCCCAGAATCCTCCTCGAAGGATTTGCTCCTGTTCAGTAAGTCAGTAGTCGGAAGAACCGTCCGGGTGTGTGAGCTGTCGTTAGGGCAGACGGCAGATCCACAACTCCCTTCTCCGACCTCCCAACCCAGTGCTGTTGAAGTTGTTGTCGAGGGAACATCAGGTGTTAATATACTGGTAGCTGTAGATGAAGCCCACAGGACCAGCTATGGCAGGAGATGTTTGTCGTATGCACCCGCTCAGAAGAGCCTCCCAGGAGCCAGAAGGCGAGACGCCCCAGGACCGGGGGCCCAGATTCTCAGATCCGATCTGACGCCGAATTCCTGAAGTGTTTGGTGTGGTACTTGACTCGCCGTGCAGTGAGCACAAGGGAGGTTGTAAGAGACTGGAGCTGGAAAAGGGGCGTCAAGACCGGACCAGTGACGAGTGCTATCCAGCGCTGATGAGCTCTGAGGTGCCCGTGGACTACACCTGGGCCAAGAAGCTCGGGCTTGTCAGGCAGGTGGGACTCAACATTCGGCCCGGGAAATCAAGTTAACCGGTTAGCAGAGCAAGCCAGAGGACCTCAGCCTTGCATGCTGTCGCATGCAGGAAGCCCGCAAACTTCATCAGTTCAATCTCCGATGATCGCGGCGAGGACGTCGGGGCGTCTTATCTCCGCTTTGGGTTCGCCTCAAGGTCAGCAGGCTGTCGAACTGCAAGGAGCTGAAGTATTGCGGGGTTAGCATCTCTGACGTCTTCTCGCGCAGCATGGGCCGGGACCCCGAGAATTCCGACTCGGTGTGGCGCAGTTGCGTTTCCGGGCGGCCTCGCGGATCAAGGGCGCAGTCGCAATCCGTTCTGCCGAAGTCAGCCTGGCAGGTGTGGGTGGCGTGTTGTCGCTCCTCTGGTTCAGAAGGCCCGGTGCAACCAACGCTTATCGAGATCACGGTCCCGAGAGACTAGCGTGTGAGCTTCTGGGGAACAGTCCTCCTCCTTCGCTAAGCTTGGAGGATGGCTGGGATATCTGAGCCCTTTTGCAAGAGCTGGCAGCGAGACAGAAGAGCCAGAGCCGAATCCATCGTGAAGCAAGAGCTGGCAGCTTCAAGCGGTGCTCATACGGTCCCTTTTGCTTACCTTTCGAGGCTTCGAGCGCCTTGAGTCCTTGAGCCCTTTGCCAGGCAGCTGCCTGCGGAATGCTGCAAGTTCATCGTGTCCTGGCTATTAATCCGTTAGCAGTCGGGCATTGGAGGTGTGAGAGTTAGCAGACACCTTGCCCCACAAATTTATGGAACCATTCCGCCAACTCGGCGGCCAAATATCAACCTAAAATCACCGAAAACCATAATCCCAAAACCCCGTTATACCCATATGCCAAATATCCAGCCAAAAAATCCCCGAAACCATATTCCCAAAACCCCGTTATACCCATATGCCAAATATCAACCCGTAAAACCATATTCCCAAATCCCCGTAAAACCATATTCCGGAAATCCCAAGCCTAAACCCAAGAAAAAACACCTTCCCCTATAAATCCCCGTTATTCCTTAGCCCAAGTTCCCGAAAACACCTTCCCCCATAAATCCCCGTTATTCCTTAGCCCAAAGCCAAGCCGTAAAACCCAAACCCAAATCTCTTCAATATCCTTAGCCATAAGCCCAAAGCCCGCGAATAACAATATGATATTTCATTAAAGGTGTCTTTAATGAAATTTAATATTTTATTATAATAATATTAAACAACATTTTCGGAATGAATCTATGTTCCTGTTATCTTCCCTTCTTCTGTTTTCGTTTGGTGCTTGCGGTGCTTTCCCTTTCAGACTCATCTGTTTCACCTAAATTTTCAGGATTATATCCATATCGGTTTTCAAAATCTTTCAGTGTCATATTTACCCATGTTTTAGCTCCTTCTGGTTTTTGTTTTAAATATTCAACTTCTCCCGACCCACCATATGAAGTACAAAGAATTTCAATATGTTCAATCATTTCACCCCATTTGTTAATAGACTTCTCAGCATTGTTTATATCGTTGTTTAGCTTTTGTATATCCTCTTCAATATTTTTAAAATCATATTCGTCGAATTCATTTTTGTAGGTTTGTTTTAACTCAGTAAGCTCACGTATTTTACCTTTGTATTGGTCTTGGACTGTCCTTATTTGAAATATTTTTCTAATATACTTAGCCTGAGTTCTGGTATATGTTTTTAAATCAGCGTAATTCATCACTAATATACTAAGGTCTCATTCCTTTAAGCCGTTTTGTGTTACGTTCTTTCGCCATCCAAAGCAAGATAAATACACGCCATGATCCAAACCATGATAAATACATGTTTAAAGGTATGTTATGTTAGTTATACCGTTAGTCATGGGAAGTTTAATATCCACCCGACAACCAACAACACAACCTTTAATAAATCCTTCTGCTAAAATAAAAAATCCTAACCCTATACATGTTCATCCTAAATTTTCATTAGGCGAATGTATATTTACAGTTGATAACCCTGAGTTGTATAGAGACCACTCGTGTAAAGTAATATTTAAATATGTTGTAAACGATGAAGTTTGTAAAGATATACGGGGCAAGGTAATAAAAGATATATTGAATGGAGTTTCGCATTATACTGAATGGTATTTAAGAACATATATACCCATCGAAAACGAAGATAAAGATAAGTGGTTTGTATTCAAAACCGCCCTTGGCGAGCTTGAAGAAACAATAGCCATTTATAAAAATTAAAATAACTTTTCATATCATATTTACCTTTGATGAGTTTTAATATATTCAAATAATATTAAATCACATCTCATTCTTCGCTTTTAGCGGGTGCTTTAAATTGATATTTCTCTTGTTCTTTGTTAAATTCAATATCATAATATTTTAATGTGTCTTCTTTTGGGACTTTGATTTCGCCCTTATTCAGTCTTTCCATGTAAGTTTTCCTTTTCTTGCTCCAATCGCTTTTCTCGCCTTTATCAACTGGTGTTGTTGTTGTGCTCTTTTCATAAGTGATTGGTTTCGTATCTTTATCCTTAACTAACTGTTGAACGATTCCTAAAATCTCGTTAATCTTTAATTGAGTCATATTATGGTTTTCGATAATAGTGTTATAAATCTCATCCGTGCTCACCTTAGCCTCGGTCATATACGTTATTACGTATTCTACCCTTTAAATGCGTATAATCTCCTCAATATCGGCATCGCTCAAAGGTTCTTTAACGTGTTGAATACACCACCCTTTCGGCTCCAAATGTTCAATTATCTTTTTTATTTGTGTTTCGTTCTCTGGTTTCCTTAAATCAATCTGTGCCCAAATGAATTTAAATGTTTCGGGTTCATACTTCAATAATCTTTGTTCCCATCCTAAACTTGTCCAACAATCTAAATCAATACCTGTAACATGATATTCGCACTTTTCAGCCACTTTTTGAATACTCATTTTGTCCTGGTAAATTTTTAGAAGTTTTCCCATATAAAATATTTGTTAAATGTTTTTCCCGACATCTAACGCACGTTTTGCATACTTTACCGTAACAACCGATAAAATACGATTTAGGAACATAACAACGACAGTATTTACAAAATCCGATGTCTTGATTATAACCTTCGTTTGGTTTGTTTGTTAGTTTTAATTCTACTATATTATTCATATTAATAACAAGAACATTTATTATCATTAATATCCATAGGGGAAAACGAATTAAGCAACTGCTTATGAGTTGCTATTGAACGTGCCGCACTACTTCCCTTTCGTGTGTCCGTCTAACGTGAAACAATGGGGACAGTATCGGGGTTTTCTTCTCCTTCTTCCAAAAGTTGGCAATCGTGCCCTGTCAGTTTTAAAGGAACTCATTCCTTTAATCCGATTTGATTTTAATGTTATTTATGTCTCTTCGGGTGTAATTCGTGTTTCGCCCAATCCTGCATTACATATTTCAACACTTCCCGTTTGCAAATCACTATCTGGTTTAAAAATATCGTCGGGTGATGTATGACGACCGTTACCACCGAATTTAGTATGTCGTTTATCAACTATTATATTTGTTGTTACTTTGTTGTCTTCTTTGATTGTCTTTGTTTCTTTATGATAAAATTGCCTTTTACAACGGCAAGGAATACACGAAATACCACGAGTATTTATTCTAAATCCTTTGAAGTTGAAGTTAAAGAGGTAGCCGCCCTCGCCGAACTGCACGAGCTCGTGGGCTTGCACCAAGACGCCTCCCGCGGCCATTGCAAGCAACTAGCCGTCCCACACTTCCAGCTGCTGAGCATCGCTCCTTCTCGCACGCTCCCTGGCAGTCAGGGTACTCCGCATGAGGTCATGGTAGGGCTTGGTGCGCAAAGCCTGCGTCCGAAGAGCAGCAAGTGACCAGCCTTTAGCCTGCCTCCAGCGGTGGCGCAGCGTGTTCATCATCCGTGCAACTTGGGCGCTCTTGAGCAAGCGCGAAACCTCACCATCGGCAGCCTGGTTGAGCCTACGGCGGACCGCCACCTCACAGAGATCGCAGTCTCTGGGTCTCCACTCCGGGCGCTTCCCGTGGAAGGAACCCACAATGGCAGGATCTTCCCTGCCTCAGCTTCCACAGCCGACCAAAACGGTCGGAGCTCCTTTATCGCACGACCGGTCTGCTCACGAAAGGCCTGCAACCTCAAGACCAGAGGGAGGTTGTCAAAGATCGCGATGACGGAAACCTCCAACTGCCGCAGAGCACAAGCCAGGACGTAAAGAGCCTGGCGCTCAGCAGAAGCCGCTGTCCTCTGCCTCCTCCAAATGAACCCGGAAGCCAACACCTGAGAATCATCACCAACAATGGCCCAAGCGGCAGCCTGTCGGTGGTTGCAACCCTGCACAGTAGTGGCGCCGCCATCCAAAGCCAACAGAAGGGGCGCTTGAGAAGCGCGCTCCCTCAGAGCAGCCGTTAAAGCCAGCACCTGCTGAGTCTCCTCCACGTTTTCCTGAAATTGTAGGTTGGGCGGGAGCTGGACGAGAGCAGTCAAGAGCCGTTGCTCCTGCTCGCTGCGAGGTTCCAGAAGCCAGGGCCGCTCCGTGCAGCCAAAAGTCAAGTGTGTCCGCGAAGGAAACTCCTCACCACAAGCACAAGCCAGGCGGCAGCCCAAACGTTGAAGAACACGGCCGTCGGCAGCGTTGCCAACCGCAGTTCTGAAGTTGGGGTTGCTTCCGTCTTGGAGAAGAACGTGTTGCTGGTGACAAGGCTCCTCGTCGGGACGAAGAGACGCCGAGGACTTGGTGTCTGCACTCCACAACCAGCGACGCCAGTTGTGCTGCAACTCCGTCAACAAACCACGTTTAGAGAGCTTTTACGGGGATTTGGGAATATGGTTTTACGGGTTGATATTTGGCATATGGGTATAACGGGGTTTTGGGAATATGGTTTCGGGGATTTTTTGGCTGGATATTTGGCATATGGGTATAACGGGGTTTTGGGATTATGGTTTTCGGGGATTTTAGGTTGATATTTGGCCGCCGAGTTGGCGGAATGGTTCCATAAATTTGTGGGGCAAGGTGTCTGCTAACTGTGAGATGTGGATGATGTGGGTTGTCTATGTCTCAGCTATCTATCTGCGCAATCTGATGCTGTGCCTCCTGCTCTTGTGTCACGGACACTCCTCCCGAAGACCTCTCAGTGGTACTAGTACGTCGACTCTGCAGATGCCAACTTATTGTTTCAGACCCTCTGAAGGAGATGATTCTCATGGTGCTGACCTCAGTCATTTGCGTGTGCGCTTCATCTGGTGTGGTACTTGCTTGCCTTGTGGAGCTGTTTCTCAGTCTCGGAAGTGATCGCGTGAACTTCGGTCATCTTTGGCTGCACTTTAAGGACGCAGGTTCGAGACGGTATGAAAGCCAAGACAAACTGGATCCGCCGTGAACATTCGATGCTAGAATACCTGTGGTGAGTGTAGCAAAAGCATCGTATTCTTTCGCACCGGTGTTGCAGGTATTCGCAGTAGCCACGTTCATGAAAAGACACACACCAGCAACATGACCGGCATGAGACAATTGACATGGCAGGTAATGCTGTCGCTGTTATTGTCAGGTCACGGCTGACCACGGCCCTGCTGTTAGCGGAGCTCACAACACCATCGTGTCCGCCCGGGCAATGGCAATGAAGGGATGTGGTCGTTTATGGGGTCTGGACGCTCAGAGTCTCCGCCAGTCTATTGCTGCTGTGACTGCCGCTGCTGTCCTCTTCGCCCTCCTCCTCGTCCCATTGCTGGTACTGATACTGCTCCGGCTCCTGCTTCTGCTGCTCCTCCGCTCCTGGTGCTGCCGCTACTGCGACTGCCCTGCCATTGCCACTGCCGTTGCCACTGCCGCTGCCGCTGCTACTGATACTGCTACAGCCACTGCGACGACGACGACGACTGCTACTGCTACTTCGACTACTGCTACAACAAGAACGATCAGAAGCCAAAACCAGCAATAGCTCTTACTAGAGTCACCGAGCGTGCAGTTTGCATTAGTCATGATCGTGAGTATGTTGACTGAGTAGAGGATGACAAGAGCACTGAACGTACTCAGGATGAGAACAGTGGCCACAAAGCAATTTTCATCAAAGTAACAGTTATAGCAAGAGCAATATCCATGCAGCTGGTAGCAACAGCATAAAGCACTCAGCAGCGGCTGGTTGCCTCAGTTTGTTTGATCAGACGAGATTGATGTTAAGCTTCGAGGCTGCTTTCCCTGTTAGCAAGGGATTCTGTCTATCAGTCTATGGCGATCGTCTCTCGTCGCGAGTATTAAGCTGCACATAAAGTAGGTGGAAATATGAATGGAAATCCTACTTTGGAACATCCCCGTGTGCAGCATCACTTCTGAAGTTCCTTTCTGTAGCTGCAGCTGCCCCGCACCTGCCAGGACGGCACGAGCGGGCAAGGTGCGCTCCAATCGAACTAAATCTACGGTTGGGTTGATTTGTGCGTACCTTTTGATTTGGCCAATGCCATGAGCTGAGATTTGGTGACTTGCCCGTTCCATCATGGAAGGGTGCGGAGCTCTCTCCGTCACCGCATGTGCTCAAAGCAACGCCTCCCGCGGGCAGGATCTGGTCAGTGCGCTTTGCAGCGGAGATCCCGGCGTGATTTTGGCAGATGGGCAGCTTGATGCAGCTTGCGAACATTGAAGCATCGGTGCTATCGTACCTTTGACTGTTTGCCAGGCCTCCTGACAATCGGACCTCGATTTGGGGGTGCGCTGGATGATGCTGCAAAAATGCTTCACGGCTTATGTCACTTTGCACTGGGGCCTCCAGGGCTTTGCCAACTGTTGTGGCTTGCGACTTCCTGGCGTGGAAGCCTGCAAGGTTTGCAGAAGCGCACGACAGCGGCATCTCTGCCAAGGATCTCGAAAGTCCAAGTGCAAAAGTATGAGCATCTTCTGCCTTGCAGGTGCGTTTAAGATTGTTGTGACGAGTCTGCGAAGTCGAATGCCTCAGGGATAGTCGAAGCGCAAGAAGTTTACTGATTACCTGCCTGGGACTCTGGCAGGCACGATAGCAGCTCCGATAGCAGCTTCTGTGTATGCATGCATGCGAGATGTAGTTACCTTCGCAGGATTTTGTCGACCAAAGCAAGAAGCAGAACAAGCTCATCATGGGTGTGGGTTCGGCGCTCATCAGGATGTCGGGCAGAGGCTTCTTGTGCCAGCTTCGCCCGAGAAGTCTGATTTCTCGGCCTCCGATCCGTGCAACGCAAGTCTCTTCGTGTTAGGTTGCTGGATAGTTTCCTCAGCCCTCCTTTGCAAAATCCTGCATTGGCAGCCTCAGCCTACGGGCAGGCAAGGTTGTAAGAGCCGCTGTTTGTTTCGACACGTTAGATCATCGCACACTCTTGGGTGCGGTGTGTGGACGCCGTGAGGCTGCAGGCAGGATGTCCTGATCCCTCCAAGCCGACACTGAGGCCATCGCATCAAGTCGCTTGCGAACCCGGACCAGCGGGCCCCAAACTCGGTTTGGATCACCTGCGAATGTGCCACCAGCTTTTCTCATGAGGTCGTCATCATCAAAGACTTCGCCAAGAAGTTTTTCAAAGACAACAGCATACTGGACCTGCCTCTCCATTTTTCCGGGATCTCAGGCATGCGACTTGTGATGGCGGTCACTGCAGAACTGCAGCCTGCGAGAGCACCACGCAGAGCTATCTTGCAGGACTTTGCCTTGGCGGTAGAGCAGATCACCACAAGGACCTGGGTTTCACGGTACGTTGCTTTTGCGCCTTGTGACCTCTATGTGCAAGGAAGCGAGCCAACCTGATCCTGAATGTGGATGGCTGCATTGCTGCGACATGCCTGCATTTATTTGGCTTCCGGCAGAATGGGCTGTTTCCGTTTGCCGTAGAGTCAGCCGTCGCAATCTTTGAGGTATGCTTCACTGACATGCTGCGCTCCTGCGGAGCCTTCTCAAGAGAAGAGGCAACGGGTATGGGAGTGTCACATATTTGAGGGTGTTTTGGCTCATGTATCGTGCCGCCGGACATGTTACTCAGCGGCACAGTGGAAGGACAGTTGTGATGATGGCCATTTGAGCTTGGGGGGGGGACTGTTGTTCCCGCAATAGACATGCATGGCTTGAACAGTCAGCAATGAGGTCCTTCTGTATAGTCTATACTAGGTCCATCTACTGTTTTGGAACTCCCATAAGGAGACAACCAAATCATATCATTGAAGCCATTGCCACAAATTGTTCCCATGATGATGCCGCTGCGGATCGGCAGAGATTCAGCAGTGTGTGCATCATGCTCTGTGCTAGAGGATCTTCGCAAGTTGACACGATACCGACATGCGCTATTCTGCCGTGTCAAGAGCAAAGAACACAGCAGAAGTGCACAAACAGTGCAGAGACGAGACCGATCCTCAATAGCAGTCGGTGAACCCAGACAGGTAGCTTCCTGTGCGGACTGTTTTGCTTTCGTGCCGCGGCTAGATGTTCGCTTGTGACTGCTGGACGCGTGCGAAGCCACTGGATGGTTCCGGCTACACCTGTACCGACCGCATATTGGATCTCGCAACGCAAGCGGAGGCCAAAGTTTTCTTGACAGATCATGCAATAGCAAGCTTACGAGTCTGTGCGCACAGTGCTCCTGACATTCAGCTATCGCAGCTCGTGGGCCATCATCGAGCAGCGTTCATCTCAATCCAGGAGTCTCGCAGCGATATTGCCTTCATAAACACCATGGGTGAACTGGTTTGCGAGCTTGCTTCCAAATCCTGCCCGGAGCTGGAGCGTGTCCTGGGCTTGTTATGGTATGGCAATGTCAAGGCGCATCACGGTGAATACCAATTTGCAGCTGACTTCTTCAAAGAGGCGGCGGATGCCATCCAGAGTCCGACAGAAGGGTGTGGCAAGATTGCCAAGGTTCTCCTCACAGAGGCCTTCGGGAATGCAGGCTACGCAGTGCAACTGCTGGGCGACTTCAGCCAGGCCGTCGATTTTCACCAGCGTGCATTGTTAGAAGCGGGGGAGCATGAAGATGCAGCTGTCATCGAGTATTCCAACTTGGGGCGAGTTTGGATGATGAAGTCATTCCAGGAAGCCAACACTACATTCAGGGCAACTGCTAGAGACTTTTACCGGAAAGCGCAAGTCATCAACAGGAAGCTCGGCTTAGGGCAACGTGTTGCTTCGAATTTGAACAACATTGGAATTCTGTCTGAGGGAGAAGAAGCACTCGATGCTTTTCACGAGGCCTTGCAGATGGCGAAACTGCATGACAACAAGGCCCTGCAGGCAAATATTCACGGGAACTTGACAATGCGCTATCTGGTGATGAAGGATCCAGAAGCGGCTTTGGCAGCAAACCGTGAGACCCTGAAGCTGTTTTGCGAGATTGTCACAGCTGAACGTCCTTTCGACATTGAGATTTGCACAACATGGACGTACGAAGCCGAAATACTCTGCGATCTGCACCGCTTCGATGAGGCGAAGGTTGCAATTGACAAGGCATACCAGAAGCTGGAAGCCATGTGGACATCGTGGGTGCAAACTCTTTCAGGGGATCGGGCGCGACGATCCATTTGGGACCTTGGCCTGTCGAAGTCCATCTCTGACATTGCCGAGAAGGTGTACTTGTCATTGAACTTGCCGCAGACGGCTCTAGTCCTATCTGATCACTTCAAAGCAAGGGCGCTGATTGCTTCACTGAGGGCAGATCTTGGTGCGAGTGACTGCATTGATTGTGGCTTTGAGGATATCAGCGCAATGGCGAGGTCTTTGCGACGAGCATTTGTTTGCTACACGCTGGACCCGAGCGAAGCCTATCACGGCACATCCCGAAACATCAGTATCAATATTTACGTCGTCGGAAGCTCGGGGAAGTTTCAGGGGCACTGGCGAGTCGACATGCATGGCGATGTTGCCGTGTGGTTGCAGCAGCTGAGCAAATCTTTTGGAGATGGACGTGGCAATCAGGATGTTGGCAACGAGTCGTTGTCAGAAGGAGAGTCCAGAGCTTGTCGTGGGTCGGTGGTACATCCCAGCTTACGACTTGGGCGGAAGAGGCACGAAGAGTCGTTGGCTAAAGCAAACAGGCTGTTGGAGCAGTTGCACGATGTCTTAATCCGACCGATTGCCGGCTACATTTCTTGTGAAGCAGGCTTAGTGATTGCTCCTGTTAGTTTTTTGTCGGCTGTTTGCTGGCCAGCATTGAAGGATTCAGCAGGAAGGCATTTGATTGAAAGTCATCGGCTGTCCGTGGTGTCATCATTGTCGGTGTTGAAGGCCCTTCTCACAGCAGGCGCTAGGCGACCTGCTGCGATCTGCCCCAAAACCTGTCTAGTTGTCGGAAACCCTGCACCGTTGCCGGAGTCTTCCAATTTGGAGACGCTTGATGCAGCGGAGAAAGAGGCATCTATGGTTGCTGAGAAGTGTGGTGGAGCCGGTATTGATGTTATTGCTGGAGGGCCCATCTGCGGCTTTGCAGCAATGAAGGAAAGTATCCTTCCGCTTCTGAACGCAGCGACGGACCTAGTCCATTTTGCTTGCCATAGTGTCTTACATGAAGATAGTGACTTGATCGCTCTGGTCTTGGGTGGGCAAGATGCTGCAGCGAGTATGCTTTATGCTTCCGAGATCGTGAACTTGAGGCTTTCTTCGCGTGTCGTTGTCCTAAGCGCCTGTGAATCCGCAAATGGGCAGATCAGCACGGATGGTCTGTTAAGTCTGGCACGATGCTTCGTTGCTGCCGGATGTCAGAGTGTCCTGGCATCTCTGTGGAAAGTCGACGACTCTGCCACCCATCACTTCATGGAGTTGCTCTACGAACACTGGGCTGTGGGTATGGAGCTTGATTGTGCAGTGCAAGCCGCAATGTGCTCCATGTTGAATGAGAAGCTTCCGGCCAACAGCAGGTATGGAGAGTGTGCAGCTTGGCGACCAGAGCATTGGAGTGCTTTCGTCCTGTATGGGCTGCATGGGTCGCGGCTTTGTTCCACGTGACATTCGGCTGGCGTCCCCGAGCGCCCCTGTTGTGTGGATATGGATGGCTGTGGGCTGAACGGTTTGAATCTGACCCTTTTTACTTCAGCTGCGTTCGGTTTTCAGGTTTGAAGCGCCATGTGCAAAATGGCGGGGCTGAATGCTTGTAGGGATGCAAGTACGACTGCTGCCCAAAGCCTCTGATGAGTGCCTGCAGCGAATCATGTGCACATGACGCGTCGAGTTGGATCAGCTAGGAACTAGGAACAAGGCCACGTGCGAACCCGCAAGGCAGACGAACTGATGGCTTTCGGCTGCCTGAACGGCCTGTTCGTCCTTGGTCGTTCCATGGGCGACGTGGCTGCAAACGGTTCGGCAGTGACTTGAGCTTGATATGTAGAAATCCTCTAATCCTACAAACTTCGCGATCCTGTGGCCTTCTCCACCCGACAAAGCTTCCACGTGCGTTGGCAGGCTGTGGGATGATTCCACCTTGGACCTTAGGCGTAAAAAGCATCGCTTGATATCGGTTGCCTGAGGTTTCATCGGCCACCACTTGGATCAGTTGAGGCGGGGCATAGGATAGACGCCTGCAGTGAGCAACACCCGATGGCAGCATGCTGGTTCTCGCGAGCCCCGCAACCGAGATACAACCAGCCTTGGCAGGCTGAAGCAGCCGCTCTACCGGCATCCCTGGGATGCAACTTGTCCTTGATTCAATGCTTGGTGTAGTATAACGATGGCTTGAGGGTTTTCAGGGTTAAACGTTTAGATTCTTGTTCTCTTCGGCTCTTCGGCTTCGCCCGGACGGGTTTCTGCACCTAACTTGTCGAGAGACCCAGCAAGGACATCACCTACATCTCTGAGCTGGCATGACCTCTCGGTCTCGGGCGCTCCGAGACTCTCACAAGCCGCATGCCAGCTCACTGCCCTGCAGGGCCTTTTTGACAAGTCTCCTCAGCGAGAGCAAAGCGGGGTTTCTCAAATCAGGGCAGCAACGGGAAGTAGGCAGTTTGAAGGTTCTTTCTGCCTACTGAGCCTACGGTTCGCTGTCCCCTCAGATTTTGAGAAGCTGCCAAGTTGCGACGAAGTGGCTACACTCGAGAGATCCTGGCTCCTGGCAAAGTGGCCGCAGGAATTATCAACAAGACTTTCCTTCGCAATTTCATGTGCTGTTTGTCGTTCCCTTGGTGCGGCATGACCGACAGCCACCGCTGCCGGGAGGGGAGATGGTGCCAGAATGTCTCAAGGAGCGCGGCTCCCGATTGCGCCGGTGGATTTCTCGCACTGTTTAGGTGAAGCCTGAGTCTTGAGGTAAGGTTTTCAATTTGCTTGTACCATGTCCAGATGGGCTCCTTCAAGCATTGGCCATCCACATAATGTAGCACAGCTCTGATCACAGAGGGTAGTCGAGACTAGTCGAGGGTACGTAAACCGCGAGAAACCATTAGCAGTCATCATGGAGTAAGTTGTCCGCTTGAGGATAGTCGAACAGTAGCAGCAACAACAACATCAATGGCAATTTCCATATTGGCTCTGCGAATAGCAATAACAAATAACAGCAAAATACTACTATTGTGACTAAAGCTGTGCAAAGGACGGGCCATAATCGCAATGCCAGTGACCAGGATGCTGACAAGCATCATAAGTCATCTTCATAGCGATACAAGTTGTATACATTAGTCCTCGCAACCCTAGTTTTCAACTTCCAGTGTTTCCAAAATAACCAATCATAAGAGACCTAGTACTAAAGCTACTGAACATTATGGAGCAACCTTGACCCGCAGCTGTTGAAGTCTGGATGACTGTGCACATCCGCCTATCCAGCGCACCTCTGATGGTTTTTTCATTTTTCCCGCATGGACCGATGCTCACATTATTGCATCGTGGTTTTCGTTTGCCCTGCATTGGGTCAGTGTGCAAGTGACAAAAAAGTAAAGAATGCTTGAATCCTTGTTGCCATATCCGCTTCTGGAGACCTGCCACCTGCCAGTTAGGTGACTGTGGCATGTCTTGACATCCGGCAATGTATATAGCAGTGAACTCGCCGTGTGCCGGCAGCTGCTGAGGCTTTTGACCACATCTCAACTTGCCAGCAAAGAGGTTGTTGGCACCCCCCCACCGAAGCTCGTCACCTGCACTGGCTGAGTAGCCGTGCCCAACCCGAAAGCGCATGAGCCCTCAGCCTAGCCGCAAAACCGCCCACTGCCTCAAACTAGACCCCACCCCTTCGAGCCATGCCGACGCATGCCGAAGTCATCGCGCAGAATCCTCTGGAAGCACCTGCAGACTTCTGGACGAATGTCATCCGACTCTCATTCAGACAGGTCAAGACTGCTCAGTCGTTACTCTCTTGTCTGCTCGAACAACAATCGCAACCCCAAGGTCTACTACGCTGCTCGGCGCACACTTACAGCTGGCGAAGTGACTGCGTTGTCTTGCTAGCCAGCGTGCCGGTTGAGTTTGCATGAAACAGTACAAGACTAAGAGCATATCTAGAAACGCTACATCGCCAGACAGTGAGTATGTCAGTTCACAGACATGCTTGTGCTTGCAGACCCAATAGACAAATGCGTGCCTAGACAAACGTTTGCCACTGATTTGCCAGCACTCACACATGCATATATGCAATCCCTTCCCGAGTTTCTATGGGGGGGCATGTAGTATTAGGGGGAAGGGCTCATGTAGGTATGGCGTGTTCTGTTCTGGTCTGGCATGGCAGGGCATGGCACGGCATGACACCACACGGCATGGCATGGGAAGGTATTGTATGTTAAATACTGCTTTTTTGGCATGGTATGCTAGCGCATGTACGGAGTGCTTGCAACTGCGTTGACGTGCCGACTTCCTCCCTCCCGTGCGAGACTGTGCAGGTCTTCAACGGGCTGGCGGCCTTCTGTACGGTTCTGCTGTTCTTCGGCACCTTCGTCTGTTGCTGCCTCACGGCCATCAGCCGGATAGAGCAGTGGGAGAGACTCGCCTGAAGCCGGAGTTATCTCACATTCTTCGACTGCTTCACTTTCCTGTCCCAGGCGCTCTGGCGAGCGGCCGGAGCCGTCGGCAGAACCAAGCAAGACGGAATGAGCGAAGGCCGGACAGCCTCTGTGACGACGACGCATCGATTCAAACATGTTCGGAAGTTTGTGGGGAACTTGAGGTTGTGGGGGAGTTCGGGGTTCTCGAGCCTGGATTTCGCAGCCTGGGTTGAGGAGAGGGAAGGATCTTGGAATTTTTGAAGAGCCCTACATTACATCATCGGAGGCATGGCCAGCTGCGGGCCAAAGTGGAAAGAGATCCGATGGTGGACCACGGCCACGGACTGCGAGCACGTTCCCCCCGTTCCCTGCGAGTCCAGGAGCCGAGCCAAAGTGCTGAGCAGCGCCTTTCGGGGGCGCAGAGCCTGAGTTGAGCTGCGAGATTTCCTCCGGTACACCGGACATGGGCAGAGAGGACTCAGAGCCTGGCTGAGGAGAAAACGGGGGCTGTGCTGTTCAGGCTTGGGTTGCCGTTTCCGAGGCCGATGCAGGACCTGGGAAGAAAGGTTTTGCTTTCGGATTTCCGAAAGAGTGGAGCAGCGGTGGGGATCTTCCGGCATTGTCTTTGTCTTCGATGAAGCGCAGGTGCTGCAACGGCGCCACGGGCTTCCCGGACTGCACAGACAGTGAATCTGATGGCCAGGCACGGGGGCTACTTGTAGGCCATTGTAGGCCTTCGTATCCTCAAAACAAGATGTCCTGCAGCCCAGACAGACCCTAGCCACCGCATCGCCGCAGGGTGGTGACAGTGGCAGGTGCAACAAGTCGGTCTGCGCAGGCGATCACCGCTGCATACGGGGCTTTCCGAGCTTAAGATCTGAGCTCAGGCTTCGACTGAGCATGCCTTCGAAGCACAAGGGCTTCACACCAAATTCCGCGTTCCCGTGGAGTACTGCAGAGTCCTCGTTGGCTCCAGCTCGAAGCAGCGCTACGTTGGCATCGACCCAACAGTCGTGCATCGAACTGTGTATCTAAGAAACAGGTCAATGCCGAAGTGGGCACCAGGAGATGTCCTGCCAGCAACAGTGACTGATGTGCAATCGCAGTGCCATGTCTATATGTCATCGACATCACTTGCCACCAAACACCATCGAAGTTTGATCCCGCCGTCCTGCAGGTCCCGAAGGCAGCCGCGAAGCCAGCGGCGAAGCCGGCGGCGAAGCCGGCATCGCCCAAGCCGAAGCCGAAGTCGAAGCCTGGTGCCAAGAACTCCCGGGGGCCCATGAAATGCCAGAGCCCGTTTCCGTGCGGAAAGGCTTCTTTCGACTGCATAGTTTCAGTCTCAGCTCTCGCCGCAGGCCGCCGGCCACAGCTTTCAGTGCTTGGCCCCGGGTTGTGACAGCCAGCGAAGGCAAACGGAGGGGGAGCGAGTGGGCAGTGGCCCTGGTGGCGAGAGTGCTTCCAGAAACCACGCGGGACAGCCAGCTGGTCGAGATGCTGTCCTCGTCGAGGGAATGGGGCCGGACTGTTTTGACTCTCTGCTTCCGATCTCGAAGATCTACTCGTGTACATCGTTTCCAATCGAACTGTCGAACTGTCGACTCTTTGCAGGTGCTGACGATACTTGGACACCGGACACGAGCCGGACCATCGGCAAGGGCAAAGGCAAAACTGCCAAGGGCAAGGCCGGCAAACGCGTTCGGTCTGCGGTGTGCTTCAGTGATGACGGGTATGGGTAGGCGCTCTGCTCTGAAAATGCTCTGCAGACATGCAAGGAGAAGGGGCACGAGAAAGGCCAAGACCAGGTCCCCGAAAAGGGAAAATCGAAAGGCAAGGAGAAGGGCGCAGAGAAGGGCGGAGAGAAGGGGAAAGAGAAGGGCAAGGACAAGAATGATAAGAGCAAAGAGAAGGGAAAGGGTGCCGAGAAGGCGGCCCAGCAAGGTGAGGAAAGACATGTGAAGCCTGAGAAGGGCCACCAGAAGGGCAAAGAGAAAGGCGAGAAAGGAAAGGGCAAGGCGGGCAAGTCCTCGGGCAAGGCCGGCAAAGCCCAGGGAAGCCCGGCTGACGCGAAGGCGAAGGGTCAGGGAAAAGGCTCCGGGAGCTCCAAGCCGGAACGCAGAGATGCCAGCGACTCCTACGGCGAACAGCTCAGATGTCGCCCGCTCTTGGTGTGTTACGAGGGATGTGTGACATGTGTGCGTGAGCGTGAGCCTTTGCTGCTGAGGCGATGTGGGTGATGTCTGGAAGCTGCTCTGAGCCTTCCTGGCCTCCTTTTTCCAAGCCGATTCCGCCTTTGGCTCATGCCCAGCCCAGCCCTGACTCTGACACACTCTCAAGAGAGTCGCTTGGAGGCTGCATCGGTGTCGCACTCCGCTGAGACTCGCTTGATGTGACTGGCGGGAAAGGAAGGCAGACTTGGCACATGTGCGAGGTGTTGAACCCGTGAGCCTCTTGGACCTCGAACACATGCCCGCTTGACCGCCAGCTGTTTGCGGGCTCCAGCAATTTTGCAGCTCAAGGGGCACCTGGAGGCGTGGGGGCTTTGCTAGCTTCCGGGCGCACAGATCGTGAGGATGCATGGAGCTGGGAGCCGTCACTTTTCATGTGTGAGGAGTCTGGAGCACGCTTGCCTCCGGCCAGCATGCCGCTGAAACTCTATGCCGCAGCAAGCGATTACAAGACCAAGAAGGCCCCTCAAACCGCCAGTGATACAGACCGTGCCTGCATCCTGTCGGATGGCTGTCAAACCATCGTGTCCGCATTACTGAGTCGCCCTCTCCCCAGGTCCTGATTGCTGCGCAGTATGTGGGCATGGAGGCTGCAGGGCAGGAGTAGGGAAGTATGCCGATTTCTCAGATCCTCGGTGCTAGGGGTATAAGTGGCACCGCGACAGGTCTCCTGCCCAGAGCAGGGCAAAGCGATTGAGGGGAAGGCGAGGGTTCAGGGGAGGCTTTGACATCCCACCTTTAGAAGCCTCAACTGGTCCAGATCCCTGTGCTCGAGACGGAGAAGGGCTGCATCTTCACAAGTGGAGCCATAGCCAGGTGGGCTCGGGACCGACCTTCCATCTGTAGCGTTCCCGCCGCCTGTGGCATTTGAAGCCAGGTATGTCGCAAGGATCAGCCGGCCCGTTGGGCTGTACGGGCAGAACCTCTTAGAGGCACTGAACTGGGATGCTTCTGGGCCATGCAGCATCTTTGGCACGTCTTGCATGATTCCCGATCCCGATGGTCATGGACGTGGGTTGCCCCCCAGAGGGCGGAATGATCGACTCCTGGATCGAGTTCTGCACCCACGAGCTCGAGGCCGGGCACACTTCCAGAAGCAGATAGTGGCAGGCAGCAGCGGAACAGCGAGACCGGTGGTGAAACAAAGGGATGTCCGGCGTAAGACAGCTCCAACTAGCCCTGCGATGCCCTTTCCGCTTGCAGGTACCGCTTTGCACTTGGGTCCTCCCGGCATTACTGGCGAGCTTACGGCATTGGTTTACTGCTCTGATGAAAAAGCACGCTTCATAGACATACTAGCCATCAGTCATAATGATGATTACGAATACTACTTAATGCCAGCAACGCCAGTGATGTATGGTACTGTTGCTGGTCTTCTACGTTTCGGTTGATGGCGGTTTCCCTGGAAGTGCCCGCTGGTCAGATGATGGGCAAGTATCCCGAAGTGCCGGAAGCCACAGCCTGCCAGAGCCCTAGAAACGCCCGAACGGCTGTGGAAGCCCATTCGTATCCGCAGCGAGTTGCTGAGACCGAACATGAGTCGAACATGATAATACAACGAACAAAGCACAGCAATCTTGCCATGAGCTACTGGGACTTCAGTGAGCTTGCTTCAATCCAATGGCAGCAATAACTGCGATTATTGACGGGTCAATGAGTCTTAGTGTTACCTTCTGCTGTTATCATTGTTGTTGTCAAGTCCATCGTTCTTATCCTGAGCCAGCGATGCACTGATCCAACCGAGCAAGCCGACCAAGGTGCCAAAGAGGATGTGAAGTGCTTGGCTCAGGATCATAAGCTGAAGCTGGTGAACACTTGCTATTTAACCGAACTAGCAGAATTCAGGGACTGACGACAGTAACGTTCCAGAGCTCTTCGCCGTTTCAGGCGTGCGCTGACGGTGCTGAACAACCATCTCCTGCATAACACCTTCATGGTCGCTCTCCGGGTTGCAGAGTTTCGGGGCATCGGCGTGTTGGATTGTAAGTACTAGTATGGTGTTGGTTCCGATAGAGAGAGCATTGCACTGAGTTCGAAGATTTTTGAGTCAGGCGAGATACGCTAATACTGGCTCTATTTCATCCGAGGAGTTAGTGTTGGCAATGCAGGGCTGGAGTAGTCGGGCGTCCTACAACACTGCCGAGTTCTAGCGACTACGAGCATAATCAGCCGGTAGGAAAAGAGCCCCTTTACGCAGTTTTTCCACCGGCACATTTTTCTGTTGTGATACCTGCGCCTGTGGAGTCCCCTCGACAGTATTGCCATAACTTCTCAGGTTTGGAACCACATAGCTAAAGACTCCTCGTACAACTACTGACGCAACTGCGACTTCTACTACGCCACCATGCAGCACGAGTATTTATGATAACAACAAGAAAGCCAGTACCAAGGGTAACGATCAAGACTACAACCGGTACGAAAACAATTGCAAGAGCAATGTGAGTACTAGTCGTTATGTTGTTAACATTTGTTATCACTATAATGTCAGTCATGCCGAGTCATGCCACTGTTGCCCACAATGCTTATACCCGTGGAGACATAGTATCAGAAGATCTTGTACCTGTAACAAGAGTATTCTTCACAATAACAACATAAAGGTACCGAAGAAGCAAGGTCGTCGCAATGGTAGTCGTAATGGGATGGAAATCCACGCACTTTGTGTGCGCTTTCCCCTGCGGTGCCATTGAGCTCAAATCTCAAGAGTTAGTGAGGGGGGAGCACAGCTCTCCCACCCTCCCACCTCAAGCAGTGGTGCTTCCCTGAGCGAAGCCTGGAACTCGGGGGACGAGTCGCGTGGCACGCAGGGTATGTTGAAGGAAGGATGGTGTAGGTGGAGGCCATCACAAGTGCATAGTAGACTTCCTAGACCATTGCTACTTCAGTGGCTTAGTTTTCCTTCTTCGTTTGCATGCTCAGTCTGCCAAGCCCAGACCCTAACGCACATGAAGCCCGGCCTTTCGCCTAATCGGTTTTGGTGGAATCTTGGCTCCATGAGTCCGCAGACCAAGGGAAGCGATCGACGAACCCAGGAGTCGAGTCAGGATCAGGCGTGGGTGCGTTCCCGCAACGCGGCCAGTACAAGCCACGCCAAAGTTGGGTAGGTCCGACAGGTCCGTTTCAAAAGCAGCAATGTAGAAAACCTGTGATGACATTGATGCCCAAGAACTGGTTTCCTGTCTGAACTTCTCCTGGCCAGGCTGATGCAGAATTGTCCGCAACCGTGCTTCAACAAGGCTGGAATCAATCCCGCGGGCTGTCAATATCCACCCGTGGCTGTTGGCCGCAACACGGGGGAAGATGCTGAACACGCACCCCCGTGAATGCGAAGCTGAAGACACCGTGTGCAGCGCGTCTCTAGCAGCTTCGGAAGCAGCGAGCAAGTTGCACGTAGCTAGCAAGGTGAGGCATCCGATACGTGCGCCACAGCTGAAACCGAAGTGGTACTAGTAGTGAGGCAGAGCACTTTGTCGTTGCACCAGGCCATTGCCAATCCTTTAGCCGGCCTCAAGCACAGCGTCCTGTCTGGGCCTTGGGCCGGCCACTGATTTCACAGACTTTTGAAGATTCGCGTACCGCAACACATAGCCACAAGTGTGCAACTCGGGCCGTGAGGTGGGGGCGTAGCACTGCTCGTTCTTAAGATGGGGCAGTTTGCGCAATGTGGATCACTTTATCTAAGGCTTGCTGATCCATGCCTGGGCGATTCCATCATCATTGGCTGCTCCGAGCCATGGCAGCAGGTTCCCGGTTTGAGATTTAGGGTGTCTTGCTGGAGGATGCTGCTTCATACATCGTACTGCCAAGGATGGCTTTGAGGAGCTCAGTGGCTTCACCAGGCAACTGGAAGAAACGATCGACCACATCTCCGTCTTGCACTGCAGATGGCAGAAGATTACGGTCCTTGCAGCATGTCATTGACCACCCCGAGCCATGCATCTGCATCCGGCTGGCTTGACAGCCTGTGCGCCCCCGTGACCTGTATTCGTCTCCGTGTCTTAGTCTGAGTGTATCATCCCTGGGGAGCAACAGTAGCGAGACTCGGCGCAGGATGGAGGTCCTCGGTCAGCCGTGCCGATTCATGATAGAGGCCGACGACGGGAAGCCGGCCAGTGCCGTCGTGCCACTACATGCCCTTGTGTCGCCAGGGTTGCTTCAATCAGCCGTCCTTGATGGAAGCGATGAACTCTGCAATTGCAACCGGTGACGAGTTTGTGGCTGAACTGCACATGGCAAGGAGATATCTTTCTGCTTTGACAAGATTTTTTGTGAGTTGGGTTGGACAGCTTACAATGAGAGCACAGAGCTGACAGCCGGTCCGCACTGTCTCGCATCTGAGTTGGGAGTAACGGTGAGCAAAAGGAAGTCTGGGGAGCAGCCCTTGCCTGAGCATCATTGCTTGCAAAGATCCAGTTCCAGGAGCTTGCGGTCTGAGCATCTTGCGCTTGTTGCGATCCCTTCGCGGTAACCTGCACCCGTGAAGGTTTTCCAATCTCCTGCACATGTTCAGCATCCTCTGTGGCGGCAAGCGATATCTCTTGCTCGTGCAGGCCGAAGCAGACTCTTCATGCACGGCTGCCCACTTTCGTGTCTCGAACCTGTCACCTGTGGCAGACCATCGTAACCGGTACTGCTCCCCCCCTCGGGTCTCGCTCGTTTGCTTGCGGGCTTAACCAGCAGAACCTTGCACCATAGCACAGACGTACCTCGGTGGGCGTGTGCGCTCGGCCCTCTCGCTCGCTTGCTTTCTTGCGTGCAAGGAGTCTAGGAGCTTGCAGCGTCCGGGTGCAGACTGTACTTGCGCATTCGGGTGCTCGGGGTGCTGGGCGAGCCGTCCCCTTCCTCTCTCTCTCCGTCGCTCTCACCATCTTGCTCTTCACATCTCTTTCTTTCTCTCTCTCTCTCTCTCTCTCTCTATCCCTCCGGACAACAGTATCCCAAACTGTCAATGAGAACGTATGGGCTGCGTGGGCCTCGATTTCTTGCAAAGACGAGAGAGCAAAATCGCCGATGGGCGACACCCCGAGTCGCTATTCGCAGGAGCTCAAGCTCCTTTTCCCCGCATAGCTCAGAGAACGGAGCCAAAACATTTTGCGAACGAAAGGTTATCGGAAGCACTTGAGACACGCTGATCTGCAGGCTGATGTCTCGAACACCGCGCTCAATTTGGCTGATCCAGCGCATGTTCGCTCCTCAGGCTACAGCTATCCTAAAATCGTAGCCAACAAATCGCGTCTGAGTCAGGAGATGAGTGCCGAGGGTTCAATGGCAAACGCAACAACTTAGATGCTTGATTTCGACTCTTCGAGCGATACCATCCACGACTCAGACAAACAAGCCAAGATCCGTCGGACAGAGTGCTCAGCGTTGCAGTTTCCATGTCAAGGTCTCTCACTTGCGTCAGGCCGGGAACTGGAGACTGTTTGCTTCCGGGTTTGAGCTGTGGACGAAGTTGCTTACTGCCGATAGCCAGAGTCGCGTGGACTCTCATTTGCTGCTTATCATGGCTTGCATTCGGCAAGTTCTTGGGAGCCATACTAGTTTTTCCAACCGCAGCTGGCAGCATAGACTTTCCAACTTGTCACGTGATGCGCTCTCAAACTCGAGCCAGCGAGTCGATCTACCACCCTACACGACATTCTCGTGCTGCAGCTTGACTGTTTCGGATTGTTTCGGCCTTTTCTTGTTCTCTGTAGCAGCGGCATGAGCATTAGACTGGCATGCTAGCACGTGCTTTGACTTGCTCGTCGGTGCCCGCTTGTGCATTGTGCCCACTTCAGGTTGCGGTCTCAATCCTGTCGGCCGACGTGGACACATGGGTCCGGCCCCAGATTTATTGCTCACGCAGTTTGCCGGCTGATAGCGCGGCTTTACCTGTCAGTTTGCTCGCCCGCCGGCCCGCTCGCCCACCGGTCTCTCTGTGCGGCTGTCTGTCTGTCTGCCTGCCTGCCCGTCCGTCCGTCCGTCTGTCTTGGTGTCTGTCTGTCAGTGTGTGTGTGTGTGTCTCTCTCTGCCTGTCTGCACCGCTGTCTACCTGTCTGTGTGTGTGTGTGTGCCTTTGTATGGTTTTACGACAACAAGGTGACACAGAAGCTTGCCATCTGTCTTGTCGCAGAGGTAGTACAACAACTGGCGGAGTTCTATCGTCTCCGCTTGAGGCCGGGGATTGACCCTTCGTTGAGCTGAAACAACGTCTCCTGGTCTCTGGACCTTTGAGACTTTAGGATGAACCGCTGCATTCCGGCATTGTCTGATGAGAGGAAGCCCATGGAGATGAGCCAGCTCCTGTCGCCACAGCACCAACAGGCTCCTTTTGGGTTTGGGTCTCTCTGTTTTGGTGCGAAAACTGGTAGGGGTTTTGGTTGTCTTCGTTTAGGACTAAGCCTAAAGCATCCATTGGGAGCTTGAGAGGCCCAGGGATACCGGCACACGTAAGTCTTCAGTCTCCAATCCTCTAGGAAGCGAGCAGACGCAAGAATCACCCGAGATGCCTTGACCTGATGTTGATATGGCGACAACGTAATGCGATACATTGTAGGACTTCGATGCTACTTCCTACGACATTCCTAGATGTGAGCTACAGAGCAGTGAGGGTTCTCGTGTCGTTCTTGCTGGCTGGCTTGACATCAGGAACTTCCAGCCACCTCTCCCGATTCGATGCTGATGATGCATCAAGTGACGCTTGGCTGAAGCTGAGCCTGCGGAATGCCCCTTTCGTACACAGCGTTTCATGATACCCGATACGGCCCGATTCCCAGGCCGCCATCTCCTGCGGCCGCACAGTTCGTGCCGCCACAGCAGCAGTTTTCGAAGGAAGTGCAACAAGCGCAGCACGTGCTGCTGGGTGAGAAGTCAGAGCTATAGCTGCAGGAGATCCCGAACAACATGATGCAAATGCCGCCGATGCCGAACCTGCTGCTTGCTCAGATGCGGCCTGTGCAGATTAGATTTCGTCCTCCCGGACCGGCTGCGTAGCGAACGCATTTCTCAGTCGTTCCTGGTGGTGCTTTTGCTTTGCCTTGCAGCATCGCGTTGCTCCCGTGCCCCCGTCACTTGCAAAGGCAAGGCTTCCGCAACGAGCTGCAGGCCTCCCTGTCCCGAGAAGCCTTCGTCGGAGTTGCAGTTGCCCTTGAGTTGCCATGGTAGCCGTTGTTTTCGAAAATGCTTCAGAAGTTGGGATTGGAATTTAAGTGTTGTCGTGACCTACATGAGTAAGGTGGAATGTGGCTTTTTGCAGTTCTCTCTGTGCGTTGCTTGAATAAATACACACGAAAGGCAAACAGGCTACATGCATGCATGCATACATACATAGGCACAAAACTGTTATACTGTATACACTGTGCATATATATAGAGTATCTGAAGATCTGTGTACGTATCCGTGTATGTTTAACCCTGGTGCTCGTGGTGACGGTGCCCAGTGCCCTTGAAGTATGGAGAAGTCCCTTCCCAAAGAACGGGATCATCTCCCGAAGTCCAACTTTCCCGCACAAATCCCGTCAGCTTCAAGTGATTGAACGGTTCTCACAAGGCACCGGCTGCCCCAGGCTCGGCCTTGACCTAAGCTTTCCCCCCGTTGCTTGAGGAAGATACATGTTGTTTCGCTCTGAGTGGTTAGCGTTTCGGCTGAGAATGCCCTGCCCAGTCTTGTGGCGGTTGTGAACTTACTTGACCATTTCAGGGGTTTGCGTCGTTTTGGGTTGTCAAGTAGTTCCGTTTCGACGTAGGGCGCAATCCGAAACCTTCGCTTCGTCAAGCGGAACACGTCGGATCAGCCGCCGTCGAGGCGGACTTGGGGAGGTATGTTCGCAGCTCTGAGACCTGCGATTCCGGACGGAGACATGCAGCGCGACTTCGGATTCCATCGCACCCAAAACGACGTCAAGCTACGGGCTCGCCCAAGCATCCCCGGACCTGGGTTACTTGGATGCCCCGATCACTGGCATGGGAGTGCACGGCCCCCGAAAGCAAAGCTTCAGACGGCAGAAATGGCAGCCCCATGATGCTGCTGATGCTGCAGCTGTTCGGCTTCAGTGGCGTTGATCGCTCTGCGATCCACCACCCAGGAATTCGTTTGAGACCTTTGGTTCTCACACCTCGACAGACTTTGTTGAAGCTGGCAGTTCGTAGTCGTGCTCTTGTCGTTAGCGCAGTTAGCGCAGTGGAGTCGAGCTGAGGCCGGCCAGGCGCAGCCGCAGCTGAGGGGATATGGAACAAACGAGCAGTGGCATGTGGCGCCGATGTCTCAGTTGCCACAGCCAGTGCTGAGAGGTTAAGGGTGTTCGAGTTTAGGGAGGGCAGGGATTTACAGCCCAGACCTACAGACCTATGAAGTTAATGTTGCAGATTTAGGTCGAGGAAAGTCAGGCTGGGTTGCAGCATTGACGATGTTAACTTCTCTTCCTGGCATTTCCTGGCTCGCCACTGCACGCGAGACTCCCCTTTTCCCGGCCACCCTTTAGCGCAAGGGATCTGTCGTGTAAGTGATGAACTCAGCTGAGACTACTTATCTCGAGCAGCAACTGTGCGTTGTGCTGGCTTTTTCAGCAAAGAACCGCCGTGAAGAAACATGTACTGAATCAAGGTAACTCAGAGTTAAGTCTGGGCATACAGGAAGTGCACTAGCCTGCCTGGAGGACTTTTGGTGAGCATCAGGCTTTTAGCTTTCGCAATGAGAAGCCTTGTGGAAGGCATGAACACCAGCCACCCTGCATTGCGGAGTTGTAGGGCTACCTGCAGTGAAGAGTTCCCAACGCCAGCATGCCTGAACTTGCATGGTTCTAGCCTTTAGAAGCCCGGACCCTTGCGCACTGGTGACAAGAACCGCCCTAATCAAACCAGGTTACAGCCGCAGGACCTCTGTTTCGTTCTACCGAGAGAGCGGGCGAGCTCGTGCTTGAGTTCGAGATGTGCTTGGGATTCCGCAGAGTGATATCTGACGAAGCTCGCTTCCAATGATCCCCGAAATTTCGCGGCAAGACAGTTCCACCAACTACAGTACTTACTCTTACAGCTGGTTGGACATTGTGTCTTTGCTGTGCAGGACAACCAGCAGCTTCCGACTTACCCTGGTCGAGCTGTTCAATCAGGCACGGAGCTTTTACCGCCCACTGGCTGCTCCCAAACTCTTTTCACTGCTTAAGCCAGGATTCCTGGAGTCCGATGTGGACGTAGACCAGAGGCAGGGTCTGGCCGTGGAAGAGCAACTTTGAGCATGCATGTCGAGTCCGTGAGATTTGCTCCTCTCTGTTCAGCGATTCGATGAGGATGTTGAGCTAACTAGTTAACTAGTTGCGTCAATGTCTTAACGATCTCTTCTCGTCGGGCAACTGCTCGTGAGCTTTTAATTCCGTCGTGCTTCGCAGTGATGTGGTGGCTTATCTACGAATGCAAATGCCGTTCCTTGAACTGGAAGTTCTTTTTGATTGCTTTCCGCACTCGTCTGCAGCACCAACTGAAAAGGAAAGGTGAGACAAAGTAGATGGGATCAACTAGAGTGCCAATAATCAGCCTTCAAGGTACAGTGTCCAGACAAGTTTCATAGTAGTCCCGGTAATCGGCTGCAAGCCGTCAGCTAAACTGAATCCGTCATTCCTTCATGCTGACCCCCCAGACCGGGTTATCTTCCAAGACTTATTTCTTCTGCATGAGCACGTGCATGGCTGCAGTTCTGATCTGTAGCTGGCCGCTTATGTTTCAACTTCACAACAAGGTAGGAAATGGGTCGAAGCATCTAGCTGTATCTAGCTTCGGAAAGCCAGTGTTCACGGTATTGTCGTTACGAGGATGAACAAGAGCTTTATGCTCTCAACGGCAGTGGCAACGGTACCAACCCGTCAGATCGAGGAGCACCATCGTCGCAAACATCTGACTCCGTGTGCTGGTGCGATTCTCACGCGCAGAATTCGGGATGCTCCAGGTTCGAGATGGGCTCCGGGCCCGAGGAAGATGAGGGGATCCCCAGCCTGGGCAGCTCCGCGCATCCTGACAAGTGCACAGAGCCCGAGGCTGAGAGCGGATTTCAGGGAGCTTTGGGGGCCCAAAAGGGGTTGTCGCTCAATCTTCTATCCGACGGAGCTCAAGGCCCAAGGCGTTGTGGACTCCCATTCATCTTGGACTTGTTTATGAGTTTCGATTCAGGTTAGGTGTCCAGTAGGCAGGGTTCATGCTAGCTACATCGAGACCCGTTCTTGGTTGGTTCTTAGCTCGCTAGGTTCCCTCCGGCTTGGCCTTACGCGTGTGACGCGAGCCTGGTTACTGTTGTGAGTTTCCGGCGCATGCCGCTACCCCAAGCGCGCGTTGGTTGTAGTTACTTCGTCTTTCGCATCGCCCTCAGAAGCAGGTGCAGAGTCTATATTAATTGGCTATTATGCTTCACGTGACTAGGTTTTGACTAGTGACTAGTGGTCGGTATCCGTCCCGTTTTTGGATTGCAAGTGACATCGTTGTCGTGTAACGTTGAACCACAGCCTCCGACAAGACATTATGACGGTATCGAGCAACAGGTCGTGCAATCATGCTGCTAGCTGCCTCTATCACAAATACCGTGCATTTGGTCTACGGCATTTGCTTGTGGGTTGCTGTGCAGTCGTTGGATCTGGCTGAGGCACTGTTCCGCTGAAGAAGCATTTCGTTCAAACTCCCGGGTACTGTGACAGCGCCAAGGTGCCAATTCCACTTCTTCAGTGCCTCGGGTTGCCGCATGGGCCGTGGCCCCAGGGCGATCATCTCGGCGTCTTCGGCCTCGAGGAGCCAGAGTGGTGACACGTATCATATGTTTAAGTCTCTGTTCTGGCAGCGTCCGCCTCCTAAAACCTAGTCCATCCGCTGACCACGTGTGCAAAGTAATCGGCCAAGCAGAAGGTTTCAAGGCTATCCGGCTCTGGTGTGCCTTGCCAAGGAATCCAATACTACTCTTTGACACTGTAAGCCTGGTAGCAGAGAGCACATGACGATTGCTGCTTATAGATGCAGGATTTGCACGTGCTTGGGATGCCAGTGGAGCAGCCATTGCGACAGCACGAGATTGGAAGTTCCATCCCGATGGTCTTATGGATCATGATCGTTTGCTAAGTTGGTCAGCCACTTCTGCTGTGACCGTGCCACTAAGGTGCGGACTGCCGCTTCTGTCACTTGTTTTGCCGCCATGTTTGTCGGGAATGCAGTCCAAGCACAGCGTGCGCTGTCGATAAAGATGAAGATATGGTCAAATTCCGTCGAGATTTGTAACAGGTTAGAGGGTCCACTGAGTGGAATTGGCGCTGACCAGGTTCCATCCCCGGAAGTGCCAGCGAAAGAACAGGAAGATTCTCAAGAGGCAGCGCTTGGCAGATTGCGTCGATCGGGGGCAACCTGCCCGCTGGAAAAGTAGCCATGGATAGCGGGAATGATTGGGAACACATGCTGGCTGACAAGTGGAACAACTCTGGTTAATTCCGACTTAGCTGACCAGGAGTACCAGCATACTCGGTACAGGAAGCACAGCACGTTCAGCGAAATGCTGTGTAACATGGCTTGCTGTTTCTGCAGTCTTACACATAACTGCCTCCTTTGACAAGATTTGATCATGCAGTCATGAGTGTAGCGACTAGTGGAGCCATCATCTATCATGACGATGCTTCTCATTGCTCATGGTTCGTCCCTCTCAGCAATCGTGTGGCTCTGCAAGCCGATCTTGCGAATGTTCCACTCGTTTCTCGTGGCCGGGCAAGACAGAAGACTGGCTGAGAGTAAAGCCCTGACATCAACCAGGCTCCAAGTCAGCGGCAGGGAAGAGCAAGCTCCTCTTCCCGACGCATCAAGCTGGATGCCCAGCTTGGGGGCATCGGGTCTTGCAGTCTTTCGGGCTGAACTTCGCTGCGGAGCATCAAGGCTTCGTCTTCATTGGAGCCGAGCAGGCCGCGCTAGTTGGAAGCGTCAGTCTGTGTGGAATAGTTGTGGAACCGATGGAGTCAACAGGACAGAAAGCAGGACAGCTACGGAGCCTAGAGAATTTGGGTTCAGTGCATGCTGCAGGGCTTTTTGCTTTCGGAGAATCTTGTTCTTCAAAGCCCGTGAGCCCACTGTGCAGTTGGCTGGCTGTGATCCTGCGTCCCTAAACCGGTCCTGTGCAGGGCAGCGTGAAGGTGAAGACCTTCCGCTACTTGCAGCTCAGCATGATTGAAGCAGGCATGTTTGGTTGTGAAGCCTCAAGCGAACCACCAAGGAAGGAGGTGTTCCCGACGAGCCAGGCCTTGTTCGGGCGATTACAGATTTTCTGACCGGCAAACACTGTCACTAGCACCAATTCGGAGATGTTGCCACGGCTGTAATGTCTGGCATCTTCGCTTGCTTAGCAGGGTGGGCGCCCACCTCGTGCTACCTTCCAGATCGGGGCCAAGGTCCGGATGACTGCCCCATTCTGCTGTTGCTGAAGCAGATCGCAGTGGGTTTCGCACCTTATCCCGGGGCACCCAAAACTCCAACCAAGCCGCGCACTTCGCAGTTGCGTCTCATTCCGACCCTGGAATTCGAGGATGCCCGTGCCCAGGCCGGCTCTTGTCCAGTCAAAGTTTCGGGCTTAGGGCCCTTTGGAGTTTAGGGCAATGTCGCTGAGATGCCTCAGGCGATCTTGCCTGGCCAGCGGCTCAGAGGGATCTCCGCGGAGCAGCTTGCGGTTCCGGGTGAGGAGGGTCTCGGAATCCAACTCCAACGCCGGATCACATATGGCATTGCGCAGCCGAATCGGATTCCGGCTCTCATCCTTCATCCTTCAAGCCTCGTCGATTTCGGTCCCAGGCGTGTCCTTCTCGATCAATCCGGCGCTGCCAGCCCCTTCGGCTGGTTTGTTCCGTCGTTGGGGCATCCTAGCAGCCTAGCTTGGGTGCGAGAAGAGATCTCGGTGTAAAGAGCACCGCAGCGGCATCAGATCATCATCGTGAGTCATGGAGCCATGAACATGACACGCCCACCTAAGATTGCCGCAGTGCCATGAACTGCGAACCCCGAACTCGCATTCAAAATGACAGGCCGGAGTGATGCTGAACGAGCACACAGGCGGAGTTCTTTCCGTGCATGCCCGTCTTGCAGCTATGGCCCCCGCCACCTCCTCCGTCCCCTCCCACTTTCCCGCTCCTTCTCCACCCCGATACAGTTTGTGTCATGGTGTGCCGCTGATTTGAGAGAGGCGCACAGGCACACAGGCACACAGCTTTGCTAACTATTCGCACAGGCACATCCACCGCTCACTCCCTCTCTCTCTATCTCTTCCGGTTTTGGGGCCAGATGCTGGGCGGGCCTTCAGTTTGGTCTCAGCGCCTGACCCTTAGTTACGGTGCACTTGTGGCCCTGAAGCTTGCAGGCGTTATCAGCGGAACGGCTCATCAGGCTGTGCCGGGCTGCCGGTAAGCTCTTACTGGGCTGGGATCATGGTGCAGACTGTTTTGAGAAAATGCAGCCCTCTGCTTCCAGGCATCGCCGCGTGACCTCTACACTGTGACCATGAGTCCGGGCCTTGGTTCTGGAAGGTTCCGGGCTGCGCTGGCCACTGTCGCAATCATCGAACGTCCTCAGGTGCTCAGGCCGAGACCTTGCATGGTGCGAGCATGGGTCACTCCCGCCTGGCTTAGCGCGGCGCTGCATGCCCTGAGAGGCATTGTCATAGCACCAAGCCCGCGCCAGGCCCGCTGCCCGTTGCGAAGTGCTGCATGTCGCGAGCTGGCAGCATCTAATTGAACTTGTTCTGGAGACCGAATCTCTTGGCATGCAGAGTGGCTCTTTTTCAGGCAGTCATGATTCGTCAGAGCTACTGCTTGCTCGGACATGTCCAAGGATCCGCATTGTGCAGCCGTGCAGTGCTCAGCGAGTGCCTACCGGGCTCCGAGAAAGATGCCACAGCATACTAGACTTACCGACCCGCCAAGCCCACGGAAGGGATTGTAGCACTTCGAGTTACGATTGATGTTTGAGCAGTCCGATCTAATCTAGTCTCACTAGCCGTGTCCCGGTCGTTGAAGAAGCCGCTCGGCTTTGTCCCGAGCATCAGCTTCTTCCCGCTCTGGGCATTGTCTGCATTTCGGGCCAAGCTGCCCCCCGACCCACTCCTACCCTTTCCCCTACCCTCCCCTCTGCTACCACCCTCCCTACCCGACCCTGCCCTGCCCTACTCCACCCTACCATCCGGACCCTGCTCTGAAGCTGCCGTGCCTCCGGAACGCCTGCTGAGGAGGGCGAGCACCAATGATTCGGAGGACGAGAATACTGCGGAACAATTCCTCCCTGCCGCTTGGAAGCACTCCAGAGTCTTATTCTTCAGATCTGCGTCGGCATGCACGCATGCATGGCACCGCAACGGTAGCGGATGTTGAGTGCTCGTCAGTCCCAGCAATGCAGTGTGCACACTATCGAGAATGGCTGGCCTCCTCTCACACGGGAGGGTCAAACCTCAACCCACAACCTGTCAGAATCGCCACAGGAGAAGAAGTTTGAAGTGCCACTGGTGCCTGATGCAGCGGACCCAGCTGGAGCTCGGTGGTCATGTGGTGGTGACGCTGTGGCTGCTGCTGCTGTTGCTGTCGTGACACCGTTGTGGTGTTGCCGAGCCCGTTCCCTTTGTCCATGTCGTAGTCGCGGCGGACGTGTGTCATCGTCGTCGCTTGCAACTACCACGGTGACGATGACGGCGACAACGACGACGGCAACTGCTTCGTAACCACGGCTGCTGCTGCTGCTGTTGCTGCTGCTGAGCCGCACTGCCCCGTCCTGCTGACTACGACCACGATGGGACAGCTCCTACTACTAACAGCATTGCCGTTGCCACTGTTGCAAGAGTATAGCGACAGCAAGCATGATAGTCAAATAGTCTTGACTGATGGAGCAAGATATTAGCTTCTGAGCTCGTGGCTGTCATGACGACCTGAGGCTGAAATTGACAGACATCTCAACTCTCTTGTGTTTTGTCACAGTTGGCCCCTCAATTGCTCATCCAACCTTAAAGAGCTTGTTGCGGAATTCCAGGTGATGCCAATGATGACGGCCCACGACAGGCAAGCTGGTGGATGAGCGGCACACTGCCGAGGGCTGGCCGCTGCCTGCCTTTCCTTGTCTCAGGGTCGAGATTCAGGTTGCTAGCAGGGTTTTGCAGCAGGGCAGGGGTTAACCCTCTTGTGTCCCGCTCCTGGCCCCTCAGCCGAATGGCGGGCGAGTGGGGAGTGGGGGCCAGCGGGCCTTTGCCGAAAAGTTTTTGGAACCTCACGGCAGGGGCTCACAAAACTTTTTGTAGAGTTTAATCCGCCGGTCGCAGCTGCGGGCACCTTCGGCTTTGGAAAAGCATGCAGAAGCCGCTCGGCGACCAGCTCAGCGACGGCATCGCGACCACGACCTTTGGGTGTCACTTGCGATGTGCAGCAAGTGTGGGCAAAGAGCCCAATCTTTAGAGTCTCGGAAGTTTGGCCTCCGGTCGCCTTTCTCTTCCAATCGTGCGTTGGACATGCATGGCTTGACTCATGCAACTCTGGCCTGGACTTCTGGGAGAATGTACAACTTCGATTTTTCATCTCATGCTCATCTCGATGTCACATTTGGAGCAAGGCTCATGAGAGCTTGTCTTGTTCCAGTACGCTTGGGTGAAAGCCCCGACCTTCTCAGCGTTAGCAGATCTTTAGCAGCATAGGTTTCGCTAATCGAACCATGGACCTAATCATGCTGCTGAAATTCACGGTCTTGCCCTAGACAGATCCTGAGTCTGCTGCTCAGCTTTGTGAAGGTCGGGGGCATGTGAGCGCCTGTGGGTGAGATCCTAAACCGCTAAAGCCAGGCTCACGGATTTCAGGGGGATGCTCACACCCGGTGCAACTGCATGTAAAGTCCCAAGGACACCGGAATGCTGGAACTCTTCGCTAGCCATGCTGCACTGCGGTAGAGGGCAGGTTTGCGATTTCCATCTCTCTAGCACACGAAGTCAGGGTCATGGCACGACGGTGCAGAATATCGCTGCCTTCTGCGCGTACAGCGGCTAAGGTACCGCTGCACCCGACACATCCACGGTACTTGTTGCATGTAGGAAGCTTCTGCCGTTCCGGTTTGTTGCCTCATTTATTCCCAAGAAGCTTTCAGCTTCGTGTTGGGGCCGCGGTTTCCGCTTTTGATTTTGTCCGAGTGATTCTGACAGGCCTCCGGGCCTCACAGACGTCGAAGTCGACGGGGCAATCGCCTTTGTCTTTTTGCTGCCTGTGCCTCCTAAAGACCTCAACCCTGATGTATGACAATGTGGTGCTTTTTAAATTCACTCTTGACTGAGTCGCGGTGCGGTTGCAACGGTGTTTTCCCGAATTAGACGCTGATGTTGTCAGATTGGTTCTAGGCCCAGTGATGCTGCGGAAAGCTCCGAAAGGGTTGTGGATTGGGGGGCACGCCAAAAAGAAGCTGCAGAACTTGGCTGTTGCGGCCGGAAAGGAGGGCAGGGCAAAGAAGCTTCAAAGGTCGAGGGAGCAAAGCACTTTCGGTTTTGGGATAGGCATGAACGCCGCAGTTATTTCGGCAACAGCCAGTCTCAGGCACTTGCATCGTTCTGATTCGGTGCTGATGCGTGGGACGTGTAATCGGACAGCCTGCTTCATTCCGCGAATGCTACGGAACCTCGGACGAAGTCAGGTTGGGACTTGCTAGATTTGACACACCTGAAAACTGCTGCCAGAGAGTGATGCCTTCAGGCTGGACGGAACCAGAGGAGTCCCACAGGAGCCACACAGAGCTACGCAGTTTAAAGCACACACCATCAGAGTTGCAAGATGACAGCAGCGACCAATGTTCGGCAGTCAGCTGATATCATATGCGGTGCAACTTGCAGTCTCAAGCCGTTGTGGACGGCTGCTGTCACATTGCTGCACCAGCCGAGCTAGCTGTGGCTTGGCCTTGGTTGTCGCAGAACCCTTGGCTTCCTGCATCTTTTCATGTAGTTGCGTCGGGGTAGCCGATACCGGGTAGAGCCGATACCGGGCATGGCAAATGCGTGTGTCCACGGCAGAAAAGCCGCGTCTCGAGTATGTGTCCAAAGCGCAGGAGTCGTTGTAGTGGAAGGATCTTGCAGTTTGAGGGGAAAGCACACTTGCAAGAAGCAGGTGGGGAACACTATCACCTTGGCCGACATTTCCGCAGCTGCCCTACATGTTTTTGCTTCTTGTTTTCTGCTTCTAGGTGTTTTAGTTGGCCGAGTGTTCGCATTGTTGCGGGCCATCCATCCCAGTGCAGATATCCGTGCGATGTCGGTGTGGTGATCGACTTCGTGTTGCATCGATCTTATCCACCGTTGGCTCTCCAGCGAGCCGATCGCTCCCATTGAATCTGAGACGCTGTAAAGGCAGCATGGCAACAAGACATTACTTGGCTTAGAGCTTGCGGTGACCAATGACTACTGCAGGGTGTTAGCGGTCGGTCCTGTTCTTGTTCCTAGTCGTGCTCAAAGCCCAAGTGCATGGCTAAGGTAAGCTGCGCCCTGCTCGATGCTATGAAGCTGGTGAGTGCCTCAGTGGAAACTGCCCATGGTGGCAGAGAACCTCCATCAACGTGCTACGTCCCTTAGAGGCTCTCTCAGCCCAACTCCACCCTTCACCGAGTGCTGCCACTAGTACAGGGATCGGAAAGAAGCATTGAACAAGAAAAGCCCAAATTCACCCAAACGATTGCCCTCAGGCCTTCGACGAGAAGTTCAAGCAGCAATATCCAGCCATCCTGACATGCTTACAGCCAGTTCGTGCAAAAGGGTGGGTGTGGGCGGATGGGAAATCCGCTGGCTGGTTTCGAGATGCCTCGATCCATCGCAATGCGTTTGTGCGAGCTCGATCGGAATTCGTCGCCATTTAAACGTTTGCAGCTAAACGATGCGAAATGTGTCATTGCGAAGTTAGCGGAGCAGGAACGTAAGGGTCCGACGACAGCTCGCATCATCCGTACGCTGCTTGGGATGGGCCCCCTGAAGCATGAGAAGGTGTCAAGGCAGCTCCGACATAATGGTGACGTTTGTGACAAGTCGACAACTCGAGCCTCGCTCTTGCCAGAACTTGATGCGCTGGTACGGCCTGTGTCCGGTCCCAAGACGTTTTGATTGGAGAAGCTTGCGGTTCCAGGATGTGCATATATTCTCTGGGTCATTTGTGCAGAGAATGTAGCTTGAAGGAGTGGGCCTGCTCTTTTGAAAGGCAGGTCGAATTATCGAAACTCACCATAACACATCGGTCTTCGGAGACATGCGCCGCTGACGAATTTGCATCGGGGGAGTTTGCGGAAGCCTCGTGGCATCGGAGGTACCAGCCAGCCAGAGTTCCAGGCTGTCCTGGGTAGCGCTGGCAGCCCGCCTCAGAAGGCTTCGAGCTACAAGTGCTAGATCCCTGTGACAATTCGGCTCCGCAAGTGCGACGAGAATTTCTGACAGTTACTTAGTCAAGATCTAGTCGTCCAGCACGAGACCCGAGCACAGGAAGCGTCCAAGAAGGATGCGAAGAAGGAGGCAGCCCCCAAGAAGGAGGCCGCCCCGAAGAAAGAAGCTGCCGCCAAGAAGGACGTTCACTTCGGGAAGTCTCCCACTCCACACCACAGATCCCTCTTCACCACAGGCCAACTTCGCCAAAGACCTCTGCCTTCTCACGAGGGCCGAAGCGGCACTTCTCCCCCCCCCCCGCCGCAAAGCCCACCATCACATGCCCTCTGCAGAGCCTTGCTTTTAAATTTTCTGTTCGAGGGGCACATCCAACACAGGAGGTGCGACATATGTACATACGTACATGTTTACACAGGTACACACATAAATACATGCATATACATACATACATACATACATAGGATAGACATGTACGCATGTCCACACGCCTGCATTTCGGTCTCACTCTAATCTTCGCGTGTCCACCTACCTATCGAATGTTTTTGCTGCCTGAAGATTGGTGAGGATGCAGCACCCAAGAAGGAGAATGCTGCACCAAAGAAAGAGGCAGCGCCGAAGAAAGAGTCCGGCAAGAAGGACGACAAGAAAAAGGCACATGTCGCTCCTGAGCCTCTGAGACTCAAGGATTGCAGCGTAGATTGCCGTTGCTCGAATGTTTTCTCTACAACAGGACACTAGCGTCAAGCGGTTCAGCCTTTATAGGATGGCTAGCTGTAGACTTTGAGCTTTTGCGAGGTTGGAGCATCTGGAGCTTCTGCTGTTGGCATTTCCGAAGCATGTCAGTCTTGTGGGAATTCGACTCCGGCCATACCGACTGCGGCAAGCTTTTGTGCAGGAAAAGGATGGAAGCAAGGCCAGCATACCCTTTTGCATTTGTGGCCAAACTGCCCGTTTAAAGGCTTTTTCCAATTCTTTGGTCTCAAGTCGCAAGGGGAGTCCTCAGATATTCGGGTTTATCTGCTGCAGGTCTTAGGGAGCATCTGTTGCGGGAGTAGTTTCGGTGTAGGACTTTGCAACGAGGGAGGCCTTCACGCTACATTGGGCTGTAGCTTCATGAAACTCAGTGCCTTTCAAAGTCTGCGGGCTTGAGGCGAGACAAGAAATACACGTTGTCCTGGCCTGGAGGAGAAGGAAGAGGAGAAGGAGAAGGAGCTGACACCGGAGGAGCTCGAGAAACAGAAGAAGGATAAGCTGAAAAAGGCCTGGAGCGAGCGGTAAGGACTAGAGCTACACCGCATGCAGCAAGCTGCGTGTGTCTTGCTTGAAGCACTCCCCCATCCAGGTCATCAAGGAAGGTGGCAAACGTGGTGTGGAGATCGAAGGACACAGGGGTGCCTGAGGGTCATGTCACGCCATGTCGGGAAGTGTTTCAGAGTGCCAGCCCCAGAAGAGGAGCAATAAAAAGACTAAGACCAAGACGTCAGGAGCTGCCGACATGGGCGGTCTCCAGTTCTTCTGCACTTCAGTAGAACTGCCCGAGGCCATGGCCATGGCCCACGTCACGTCTCCACTTTAAACTTTAAACTCTCTAGTGTTTTTGGCCACGGAGACAGGAAAGCTTTCAAGTTAGGGTTTAGGGGTTTAGACTTCTGATGCGAGTTCTAGCTGTGTTGTCTACAAGGCCCAGGATCTCCTGCGTTCTAGAAGGGTGTACACGGTAATGTATGTTTTTTACATCGATGTAAAAAACGGTAATGTATGTTTTTTACATCGATGTAAAAAACATACATTACCGTGTACAGGGTTCAGGGGATAGACTTCTGAGGCCTGGAAGTTCCAGCTTTGTTGTCTAGAAAGCACAGGATCTCCTGCATTCGAGACGGTCTTATATGGGGTTCAGGGGTTTATGGGCTTCTGAGGCCTGGAAGTCTTACAGCTGTGCACTTGTCTACAAGGCACAGGATCTCTCCTGCATTCTAGAAGGGGTTTACAGGTTTAGGGGATTATAAACTTCTGAGGCCTGCGAGTTCTACATCGCTGTGTTGTCTAGAAGGCACACAGGATGCATGTCTCCTGCATTTCAGCTTGCATAGCGATCTCCTCTTCGTCAAGCTCGTGCTTGACCGGAAAACATGATGTGCCGAGCCGTCGCCTCACTCCATCCCCTGCAGCTCTGACATGCCCCTGCCATTGTCATAGGCTCTGCCCTCCAAAAGCCCTTAGAAGCTCTCGATCTGCAAGACTTGCCGAAGTGCAAAGATAGGGCGACCTCGAGCTGACCATGAAATGTGTGGAAGCCATGAATGCCAAGAGCGATCCATCCGAGGAGGACTTTCGGCTGCAGACTGCTGGAGCTCCGGTTTTATCGATGTTGGTTGCAACTACCATCGACTCGTCTTACTATCATCGTTAGTAGTCATCTGATGTTGACATTGCTCCAAATCTGCTTGAGGGTTTTGGGTGTAGCCGCGTCTAAGTCTAGCTTTCGTGGCCCTTCCCTTGAAGCCGTTCCCAAAGCCCTGTCCCCGAACCGAGGCTGTAAACTACTAGGTGACGTTGAATGGTCGAATGGCTTGCTGTGAGTCTCGTTTCTGAATGCCGTGCAACAGAGACCTCTTGGACAACAGCAGGAAGGCCAAACATAGACATGTAAGCACTGTCGGGCAGAGGAGCGCAAAGGCGGATCTGGACATATCGGCAAGGCGACCAGCGGGAGCTGTCTAATAAGAGCAGTGGGGTCGTCATCACGCCTGGCAGATGGTGTTCTCCGTCGGCCTGGATCACCTGGCCGTCGTTGCGTGCGCTCCAGGACCACAGGTGTCGACTTGACGAGATCGGTAGAACAGTTCTGCACCTTGACCCTGGAGTTTTGTTGGAGCACAGTTTCATTGAAACGCTTCCTCGGCCGGAGCCTCTGAATTCTTCCGCCTTGTGACGGAACTGTGTTAAAGGTACGTCCCAACTGAGAAGACCAAAGAGCTCAGTTGCGAGGACAGGATTTCATGCTTTTGACTTCTGGTTCGTGATCTTCATCTCAAGCCCGGGACGAGAGTAGACACTCTCCACTGGAATGTCCCAGCTTCAGTGAGATGCTCAAACGGCCTTACACTCACTGGTGCAGCCGTTGGACCCTATCTCTGAAGTCTCTGCCCATGCTAAGGTAGACTCAAGATCATAAACATCGAAACCTTGAATGCCCACATTGCTTTGCGGGTTGCTGCGACAACTTTAAAGCAGGAGTGGCTGGCACACGTGCTGGGCACACAAGGTGGAGAGGCCTTTGACATGCGTTGTGGGCGGATCTGGGACTCCATTTGGGACTTCTTTTCTAGAGCATCACGAGGCATTCCAGTACCGGCGCGGTCTGCAAAAGGGCTTAGCCTGCACTGTTGGCAAGTTGCCGAGCAGCTACACTTTCAGCCGGCAATTTCGGTTTCAATTTCTCCACAGCCCTTTTGCATGCCAGGTGGTCACCAAGGGCAAGGAGCTGTGCACTGGCAAAGCATGAGACCCGGAAAGTATGGGTTCCTATCTTGGGAAGAAGACAGATCCATCTGTTGCTGCATACACACACATCATGAAATTTGCAGGCCTTGTGAAAGTTGAGACTCTCGCTTGCAAATCCTTTGGTGAATTCTGGTGTCTTGATATAAAGCCTGCGCATCCTCCTCCCGACCATGCCCTCGGAGCCTTCTTCAAGCACTTATAGCGGACGGCAAACGCTCTAGAAAGACATAAGGTTGGGCCACGTGTCATAATCGGTTGCAACCTGCTGCGCGGTCATGCTAGAGTACAGAGGATCTTCACAAGGACGCGTAACATGCAGCGTCGTATTCGCTGTGTCTAGCTTGTCTGCCACAAACCATCCGAAGATTCTCCAATCTTACGCTCTGACTGAGGTTAAGACCAATGCAGACAAGGCTCTGCTTCACTCACGGGCCTGGCTGGGGCAGAAGCCGTGCAAACGCCGGGTCATGCACTTCATTTTCGTGCCACGATCAGCCCTGATCAGGGCATCTTTCCTCTGAAGCCTGGGCCCCAGAAGCTTCGCTGCCCGCTGTCTAAGCCTCTGTTCTGTCAAGAGGACGTCGTGCTCTCCAGACATGAGCATCAGATACTCGATACTGGAACCGGGATTTGCGCCAAGTAGATCCGTCTGCTGAAAGTGGCCATGATAAGGATCCGGGAGCCCATGATCCGGGAGGCCGCGGGTTCGGGGTGCCGGCTGCGGCTCCGAGATGCGAAGCTTGCCACTACAACCTCTTCGGGTCCACGGCTGGCTGTGTTGTCTTCGCATCTTTCGGACTGCTTACTCGATGAAGTCTTGAACTCCCGTTCCGGTTCATGCAGGATTCAACAGAGGGACTACTGCTGACGACTCCCTTGCCCCAGTGTGCTACCAGCTTCCTCAACAGAGGGACTACTGACGACTCCCTTGCCCAGAGAGCATGTTTCTCAGTTGGTTGTTTGCTAGATGAATGTACACTGGGAAGGGCCAACGTGGATACATGGATGTCATGATCCCCTAATTACGGTTGTCCCTGTTGGGGAATCAACGGTTGGATGGCAGGCCAACGACTACTTGCGCCGGAAAGGCCTGTTCCCAGAGGACTCTTAACTGTTGCGTTGCGCGAACTAGTTAGGGTCGGGACTGCAGCCGTCCTTCTCGTAGTCTTATGTGTCAGGACAATGACGACGATGATGACGAGTGCGTGTTCGGCGACGACGACTTCCCTGCCTGAAGTGGACAGCTGGCAGCATGTCGAAAAAAACATTCAGGCCGCTTTTCTGCAAAGGAGTCCCTTTTGGGCTTTGAGCTGCCAAGAAGTGGAGCAGCAACTCCTGGAAACGAATGCTTTCACGAGTTTCTGCCGCTTCTGCCTGATTCTAAAAGCCTTGCCACCAAACCTATCTTGCAGATACCACGTGGACACGAGAGGACAGTCACCGCTCTAGGACTGCAGAGCATCCGCACCTCATGGTCTTCGAAGACCACAAATGCGGCAGCATTGGCATGGATTGCTAGTTTCGCTCGATTTCGCTAAATGCCGATGGCGAGTCGTGAAAGCCATGCGCTCGACCAGTATGTGTCGTATGATAGCGCCACTTGTGGAAATGCACAGTGTATCCGTCATTTAGTCAAGATAAACAGGCCCATCACTGACATGTCAGCAGCGTTCTTCTTTATCCTTCTCAGCTATTCGTTGAGACAGGGCAGTGCAGAGGTAATAGCAGGCGACGGCAGCATGCCGGGGTTGGCGGTTGGAGAGGTGTGCATGTCTGCAGTCTAAAGGCTTTCAGCAATGCGAGCACACATGATAGCCGGATGCTTCAAGACCTGACAGAAGCTATCAGTCAAGGGGTTAGTCGTCGTCAAGGATAGCTACGGCAAGCTACGAAGTCCTGTTATTCCATGTCCCATGCAGGGTATGGGCTGAACATGCAAACTTCTCAGAGCAATACTGCTGCCTTCTTATGCGTTGGCTGCGGGTCCGGCCTCTCCGGGTACGTAGGGAGCCTTACTTTCAGTTCAGCCCCCAGAAGAGCCTACCCATGGCAGCGCGCCCACCGGCGGCCCCTCGCCTCATTGGGTTGTCAGGAGTCAGGACCATGACCTAGTCGGGTGGACGCTTCTTTTTCTTTGAGATCTCTTGGATAGGAGCCTTGGCCCAGAGCAGCTGTGCTACGGTCCGATGTGCTGTCCGGATTGCGAGTGATGCCTTTGCTCCAACAAGGCCAAGCGGGGCGCATCACCCAAGAAGGTCGCAGCCGCGCCAAAGAAGCCGGCTGCCTCCAAGGCGCGTCTTTTCAGTGTTGGGAGAGAGATGCGAAGCTGGGTCGGAACCTCGTTTTCCTACCCTGGGCTTCAGGAGAAGGCCACGGAGAAAGTGGAGTCAGCCAAGGCCGAGACCCTTTGAAGGAAGCTGAGGAAAACAGAGAGGGGTTGAAATCTCTTTTCACTCTCCTTGGCGTTCCTGTGCGGGGACATGCCCGTTGCGCTTAAGCTCCAGCTCAACTCGAAAAGCGTCGACTCGAAAAGCTAGCTAGCTCGGAAAGGGATACCTTTGCATACCTTTGCCAAAGAGCTGTTGGATTCGGATGGCCGACAGCTTATCGGGCCTTACGGGCACCAAGCACTGTCCAGCCACGTGTTGGGTGGTCCATCATCACGCTGATGCAGCCGACAAAAGATGGACTGGACAACCTATTTGCTTGAAACCTTAATAACCACCTCGATTACGGGTCGCAGCAGCAGATGCCAGCCATTTCGATTCGAGAACACACAGAAGTAATGCCGACATCATAGCATGGTTTAATGATGTCATTGCCCCGGGCATCCTCCGGTCTGTTCCCACCCAAGAAACTGAGATGACGTGCTTCTCTCGATAATGTTTGAGACTGCGTATCAGTGTATCATGTGCACATTTCGTTCCGGAATCATTGACTGCCGATTTCAACTTGCATCCTGTGGTGCATTGTTACGTCTTTCACGTTCAGAGGATTGCAATCCGCAAACGGTCCACGTCTGGACTCTTATCGAGTTGAACCCAGACGAGGAGTTCAATGTCTTTGTCAGGATCTGGTGCATGCAGTTTTTGCGTACGGCACGCTCCGCACTGGACTCAGTGCACGGAGTCACAGCCTGCATGCATAGCTTTGACCATACTAGCCTGGCTATGATTCACATGATGTGTTGGAAGCTCTCCGCCAGGCGGGGACTTCCAGGACACCGGGGACCGCTGGGGCGTCATAGAACGTACAGGCAGCTCCAGCGACTTCTGTCCATGTGCTTTTCGAGACTATCGTGCTTTGCTGAAGTTTACCATGTGGAACCCTGGCCAGGAGCCGCATGGCTCAGCACGTCCGTGACAGGCTTCAAGCTCTTTCAAGAGGCTGCAGACTCTGCCCGGGTGTCACAGTGCATTTGGCAATGCTGAACGGTTCTCTCGGCAGAGCCCTTGCACGCAGGACAGGGCTTTCTATCCTTTCGCTGTGCAAAGCGATGAGGAGCAGGACAGCAGGCAAAGCTCCGGGCTTGCGACGTAGCGTGCATACTGGACTACCTGCACACTCTGTGTAACGAGGACCGGCTGCATGGTGCTGCTGGCCAGATTATGCAGCTGCCCACCCTGGTCTGTTGAGTCGGTGACGATCATGCTTGCCGCGGCTGCCAGGAACGATCCTCATATGGCCCGCTGGAGATGTCTCGAGGCCAGGCGTCTGCTGTAATGAATTCGCCGCAGTTTGCAGTCGCTCCGACACGTCTGAGCAAGCCTGCTGCTGTTGTGAAAAGAAGATCCAATGTTTCGAGCTGGGTATCTTGCCTGACACAGCCCGCTCCCGTGGCAGGAAGGCGATCGCGAACTGCGACAGCATCGAGGGCTTCGACCCGGAGCATCCGAATGACGGCTTGTACTGCCTGCTTCCGAGGATCTTCATCGGCAGTCGCGGCCACTGAATAGCGCTGGTAGGAAAGCAGACGAGGTCGAAGCACTTCGGGCATTCGGAGTTTCTATCTAGGTGCCATATACCATGGTGGGGAGTGAAGGCTGGAAGATTTTGATTTTGCCCTGAGTCCTTTTGAGTTATTAAGTGGGCAGTGGACATACTGGTTGGGCGCACCATGGAACGCAATGCCTGCAACGCAGTTTTCTGCGCAAGATGTTACCAAGATGCGTGCTCTTGCATCAACTTTATGTAGGTCGTTGGACTGGCATATGTCTAGACTCTAGACACTTCCATGCTGCCATCCCCGAGCCTTCCAGCTACGTACTGCCATGTTTCGAGGCCGCGCCCTCGTGGATGCCCCCGCAGCTCGACAGCCGAAGGAGTTTCAATGACCCCTGGGTCTGTCTGTGTGTGGAAGCAATGGGGCAGGGGAAGCCCTGAGGATTTTGCTCGGATGTGTGAACTTGTTATTCGTTGCTTCGCTACGATACCACGCAGCCGCAGCATGTAATCCAACATCTTGAAAGATGGCACGCGCGGCTGCCACGTTTTCACTTTTTGTGTTGGAGTTTCCTTTTGTTTTGAGGATTTTTGGCACTTTAGGGCTTTCAGTTCCCTGGTTGTGCTTTGCAGGCTTTGTGTTTCTTTTTAATTCAAGGATCTTGCGGCCGCTTTCGTGTGAGGCTTCAGCTTTTCGGCTTGACTTTAAGGGCTGGGGTTCGGGGTTTCGGATTTCAGGGTAGGCCCTTGCATAAAATTTTAAAACACGCAACCCATAGTCCGTATATAGCAATCCCCGGAGCCCCAAAGACCCTCAGCTCCTCAGCCCAGCTGCTTTCAGGTGCCTTTGGAAGCTCTAAAGGCGAAGATGAAGGAGCAGCCCTGGCTGAAGCAAGAGCTGGAAGGCTGCAGGGGATCGGGTGGCCCGGATCGGATGGGAATCTCCGGATTGCTGGCGTGTCGCCAGGCCTTGACAAGGAAGCGCTGGAACAGGACTTGTCACTGATTCTGGGTCCCTGCAGAGAAATGTTCAGACATCAGGCAGCCTTCAGATCAGGTCGCATCACCAATGCAATCGGTACATTCCCTGCGGAGTGTTTTACCGTCTTGTACCCACTGTGCAATTTCTCGCCTTTACCATGTCTCTCGTGTGCTTCTTGCTGAAGGAACATATCTTTGTGAGGCACGTGGGAGGGATCAGGCAGCGCCCCATGGCAACTTGGTGAGGAGTCGATATGTCGTTGCCATGATGCTGCTCTACTGACCGGATGTGCAACCTCAGCTTCAGAAGATTCGTGCTTGTCCGAGCAAGCTCTCCATCTGGCCCTCCTCTATCATGCTCTCTTTCCGCCCTGACCAGGGCTTTTGTCTACCACCAGCCTATGGGCGACAAAGCAGATTGCTCGAAGGCTTTTCCAGGCAGCTGCCACGGAAGTCTTAAGTTTGAGGGCTTAGGGTTTTGCAGATATTACTTTCGGCTGCAAGCATCCTGGCGGTTCCATGGGCCAGGTGGCGACTGGCTGGAGTCTCGTCAACAAGACGCGAAATCGAGCTGAGCCGAAGCAGAACAGGACAGGCTCTGCACGGCAGAGGCATCGGTGAAATGCATCAATGCATGGGGGACCAGTCTGGGCATTGGCGGCAGCTCATGCTATTGGTCGCAGAAAAACTGAACACATCTCAAAGCTGCCTCACTCTGTTTCGCAAAGCAAGAGGCTTCAAGCAGATGTAGGCTACGTCGAGTGCCCTTCCGCACCACTAGCCATCTCAGCCCCACAGCATAATTCACCGACACACCGCATCGTGGATGTTGGTCGCAGATGTTCGCGTTGAGGTGCAGGAACAAGAAAGTGTTAGCACGTAGCTCTGTAGCTCTGCAAGCCATGGCTCCGGCAGAGCTGGAGACTTATGCTTCTTTGGCGGCAAGAAGGTCTTGGCTTCTGTCGAGAACGCCCCGGACCCCGAGCAAGGTCAGGCCATTGGAATGCCGAGCCCCCTTGTCGTCGTTGCTCCTCCTGGTTCTTGTTCTTGTTATTGTTGTTGTTGTTGGTACAGACAAAAACAGCAGCCCGTACTTGTTGTTAATTAGAAGCAATTGGGAATGCTTCCGGCGACCGCATAGGGTGCCTGTAGAGTTTTGGGAAGTTCAAGCCATGCCTGCCCCATGATAGAAATGCGGTGTAGGCTGGGTGGTTGTTGTAAAAGGGGGGGGGGTCAAAACAACAGACGGGGCTCCAGTTTTTGCCTCTACTACAGGGGGTAGAGACAAAGTCCTGATTTCGCTGGTGCCTTTGTCTCTACCCCTGGTAATAGAGGCAAAAACTGGAGCCCCGTCTGTTGTTTTGACCACCCCCCCTTTACAACAACCGCCCACATTACACCACATTTCCACCACAGGTATAGGAATCTGCGATATCCAGAAGGTGTTCTGATGGGTGTTGGAAGGGCTTGTCTGGAATTTTGAGGGGTTTGCATTGGATACCCGTACACTCAAAACTATAGTTACCAGTTACTATACAGTAGTGTGTGCTGGCCTCGCAAATGCATATTCTGCACTGCGGGGAACTGAAATACACACCAAACCCACTGAAATACAGACGAAATCCATTGAAACTACACACCAAACAGTATACGTCACAGGCATCCACAGGCACTGTGTTGTTGTTGTTGGGGGGGTGTAAAACAACATGACGGGGCTCCTGTTTTTGTCTCTACCTAATGTACAGACAAAAGCAGATATATGGGTTGACGGGGCTGCAGTTTTTGTTTGTACCTTGTTGTTGTTGTTGTTGTTGTTGTTGTTGTTGTTGTTGTTGTTGTTGTTGTTGTTGTTGTTGTTGTTCGTGGAAGACTTTTCTGAAGCTCACCGCCCCTAGAGCCCACACACATCTAGAGACCCTGGACCGTTGATCTGAGGCTTTCAATGCTGCCACGACCTCGGCTGTTCACTTGACAGCTTGTTGGCTGCCCTCACGTAGTCACAGAAGCACACATTTCGGGGGGGTCTGCTTCAACCTTTGGGCATCTCGACGGCACTGAGGACATCAGCCAGTTGATGTCCCTCATCATTAATGCCTTCTACACGAACAAAGAGATCTTTCTCCGAGAGCTGACGCTCGGCCGCTCGTGTGAGGTCATCTCGATGTCTTTTGCTTACGGTATCTGTTGGGGAAGGCGGTTTCGCTGATTCATGAAGCGTCATCGTCAAGTCGTGGGGTGCTGAATTCGTGAAGCACACCATTTTACACAAGGAGCCTGTCAACAGGGGGTTCGCTTGCATTCTCGCCATGCTCTGCTTCAACCTGTTTTGGTTGGGCCTGTCCGAAACTCATGTTCGCGACCTCAGGATCTCGAACGCCTCTGATGCCCTGGACAAAATCCAGTTTCAGGCGGTCCCTGGTGGGTGGGAGGTACACTGCAGACATTGTATGATGCGATATGATGTGATTCCTTCTGGTTACAATCAATGAAGCAACTTGCCACTAATGAAATCCACGCCGCCTCATCCCCACGTGCCACAGCTTCTGAAGCTAGCAGCCTTGCAATCTTTGCAAGACGGTCATCACGCAGGCCTCGAAGGACCCGTCCAAGTTGGATGCGGAGCCGAACCTGTGCATCAAGGTCCGTTGCCGAAACCCCCAAACTCGGCTCAACTCGAACCGGGCTGTGTTTTCTCTTGCGAGCATCTCACATGATGGCGGTTAGGAAGCCGCCAGCACATTCGCATATGTGCAGTCTTGGTTTGCCGTTAGCTGTGTCCCACGCTACATGACTTGAGAAACGCTGAAAGCAGACACGGAAGAGCACGGAGAAAAGCAGGTGACACCCGACAAGGACGCCGGATCCCCGGAAGGTCTTGGGCAGGCTCAGTGCAGCTTCTTTGATGCCAGCCATGCTACAGCTGCTACAGAAATGGTTGAACAGTCAAGACGTGACTGGGAGTCTGGGATGGCATGTCGAAGACGACCGGCGATGCATTTGGCGGCCCTTCAGGCCGGGACGGTGACCGTTGAGGATACAGGTATTGGCATGACGCGGGAGGCCGGGGCCTTTTTTTTTACGAACCGCTGCCGATCATCTTTAAAAGATGGAGGAGATGATCCTGCATCTTGGCACCATCGCCAAGTCCGGAACCAAGGCCTTCATGGAGGCACCGGTAGGGAAGGGAAGACGACGCTGGAGTCTGTGGTAGTAGGCAGCAGCATTTGTGCATGGGCAAGTGCTGCGCATGTTTGGGGAGCAACTGCAATAGTCGAGTCCCGGTACCGCCAGTTGGCCGCAGAAGAAGCGGAAACGAGCTTAACAAAGGTATACCCCACCGAACAACACAAGAGCCCTTGCTTACAGCAACTGACCTAGCTTGAGGTATCTGCCATTTTTCAGACTCAGCCGAATCCCTGCATGCCTTCCTTTCTGGCGGGCTGAGCTGGTCAGCCAGGCCGTGTCCTCCGGTGCGGACATGTCTATGATTGGCCAAAGGCTCAGGATGTTGCGGCCAAGCTCTCCTTTGCGGCTACCATGCCTGAGGCCAGTTCGGTGTGGGCTTCTACAGTTCCCGACTCAGTGCATGTGTGGTGGATCCCGTTCGTAGTTGGGATGGGGTTGCAAGTGGATCCCTTTCGACGCTTCTAAACCCACTGAACCAATAACTTGGCATGTCGTTCAGGGCCTGAGGGTTTGCCTCTCGTGAAGCTGCGCATGTCAAGCTGTTGCCCTCTTGTTCTGTGTTCGCAGAGGCTCCTACCTAGTTTCGGAGAAAGTGCGGGTTGTCTCCAAGAGCAACGACGATGAGCAGTATGTCTGGGAGTCAACTGCCGGAGGTTGGGCTTGGCCGTGTCACGATGAGTTTCGAGCTCTGAGTAGGCGATTTGTCCTGTGAAGCGCTGCATCACCGTAAGCCTGAACTTGGTCTGGAAGGCACCTTCCTGATCTGGAAGGACACCTGTTGCAACTAGGAGAGGAGATGTTCTTCCATGCTGCTTCATAGTGCTGAAGCATCATTCAGAAATCCGTGTTGCCCTCTGCACAGAGAGTGCTTCTCCTGTGGGTTGTGGTCTTCGGTTCGAGGATACCAAGTTCGAGCACGGCGTGCTGAAGCGCGGCACGAAAGCCAGGGCCTGTTGATGCTTCTACAGGGCTTTAGTTTCAGAAGTCGGTTGCGTACCTGCAGACATATCAAGGCGAAAGCTGAAGCCAGCAACAAAACATGGAATATTTTGGATTAGCAGCGGTGCCCCTTTCCGAATGCACTGGCGACTGGAAGCCCATGCGAACGCTGCTGCCAGGTGATCTGCTACTTGAAAGAGGATCAGGCCAGCATTCCTTCTCCCACCGCCTTTCAAACCAGAGATGTTGAGTGAGACGTTCCCAAGACTCTTCGTCATACTTTGGCACCTATGTCGGGTCTTTGTAAGCTCCACGAAGAAAAGCGATGGGTTGGGGGAAAGGTGATCTGCGGGATTGCGAGGAGGAGGAAGGTGATGCTGGCACTTCTGTTCTCGCTTGTGGTCGTCAGGCCGAATTCCTCGAGTCCGACCGGCTCAAGGACGGTGCTGCTTTGCCCAAGCTACCAAGGCAACACTCGGAGAACCTCGCGAACACCGACGGTTGTAGCCTGCAGTTCCGAGTTTCCCATTCCAGTGCAAGAGAATCGAGAAGATGCAAGTCTCGACGCCAAAGCTTTGCCCAGTTGTCAAGGAGCTCATCATGAAGCACTCCGCCTTCGTAGGCTTCCCCATCGACTTGCGCATGGAGCATCGCCAGGTCTGCTTCAAGGGATGAAGCGGGAACTGCGAGACAGTGTGTGTGTGTGTGTGTAAGTTTCACCAACACTTGCATAAGGTAATGCCACCAGCTTCCCTTTGCAGGAGGAGGACATCGTAGTAGAGGAGGAGGGTGAGGAAGCCCCGGAGAAGCGACGCAAGGCCCAAGCCCGCCCGAGCCTGTGCATCCATGCGCTCATGATTGATGGCTCGGTCCCTTGTCTCAGAGTCTGAGAGTCTTTGGACCGCAGACCGATGGAGCCACATCGATGTATTATGTGCAGGTCTGCATATGAGGCTGCCAGGCTGATGCTGTGGAGTTCGGGGCTCATAAGTTGTAATGATATGGGTTCGAGAATTTGCCATGATGCTCGCGACATGCTATACTCCTGCCGTTGACCGGCAGGTTACGGTGAGCTACTCATGGGTTGCGCCCTCAGTTGCTTCTTCAGAGCATGAGCTGCACGGAAATGCGTGGAGAGGGATTGGTGCCGTCTGCGCCGTCGTACTCAAGTCGTGTTTGGCACACATCCGTTCGTACACATGCAGACCTGAATCTGAAAATTCTCACACCGAAATGCATAGAGGTTTGAAAGCTGCTTTCCAGGAGCTCATCAACAAGAACAAGCCCTTGTGGCTTCGGCCAGCATCGGAAGTCTCGCATGAGGAGAGGGTGATGTGCCCCACGGCACGATTCTGCAAACAGTGCCTCCGGAGATAATGTCTGCCAGCTGCGTTTCCTTCGAGAAGGGGCCAGTTGCGTTCGCGTATGCAGGAGTATGCTGAGCTGTACAAATTCCTCTCTGGCGACTGGGAGGACAGCTGGCGATCACTGCAAGGTTCAGTACGATATAAATGTAGGAGCCTCCCATATATCTACACTCGACACTCGCAGTACATGAGTTATGAGTTGCATACTTTGTTGTTCCCTCAATTTGTGGCGGAAGATTCTTCCGCGACGCCCGAAGGCGACATGTCGGGTTTGTTCCACATGTTTTGTAGCCTCAAGCCAACTTCTGCTGCGAAGAGACCGGGTGCAAACGGTATAGGTTCGTGCAGGACTGACCTACAGGCTTGGTTCAAGTGGGAGGTCCTGGGTGGACTGATGGAAAAAGTCATGTCTTCGACCCTGAATCAAGAAGCTGCTAAATATGTCTGTTTTTCTGGTATATGCGTACCTAACCCGGGGACAGAAGAACCAAACTAGAGATCATCCCAGCCGCCCATGAGCTTCATGCAGGATCATCTTGCCGTAAAGCATGTCATGCAGAGCGGCCAGGCCTTCTGCATGCTGTCGCTACAGTCATGCAGACGCGTGAATAGGTTTCGAATTTCACTGCGCAGAACATCACTGATTGCCGCGGAGGTGGATTTTAAAGCCCTTCTGTACTGTCCGACCACAGCGCCGAAGGAGATCCGCCTACTTTGTGACCCTGCTTCCGTACAGTTTTTGAAGCCAGTGCAGTGGTGTCTCAGAATTGGTTTTAAAGCAACGCAGGTGAGGGAAGCTGCTACAGCAGCCCACCCATGCGTCTAGCTCCAGTGACGCTGTGACAATTCGTTTGAGTCTCAGGTTTCTTGCCTGCATGGTGCCAGGACATGTTCGACATGGGCAAGATGTCACAGCGGTTTAGCATCCGGCTCTACGTGCGCAGGCCTGTTGAGCACTTCACGTGGCTTCTGAATTTGCTCCCATCATCCAGTGAGACTTGACGCAGTCAGTACGATGCCAGCTGTGAATGCAGGGTGTTCATCAAAGAGTTCAACGACCTCATCCCCAAGTGGATGGGGTTTGTGAAGGGCATCGTTGACAGCGATGACATGCCCCTGAACATCAGCAGAGCATCTTAGCTGTGATGCAATATCTGACTGGTTAAATAAATTTCGCTATGAGGAGGATAATGCAGATGGAAATGCAAACTACTATGACTATGCCTATGCAATCGAAGATGCAACCGTTGATGCTGAACGATGATGCTTCTGATTGTGTGACTCTGGTTGTCGAGCAGTGTCGCTTCGTGCAATGGTTTGTGATGTTGTGCTTGTGCTTGCACTTGTGCTTGTGGTTGTTGCGGTTGTTGCGGTTGTTGCGATTGTGGCAGTTGTTGCTGTTGTTGCTGCTGTTGCTGCTGTTGCTGTTGCTGCTACTGTTGCTGCTGCTGCTGTCGGAATTGATAATGAACGTGTAGCGATGTAAGTAGTCCATGCTCGCTACAACGAACTGATACTGCATTGCAGTCACCATCGGTAGATCTTCGCTTCTTCCTACATGTTCTTGCGAACCGGTAGCCCAAGACTTCAGTCCGTAGGATTACGCGACCGACGTGCTGTCAGACGCAGCCCAGTGAATGCGCAACATGTTGAAAAACGACAACGCTCTTGAACTCTCTTCCAACAGCCGGTCTGCTTGGCGATCCAACTGGCTTATGCGCATCGCACATCTATAGTTGTTTGCTTGCCGAGGAGATGCTGCAACAGAATGCCATTCTGAGCCTTGGCTGAAGACCTGTGCAGCGGCGTTCAATGCAAGGGCCCCTTCTGGATCGGACTTCAGCTTCAGTGGACTTCCTCTGCTCAGCTTTCTGACCGAATATCACCCAAAGCGCTCAAGCAACTGTGCGAAAACGAAAACGGCTGTCGTCCCCAGGAAGCACATCAAGACCGGCTTGCAGAAGAATATCTTCAGCATGTTCGAGGAGCTCTCTGCCGTCCCTCGGCCGGCATCCTGCAAAAAAGGCCAATCAGCCGGAATGCGTCAGGGTCTGACTTGGTGCACTCACAATCTGAGCCTTCAGCTTCCGATGGATCTCTGTGCGGCCGAGGACAAAGCTCGCTTTAAGGCGTTCCACGAAGCTTTCTCACAGTGCCTCAAGCTCGGGGTCTATGAGGACGTGGCATTGGAGTTCCGAGACCGGAGACCTCGGAAGCGCACACCTGTGCAGGACCATGCTAACAGGGAGCAGATTGTGCCCCTTCTGAGATATCACTCTTCAAAGTCTGGAGAGGACTGAACCCTTGCTGGGTAAGGTCCGTTTTTCAACCCTCGCACGTAACCCGGGCGGCATGAAGGGACACGGTCCGTTTCATTTGGCAGGAGGTGGTGGGCTTTGATGAATACATCGCGCGGATGAAACCAGGACGGCTCTACTGCTCACCGAATCTGTAAAGTGCTCGTGTGCCTCAGCCTCAGGCCAGCGACACATCCTTTACATCACTGGCAGAACAAAGCGGGATGCCGCGCGCTCGCCCTACATCGAGGCGGGGAGCTGCTTCGGATGCCGAGCACGCCAGCGTGGCAGCTTGGCGGCGGCAGGGCCTGAAGCGCGATGGTTACGAAGTGATTTACATGACGGACCCCGTCGACGAGTATGCTGTCCAGTTCCTCAAGGACAATGCAGGTCAATGCATATTGAGACGCTTCACCTCCTTTCGTATCAGCATCAGCGCACTCCAGTTCATGCCACTTTGCTATAGGATTCAGCCACGGGGGGGAGACTGCGTACGGCTCCGCTATGCTTGCAGGAATACCGTGGCTACGAGGTGCTCAGCTGCAACTTGGATTCCGCAAGAAGACGCCACGCAGCCATTGAAGTTCAACCAGCGAGCTTCCTGCAAAAGGCAAGCTTTGCTCCTCCACCAAACCGTTCCGAAGCCGGAAAGCAGCAGAACCTTCCAAGTTGCAGGAACCCTAAAGTATCCAAAATCATCCAAAGCCTCGGACCATTCTTCGAAAGCCTTGCCGCATTCAAGGCATGAGCATGGACGCTGCGCGGCTCCTTGACCATCGATCGGAAGCGGACCTCAAGGCCAGAACCTCAGACTCTGTAGAAATGTTGCACATACTGCTTATGGTGATGAAGTTTTGACTTGGTTTCCACTTCTACTCAGTTTTCAAGCGCAAAAAACGCGGCACGCGCCAATCTAAAGTTTTCTCATCGGCACTGACACTTGAAATTGATGTGCAACTGAAGTTTCCAGGAGGCCGCAAACCCAGAGCAGAAGCTACGGTGCGCGTACGCGCAGAGCCTGTGAGCCACCATGATCATGACATGGGAACCTTTCTTCATCTTTGGTTCTGTTACGACCAGAATATCATGTTGAGGCTGAACTGGAGCCGCTTCGGAAGCGGCTTCAGGAGCTCCTCACGGAGGGGCCGGGGAACCTGGGCGCTTGAGGGCCCTGGTCTTCGTGCAGCCTGCGGAACCCTTTTCAGCCTTCGAGCCCTCTTTGAACTACTTGTACGAAGAAGATTGTGCTTTCGACTGTTTCACGACCCTACCCGTTCGTGCGAATGGCACAACCGCATGGCACACATTGAACTGTCCACCAACACTCGGTGCCAGTGTTGCCTGTGTTCCTACAAGAGACGCTGTTCAGGGGTCCCCGTTCTGTCGCGCTGGCGTCGCTGAACCCCGAGTGCTGCGCGCAGCTGACCGAGCAGGTGACGGTTCTGCCTGCAGAGCGCTTTCATCGTGTTCGCTCGTGTCATGATTGCTTTCCCGGCCCCGGCAGAGCGCATCTATACACACATACATATACATACGTATGTATATGTGTAGGTCTATAGGTATAGGTATATAGGTATATGTACATGTATATATACTCGTATGTATAGGTATAGGTATACGATACCAATAAAGGTGTGTAGAAGTGCCGGAAGGCAGGATTCAAAAAGCCTTTCTAGCTGCAGGGCTGCGTAGGTATCTCTGCAGAGGTGGGGCTAGAGCGTATGGAAGACAGTCGCCGACAGTGACAGGGGGCGGTGCTGGAGCTGAACTTCAAGCACAGCTTCGTGAAGGAGATTGTGCCTTTGGGGGCTGATCAAACTGCCCAAACTGCATGGCTTGTGCCAGGGGAGAGAGCTTGTCAAGCGAATGCCCATCGGGCCCTGTGCCGGAAATAGTATTAATAGGCAAAACATCTTGGAAGTGCCGCTCGCCCCTGCAGCCCAATCCCTATGTCCCGCTGTTATCGCAGCAGCGCAGGAGCTCGGGAAGCACGCTGTTCTCAGCCAGGCCATAGTCCGACTCTATCGATGGGAAGGAGAGTGTTTAAAGCGGCATGACGCCAGGGCGCCCAACAGCCATCTGAAGAGCACCTGGCTCTGAACCTTTGCAGGTGGGACTTGGGCACGGGTTGCACGACGGATTCAGGAATGAGGTTGTATGAGTTCAAGGAGGTTTGGCAGTTCTCATGGATCCGACCGATGGCGATTTCGGGAATTCAGAGCCGTCGAAGCTTTGACAGGATGCCTTTGCCAGGAGTTAACGTTTCCGGTAGGCGGTGCTCACCGGCGCTTCATGTCCCTGATCTGGTTGCCAGGCTTTTGCAGGACATGGCTGCCCTGGAGGGAGCAGATGCAGATGATCCCGGACGGGCCGACACCTGCGAAAAGTGCCAGGACGGGAACAAACCCCGCAGCCCGCTGTGTCACAGAGGTCGTGTCCTTGCAGCGAGGACCTAATCCAGGCCCTGAACGCTGGCGAGGCCATCGGCTTCTGTGCAGTTGGGGTCGACATCGGCCGCGGCTTGCAGTCCAGTCGAGTGTAGTGCAAGCTGCATCTTTCCAAGAGTCCACATTGCATTCTTCAGCGACATCTTGGGGTCCCAGCCATTGATGCCTCAACATGAGCGTATTCACGCGTTCAGGCCGACGCTTCGGGAGAGCTGCCCGCGCTTGGTGCAGCGGCTGTGGCCCGAGAGGCGGGTGCCAAGGACTCGAGTCTTAGCGACTTCAAGTCAGTGCACAAACCATCGTAATCGTGGTCGTAGGAGCCGTAGTAGTCCCAGTAGTCGTTGTCGTAGTGGCAGTAGTAGCAGCAGCGGTAAAGGACTACAGGTGGTTGGAGCAGCAATGGTTCGTAGCTGTGGTATCATTGAAAATAACACCAGCACCAGCAAGAACGAGGAGATCAGGCACAACTGCGAGAATGGCGGTGTTAGCAGATGCCTCGGCAAGTCAGGCTGCCCGCGAGCGGCTTGAGACCAGCGAGGGGAAGGTGCACTGCCGGAAAGAGCCCAATCCTTTGGAGCTTTCTCTTTCTGGCTTTCCCTTGCATGTGGGGAAGTAAAGGCTTGCCACAGCTCCGCACCTTGCGCTCGGAGGCAGACGGGAGCGCCAACCTCCTCTCATGCGGACGGCGAGTCCGGGTGGTGCGCGGTGAGCGTGCCAGGAGGGCCATGATCTCCTTCGTGGATGAGGCTTGACACCAGAAACGTGTTGTCCAGTTGAACTACACAGTAGATGTTCGCGCATCAGGATGCGAAGACTGTGGATGTGCTGTACCCGCAGCCGGCCGCATCTGGCAAGCAGGACTGGAGGAATGATTCAGTCTGGGCAACAGATTCTTGCAGATCAGCAGCAGTAAAGGCAACGGTGATGCCAGCACTGCCGCTACTACTGCTACTGTTGCTGTTACTGGAGCTACTCGTACTGCCGGTACGAGAAGTAGTACTGTGGGGACCATAAGAACAGCAGAAATCAGAAATGAGACTGAGACCGATCACGGCACTGAACCCCAGTACTGATTTCAGCTACAGGTCTGTGTTGTCAACCCTGCCATTCTCGAATGAAGCCTGATTACAAGTCTTGGTTCGCCATCTTGCAGAGCACATAGCCCGGACCGACAAGACAGACGCAGTCCGGGTAGCCTGAAACGCGGTAGTCTTACAACCAGAAAAACCAACGGCAGGGGACGCAATGTGCTACCTTCAAAAACAAAGTCCGCAGCTCGCGCACGATCGGACGGCATCAGGAGGATGAAGAGGAGGGCGTGCCCGCAAAGTACGTTCAAGCCCTCCAGGTGGCAGGGTTTGGGTCCAGATGGTGATGAGGTTCGTGGTGCAGGTCCAGAGCTTTCGGAATGTTTCTGTCCGTGTGTGCTTGTTAATAGCGAAGCTTCCTGTGCAAGCCGGTGAAGAGTGTGTTGGTGGCAATCTTAAGACGATGCTTCATACTTTCTTCTTTGTTGCTGCAGTCAACACCATCGCTTGCAGCAGTTATGTCTCATCACAGCTTTGCTTGATCGGATAACATCTCTGCCATTGCGGCAGCATAGCGTGTACCGGTCCACCACCATAGTCGACCTTGCAATGACCATCACCAGCCTGTTCGAAGCAAGAACCTAAACGGCCTCGCGACTCACCAAACTCGACAAGCCACCGTGTGCTCGCTTCGAATCCCAGGATTTTGAGCTGACCACCGTGCCCTCTGAGGCGAGCGTGCCGAACTGAAGTTGTAACCAAGAGCCGGACTTCACACCGAGGTGTCTACTATGCCCGCACCGCTTGGATAAACCCCAGCCACTAGAGAGCCATCTGCACAGAGCCTGTGTTCGTGAACGGCAATGTTTAATAGCAATGTTTAACATTCCATTGAAGCAGGCAGAATCTTGACTCCTCCCCCACCTCGGTAAACGAGGAAGCCAGATCACCGAACGTCTTCGTCAGGGTGACTTTGCTTCCGCTTTAGGGGCTCTTTCGCTCCTCCCGGAACGAGGCGAATGAGCAAGACATTGCAATACCTGTGTCTGGTGCCAGGACAGCCTCTTCAAATCTGCCACAGCAGACAAAGAGCGGGGCAACCAGTCACTCAGCAGACATGGAGCGAGTCGGTCCATACGTGCCATCACCAGGGCAGGGGTTGATTCTACCGCTTGACCTTCGCAGCTTCTGAAAGAGTCTACCCAATCGCCAAGCCGCTCTCGAAACATTAAGATGCCCCCCCTCCGAGATGGATGGCATGTCTCTCCCGCCCCAAACTGGCACAGCAAGAGATCAGCCAAGGCTCTTCAAGCTCAAGGACTACGAGGCTCAAAGGGCGAAGGGTTTCGGGTATTTGCGTGTGAGGCGGCCTGTTGTTTCGGAAGGGCGACGATGGAGTCCAGCAGCAGCCCATCAGCTGTGCGTTCTTCGGTTCAGCTTCCTGAGCAGCGATCTTTGACACTCACAACCTGAACCGTAACCGTAGCCGCCGTGGCCGTAGCCTTGCGAGGCCGCCTCGGAGTTCTACGGCACCGCCTTGGCGCGCTTCGCAGCGCGGCCGGTGGGTCGTGGTGAGCAGGTGCTGCTGAGGCGCCTTGGCAGGGAGGAGCGGGATAGTCGAGGGAAGAGGGTGCTTCAATTCAGTGGATCTGGTTGTTTATGTTTGGGGAGAGTAGTTGGAGCTTTAACGTTGTTTTCAGTCTGAACTTCTGGTTCGATCCGTTGTACTAGATGCAAAAAGATCGAGTGTCAAGCTCAGAAGGTGTTACCCGATGCTCTGCTGCCACGTCGGGCAGTATCTGTCACAATGCTGCCGCAGTAGCTGCAGGGGTTCTTAATGGGAATGCTGAGCACAGTCTCAGAATTCCAGGCCGTGGCTTCACACAGTAAGTGAGCTATCAGCTGCCCTAGAGTCTACAGTAGAAAGCAACATGTCTTTTGGTGTTTAGGGTCCTGTAGGTTTAAGAAGTGAGCGTTGCACGAAAAGACATGAGGCGACAAGATCCCGACAAGGACTGAAATGCTAGCCTATGAGATGTCGGGCTGCTAAGTTGCAGAAGGCAGGATCCAGGCAGGCGATCTCTGTTTTTTAACATCTTGTTTGCGAGGCCGCCTGAATTATGGAGCGCCAGCATGAGAATCAGCCCGCTGTTGCGACTGAGAAGACGGCATTGGGCATTCGGTCTGTCTCGTTGGGTGCCAGGAGGGAAAGTCTGCCCTCGCATTAGCCACGGCTGCTTAGCTTGAACTGCCATCGACGTTTTGCCTATCCTGGAGGCTTCTGCCTGTGCACTCGCCGGTATGTTCCATTTATTCACACTTCGTGTTGAAACTGGTATGCGATCTGCAAGTTCGGTGTTCTAGCTCATCTCATCTTGACTCGATCTGATAGGATCCAAGGATGAGCTGTCCAAAGTTGCCTTAGTGGCTCGCCGTGTGTCTTCCGCGATCTGGCACTTTGAGTCCTGCTTGGCTCTTGCAGCTGAGGTTCTGTCCGTCGACTCCGAGGGCTTGTGCGAGCTGTCCAATGGGGCAGAGCTGCCAGCTTCCTGCCTGCATTTCGCACTTTCGGTTCGGAAGCCGCAATCCGTGCCGAGTTGGTTTAGGGTTTAGGGCATAGGGGCATAGAGTGTACGTGTGTTTTCGCTCAGCTCAACAAGCTTTGCGAAAGCCGGTCCTTTGACAAGATCCTGGTCTCCCTCGGCGTGTTGCTTCTCCTGCGCTTACCTGCTTTAACCGTGGCGAGTTCGCTGGGGATTGGGGCCTCACAAGCCGTCTACATTATTCTACGTTGACGACACGAACCTAGCTAAGCCAAGCAGGATGTGGAATTGTGGGGCAGGAAGCAACGAGCCTCGGCCTTTGCGAAAACCGGACGAAAAGACGTTTTATCACAAACAGTGGGCAGCAGCAGCAGCGTGCTTTGCAGATGGTGGGGCTCGCTCCGGCGGAGGAGGTAGTTCTTTTGGGCACGATTTTCCGTGCCCATGGGTGTCATGCTGCGGCATCGACCCGGATGCAGGTCTTCAGCCAGCCGCTTCAGAGACTTGGGACCCTGCCGGTGTTTGGACAGAGGAGGGACAAAATGAACAGATCGACTTTGTTGCCTCAACTGTCTCCAACACCACGAAGGACATGGCTGAGATCACCGCACCAGCAAAAAAGCGATTGGTGTTGTTGAAAATGGTGCTCGATCTGTTTGGTCCTTCCTTAGCCGTCATGGAATGGATGTGAACTGTTTCCCACTCAGTTGCATTATGTGGCTGCTTTTTTCACGGCGGAGATCCATTGGCGGAGTTTCAAGTACCGCCTTGCACAGGGACAATGGGGACACGCGGCTTGCATGTTTTGCGCGTTTTGCGGAGCTGGACTTGTCGGAGGAGGAGCTTTGCACTTGGTCGAACCCTCCGGCGACAGGTTGCACCTGGATTCGCGGCAAGGCCTAAGGAGAGGACCTCACGTGCTTCATGAAGTGTGGAGAAAAGATCAATTCAATAGGTTTCTATTCTGCAGCGCAATCAACCAGCAGCATCAGGGCGGCTATGACGCCGTTCGCATAAATAAGGCGATGAAGGTCTACCATGGCACGAAGGCGGCGTCGCGAGGCGTCATGTTGGCGGGGGCTCGGAGCGAGGAGAACTAGTCAAAGCTTGGAAATCCAAGTGACGTTTGGGCTCAGCGACTTGGGTAGCCAATGCCAAATGAGTCGACTGAGGAGGCATCAGATCTAAGCAGGATAGGTGCGGCTTCGATCGCAACCGCAAGCGGAAGCGGACCGAAGAGCAGGACGAGGAGTGCCCCTGTTTGGGCTTTGGCAGGTCGGGCCATTGACTTTGTCATGATGACAGGACTTTGGCTTTGAGACATCATGGGCTGCCGGAGCTGTGGGTGAGGCATTTCACCAACGCTTGGCAGAGACAAGTGCGATGGTTGCAGCATGGTGGGTACGCCAGGAGAGACCGGTCGAAATCACCTTGTCGACGCCACAAGGTGATCCATTTGATCCGGTGGCTTTCGTGCTCCTTCTGGCTGAACGGCGGCTTCACGAGGTCGCTCCCGGCTCAACGCAGGCTTTGTTCATCGACGACGACGACAGCAACGTCATCATCCATAGTCAGCGCTCCTGAAGCGGCTCGTGTCTGGAGCTACTGGCAAGGATGGACGCGCAGACTCGGCTTGGCGGAGAATGCTGCGAAGCTGAAGCTCATTCCTAAGAAGCCAGCTGACAGGGACGCCTTGTTGCACGCCGGCTTCGAGGCATTCGCGTTTTCGTCGCTGGCCAACATCCGCGCGGCAGAGACTGGCTGCTTTCCCGGCTCGGCAGAGGATTGACAGTCGGCTGTTGGGGCTTGCTTGGCCTTACAGCGAGGTGATCATGAAAAAGGCTGGGCCAGTTCGCGCGGTTGGCCAGGAGCTGCGTGGGACCGACGTATTAGGGAAGAGACGCTTGGTGATTGCTCTGCCCCGCTTACGCCGTATTGGGAGCACCTGGCGTGGCACTGCGTTCACTTTGCAGCTGGGCGCCCGGCGGTGCCACTTGCGGAGCTTGCTACTCGGAGGTCCTCAACCGAGTTGTTGCAAGTGCGATGGTCAAGGCTCCAAAAGCTCAAGCTAGGATTGCCGGGCTCACATGCCTCCTGACTGTCAGGGGGACACCCAAAACTGAAGGGCAGAAGATGCAGTGGCCAAGTTGGCTGATGAATGGGGGCAGGATGAATCGTGTGTCCTGCCACTTGATCTGGCCATGGATCTCGATTTCCTGCACCTACCTTCAGCACAGTAACCTTGGCAAGGTGCGAGTGGAACACAGCCCCCTCAAGGCTATGCTTTGGCTTCGTAACGGCTGATCCAGATTTCACCGCTTTCCGTTCTGTGAGGAGGATCTCTTCACACAAAAAAGAGATCCTGTGGTCCCCAACTTTCCAACATTGGGCATTTGGTGCGGCATTGTCATCACTTTGCGGCCAGGCGGCCTCGGGCCCCGGTGAACTTGATGGTACGTCGACTGGCGTGGCCCTGGTCTGGTGCACAGTCAAAGCAAGTGGAGAAGCTGGCGCAAGCATGTTGAGCGGTTTGCAAAATCGCACGTGTTCGCGATGGTTCCCTGGCCAGCAGGCCAGAGTGGGAGGGCTCTGATCTTTTCGGAGAGTGGTGACGTGTCCCACAGGTGGTCCACCAATTTAAAGTCAGTCCCTGATGCAGTTTTAATGTAGAATCGATGAGTTTTGAGTGGGGTGGATTTCTGGGTCTAGGGTTTAGGGAGAAGAGAGGAAGAGGAGAGGAAGAGGAAGGGGACAGGAACAAGAGGGGTAACGTTTTTGTCGCAGGGTTTACGGGTCAGGAGTTAGATGAGTCAGTGGTCTAGGGTTTATAGGGTTGAGGTTTAGGTGTAAGGGTCCAAGGTGTTTGTCTATTGAAACGTTTGCAAGGTTTTCTTAGGGATTACAAGGTTTACAAAACGCTTCTAACTAGTTATAACAGGTTTCTGAGGGCGTCTTACAAGGGCATGTAAAACTTCGTCGGTTCATGAAACGTGATTCCCGCTACACCGCGCGTTGGTTTTTGTTACAACCCTTACCCATCCATGGCAGCCTTGTCTTGACGGAGGGTCGGGACCGTTGTTTAAGTATTTTGTCCCAAACTCTTACGTAATACAGCACTGGAACACTGTAGCAGAGAAATACTTGTTTCATGCTTTTTCTTCAACAATCTCGCAACGGCACTTACCAGTTTATGTTTCACTACGATACCTTTGTTTTGTCACGAGTGTTCCGATCGTTAGACCAGGTCTTCCAGTTCTTTGAGCATTGAGGCCAGTGAGCTGCTCCCTGTTTGCCAAGAGCTGCTCCCTTTGCACACATCGCTCTACATGCCCCCTGGGCTGCAGCTCTGATCTGGGGTCCACGGCAGCATAGGGTTCCTCCCTAGAGTGGTTGGGTTTGGTGGGCATGTGGAGCTTTGTCTCAGGGAAGTGCGTGTTTTGAGCCTTGCCGCCAGACGCTTCCTGCCACCCAACACCTTGTGAGGAACAGGGCTCGGTGCAGACAGAACCTCGGTGCCTTGACTTCACTGGGAGAATAGAGCCTGAGCTCCCCCTGGATTGTAAAAGTGACGCCGTGCGTCAGAATCCATTAGAATGCCCAATCTGCCCGAGGCCGTCACGAGGAAGCCTCGCAGGACAGAGCCTCACAGCAAACCGGCTCCTTTGTTGAGCGGATGTAAGTTCTGACACACAACCCTCTCATTGACTTAGATTTTGCTCTTGCCATTTTGTCGTGCTTCTGTCGTGTGTTGAAGGAAGTCTTTGCAACGCAATTGTCGGTCGTTTTTGAAGGTCTTCCACGATCAGTTTTGAAAGCATCACAGGTCTGATACGTGTAAGCTGGACTATTATTGTGGCGTGGCTTTTGGCAGTAGAGCACTTCCAAGACTTGTCGCAGGACCTGTCCGCCGTCCTTGGACTCTGGCAAGCTGTCGCTCGAACCTCGGAAGGGTCCTCGCACGAGCATTACGCGGGGCGGAGGGCAGGTGCAGGAGTCATGTGCCGTGGCGTGGTTGGTAATCTCTCCGTGACGTGGTCTTGTGGCACATCGGTTCAGGATATTTAGCTTCTTGCCAGGACAAGCGCATGTTACAAGCAGACCCAGAGATGAAGGAGGCAGAGCTGAAAGGCCTCATGGCAAAAACATCTGACCTGGTAGCTTGCTCATGCACCTTTGAGGCTTTGGTTATGATGACGCACCAGATTCAGTTGCCATTCCCGATGCAGTTCAAGTCATGCATGCATGCATGCATGCATGCATGCATGCATGCATGCATGCACGCATGACTACCAGCATGCAAGCATATATGCATTCCAGCATACATGCATACATATGCGTACATATGCATACATATTGGTATACATACACATATACTTATACATAAAAAAGCAGATACATATACATATACAAGCACATATACATAATATAGATATACATGTACATATACATACACATATACATATACGTATGCGTATACATATACATGTACCTATACATGTACGTGTACATGTACATGTACACATACAGAAACATATACACTGACACAGACACAGACATATGCACATGCCTATACAGATGCACATGCTACCTACAAATATGCATACACATACACACACACACACACACCGGCGGACATACACATACATATACATATGCAGATGCATATGCATATAGATATGCACAGACATATATATATATAGATCTACATATACACATATGTATATACACGTCCATACATGCATACATACATACGTACATATGTACATACGTACATACATACACACACATAAGTTTAAGTGCATTGACATTGAATCGTCTATAAACCTACGCATAAGATCGGTGTCTGTGTACAGGTAATATGTGTGTTTGTCTATATACTACAGTTAGACTTTGCCAGCCCGATGAACGAATATGGTTTCATGCCAATAGAACTTAAAGGCAGATGTCAACATGACCCCCTGCCACAGGCTTGTACACGGCTGAGTATCTGCGAGCACGCTCTAGGCGACGGCAGTGGGGTCCAGGATGATCGAAACCGAACGTGCTGACTTTTGTGCCCTTGGCCATGGCAGGCTAGCACGTGGATTGTCGAGATCAGCAGCGCAGGAGTCACAAAGTCCAGGGATTCCCTTTGCTCAGCAACGAAATTCAGTGCTTCAGTCCCACAACAACAGATGACACTTCCCCAGGATGTGAAGGATGCCCTCGCACGCACTCCGCCTGTTGCAACCGCCTCCCAGTTGCAATTACAGCAGGTTCCGAAGTGAGATTCCGCTGCGGTCATATTGACAGGTAGCTCAAGGCCTTCGGATCCGCTTAGCATTTGAATGGAGCCCGTGGTATTGCTTTGCGAGCGCTTAGGTGAAGCAGCTCAAGCAGCTCAAGACCGAGGCCTCGGCCTCTCTCGTCTTTGTTCCCGAAAGGGCGTCTGCGACTTGCAGACCGACGATCTGATGATACGGCAGTATCGGAAATCCTGCACCGAAGAATCCCGAACTCGTGTCTGAAGCAGGTCCAGGCGGCCCAGGAGAAGCACCGCCAGGTGAACAGCCCTCTGGCCAAGGAGCAGAAGAGAGTGCTGGCTTGAATAGACTTAGAGGCCTCGACGGCCACGCCAGTGCATCTGCAATTCTAGGTTGCATGTGCGCAAGCTTCAACAGCCAAAGAACGCCGGCATGTGATGTGCAGTGACAAGCGATCCCGAATCTGGATACATGGGATGGGGCATGAGGTTAAGAGCTTGTGTTGCAGCAGCGGAACTCCACACGGCCGCCTGAACTTGTCCTTGAAGCGACGACGTCATGCCACGCGCCCTCGGCGATTTTGGCTGCCGCCCTCAACTTGTAATTGTGTGTGTGTGTGTGCCATTATTTGCAGGAGCTGGCGAAGCTCATGATCTCGCTGAGGGGTGGACCTCAGATTTCCTGACAGTGCTGTGGTGCAGGCCGGGTGTGCGAGTGCAGGCCAACGTGAGAGGTCAGAGTGACCGGCAATTGCTTGCGTGTTGCTGTGGACCCAATCTTGAGACTATAACAACCAGCATTACTCTGTGCCCTGCACCCAAGCAATCATGCGTCGGATCCCAAGAAAGAATGCAGAATTCACAGGAACTGGAGATGTCCTGTGATGCAGGCCTTTTGCATAACCTCGCGGGCCGGACGCTGCATGCTGAATTGAGTGGTGGCGGCCGTCCCAACTCTATACTACTACAGATTTCCTTCGCCGTTCGTGCTTCAGATGTGCTGGGCACGAGGTCTAGACATTAAACAGTGATAAAACGTCAGGAGCGTTCATAGTCGATTCTGTGCCACCGGCTCGTGAAGCCTAAGAGGGAAATCTGTGGCTCAAAGACCCAGCAGACCGAGTCTTGCTCCAATGGTGCGAGCGGCAGAAAAGCAGAGAAATCGTGGATCGACTTTGGGGAGTTTCCAGAGCTTCTGTTTCTGCTTTGATTTTATTTGGTTCGTTTGCCTGGCGAAGCGAATCATGTCAGTATAAGTATATATTAAACCACAGGTGCCCGAAACAGCTACAACAGTGGTAGTAGCATTAAAACTGTTACCAACATGAACGGCAGCAGTAGCAGCAGTAGTCGTCGTCGTATGCTAGTGGTAGCAGGTTTTAAGAGCGGCCCGCAGAGCCGTCCGGTAGAGATGCCTAGATCCGTTATTCAACATCCCATGCGCTCGATGCTGCTGGTCCGAGCGTATGGGCTTGACCGATATGATGCTGTCGAGTGAAGGTCGGTTCTGAACAGGTCCAGTGATTCGACAGCTTAAGGTAGTGTTCAAACTTGTTTTCGTGATTGTTGGATTTGACCGGGGCACCGGCGGGCATCTGTTTGAGGTAGCCCTTCTCTCGGAGTCTCGGAGACAAGAGACCAGGTAGTGCAGTGGAGAAGCAGAGTGCAGAAGTACTTATGAAGCATCATCTATGAGCACCTGACACGAAGGGAGGGTCTGATAGGTTGATGACTCAGGAGATGGTCCATGTCCAACCGTTGGCTCATTGTTCCTTAGGCAATGAGGGGTGATACAGAGTGCTTAGCAACATGGAGCTGGTACTGCATTGTCGAAGTTCTGCAACTGGGTGACGATAGCATCAAAGTAATCTGTAGAGTAGATCGTTTCGCCATGAGGCTATGCACATGTTTGCGGGTGCAAAATGCGAATCCCGCACAAACTTCAAGCATCAAAGAAGAAGAGTTCCTGGAAGAAGAAAAGAGCGAAGGCCACGGCTCCACAAGTTGATGTTGAAATCGTGCAAGCAGGAGAAGCTGAAGAGGAGCCCGCGGCCCCACAACGTCACGTTGCTGTTGCAGTGGTTTCACTGTCGGCCTTGTTTACATTGACATCCATCTATGTGGCGCAATTCTGGCGAGCATCTCCCGATGATAGTTTGGGTCTGGTGTTCTCCGGGCCACAGCAAAACACCAGCGCGAATTTGCTTGACAAACTGAGCTTAACTTATGGCGGAGTTGCAGCAACGGCCATGGGTGCGCCATCTGGTGCGATCCTCGAAAGCACTCGGTATGACGGGTTGCTGCAAGTCCAAGACTCTCAGCAGCCAGTGCCAGAGACTGCAATCCCACGGGTGACCAGCCAAGCGAGGATCTCTCCAAGTGCAGCTGGGACGCAAACTAGGCTGAGACTTGCACACACGTCTTCGAGGCAGCCCGGAAATTTCCGGCAACCACGAGTACTTTGGTTACATCTGCACGGTTACGGAGGAACTACTATTTGTGATATGGCTAGATCGCAAGGTGAGAAGATCCCACGTGCGCAGGACAATTGCAATGTCATGCCAGACCTCTGTTCTACACCCAAAATCTTCCGCACTCCATGCTCGAAACGAGCATCCAGCTTGCAGTACACGTTCACTGCAATAGAGCGTGCTGTGGATGAGGATGACCTGTCCTGTTCCGGCGGTGCTGCAAGCAGCCCCGGTCCAACGATGCTGTATGGGGCTATGCTGCGGGATCCGCTATCTGGAATTAAGTCAACTTGGATCGGGAACGAACTGGAGAAGGATCTTATTCTCTCCGCCATAAAGACGAAGACGCGGCCACGAAATTTCCAGTATCATTTCTGCCTGCCTCCTTCCGACACGTATCAGCACTTCGATAACTTTGCCGTTCGCACTTTGAGCGGGGATTACGATGTGGCTCCTGGTGAAGTGACAAGCCGACACTTGGAAAGGGCCAAGGAGGTGCTTTCCAGGTTAGATGTCCTATTAATCCTGGAGCATCTTGTGGACCACCTGCCTCAGCTACACGCCGTCTTTGGTTGGGACCTTGTGGATAATCCCTGGAGGTCCCACAGACACCGCATACCCAAGAATGCCATGAGTCCTGAGGAAGAGATCTTTTTGAAGAAAGTCAATGCCTGGGATTATGAGCTTTATGAGTTTGGCAAAGAACTGGCCCTTGAGCGGACCGCACAAGCCAAGCTTCGCCTTCTCCCGTCCTAGACAGAGACCACATTTAAATTCAGTTCATGGCTCAATGGCAGTGCTCGCCTCGTGTCCGTGGTTCGTGCGTTGCCTTCCTGATTTTAGATAGCCTCGACAATGTACTGATCACAATCACAAGATGGCCGGTGTGGATGCTGGAAGCACGAGACATCCCCGGCATTAGGGGCGCATGTCACCAGACTACTCTTGCATGCTGATTACAAGTGTGGAAAGGTGCAGACGTCCGGGTCGTTACGTGCCTGTGGCAAGTCTGAGATCCTCGCAACATTGTTGGGTCTGTCTCACACTGCGAACAGCAAGGTTCATTGCCCACATGCTGCAAAGTTGGCTGAGAAAGATCTGTTTGGTTTGGCTGTTGTTCGCTGCCGCAACGTCAGCAGGAATGACCTCAGTTCGGGAAAGTATGCAGAATCGTGCCAGGTAGCAGCGACATTTGCAAGAGTCGTGAATTTGGGGATAATTCATAAAAGGTCCACGCAACCTCACCGGTTTCCGTTGAGACAGTTTCGGCCCAGCAACTCATCGGAGGTCATTGCGGCAAGGCAATGTAGGTATGCTAGGCCTCAGCTCCAAAAGTCACTTGCTCGAGAATCTCGCGACATCATGATATGCACATCAGCCCTCCCCCAGCCCGACAACTCCTCGGACAAAGACAAGACTGCGGCCATGGCGCGCGCATTGAATCCGGACGAGTATGGTGGGCAACCTCTTTTCGACTGGCCGCCAGTCGCAACAGCTTTTCAAGACCCTCAAGGCAGTGCACTTCCAAAGATCCGCAAGGGTGTGCGACAGCAGTTCTCGGACATTGCTGCGATGGGCACCAGCTACCCTGGCGGCGATGTGATGTACCAGAGCTTGTGGCGAAAGAATGGTGGAGACCTCAATCTTTGGCCAAAGGAGGAACGCTTCTACAAGGGCCCAAGGCTGGGAGAGTATGCGCGGCCTCTGGTTATGAACAGGAATGCATTAGGCTACATGAACCAATCTCCAGTCCCTTTGAGTGCCGCTGAAGACGAATTGACGCTAGTCGCACATGCCAGCAGTGCTTCAAAACGAGCAAGAGCCCATGCGGAATATGCCCGACAAGCTGCAGAGAAAGCCGAGGCTTTCTACAAGGCTGCCAAAGCCAGGGCACGGGCGTTGTTTTTTCCTGACCCGCCCCTCAGTGTGAAGCCAACGGCAGACGTGTACCCGATGTATTCAGCCGGACCGATGGCTTACCCGGTTTCTGCCGTTTCTGCTTCTGCTTCTCTCGTCATGGCAGGTTTCTTGCATGATATAGGAAGCCCATCGAAGCTGGACAATGCTGGCCAGTTTCTTGGCCTGAGAAGTGCAGGTGCCCTCTAAGCTTGCAGGCGAACTGCCGTCCAAACGCGTTTGCAATGGCTCAGACGAAAAAGCACCTGGGCAACATGGCAAGACAGCAGCAAAGATGCCACTGATCCATGCTGCATCTCCCTGGGCGTGCTTCAGACTAGGATTGAGCTCGGCACAGCTAGACATGATTCTCAGGGCTTGGGATAGACTTGATGACCAGCAATGTGGCAGCTGGATTAAGCAGGATGTGTTGCCAAATGCTTGAGTTTGCTGTGCAGAATTTTGAAGTCCCTTCTCGACCTCGTGACTCTCTTCGGCTTTGCAGCAAAATTTCCGCACGAAAGATGGCGGGATGGTAGTCACAGCATAGAAGGGGGAGGCAGCAGGCCTCCTGGCGTTTTGAGGCGGGCAGGGAATAGAGTGTCGCATTGGCATCCTTGCGTGTCTTGTTCCAATTGCTGTGTACTCGTTCATCGTGCTTTGACCGCGACCCGGAGGTGATCGCAAAAAGTTCTCCAAAATGGGCTGCGCTGCCAGCCTATCCGCGAAGTGCCCCGAAAGAGGAAGCTGCAACTGTACATGCTTCGGCCGGAAGCTGCACGCTTCTTGTTTTGCTCTGCACAGCACTTTCACTTAGTTGGTTGCCTGTTGCCTCTCGCATGCTACAAACTCAGCAGTCTCGAGTCTCGACCGAGCGAGGATGCCAGGTCCGTGAACTGCCGAGCGTGCCATCCAATTGAGGTTTCCGAGGCGACTGCTCATACGCAGGATGAGAATTGTGACGGGAAACACGAACAAACGACCGAGATGAGGTACCTGCCCGCTCCAAAGCCAGAGACAGGGGACTCGAAGGTGGGCCGTTGCCGCCGACGTTTGGGGTATCGGACGGGTTAGGCTGGAATCCCTCATATAGGCTGCGACAAGGGGCAGCCGGCCATGCATCTCTTTCACCACGTTCGAGGCAAGCAACGCGCCAGTTGAGCCGGAGGCGCACGGCTGCAGTGCGTGGCAGAAGCATCTGTTTCACATAGTGAAGTCTGCTGTGCACGGAGCCGGGCTCGCAGTGAGAAGGTTGTGTGCACAGCTAGATCGAAAACTTGAGATGCAAGGCCGATGACGCATCCGCAGCTCCAGAGCACCAGGCCACATGTATTCGTAGCAACTAAGAAAGAGCAGTCGCAGCACCTGCCGTGTCCCGTAAGAAGTGCTGTCTCTCTTTTTTGTGCAAGGCGGGCAAGAAGTGGACGCGGACAGAGGCTTCCTGGAAAGCGTGTTCTGAAGCCGCCAGGGCCCATTGAAAATTTCTTCGTCTGCGGATACCACGGAGGATCTGAGCAAGTTTCAGATAATTGAGCGCCTGCACTCTCGTCCTGTGCCACAAGAAACTCTTTTGCATTCTGCAGATGGGAGAGCTGACTGTTCAGCAGCTGGTGCGCTGGTTGGAGGTGGATTTTGCACAACCGTCTCTGTGAAGTTGTGAGAAACAGGTTCAAGCCTGGGGCAGCTGTCGGCAGACCCCGTTTAACACTTAACCCGGAGACCTTTCGGATGCTTTGGACCCTTCTGGTTCTGGGAGGCTCATAGCTCGGTGAGAGTGTAAGATTGCTAGCAGCTGCTAGCAGCTGCAAGATCTTTCGTTATGCACAATAAAGAACCCACGCTAAGTCTGACACGCTCCCGCCACCAGGGTCTCAACATGGACCTGTCACCGGCAATCCCTCCTGTCCGTGCACGGCAAAGACTTTGGGAGGCGTGGCGAAAAGATGTCAGTTCAAGACAATCAGCTGCTCGCAGTGTCGCAATTTGCAGGAGATTGAGAAGTCCAAGCCGACTGCCTTGGAACAGGCTGGGCACCGTGCAGTCACAAGGAGCATCACGCTGGCCGCTATTGCAAGTCTCGGTGTCCGATGTCCTGAGAATCCCATTCGGCATGTTGAAGTGTTCAGCAGCGCCTCCTTGACCTGGTGACCTCGAGCCGTTGCTAGTTGGACGGAGTCAGCAAAGCAGAGGTCACCGATCCACTGCATCTGGAACACTGGCCTCTGTCAGCGACGCTGCGATGGCTGGAGTACTTCAATGCTCTGGATGAGTCGTTGGCGAAGAAGGCCCTTCACCCTTCAGCTGAGCAGCCAAGCTCCCGTTTCGGGGTGAGGTTCTGCTAAACTCATTGCGATGCACCACCACAGGACAAGCTGATCTCTATGTTGATGGAGAAGGGAGAGGACCTTCCTGTCAGTGCCTTTTGCCCGGCTGACAATCCTAGAAACTCAGGTCATGGCTTGCCTTGCCTTGCCTTGCCTTAAGCAAGCCTGCAGGATTTGTCTCCTCCAAACTTCGGGGCTAGTGAAGAGGACAACTTCCTCACAGAGGTTGGGTGGTCACGGGCTGCTGCGAGCAGTCCTAGTCACAGCGTCTGTCTTGCTGGCTGCCCAACAGGTCTCACGCCACGTCGGCATGGTGAAGCAGGTGGGCAAAGAATGTTGCGAATCAAATGCGACGGAGCGAGTAGCCATCAAGCGTGTAACAGAGAGGACTGCTTCGAAACGGGTTTGCATACAGGCGGCCTCCAGCATCATCACCAACCTCTCGGAGCAGCTGGCGCAGGCGCGGCCCGCGGCTCTCCAGCGTGGATACTGGTATGGAGTTGACACCGCACGTGCCCGGTCGGTGTCGGGTGCTGAGGCCGATGCCGAGGAGCGGCCCAAGCATCGCTGGTTCGCCAACGGGAAGGCCGATGCCGATGCCGATGCCTTGAAGACGAAGAGAAGGTCGGCGGGAGCTCTGACCCCTTGCGAGGCGCTCTCTGACTTCCAACCGGAGGAATTCCAGGCCACCAAAGAGGCAGTGCAGGGCTGTGAGACGGAGATGCGACTCGATGCTGCTTGGCACGCCATCTCGCGCCAGTTGGATATCCCGCTCGTTCAGATGAAAGCAGGGGAGCGGGTGGTGGCCTCAGAGCGTGGAAAACTGCGGTTGGCCGTTGACTGGGCCTTCAAGCATGACTTCTGTCTGCCAGAGAAGGTAGCAACAACAGTGTGCAGAATATTTGCTGAGTGTCCGCACCTGCAAGGTGGACCTCACTCTGAACGAGGCACAAGGGTGCCGTGGGCAATTGGTGACATGCCATGTCCGACGATCAAAGGGCAGAACCTGCCCCAATCATGAATTGTTTGAGTCGCTTCGCATCTCTTCGCCTCGCAGCTTCCGGGAGGCCGGTGGCTGGGCCTGGGTCGTCCTGGAAGACGAAGTCACCTCGGGGTGGGTACGGAACCCGGAGCCCAGAGCTGTGTGGCGGGTGCGGCTCCAGGTGTGAAGAAATCATGGGCATGAGTGGCTGCGACCTTTCGTTGAAGTATCAGCGTGGTGTGTGGCTGCGTGCAGCCTGCACACAAGTCGCAATCTCGGCTGCTTGTTATTTTGGCTCTATAGGCCTTGGCCTTTGACTAGCCTACTGTAGTAGCTTGTTGATGGAATAGTTGCATGGATAAGAGTCTTGTGCCTTTGTTCCGTGCACTCCGGGGGTGCCCAGGCACCTTCAGAAAAACATACTCACACAGATTGTAGACGAAAACGGTGTGGGCAGGCTTTATGAAGCAGCAGAGCCGACAAGATCGCGAGACTTCCCGCCACCCTACTACCCTACTGTGACAGCTGCAGTGCTCATGGCCTCGGCGCCACTGCTAAGCACTCCCTCGACGTCGCGGCGGCGGAAGCCCCGATCCGTCTTCGGCTACTGGCCACCTGTCCTGAGCGGTTGCGGTCTGGATCCATCCCAACATCTCAGAATGCTGCAGGCCGGTATGGTCCGAGTGCATGCCCCTCAATGAGGACACAGGGAAGGTCGATGGGGTCCGAATCTTGCCAGCACTCGCCAGCAGTTCGGCTCTTTCTCTTGAAAAGTTTTTTGAGTATTGATTGATGGTGTGCAAAAGCTAGCAACTGCTTCTGCGTGGACATGCCGCAGGTGTGAATTGCATGCATGTGATAACTTGTCTTCAGCTAATACAGCTACAGGGCAATGAGTATCAAGAAGCAACCGTGCGCCATGAAAAGGAGTGACGGCAAACATTATCGCTGGCAGTATCATCGGCATCAGACAAACCCTCACCGGCATTGTCAGCGCGACGCTGGTGTTCACTGGGTCCAATTTCCCTGAAGTGACGCATATGTTCTCCTTTGGCATATGCATGACGCCGGGTTATGAAAGCATAGTTTTCTTGTGGCAGTCCATGCACATGCACATCGGCAGAAAGACTTCATGGTGGTGTGCAGTGTTCTTGAAATGTCCATATGGAAAGGATGTGGTATTCCACTATGGTTGGCTCGGCATTCTATGCGATCTTCGGGCGGCTGCAGTACAACACCAGCGCCACGCAGGAGGTCTGCGCCATCCTCTATGGTGCCGAAGCAGCAGCCAGCATTTGCGTTGTGCACAGAAGGGCTGCGCTTGGCCATCAGGCGCCATGGCGCAGAGCGCTGCTGAACGGCTACGCAGGTCCGGGCAGCCGGAGCGGATCCCGGCGACGGCACCCGAGCTGAAGGATGCGGCCACGCTCTGGGACGTATGCTCAGCTCAGGTCCTTGCGCTCATCATGGCTGGGACATCTCTCACGGGACTCTGCAGCGTGCTCCTGGGGAAGCTCGGGGTTGGCAAGGCGGGATCACAGTGCCGTTTAGATACAGTGTGGCATGTCCCTTGCACTGCGACGCTTCGAAGTGAGCCTTCATCTAAGCCCCAAAGCCGAACTTTGTGAATCGGCCATTGACCATTAACATTAGTGGAAACATAGCACCCTTGCACATGCCGACTTCTCCGGCCTTGCGAAGAGTGAGGTGATGCTGAGATTTCCCAGCCCAGTGACGAGTGGTTTTCTGGGCACCATCGGCTTCTTCCTTGTTCGGACAGCCTTGCAAATTTCTTCTGGTGTCCCGGCTCGGTCTTTTGAGACGTGTCCTTCCGCATGAGAGAAACAGTTTTCCGGAGGAAGCGGCTGAGGTGTGCAGTTCCAGTATTTCTACCCGGTCAGTTTTGTCGACTTCTTCTCGCTGCGGAGCATGGCCCCCGTCTCGTGCTTGCTGTCCATGGCGCCTTTGACAGCAGCTCTTGGATTCGGGAAGGTCCCAAGACTGGCAATGTAAGAAAAGGAGAGCGTGCTCAGGTGATGTTGATTCGGAATGGCCCTGGTCTCATCGCCAAGATGTATGGCCAGAACAAAGCAGTCATGAAACTCTCTGGGCTTGGGTGCCAGCTTCTCCCCCTGGCACTTTTCTATGTGGTGATTTTGGTATGTGGCATCCCCATGGAGGTGCTGAGTGAGACGGGCTGGACCTTCCCTGCGCAAGCAGGAAGCTCTTTCTGGGGATTATGGACTACCTACAGCATCGGCGATGCAGATCCCAACGTTCTGCTGTCGAATGTTTCTTCAATGTTCATGCTGGTCATCATGTCGGTGCCGCGGCTGCAGGCAGTATGCTCGAATCTCGCTCCTCGTCATATCAGGCCACAGAAAGAAAAATGGTCCATGGCTGCATGACCAGCGGGAACAATTGTGACACAACCGAAAACATTACAAAGCTTGCGGACTTTGTAGAATTTATACAAACCAGAACCGAGAACTGTGTGGTGTTTTGTCTCGCGTGGCACTATGCAACCAAAAATATTGAAGTCTGTCGAATGAGGTGCTGTGCACGATGACCGGTGTCTTGGGCATAACGGGGAAGTTTGCTTCGGGCCCCGATGGAGACCCATCCCCCATGGACGTGGTGGACTTCGATGCAGAGCTCACGACTGTGGGCTTCGGTTCGCTTCTGACAGGTTCTTCGGCCGGGTCTGCCAAGAAATCGGACCAGTCTAGTCATGGCTTCATATGGAACGTCTTGGGATGCGCCGCCAGGCCTTACCCACGGTGTGGTGACCTTCCATCGCTTGGGTAGCTCCATCCAGCTGCGTATGGACGGTGGCACGCACCGATTGGCCGTCTTGACCTCATCTGCTTTTGTGGGCATCTTCTTCTTTACGAATGTGCCTGGGCTTGATTAAGCAGAGGGGGGGTTGCGTGGTTCAATCGAGTCTCCTCTCCTCCGTGCGTCGGGCCGCAGGTCCCTCTGGGCCATTTCATCCCCAAGTTCTTCCTTGGCGGTCTCTTCATGGGCAGTGGGGTTAGCTTCCTCGAGAGTTCCTTCTTGTCTTTCCGCAGCCTACCGCCCCTCTGGGTGCTCGGCTATCGGCTCCCTTCCCTCCAGTGGCTCAGTGGCACTTCAAGGAGATGACCTGCCAAGAATAAGAAGCCAAAGAAAGGCCTAAAGTCCCTGGAAGGGCCTCAGCTTTCGTAGCTCTCCGAGGTACTGGGTGACCGTTTGTTGCATCCTTGTGGCAGCCTTCAGCTCACCCTTCGAGGGCATCGGAGCCGGCTTGGCTCTGAGCCTCGTCATCTTCCTCTACGACAGCAGCCCGGCTCTCCGTTTTCTCCTTTTTAACCCGGGACCCTGGTGCTTGTGATTCTAGAACCAAGGCACGCAGTCCTCCCCTGTGGACAGCATGCCTCTTTGCCGAAGATGGTGTTGATGGGCCGGTTCGGGTGTTGTTTCGTCTTTGGCCACTACAGTAGCACCAAGCGAACATCAACCGAAGCCGACTCGTGCGTTCGGAGCAACTAGGAGCATCGACTGCACGGACTAGTCGATGTTGATAGCTTCGGATCAATCAGAAGCTCTTCCCGAAGCGATGACGGTCATTGGAGACTCTCTCCTCCACAACTCGGGTACGGTAGCATCTATGCGACCCAACAGTCTCGACGAAAGGGTTAGTACAACCAAAAAGGGCAACAACGCGACAGATGCGGCAATGTCGGGGTAGCCACCGAGCACATGACGAAACCATACTGTCTCGGCCGCATACGTAGTGCCGACTTGGAGACCCTTGTGGCTAAGTAATCTCGAAGCAGTACAGCTTCGGAGGTTTCTTCCGCGTTCGGGCGAATAGCACCAGGGAATCAGGCAGAAAGGAAGCTCGAGGTTGTGTGCCCTCAGGTCGACGGGAGACCGTACCATGAGCCGGACACGACGGCCTTTTTGGGAGCTCGAGGCTTTGGGCACCGAGGGACATCGCATCCTCCTCCTGTATCTCCAGGAGCCGAGCGAGTCTGACTTGCTGTGCAAAGTGCTTTTTGCCGCAGCCGCTTCCGCCCCCAGGGGCAGCTCTTCTTTGGCTCCGGTCAGACGCTAGCGGCAAGCCTGGTGGAGACCATCGAGGGAGCCCGAAGGCCAGGCCGCAGGCGATTTCAGCTTTGGAAAAAGCCGAAGAAGCCTTGTGCCCGGAGGCCTTTGCCGCCAGAATTCTGCATCCTCAGCTTCGGGAATCTCAGCTAATGCCAGGCCTCCTAGCTCCAACCGAGCTGAGTTGCACCCAAGGAAAGTCTCCAGCATCGACGCGAGAGTCTCAGGGTCTTTGAGGTCCTACACTTGCCCGCCTTTGCTCTGCCTGTGCTCACTTGCAAATGTCCCTCATCTGTCGCTTTGCATCTTCGAGGCCTCCGCAGCCGAGCAGCTGAAGACGGCCGTAAAACGAGTGGCCACTCTGGGTTGCAAGGTGCCTGGGAGAGTCGTTTCAGGGGAAAGAGGCTTCAGGCAATACTCCTCTGAATGAGAGTTTGCGATTAGCTCGCAGCTTGCACCCGTGCCGTTTGCACATGTCAGGTCCTGTTTTGCCGAATGAACGCTCAAGTCTTCGAAGCCCTGTCGGTCGGCTGCGTGGCCACCCGGCTCTGAGCTTTGCCGCTTCGCAGCGCAGCGCTCAACAAAGACAGCGCTGAGGTGAAGTCTCCGGACTCCGACCTGCGTGAGCTCCTCGGCCTGAGCTCCGGCCGCATCTGGGAAGCTCTGGGAAGCTCCGCTTTTTTAGGGGGGCCCCTTTATGCGTGGTAGACGGACTGCCTTCCAGGAGCGACCCTTCAGAGGATGGAAGCTGGCAGGAGCTTGCTGACGTGAATGCTTCGGGTACCATCTGAGCTCTTGCTTCACGTCGTTATGGCTTCTCTAAAGTCATTACTCGGCATCAAGCTCCTAGGTCCTAGGTGCGATCTTCATCGGTTCATCGAGAGATGTGTATGTGTATGTAAAGTTCGTTGCGTGTCGGCTCTGCACGAATTCCGGAAGAGGATTCCCCGAGCCCGAGCCCCGTGATACCGCTGAATGAGATGGAGGCCAACAGCTCCTCGGCTGCCTCCCTTTTAGCCAGTTGAGGTTCTCCTCCCTCCGGTAGCTGAGGCCCCACTGGCAAAGGCGACTTGAACTGCTGGGCGAAGATGAAGCCTTTCAGGCCTCTAGGCGGCTGGGCTTAAGAATTACAAAGACTCAGAAGGTTCGCCAAGTCGAAGATCGCTGCCGGGCTCACTGTCAGGACAAGAAGACTATGATGCTTTCGACGATGTGACCTTGGGCTCAATGACTTCTTGTCAGAGTTAGAGACCCACTTTCCGAGGCATTGAAAGCCAGTGACAGTACAAGAGGACTCTCCAACTGTTTTCCTGGCTTCTGACCCGGGAAGCCCTGGCTCAGGACCGATGCTTTGGATTACACAGGCGATCAAGTGCTGGAACGTTACCTCTACGCCAAGGAGCTGGAGACTTTCATGCAGGAGCCGCTGGGAAGCAGCTTGCTCTCTCCCTGCTGCGGCATCTGCTCGTCTTCCCCTCTTTTTTGAGGTATCGAGCGGCGTGCTCGACCGGCTCGCGCTTGGGTCACGCGGCCTTCGAGGCCATGAATTTGCTTCCTTCAGGCCCAGGGGTCGAAGCTCAGCCACTCGCCGCCATGATCGACTTGCAGCTCTCACCGGCTCATGCCGTCTGGCATTGTTCAGGCTTCCTTGGCCGACTACAGGCCTTCTGTGTGGTCGAGCGTAGTCTCACATCAGGACTGCATGACCTGGAACTGGGGCAGGGTTACAGTTTCGGTTATGCAGAGTGCATTGTTGAGGTCTGCAACTTTGTGCCACAAGCTGGCAGGAAGCCACCTTCCTGGTTCCGATGCACTCGTCCTGATACTTCAAGGCATGTGGTTCTCGGGCTTGAGTGCCGGCAAATGTGGAGTTGGCGGAAAGTCTCGGATTGCCTCCGGCACGGACTTGTAGCTCGATAGCCTGGAAGTCTGATCTACAGGAGAGTGAGTGGCAATTCGTACACAAGCTCACTACTTCACAGTTGAAGCCTATGGAGCTTGGATGGCCACATTCGGCGGTTTGGCACGTGAGGTTGCGAGTCTTTTTTTGCCTGGTGGTGGTGATGGCGGCGGTGGCGGTGGTGGCGTTCTTTTTTGCTGCTTCTGCTGGTGGTGGTGTTGCTGCTGCTTCTTCTGCCGCTTGCCGCAGCTCATGTATAAATGCTGTTTTGCTGGGACTGATGCAGGCGCGGTCGCCATGGTGGAGCTGCCAGAGGAGACTGCTTTGCAGGGTTTGGTGTGCAGCATGGCTTCGGGGACCTGAAAAATACCATGTCCATTCCTTGCAGTCTCCAGCGTTCCAGCCGCTGCCAGCATGGTGCCGTGTGTGGGGGTCCTTCGAGGCCGCGGCGCGCAAGGATGCGAGGACCGGCCAGGTCTTGGTGAAAGGCGGGCGGGAATCTTCCCGCATTGTGAAACCGACTCTGACTCCGACTCTGTCCAGGTTTCCAGGGTCGCCGGGGGACGCGCCTAATGAGACGGTACCCGCCGCTTGCCGGAAACATCTGAACTATTGAACTTCTCGTCCCGGGCATCTCCCGGGCTAGCATATCATGGTCGGTTTCCTGATCTCCGCAAGAGGCCGGGCAGCTGCGTTGGAATTCACGAGTTCCTCCTCACTGGCGGCTTGGTGCACACACGGGGGTCGAGGACAGGCTGTCGTGCCGACGTCAACGCATGACGTGCTGCCAGCTGAGGTTGCAAGAGACTCACACGATCAACGACCCGCTTGGTGGTTTCAAGTGTTCGGGCACGCACGCGAGAGAGAGATTCAGGGCTCGTGTGGATCAAGACTGCAGTAGTTGGGTGTTGCAGGATGCAACATCTCAACAGTTTCATTCTTCCAGCAATCTACTGTTGGTTTGATTCTGCTGAGCTTTCTGTGGGACGCAGGATGAATATCCCATGGGTGTGCCAATCTGAGGCAAGTTCGGTTATTCTACGGAGGTTTGGTGCCTCAGTCGAGAAGCTTGGAAGTCGATGTCAGAGGACGGCTTGGGGAGCATGGCCGTCATCACCGGGGCTTTCGACTGCTTTGTGGAGTCTCGAAGGATCTGCGGCAGGTCCTCAGCGACTGGTGCCTGCGGCAATTGGCCGAGGCGTGCTTGGCCCTGGCGACTTGACAAGAGTGGCGTCCCGGAAGCGTGCGTTGCCAGGAGGAGCAGCATTCACTGCTAACAGGCTTCTGAGGCCCAAAGTGGCCCGGGCTGACGGTGCTGAGCCGTGCGGAGGAAGAAAGACGCTTCGCTGTGGAATTGGGAATCGGCCAGAGATCTTCGAGACTCTGAGGCCCTGGCAAGCGCAGTGACAGAGGTCGCCAGTGCCCTTCAGGACGGTGAGACATTCCTCTTCGTTTCGCCAATCTGCTTTCGTTGTCTTTTTCAGATTCCGGTTCTGGAAAGTTTTTGGAGATCTGCTCTGGAGAGGACTTCGGCCAAGACTCGGAGGACCTGGCAGTGCAGGGATGGATGCTGGCTGGCATGTCCTGACAGTCCTGACAGGCTTCAGCTTAGCAAGGCATTGAATTCCTGAAGCTGCTAGGGACTCCTAGCTTTTCCTGGAGCAAAGGGAGGTGTCCATCCTGATGTGTTGTCACAGGGAGCTTGCTTGCCTCTTGGCTTTTTGAAGGAAGCCGAGGGCATGAGCCTGCGCTGCCTGAAGGGAGAGGAGCTTGAGGCGTGCATTGGGCAAGCCCTTCGCTAAACCTGGGGCTTAGGGTTGAAATTTCATTTTGAGTCGGTGCTGTAGAGATCTATCGTGCAAGTGAATTTCCTGAGTAGGTCCGCAGCCTAGATAGCCTAGATGACCAGCATCCGACCTCATCCGCAGAGGTGCGGTAGGTTTGAGGCTAAGCAGAGCAGGTGATCCTGCGTCACTACAGCGGCTGGACCTTGTGCCGCAAACCGCCGGCAGACGCAGCTGGAGGCCAGACGAAGGGAGCCCTAACGTCCATCCCGCTCGTCAAACCCAGCAGAGTGCTCCTTGTTCTTCCAAATGGATGTGAACTCGCTGTTCGAAATGTGCCCCTTACTTCCGTTGTAGTTTCTGTTGATAGATGTGTTCTCGTCAAGCGTCTTGGGCTGTCTGAGCCGCAATACCATGTTATCAGCTGACACGGGGCAGGACATGCCTCGTATCAGAGTCGGCCGCACAATGTCCAAACCCTATGCCGGCGGACCTAACCAGCATCATCTGGTTTCAAGGCGACCAAGAGACGAGGGCTTCGTAGAAGCTCCCGTGCATCTGGAAAGCCCCGCAGCTGAGGGAAGCCTGGCATAGCCTCGTTCTCCCTAAACCCTATAGCCTATAGCCCAAACAGAGTCCCAAGCCGAGACAAAGCTCTTGGTTTCCGGAGCAGGCCCCGAGCTGACTCCCAAGGGACCAACGGAGGAGGGCTGGATGCCGGACAACTGCCTCCCTGCCCGGTTTCGGGCTTGCGGGATGGCACGGTCATGGTTGTTTAATCTTTTCCTTAGAAGACGAGCTTCACTTAGATGATGCTGGGTAAGCCAAGGATGGCAATCCAGGGCTGGTCCTAGTCTGTAGACCCTGTTGTGCTGGGCTCTCAATCTAACATCTACCGCTGTTCTCTGATGCGGCAAATACGGCAAGAATGGCCAGCTCAGACATTCTTCGCCAGGTCTAAGCGACCACCCTCGGAACATGCCCACGAAGCAGCTGGGAGCTTAATCTCGAAGACATCTTCGACTCCTGTGCGGTCAGAGGCAAAACTAACATCCAGGGCCAGACATCCAGACATAGTTAGCGCTCGATTGTGCATGCTCATGGTGCTCCGTGAGTCCTCTCTGCTGTTGTATCGTGTTCGTCCCCGTATCATATGGGTTTGCGTTGTCTGTTACTTTAGGGTTTAGGCTTGCCTTTTCGATTACTGTAGTCGAGAACCAGTGACGTCTCAAGCGCTTCCCGATTCTGATACCATCGCGGATGCAGTGTGCCTCCTGATTTCGTGGCTTTCGGCTTGATCTGTTCGGAGATCCTGGGAGGCCTCAGGCTCTAGGCTTGAAGGAATCCTTGCAGCCTTGCGAGTCGCTCGACTGGAACAGATACACGTATCTACCTGAGCACAAATGCATGCATCCATGCAGAGGTGGAATTCGTAGGCAGCATAGACTCTTGCCTTCGTGACATTTGATGTTGGAGTACTTGGACTATCAGAATCGTTTGGTTGTATCAGGTCGTATTCATTTTTAGATAGATACATAGCTAGATTCTAGATAAGCGAGTGGATAAGCACAAGAAAAGGAACAGCGCGAATAGCCAAGAGGGATACACAAACTCAGAGATTGAAACAAATAGACAGATAAACAGGTATATCGCTAGCTAGCTAGCTTGCTAGCGCATTTACTGAACATTTGCATACAGAAGTGGAATAAACGGACAAGTGAATGAACAAGTATAGTTGAACAGAGAACTGAATACTAGACACACCTACACAGATACCTACCTGCCTACCTACCTACGTACATACAGACATATACACACAGATTCACGTACATACAAACAGACACACATACATTGGTACATACATTGCACATGTATGCAGACCAACTCGCGTGAGAGCACGCACATATGCTAATACATACGTGTATATGTATATATATATATATATGTACACACACACACACACGCATGTATGTATATTGCATGTATGCTTGTATGTTTAGTGTATAGATCGATAGGTTAGATGGATGCATAGATAGATTGATGTACCTATCTTGATATGTACGTGTATTCGTATATGTACGCTACAGTACCAACACACTCACGCATACACATCGGGTTTCTCCTGCATGTACGTGTAGCACGGAAGCACATCCATGCATCATACCTCTCTGTCATCCTCCATCCGTCTCTCGAGAGGCAGCATCTGATCCTCGCTGGGCTCCAGCGCCTCGCTGCGGAGCTCAGTCAGGTCGAAGCCTCGCTCTACCGGCTGGGAGCCTGGGGGAGTCTCGGGTTAGCCATGGTTAGCGCAAATCTTCAAGTCAAAGTGAGTTCTGGTCCTTCGGTAGCGCGGTGGAGGACGTAGCCAGGTCCAGCTTGGGTGCCCGGAAAACGTTTTTCTCCGATTTTTAACTCTGAGGATTCAAACCGAGGGCGCCGAGGAGGAGGATTCCTTGCAAACACTCCATGCCAAGGCCGGAGAGTTTCATGTGAGACTCCTTGCTGGAATTCCACTCCGGTGAACCCGCGGCTGTGTAGGACCTGCTGCAGCGTCTGGTGCCTTTCTCTTCCTTGTTCGGAGGTCTGCGAGCTGGTGGAGGAGTATCGAAACATCGCTGCCGTCCTTCAGGCGAGTGCAAGACAAGTCCCGGACTTGACTGTCGCAGCAAAGCGATGATGGGAGCACGGGTGGTGTGTCTGACGTCGCTTCAATGCCTCGAGCGCAGGCAAATCCACATCTGCTGGGCCAGGAGGCAGATGCTTCTCCTTTCGTGGAGAGACAGTTGAGAGTTAGCAAAAACCGTAACACCAATCGCAACTCGTGATTTCAGCTCTGCGCAGGAGAGCAAGGCGGCTGTGGAGGAGACTTCTTCAACTGTGTCTCGCGCCTCCAGTTCGTTCGAGTACAGGGCTCAGGGCTCGAATGCGTGTATTTGTATGCTGGAGGAGCCGAAGAATGCGAACGGCCTGCCAGCCTGGGTGCGCAGAGCTCTCAGTTTCTCCGTTAGGTGGTCGTGCCAGATCGCCGCATCCCTACTCGCGGCTCAGACAGACAGCCGACAGTTGTTTAGATCGGCGCAGATTGCCTGATCTTAGATTGCCTGATCTTCCAGCTCGCAGTTTGGCGCCCTCTAGAGAAGCCAGACTTGAAAGAACTCTGAAACTTGGACGTGCGCCCAGTGCAGGTGTTGAGGGTCGCTGCTACTACGTCTCCAAATCGCAGAAGAAGCTCATGAGCGTCGCTTGCCAAGAGAGCATAGACGGCCCATGTTGGGTAGCCAGAGTGGCAAAGCTGTTCGCAGTGTTTACACGTGGAGCGACAAGGCTCAACAAAGTAGATGTGCACATGGTACGCAGCCTCGGGTCCAAAGCCCCGAAACGTGGCAACAGGGAGGTCAGAGCATGTGAAACGGCCACAACCTCCCAGCCTTGCGAAGCCAGGTGACGATCAAGCGTGTCAAGCCCTGAGATGCCACAAAGGGACCAGTTTGAACGGTTGAACCAGGAACATGACTCGATGACTCATATGACTCCAGAGCATTCGACCTGGTGGCCTCTGATTGGCAGCTAGGCCTCTGATTGGCAGCTAGGCCTGACTTTCCTGACCCGCCATTGACTTGCACTCCTGGGGCTGAGGTTTGCGACGTCCGTCAACAGATTCTGGTGACTTTCGATTCCGATCGTAACGCCCGAAAGGTCGCTCCGCTCTCAGTTGCGACTCCTCTGCTTCACGCACCCTTGTCCGTCTTCGTCTCTTCCCGAATTCGTAGAGATACGCTGGTGGAGTGAAATGGTACCACATCTGTTCGACCTCTAATCACCATTGATTACCCCTCTAGCCCATCGTTGTCACAACCGCCCAGCTCAGAAGCTTCGTGAGTGGAACGGGCAACCCATCAATCCAGACCCGAGCGGTGGCGAGCTGTGCCCAGGTGGAGTTCGCCGCGTTTGAGGACATGGCCTCCTGTCCCTTGCAGCCCAAGGAGCCTGGGGAAGAAGAGTCTGAAGGTTTGAAAGGTGTGAAACGAGGTGCACAGATGGTTCAGACAGTGAAAAACTAAACTTTGCGATCGACTGCAGCGAGGAGAAATCCAAGCGAAGGAAGAGCCGCGCCAAGAAGCCTCATGCCCGGCTGCCCAGAGGAAGAGGGCGCTCTGTTGTGGACGTCTGCGAAGATCTTGTGCTACGCAAACGTCGGCAGATGCTTGATGCTAGATCTAGATGCACCAGACTAAGGACGAATTGGCAGAAGATCTTCGGGATGTTATCCAGGCAAGCCTCGTGGGGTTGCAACGGGAACACGAAACGTCACGAAGGCTTTGCTCTCAGTATGAGCAAAAAGCATTTCTTGTAGGGATCATTGTAGCGGGCAGTCACCGCACAGCATGCTAGTCAACAGGCCTAAAATCCGAGAACGCTCGACGCCGCCAGGATCTGGGACCTCCTGGCGCAATCTCAGCTGCCTGGGGCCGAGAAATGTTGGCAGAGAAATTCGTGTAGCGGCATACCGTTGATCATCGCTGAGCCATGAGAAGAAAGGCGGCGTCGTCGGACTCCGAGTCGGACAGCTACTCGTCCAGCGACTACACTTCCTCCACGGCCTCAGGCAGTGTTTTCACATACAAACCCGGGTTCCCTCGACCGACTGCTTTCAATCCCTTGCCAGGATCCGATCGGGGCGTTGCCACTGGGTCCAAGCCTCAGTGGAAAGGAGGGATCTGGTCTGGCGCGTGTTGACGAGCAGACTGTGCAGGCCAGAGTTCCACGAGGGAAGTGGCTCGTCGACGGTGGCGTCCACAGCGATATGTCTGAGCTTGGAGCATGGTTGACGAGTCGCAGACTTGGGGACTGTTCAAGCCATCTCTCGAAGCTGGTAGTCCGGGTTAAGGGGCCTTGTGTCCAAGCCCAAACTTCCGAGAAGCGTCTGACCGAGTCGCCTTGCTTCGGACCAGAGCAGGCAGAGGACAGGGCAGCTGAAATGCCAGCATTGGAGCGTTAGAGCCTTCTGCAGCTTTCTGCTGGTTTGTCGAGAAGGGGACGGCTTGTGCCTGCATAGCACACGAATGACGTGCTTCCTGAAGTGGCAGGTGCTTGAACCTGTGATAGAAGCCGTAGGAAGCTGAGCAACGATAATCTCCGGCTCAGTGCTTGCAGCGGAGGCGCGAGAGGCAGCGGAGAAGGCCAAGGAAGCCGAGGCCCGTTGCAAGGGGCTTGCGCCGGCTGTCCAGCCTTCTATGTCAGAGGAAGAACGACACGACAGACTGTTCAAAAGGACAGAAGTTCACAGCAGAGGGACGAAGACACGGTCGTGTAGGAGCTTACTCTTCTCGGCGATTCGGGCATCGGAACACCGTGGAGAGGAAACATTCAGACTTGCAGGTTGCCTCGTTTAGAATCTGGGATCTGGGGCGGGCTCGTGCTCCATTGCTGGGTTCTTTCCGTCCGGTGCGCCGAAGGAGTGAACAGTGAAGTAGGGAGCGCTCGGCCTTGTGGCGGCTCTCAGCTGTGGCAGTGACGACCCGGTTCCCATGGCAACTAGACAAGGGTAGCCAGGATAGCTGATAGCCGATAGCTGACCAAGGACCGATACAGCTCGGTAGGCTTGAGCTCTTGCGTGATTCAAGTCTTCTGTGTAGCACGACTCACTTCCAGCGCCAGGGCCAAGCCCAAAACACTAAAAAGGGGCGAATCGGGGTGCAGAGGGCCTGCCTTCGTGCGATGGCTGGCCAGTTGGGGATACCCTTCGGCCATGGCAAATCGACATGGCCTCACCGTCCTGCGGGAAACGTTGGAGGCGCTAGCGAGGGCCGCTGCTCCGGCCGCTGCTCCCGGGGCCCTTTGTATTGCACTGTGCCGTCAGGAGCTCATGAACTTCCCTCATCAAGTGGACAAGGGGAAGCAGGCTTATCAAGCCAAAATCAATGATGCAGCCGCCCTTGCGCTGCTTGGCTGCCTTTTTTCGGAGACGTCAGCTTTTCTCTTGGCCCTAGCCTTTAGGTGTGCAGCAGACTGCGTCCCTGGCTCAGCTCAACTCATAGACGACATGATGTCTGGCTCGACACAAACCAGATTGGATGCCCGTGCGTTACTCTTCGTGGTGGACCTCGTCCTGAAGCGTGGGTTGCGTCAAAACCCGCCGCCGGACCGCAACGCTAAAGTTATCGCGACAGTCATAAAGCCACACCTGAGCAAGTGGCTCCGGGTTCTGCTTCTGACCAAGCGCTCGCCGGAGCAGCTTGAGAAAACCAGGAAAATGATCTCAAGGTGGTCGGACGATGGCTACCTGTCGATGGATGGCGTTCTCCCCCTGATCGCGCTGATGGATGGCGGTTTGCCTCCTGTTTCCGAAGATTCCCAACAATCCCAGCAGTCTCTGGACTTCTCGCAGTCACAGCCTTTGGCTTGGACCTCACCTGAGCGCAAGGAAGCTGCGGCCAGAGAGCCCTGCATCAGGACGTCTGTGCCTGCGCCCGACACCAAGAAGCCTGCACCGGCGGTTTCGGCAGCGCCGCCTCCACCGGCGCAAAGTCGGGCCCCGCTGCCGGAGCCTGGGCCTCCCTCGAAGCGCGTGCGGCGCCTCTCCAGCTCGGAGCTCCCGGAGCTCCCGCCGGAGCTCCCGCCGAGCCACGAGGCGGAGGCCGAGACAAAACCTCGCAGAAAGTGGATTCGGATCCCACAGTAGGCCCGAAAGGCTAGGCCTAGAGCACCTTCGGCATTCTTGCTTCTCAGGCGCCGCAAGCCCAAGAGCGCACCCCGACGCGGAGGCCGGGCACCGGAGCGCACTGTTGCCGAGCGCAGAATCAGATCATCGATCTGGCGCTCTATGTCTGTTTTGCACTATAGACAAGAAGCTAGAATCAAACCGGTCATGTTGTTGTGGACCAGAAATCGGTTGAGAACGGATCCGTGTTTCCTACTGAACACATTGAACACTAAGAAGGGGCTGTGGATGTTGCTTCAGGATCCCGGATGCAAGGCCCTTGTTTTGGAGACAGGAAAATGTGGCCTTCGCTGTCGCCAGGCTGGTGCTGCCGAGCGCGCAGAAGGACAAGAAGGTCACGCCCGGCCGACGCTCCCTCACGGCTGCAGAGTTTATCGGGTGTCCGACGACTACTGCCACTGCCGAAACGGTGAAGGAGGTGAATGCGGCTCCTTTGGCGACCAACGGTGCCAAAAGCGAGCCTGCTGAGAAGCCACAGCAGCCTGGGGCCGAAGGCACTGGGAAAAGTGAGGTGCCGGCTCAGGATCTGGCAACAGACCAGGAGAGAGAGCTCCGCTTCAAAGTTTTGCAGCATGTCGGTGGGCTTATGAACATGCTGGGCGGGGGGAAAGGTTTCCACGGATTTCGTACTTTGCAGGAGCTCGTGCGTCGCAAGTCTTCCATCTCCTGGCGAGTGCGGGGTGACTGTCGCTGCCTCTTCCGCGCCGTGATGCGGGCTTACGGACTCGACACTCGGGCCTAACAGGTCGCTGACTGTAGATCTCGGAGCCCGAAGTCCCGAAGTGTAACGAATCGCAGAGGATCCGCTCAACCGAAAGCAGCGAGATCATTTGGGCGAGCCCGTCGACGAGGCGGAACGTGTGCAGGAAACTTAGCCGAAGAGCAGGCCTGTAAGCTTCCCACTGCCCAGAACTTCAGAACATAGAAGTACCTCTTCTTGCCTTTTCATCTTCTTCCTCTCGGGCCTGGCCCGGCCTGCCTTGCCGCCCACCCAAGGAGCGCGAGTACGCCGACAAGCTGCGGAAACGTCTCTGCGAGATGCTCCTGCTGCGCCAGGAGCCGCGATGGCTTGTTGTGGGTCCTCTAACTCTCTGAATGGTCCAACGCCCGGGTGTCCAGCTTTGTAGGTGGACGGTGCAACTCTTTGCTTGTTGCGCATATTATCGGGCCAGGCTCGAAGCTGCAGCTAGGGAAGATGAAGCCCATTCTAAGTTGCAGCCTGCATGGCGAGGACGAGGTCCAGCCCCTGTTGGAGAACGTCACCTTCGAGGCTCGGTGCAGTGTCGCTTGTGTCACTGCCCAATTTAGTTTCAGCAGTGGCTCATGTCCAAGATCTGCAGGCCTACGTGCAGCGGATGAGCGAGTGGCAAACTTGGGGTGACGAGATCTGCCTGAAGTGCCTGGATCTTTCAGCCAGATAGACCTGCGCGCTCGTGTCGGTCAGCAGTTCTAGCGAAACAGAGCACTGAATGCCACACTCCGGAAGGCGGAACGAGACACCAGAAGAGTCCGCAAGAGAGTGTGAGAGCAAGACTTCGCCTCATTCATCGGGGAAGAGCCTGGGGAGCTTTGAGAATTAGGGATCCTGAGATGCATCCGTGTGTCTTGTCTCACACGTCTGCAGCGATAGCTTCCAAGGTTCCTCCCGGATGTGGTGAAGCGACCGCTGCAAGTGTACTCCTGTAACTGGGAGAAGCAGGAGCTCTTCGATGCTGGGCTTTACATCCCTTCGAAGAAGGACCGAAGCGCAGCCGGACTTTGAGGAAGTTGAAGGGTCCTGGCGTTCGTTTTGTAACTACTTGTGGCTGATTGGCAGGAGTACCACGGCAAAGAGTGCATCGTTCTCCTCCACAATGGAAAGCGCTGCATCCGGCATTAGATCTTTATTGATTTATTTGCTTTCGACGCGAGAGGATGCTCCTAGTTCTTGGGCTCGGGCTCGGTCAAGCCGGCCGGCGCAGTGTCGGTGGTGGAACTTATCGAACTCACTCCTCCTGCTCCTCCTTCCGAGGTCTCATTTCGATTTGGTGTCCACCGAGTGGCTTCTTGCTTATGAGCAGCGTCTCTGCTCGCAGCAGCATTGAGCGATCTGTCCCCGATGCTGCTGTCATGCGATGGATGTAGGTTAGGCCAGGATGCACCTTGCTGCGTGGTGCAGCCGACACTCCCTTCTTTTCGTCGGAGTACAGCACAGTGCGCTGCGATTCTGGGTTGCCAGCCAGAGTTGCCAGTTGATAATGCCTGCCTGCCCGAAACGAAGACTCGGTTCTTCCAATGTCTGTCTCGGATTTTGGTGTGTGACAGTAGTCGCACCCCAGAGCAGCAACCCAGAACATGTGAATATTCCGTGCTGTCACTAATTCACTGCCAGTGCTGAGTTTCAACTCGCACGTTAACGAGCTTGCCGTGCAGACGGCAACGGAGTAGGCTGAACGGGAAAGATTTGCATTCAAAAGGCCATCATCCATGAAGCCTGCGATGCCAACCTGCTGGAACGCGGGAGCTCTGCGTGTTTCGTCATGTCGACTTTGAATCCTTCTCTCAGCGGCCGATGGAAAGGCTCGCGAAAGGGCGGCAGCAGCTATCCAGGCTCGCCGGGTCAAAGATATGGTTGAAGAGTATGAGACCTATTAAGTCTAACGTTCACCGTCGATCGCCGGGTTCTTGTCTTGGGCCATGAGGCGTGGAAAGTTAGACGAAGATGCGAGCCTCCCCTAGAGTCTGTACTTGTTATGTTGGCAAGCTGGAGGCTTTCGCATGTCTGTCGCTTCTTGCAGAGCTAAGGCTGTTAAGGCTGTTAAGGAGAGGAATTCTGGAGCGCAGCTTGAAGCTAGCAAAAGCGCACCCAGGCACATGGTGCTTCAATCAACACTTGCTCGTATCACTATTCCGTCGCTTCAGCTACTGAGACAAGTCAGACACGGTGTAGCCTGTCATAACGCTTTCAAAGCAGACCATTGACCATTGAAGCCCCCAAATCGTGGAATTGATAAACTCACGGTGATCGCCAACCTCACAGAACAGCGAAAAGAACAAAGTCCTCGAGGGATGTTGGGGGCCCGACGGATCCCAACATCCCGAGTGCAGAAGAGGTAAGTACAGAGAGGAAGTGCGAACATGCTGTGCATAGCGAAGGCTGCGTATCGCCACTACCGTGAGACCACAGAGGTGGTCGCAAAGGCTCGCTGCAGCAATGTGGATCATGAGGATGAAAAGCACGACAGTTTGTGCATTCATGATCTCTTCGACTGCACCGTCCTCACCACGATCATGATACGGAGATCTGCCTTCTCGCGCGAAGCATGTACTAACACACCGGCCCATGCTGCCACAATCGCAAGAGCATGCCTGCTGCCTTCACACGACATGCAGTTTCGGACAGGCCTTGGTGTCGCACCTCCACAGCGCGGCTCTGAGCAGGGAAATGTTGGTGTGCTGGCGGGGGAACCCTCCGCGTTGGGTTTATAAAGGGCTCGAGGAATCCCCGACGGTTTCCTTTTCCTTGCGTCTACGCTCCGCGTGTGGCGATTCGGAGGCCCGCGCATGCAAGAGGGCCTGACGGTGGAAAGCCCTGATGATGTCATCATCTGCGCGCATCGTGCCTCTTCTTTTCGGCTGTCTGTGAAACAAATCAAGCCGCCTGCATGAGCAATCATTTGCAGCATTGCTGCCATCACAACTCAGAGCCTGCATGAACGTGCGAGACCAAACACCAGCTACTTCTTTCTGTGCTGCTTTCTTGATGCCAGTTGCTTGCAGTGCTGAGCCCCGTAAGCCGTAATCCCCCAAATCGTAGATATCTACTGGTAACATACAAACCCTACATCATAAGATCAAAGCTATGCAAAAAAACAACGCTGCGCACATGTACTGTACGTAAATCTCACGTAGTACTATGCCAAAATCGTCCAAGTTACCAATATCCAGAGCATAACACCCTGAATCCCAAGATCCAAGCTGACAGTATGCAGAAACAAGGCCCTCCGCCTGCACCGCCCTCGGCCGAACGCCTGCAAAGCGCAGCAACGCTGGCCTGTGGCTGAGTTGAGACGAAGTTTCACCTTCACGTCGTACGTTTTTCAATCAGATTCGGTGTCAGCGGACATTGGCGCTGGGGCAAGGCTTCGGAGGCTGTGATATTGCTCGCTCGGAGTCAAAGCGCACACTGGCCTCCGCTTTGCGCCCAGGTTCGCAGCATCGTCCGGCGCTACCAAGCCAAGGCACAGCTTCTGAGCAGGGGCTGAAGAAGCTTCCCTTCTGCATCCTGCATTCCTCGTCGCATGAAGTGGCAGGAGCTGCTTGCAACTCTGGAGTTGGAGCAGCTAGAGATGGAGCGGCAGCACCAGCTTCAGGCAGGACATGAGCAGAGCCCACAAACAAGTGGAGCGTGAGATGTGGTGCTATGACACAGGTGGCCGCTGCGAAAACCATCCAGTCCGTCGTTCGATGCTTTCAACTCCAGCAGCAGCTACAGGACTTGGTGGCCATGTGCCGGGGTTCGATCGCTTGGCAGGGTGCCTGCAGGCGTTTCGCGGCACAGGCCACGCTTCTAAGCGCTTGGGACGAACATCAGAAGCGCCGAAGTGCAGCCGCGGTGCGGCTCCAGGCAGCCCAGCGTTCCTTCCGGGCTCAGCGCGAGCTCGCTCGGCGGAAGGCAATGCGGGATGGCTTGCTACTCCTGGGGCCAAAGGAGCACCAGTGCGTACGCCTCTTCCAACGCTGTGGTCGCCGATACCTGGCTTGCCTGGTAGTGTTGGAGGCGGAGCGACACCGCTGGCGGTGCGCTCGCCGCATCCAGGCACTGTGGCGAGGGCACCGATGCCGAGAAGGGCTGAAAGAGACCTTGGACGCTTGGCGCAAGAGCCGGAATCTCGCCGGAGGCCCAGAGGCTTCGAGTGCGGAGGGAGGCCCAGCAGTCAAGGCAGTGGTGAGGCGATCTGTTCTGAGCCTGAGCTCTTCAGCCATGGCAGGCTCAAGATGTAGATAGACTTTAGTTTGTCTCTCAGGGGCAGGGCACAAAGGATCATGCTGTCGTGCCATGTGGCACCCACGCTGTCCTGCCTCAGCGATGATGAGAGGCGGGTGGACCTCACCCTCGGCCCTTACTGTACCCCTCAGCCCCTCAAAGGATGACGGCCTTCCCGCAGGCAGCTAATTCTGAGTTTCGTGCTCGGGGATCTGATCTGCTATCCACGAGTGGCCGCCATCGACAGTAGATTCTTCCTGGCCTGCACTTCCTTGGGCTCCTGGCGAGATGCTTGGATGCAATGCGGCCAGGCCAGTCGGCCACTGGCACAGCTCGCAGTCGCTCGGACCGGATGCCCGTGAGATGAGGAATCTGTGATCGAGATTCCCCGCAAATGGGCTCTCAAACAGGACCGGACCGAGGCCAAGGCAAAGGCAAAGACTTGAAGATTCCGTGACTCCGTGAGTGTCAGGAGTGCCTGGATCAGTTGCTTAAGCTCTCGAGCAACCCGGCTGCACTGCATGGCACGGCTGTATGGCGCACCTCTTGAGTCTTGAGATCTGCCATCTTGTGCAGACGCACCCCAGGCAGCTGGCAGCTGGCGCAGAAGGTGGTGCTCCCTCCGTTCCCTCAACGGCATCGCTTGCAGGCGCCTTTCTGTGGTGCCTGGGGTGGGCTTGGGCCGGCACGTGCGAGCTCCGAGCCCGCCAGGATCAGCTGGCGAAAGACTGCCCTAGCCTGGTCTTGGCACCCTCTGGAGATGGACTCTTGGATCACTTCTGCGGTTTCTCATTGGAAGAATTCTCCCGGACTTCCCAGACTTGCAGGCTCTTAGCCTGGCCACATCTCAGGACCCTACATGCTCTTCGTCATGGGCTGCAACTTAGTCATCGGTGCCAGGATGTCCCTCCACTTCTTCGAACCCAGATACCGCTGGATGTGCCGAAGACTCTTCGCTGGGGAGCCCCCCTATATGCGCCTCAATAGCAATTGCACAAGCAAAGAAAGAGATCAGGATTTCCTGGTGAGTAAGCTGAAAGAGCTGGCTGGCTGAATGAAGCAAGCCTTGCTAGCCGGTATTGGCCCTCCCGAAGCGAAGCATGACATACTGACACACGCAGACAAGAGATCATCAAACGGTGCAAAAGACCCTTATCTTCTGTCCAGGTTCGGATTTGTGACCCATGGCAGAGCCAAAGAAGGTTCGCGCGGCGTGCTTTGTCAAGTCACAGACACTCTCCGGCAGGAAGTTTGCGATCCCGACTTTTGGGTTCAGAATCTGGGAAACAGCGTCTTCACTCTTCAGATCCCTTCCTGACCTCCGAGGACTGGAGCAACAACAGCAACGGCACCTACGACGTGCAGATCCGGGCCGAGGCCACCTTCACCTTGACGGAGGTCTGGCACCAGGAGCAGGGACCAGGGAGTGCCTTCTTCCGTGTGGCAATCGCCTGCTTCGCACACGTAGCCAGAGGATCTTCCGCACAGCTCCCCCCTTGCGCTGGGCTTCGTTGACATCACTTCAGGTGGAGCTCCTCAGCGAGGCCCGGCTGTCACGATTGTGCAGAATTCTGCAGGCATCTAGAGCCTGCCAGCCTTTCGGTGCCCAAACCCACTCCGCTCCTGCGAAGGCGGAAGCAGCCCACGGGTGCTGTCGTCCAGGCGCCGCACCCGGATTTATGGAGTCTTTAATTACAGTGAAAGCATCTTAAAGCTTGCGGGCGGTGCAGTCGGACCCTACAAGGAACTCTGGACGACGGTGCTTCCCGTTGCCTTCCCTCCGGAGATGGCTATCTGGCTTGTGGACTTGCTGCCCACGCCGAATATAAAGCCACATGCAGTTCCCGCGAGCGAATCTCACTTGCTGTACATACCCTTGTAGGTTGTAGAACTCGAAAAGCGTGCATAAGCCACACGTGCCGACTTTAAAGGTAGAGGTGATAGAATCGGCAATAGCTTTTGCCTGCACGATGGCTCCGTCGAGCCCAAAGCGTGGCAATCCGTTTTCAGCTGTTGCTACACGTTGCTACTCGCAGCACAATCTCGCCGTTTTAGTGCTCTGAGAGAAAGGCAGGCGGCACGCCTGGCGTAGGCTCCAATATTACAATGGCGAGCTCCCTAAACTGTTAAACCGCTGAGGCGGCCAGTCGCATTCAGTCGTTTGCGCGGGCTATCCAAGACAGGAAGAGGCCAGCAAAAGCTCCGGGTGCAAGCTCCATGAAAGTCTGAAGGGCAGACAGCATGTCTTGAGTTCCGCTTCGTGTATGAGGGTTGATGGCGGTTGCCAGGTTCCGAGCCGAGAGACTTCGGCGTGATGCAGCGACCCAGTGGGTCTCGAGCTGAGAGCACAATCCGAAAAGACTCCCGGACCGAGGCCTTGAAACTCTCTTTTGAGAATGTGCAGTGCGGATTTGTGAAGACTGTGCTCTGATCAACCCGAGCCTAGATCCAAACGGCTTGGCGGCGGCACGAAGCCTGCAAGATCACGAAGGAGTTCAGAAGAAAGCCAGCGACCCACAGCGTTGATGCGTCAAGGTGCTTCAGAAGGTTTCGGAGATTCGTCCATCTTGCAATGTGCACCTGTCCTGCGTGCACCCAAGCGCTCGACAACTCCAGACAGACTCTGTCGCCGAAGGTGCAGCAGGTACACTTGCAGCAGCAATTCTCGTAGTTCGGAGTCAGGGTGACGGTCACACCGCATTTGGGTGGAACAGCGTCCGAGACGCTGACCAATGCCATCGCATCCACACTATCTCTCTGCCGTGGATGTTCCCAGAGAGAAGGCGTGCAGAGCTGCGCGCTTGCCTCCTCCTGCAGCGTCAATTCCGGGGCCATGCCGTGCGGCGGAGCTGGATCCTCAGTGCCGAGAGCCGGAGATGTGGATGGGCGTCGCATAGTTTGTTCTTCTGTTGCCGGGGGTGCGAGTAGACTTTGAGAGCTGCGCAGTAGTCCCAAAGCATAAGACTTCAGGTTCACTTTCCCGCAAATCATGGGAGATCTCAATTGCGGGGCCCGCTCCTGGAGCCCTCCAAGACGCTCTTCTCTTCCCTCATAGTCAGTGTAACTGTACGCCATTTCAAGTACCAGCGGAGCTTCAGAAAGCCAAAGATGCTGAAGCAGATTTGCTGAGCAAGGCTTTGGAGTTTTAGCCAGGGTTGCAGGTTTAGGGTGTATAGAGCTTAGCAAGGTTTAGGGTTTAGTGTTCTTTGGTGACATCGCGGGTGACCGGACGAAGCAGCAAGTTTGAATGCACTTCGAGAGCGATCAAAACGATTCGGAATAAGGGAAGGCCAGATCGCCATCCCAAAATCGTGAAGCATGCTACAAACCGTAGAACTTACGTGGTGGGAGCAATGCTCGTTGATTGCGAACGGAAGCGCTTCATGCTATTAGCCTTGTGTTCGTTTTGGAGTTGTGTGCCAGAGTCGTACGTTTGAGACGATTCGACGAATGATCCTGAGCTGACTCGGACTCGCCACCTGCCGTTGTCTTGCGTTACGGTGGACCTTTCTGTGTAAGGAATATCGTGGTGTTAGTTGCTTTGTGCCTGCTTCCTGTTCCGAGATGGCGTGCTGGTAGGTTCACACCACTTTGCTTTTTCTGAGTCTGCCCTTCTCGTCATTATGAAGCGAGAATCATAAAAGACATGTATGTGTGCATGCACGACATTTAGTGTCAACTAGAGCTTTTCGCAGTCTTCTCCAGCGACGGCTAGCAGGCACTGGACCTCAGCTCCGGAAACGACAGCATGCAGCTGCTCGCCGCCCCCTTGGAGCGGTGACGATCACTGCATGCACGGCAGCTCTGCTTTGGGAATGTTTTCGTTATGCACTGGAGCGAATTGGATGAAGCAAGCGGTATCAGCTTGGGCCGGTTTGGCAACAGAAGTGGCACGAAATACATGATGCCAATCTTGAGACACTGATTCCAGGTACGCCATCATCAGGCTTCATGTTGTCGGAAAGTGCTGTGTCGGGTTTGAGACTGTAAGTCCGAATACTCATGCAAGGGGTTCATCCAGCTAGACTTGTCTTCGAGGCACCATGTTCTCAGAAGTTCGACCATGCAGTGTTTGCAGCTCTTATTGTTGTTCTTGGGATCCCTTTTTCCGAACTCGCTGGTCGCCGAGGTGTGCAGGGCATGGCAAGAGTACGAAAGGCGAAGCGGGAGGCCAGTCACGCATCTGGTCATCGCAAGTGTTTCTGCACAGATACACGCACGAATGCAGCAACAATTGATCACGACACGTCTTTCAAAACCTTGCTGAATAATCCATGCATGCACACAGGCATTCATACGTGCGTACATCCATACGTACATGCATACATACATACATACATACATGCTCACGTGCAAATGTAGCAGCAGACTCAGCAACACGCAGACAAAGATCTACATGGAAACATAGCTCGCGAGGCCCCACTTTTTGACCAAGAGGGTCTGTGGTGGATTCTTCACGCCGAGAAGTCAAGAGGGTTGTGCCGCAGTTTCTGCCGGTTGACACCTACTCACTGACCCACTCCCTCAAACTTTTTTACACGTGCTCGTACACGTGCGCACACACACATACGCTTATGTATGTACGTGCGTCTGTCTGTATGTACACTTATACAGGCATGTCTACCTTCCTGTACGTGTGCGCTTCTGTGGCTGTGCGTCTCTGTAGCTATGTGTGCACCTGTACCTCCTTCGCCCCAAGTGTCGAAGAGGTGTCTTGCCGTCTTACACGCAAATTCATGTACACTGATGTATCTCTTTCTGTTAGTAAGTCACGGACATGGCGAGTCGTAAAGCGGTCTGTGTATTTCTGTACCTCCACGTACCAAGCGTCTTCTACGATGGATTGACAGATGAATGGATGGATTCATGGACGAGCCAAATCGAGCGAAACTGAAATTCAACAATATGAATGCTTGCATGTATACTGTATAAACGAATGCGTGAATGAGGAAACCTGTATGCATGAATGGCTGGAAACATGAGGCATGCATGAAGGAAGGAAGACAAGACTGACGGATTGACTGAATGGGTCAATGAGCCGATAAATGACTAAACTTTGCAATGAATGGCTGCAGGAATGTACATTAAGATGAATGCACGCTGCCCTTTTTCTGTCTGTTTGTATGTATGTAGGCAAGCTATCTTGGTATCTAACTATCTGACTATCTAACTGTCCACCGATGTCTTTTTTTAAAGTTGTTTATTGCTTTCTGTTTATGTATCTATCTATCTATACCCAGTATTTGCCTATCTATCTGTCTATCTATCTGTCTGTCTGCCTGTCTACCTGAATGTATTCCTCTAGACTCTAGGCATGCATGTACAAAAACTGTTTGCCTCTTGTTCGGATAGGAATGCAACCATGTGTGGCATAGGCTTGAACAGTTTCGGTGCCTGCGGCCTGTGGCAGGTGGAACGGTTGCGCAAGGAGCTGGAACTTCGCCGAGAGGCTGCGGTTACCAAAATCCAGAGCTGCATGCTCCCAGCCAGCAAGACTTGCTTCGAGGGTTCAGAATTCAGACATCAGGATGTAGAGCCTCGAGTTTTGGGCGAGATGGGGATGGGAGTGCCGTGGCCGAGTAAAGGCTCGTAATTATGCGGCAAGAGTGGCAGTCGTAGTTGTATCATTGGCAGCGGGTGGTAGCTAGAGTCGCAGCAAGGCTTGACAGTGGGAGTCAAAAGGGTAGAACGAGTAGCGAGGGCAGGAATAGTACAGATCGTAGTCAGAGCAAGAGCCAGGCGGGGGCAATAGCCGTATCTAATCCAGAAGAGGTGGGGTTGTTTTTGCACCGGGGTTGAGATTTGCAGTCGGCCACTGCCTTCCTTCTATAGTGGCTTGCAGAGAAAGGTCAGTAAGGCTCTAGTACTCCGGTGCCACGTGAGGCATGTCATGGCTTGTTCCAAGGGGGCTCTTGATGTTCCTTTCTCTGTCGCCTAGGCGTCTCAAAGAGCGCTTTGTCGTGCAAATTTCCCGAACTGAGGCGCGGTGTAGTGGCTCGGAGGAAGGCCTCCGTCAACTTGCTTCTGTTGTACTTGAATTGCCTGATACTACATGTGAATGTCGTGCCCAGAACGGCATCGAGGTGTTGCCACAAATCACCTTCCGACGCCTGGCGGCGAATGGCTCAGCTGTCCGGCATCGCCGTGGTGGTGGCCTTGATGCTAGGAAGGATGTAAGATTGGGGGGCGCCTTCTTGCCACTCCCATCTTTTCTGACGCAGCCAGTGGTTCAACTGCGTGACAATGCAGAGGTCATTCGCATGCAGGCTTTCTTGCGAGGCGTCCTCGGGCCTCGACCTCAGTTGCACATCGCGTTTGCCCCGGTCCTTGACGCCTCGACAACACAGGCGGGCGCGTGCCCGAATCGCCAAGCGAAATCGGGCTGCCATCAAGGCTGCACGGAGCTGTCCCTCTGTGTTGTGGGTCTCGAATGTATATTCTCGGATCATGGGGCTTGGCTGCATGTCGCCTTTGGTTCTGGTCCTGCACCTCGCTGTGCAAGCTTGCTACTCCTTGCATCTGCCGCGGCGGTGCCCCTGCGGACGGAGGGTGACATCCGTTGTCCAGCCTCGGAGTTGCCCATCAAATGTGAACAAGCACACAAATGAAAAAACATACATAAGCGAATACAGAAAGAAAGATAACAAGCTTAAATGGATCTTCATGACGAATGACACACCCATAGCCACCGGAGATAGGAAACTCACTTCAGCTCGTGGTCAGATCGAGAGCTTCTGGCGCGGCGGGCTCGCCAAGGCGGAGGCCATGCGGCGCAGGGCGTCGGCGTCTCGGATGTGAGTCTGTCGTGGGGTCACCAAGAGCCGAGCTAGAAATCTCCCAGGGCCGAAGCAAACCGGCTCCTGGAAGCCTTGCTGGAGGGCAATGTGCCCTTGCTGGGCACTCGGTGTCGAGGGCCCCGCCCCGGTGACTCTGGCCTCTTGATGCCTCTTGGCTCTTGGCACTGCTGAACTCAGGACGGATGGCACGCCGCGCACCGCGGCCGGTGGCAGAGCCTGGCTGGGCAAGGCGATGGCAATCGGCGGAATGCGATCTTTTCTTGGCTTCGAAGTCTTGTTTTCGCAGACTTGGGTTCGACTTTGGGGTTTGCAAGCGGTTTGGTGCTGGGTACCGGGCTTACAGGTGACTGCAGCGCTGGAGTGGAAAGCTCAGAACGATGCAGACGAAGAGGACAGCGACACGAGGTCACCCTCATGCATGCGACATGACAGGCAGCATAAGCCGAGCGACTGGATGGAATCCCAGCCAAGCCCTGTCCGTCGAAGTCTTCGCTTCGTGCCTGTGCACCTTCCCATGTGCAGGACAAACTGATGCGACTGCGACGGCAACTGGCTTTCAGCCGGCTTCCACAAGTACTGCTGGAGGCATAGCCGAAGCTTTGCAGGTGTTCAATCGTAGACAACACTCTGCCTATACTTAGACCTACTGTCTCTTCATACATCTGTGCGTCCTCGTGCCTTTCTTTCGCGTCTCCAGGTCTATCTGTAGTACTGACAATAGTCTAGTGGTGCATAAGTCGAGAAGTCAGCGGAGACCTCAAGCTTGGGAGTGCCTCATGGGAGCCGAAGGAGGTCGGAATGCCGGACAGCATCCTCTCTGCAGCCCTCCTGGACCGTTCTGTGGTTCGGGCCCGATGCGAAGGGAGAGCCAGCTTTGAGCCCACAAAATAGTACTTGTAAGTGCGGCGCGTTGGCAAGAAGGACCCCCAGGGCGTGCTAACTAATTGTGAGAGGCATCCGCTTTCACGTGGTCGTGAGGGGTTGAGGTCTGCTGGGATTGTGCAGGCCCGAGGCATCTTGTACCGTACAAGCATAGCAACTGCGACTTCCTCGTCCAGGTTGACAGTCCGCTGGATCAAATGGATCAATCTAGAGTCTGGTGCAGCTGATGTGAGCAAGATCCGCGCAGGTGGTTGTTGATGTTTGCAATTTCATCTGTCCTTGCCGCATTCAATCACCCCCTCCCCGCTCTTTGTGTTTCCTCGGTTTCGCTGAAAACAAACCCATCATGAAGCTACCCTCTAGCCTGCAGAGCCCTTTCTGCTTCAATGCCTCGGCCAGGTAAAAAAAGAGATCCTCTGAAATCAAAATCGGTTTCCCAAGGCCGCCCTGGGGATCTGCAAGCGCCGTGCCCGGCACCGCATCCGGGCTCTTCTGCAGACGCAGATCTGCCAAGGCAGGGAAGGGACCCAGAAAGGCGTTCCGATGAAGACCTGGGACCTGGGAGCTGGTCTTCAGGTGGAGAGCTGGTATTCAACAGGCAGATGCGCAGATCCTTGTCCGTGGACCATGGCGCGCGGAGCTCAACGTCAAGCTATGCGTTGCAGCTCTTGCTTAGAGCTCGTTTTTTGCTTCGAGCCTTCGAGGTGCTCATTCGGCTCACAACGGAAGATGCTGTTCGGGAGGCGGACGCGTGTTCTGGAGGAGCTTAAAGCTGCGGTCTCTCCCTGCTCGCGAGGTCTCCAACCTCCTCCTCACCTCCTGGTCTATTGCAGCAGCGCGACGCTCTGCATCGCAGGGAGCCCAAGAGGGTCGGGACGTGGCAAAAGCTTTGAGGCATCGGGTGCATCGTGCTTCATGGCAGGTCGGCCGGAGGCGCCTCTACGACTCTTCAAGTGCTGCAGTCAGGTGCCCTGAATAGTTATTGGGCCTTGGGATATTTGGGTAGCAACGGAATGCGCAAGTGGTGGGGGAGCATTATCACTCTATCCTATGTAGGCCATGATGCCTTCGGGGAGTGAGCAGAGGTCCGATTGCAGTTTGTGGTTCGTCGCAGGCCTTCACTCCCTGAAGCGGAAGTTGCACGTGGAGCTTTATGCCACAGGCAGGAGCCGTTCAGATTACCGATGCCACCACACAAAATCTCAGCATAAGTAATGTGAAAATCACGAACTAAGCGATGTAGGTCATATTGATAAAGGCCTCTGCGACGCAAAGACAGGCAAAAGCACCCAGCCGCAAGACTCGGCAGCCCTGGCTGCACTGGTCGCGTCTGGAGAGGAGGCGGCGACGAAGGCGCAGACGAGCCGAGACGGGAGTGGATCATCCAGCACTTGACAAAGCCAGTCTTCTCTTCGCGTAGTGAGGCGGTCGAGCGGGCCGCCGCCGCAAGGGACAAGGTCCTGACGCCCTTGGAGCAGGCCGCCGCGTCGCAGCAAGGGTTTTCAGACAAGGGAGAGATGTGCGCTGTGGGCTGTGCACGATGCTGAGGAGCACGCGGCCCTGATGTCCGAGAGCAAGGCCGATGCAGGATGCAGTTCGAAGCTGTTTGTCTCCCTCCAAAGCTGTAGCCGCGTAGCCTTCGCGGTGTCGGAGGCGGCTACGACAGCACTGAAGGCTGCTGTTGAGAAAGTGCAGCCGGAGGCCAGCGCTTGCACAGTTCTCGTTCGCGGTGCTGTGGACGGGTTCACGCGAAACCGGTGGTGTCAATCGGAACCGGCGTGGTGTCATGATAATACCTCCTGCCGCCCACGGCCCCTGGACCGGGGATGTTAAGCAGGCCCACAGAGGTCAAAGGCTGTCAAGGATAAAAACATGCCCAAGCCGATATAGACGGAGCGGCTGCCAAGTCGCGACGATGACCTGTACAGGTCGATGCTATCAAGAGGAAGCATCAAGATGAGGCCAAGCAGGCGCACCTGCGATGCACTTTGCAAGTGCCGCAGCATTTGGGCTTCGGGCAAGTTCCTGGCCCTTCTGGCAGGCGGAGGAGAAGCTTCGTGAAGAAAGGAAGCAGAAGCACGAGCAAACGGCCCCACGGCAGCGCTTGTTTGAGGCTTTTTGCTCATGTCGGAGCTGCATCACATAGCAGCGCAAGCAACAGCAGAAGCTAAGGCTAGACTCCTATAGACTGGGCCCCAGGTCGCTAAACTGGGCCCCAGGTCGCTAAGCAAAGCACACGCAGGATAATGGAGAGTGCTTACGACAGTTTGCCTGAAGGAAGCAGGGTGCGAACTTGAAATAACGATGCCTGCGACAAAGTTGGCGGAAAACAGCAACGACTGCAGAACGTCAACGGTAGGCCGGGCCGTCCAGTTAGCTTTGCTATAGAAGGTACAGGAATCGATGGATTCTATATGATTCTATTGTCTTGGGTATTGCATTGGCATGTTTGGATACAGGGCACGGGCAAGACCCCTTTGCAGGAAGGCGCGTTCGGAGGTCTCAGTTATGCTTCGGGCCCATTCGGGCCGATCGGGTCGTTCTTCTCTGAGGTCGCGCTTCACAAGATTGCCATCAGCACGCAGATCGAAAAGGCCGGTTCGGCAAGCTATGCACACAAACCGGTTCCTAAGCCCTATAGAAGGGAAGAAGCTGCCTTCGCTGACAGGAGCGTTTGGAGGCTGGCCTTGTGGACAAGAGCAGGCTCCGCACCCCTTCCACGCAAGTCCCCAAGCTAAGGCCATAGCTGCCTAGCTGTGGCCAGGCCAAAGGTTGCCTGCTACAAGAAAGTCTTCGCGAACGTTAAGGAACTGCAGCAAGAGCTCAAGGCAGCAACCGCTGGGGCCGTGCTTTCCTTCGGGATGGTTCTTCGGGATGGGGTTGCGGGCTTGTGGACTTGCGGTACTGGAGAAAGCTTTCCTTCACCATCACACAGCTGTGCGTCGGCTTCGGAGGATTTGGAGGTCAGCGGCACGGCTAATCGGCGAGGGGCTGAGCTGGTCCTGCAGGTTCAGAAAGCTTGTGCTGATTGGCCCTGCATCTTTCTTCCCGGCTTGAGCGAATCTGGAGGAAGAGCCAGGGCATTCTGCAGCACACTCTGCGAGCCCTCGAGTGGCAGCCCCGGACATTTCTGTTTCTGCGAGTGTTAGAGAGTCTAGAGACTCTGACTCTCAACCCGCCTCTTCCCGGCAGGTCCCGGGCAGTCAAGGCGGAAAGCGACGCCAAGGCGAAGGTGCTCTTTGGCACCCCGGCAGAAGACAGCGAAGAATTCACCGTCTCCAAGACTCTCGTCGGTTCGCCCGTTCGCCCGCTTTCTTATCTTTCTTAGGCGAGGAGGAGCAAGATGTCAAGGACTTCAAACCCAGCGCTCAGGCAGGGCACAGCAGGGCAGGCCCTGGCCTTCTCAGCTGGGCTTCGACGTGGCGCAGGTGCTCAAAAAGCAAGAGAAGAGCGTGGAGCAAGAGGAGCAGTTCCAAGTCCAGCTCGAGCGCGGATCCAAGCAGCGTGGGTGCAATGGGGACAGCGCCCTGTCTGCAAGAGTTTGAGGTCCGAGGTGCATAGCCTCCGCGCTGACCTGGAAGCGAAAGCCAGCCGCGAGGCGTTGACGACACGCACAAAAAACTTTTCGGGGAGTCAGTGCCGGAGCCGGACCTGCAGGCTGGCCTTCTCGGTGCACAGCTGCGCCGGGAGGCAGAGGAGTTGGGCCAGGCCCGTCCTGTGACCGCAAGCAGAACAGAAGTCCCCGCCTTGTGGACTTTGCAAGGCCGCGGCATCAGTGGAACGTCGCATCGTCAGCTGGAAGGCAGTGTCTGAAGAGTCAGAGCTGGAAGATATGTTCATCACTGTGTGGGGCGCTTGTTGTTAGGAGCGGGCGGATGCTGTTCGGCAGTGGCTGGCAGAGGCGAAATCGCATCGCAAAGACTGCGGGGTCAGAAATGACGAACATGAGAGGTGGTGCCAGTGGCAAAGTCTGCATCGCGCGTAGTGACGGCGGCCGATTTCGTCAAGGCACCGCTGGCAAACTCTGGCATGGCCCGGTTTGGAGTAAGCGCAGTGTCGGAATGAGTCTGCCACCACCTGCCCGGAGGCTGCCGAAATTCATGTCGTTCCTGTTGTGTTGGTGCCGTTGCACACGCAATGCCAGGCTTGCCAAGCGTAGCGGCCCCAGAAACCTCAGCAGTGTGGCAGTGTGGTTCCATCTCATCTCATTTCTCCGTTAGCCATGAGAGAGACTCACCCCAGAGAGCATAAAGGGAGGGGGGAAGCATGCAGCGGTGCAGCGAGGCCCGAGTCTGAGCACACCTACGGGGCGTGCCTCCGGGCGGTGGCCAAGCAGGTGATCTCACTCCTCAGTGAGGCCAGCGCTGGGGCCTTTCGCCAAATTCCATGGGCGGGCCGCTTCGTGAGCGTTTGCATAGTCTGCACTGTGTTTGCATGCTTTGGCCACTTCCTGCTGTTTCGGAGGCCGAGAACGTTGCTCGAGGGGCGTCCTCCCCTCGTGAAGGCGCCGGCAGGGCTTCATTAGCTGGTCAGCGCTCCGCCGCTGTCCCGAACGTTTGGCAGCATTGCACAGCACGGTCCAAACGTGGAATCGCGAGGCGACCTGGCCCCGCACCTGCAGCGGCTCAAGTCGACCCTAAAGGCTCGCCGGTGTACGGCACGCACCAAGGGATGATGGCGATGACGCTGCGTTGTGTAGACGAGACAAGTGCGCGGCAGACGTGTGGTTTCCGTGTTTGCACGTTCCTATACGGAGCCTTGGAAAAGTAGAGGATCACTTGGTCACACAGTTCAATGCTTCGAGTGCGCTGTGTAAAGATTGAGGAAGGTTTTTCTGCGTTCAGGCACTTGGCGAGCTGCGGGTGACTTTCCCGGATCCGCCAGATGTGCGGAGCTCGCCCAGCGCGGCCAAGGGGAGGTGGCTCGGCAAGAATGGCAGGTGGCGGGATGTGGCGGGTGAGGTTCAGGAGTCGTCCGGCGATAGGCAACATGTTCGAGGCGGGTGGATTTGGGCTTTTGGCAGCTACCGTCGAGCCAAGCTAGACAGCCCAATGCAACACATTTCCAGCTGACTCGACGGCAAAGCACTGTCAATCCGGTGACGAGCATGAGTGATTTCAATGTTCACAGCCTCAGCGTTCAAGAGTCGGGGGTGTTGCCTAGGAAGCGGCTCTATGGCAGGGAGGATGGCGATGAAGACGACGCAGAGTCCACAGAAGCTTGGAACTTGGAACTCAAGCGCGTGGCCCGCTACGTTGCACTCTGTGCGCTAGATTATGCTCTTTGTATGAGTGGCTCACATCCTTTTCTGAAAGCTTTTGGTCTGTCCAGCGCATGGCAAGGCTCCAAAGGCCAGCAGCCAGGGCTCGAGGCGCGTGCTTCGGTCTGAGAGGGCCGAGGTCTGCAGAAAGGCCTAGAAAGCCAAGGAAGACCAAACCCGCGAACTCCGGCAAATCCTCGACCATGCAAAGATGACATGCAATGAACCTGTGAGAAGGAGATTTGGAGCGAGGGAGAGTGCGAAGCGAAAGAGGGAAGGCATGTGTTGAACCATGTGGAACGCCCCTTTTCCTGTGATCCCCACGTGTCATGTGGCATGAGATGTACCTGTCCGCCAGGAAGAACTCCATCAGCACGCCTCCGCCTCTGCCGCTCTCCACGGTGGAGGGGGCCGACGATGCCGAAACGGACACGCCGCGCGAGGACTGTGCGAGCGTGCCAACGGACACACATTTCGGGGGAGAACTGGAACGACCCCGAATGCCCCGTGTTGCTCTAACTCTAACAGGCCCTAACACCTCGAATTACGCCGCAAGCAGTTCTAGGCGCCAGTTTGTTCAAACTCAGAAACTAAGGCATGCATAACAGATTACATGTCCGCAACCTTGACATTGACACAGCCCGCAGCACAGTTTTTCCAACGTCTTCGTGACACGCATTGTGCGAGCAGATGGATTTTCCGAGAAGGCAGATTCAACGGGGGGAAGTTGTCATCCAAGCTCCGAAGCGATGGCATCTGGTGAGCTGCGGCTTCGCGTGCTGCAGGCCTGTGAAAGTATGGGCAACGGGGGCATGGCCAGGCGGGGTTCGCCTGGCAGGTCGGCGACCTGCGCATGAGAGTGGCCGAGCAGGGCGATCCGGCCACCTGCCTTGACGGGAAGTTGAGGACTCACAAGGTGTGCAATCAGGCGTGCTCCAGAAACTCGAGACATCTGCAAATTAGGCCAACCCACTGGTGCTGCTCATCCATGGCTGGCCCGAATGCTGGCTCCTCGCTGGCACAGTGGCTTTCGCTGCCTGGTGGCAGTTTGGCGGTTTTTTGCAGGTTCTCGTGGCGCTGGCAGCTGCCTGCTCTGGCACAGGCAGGCCCCGTGGTTCCGACGGGGCTCTTTTTGAAAGCATGAAAGCAGAAGATCCGGCTGCGTAGGCTGGGTACTACGCAGTGGCGCCGGACATGCCCGGTTATGGAGGCACGGACTCTCCCAAGGAGGTGTCCAGGATGCAGCTTCGAGCGCTTCAGCAGGGAGAGCTTGCGCAGTTGTTAAGATCTCCTCCAAGGTTGCTCGCTACGATTCCAAAAACATAGGTCAGGAGACTTGGCTGCGATGCGAAGGGATTAGGGTTAGGTCTGCAGTTTGGGTTTGAAGCCAAGGACATGCTGTCACTCCTGGGAGCTCTGGGAAAGGATTGCTATGCCCTTGTTGGTCATGACTGGGGTGCCCTCCATGTATGGTAGCCTGGTACCATGTCCAAAGAGACGGCTTGCACCGAAACAGAGCTTCCGCATCCTGTGAGCCTGTGAAGCTCGAGGTTTCTTGGCAGCCTCTTTCCGGAAGCCTTCCCTCGGCTGCTCGGCTCGGGATATCTCGGGATAACATGGTGGTGCGACTCGGGACAGGGAGCTTCTTGAGGCTTTGTGCCATGAGCGTGCCGCCGCTCTTCCTCCACAGCCAGCAGCCTCCGGTCCGTGAACTCAGCGCGAGATACGGCGAAAACTTCAACTACATCCTCTACCACAACGAGCACAAAACCTACGGGGAGTCCTGGCCGGTCTCTGACGAATCCGCGGTCTCCGGCCCGGCGGATCGGGAGTACGACGCCGACCCGGAGAACTTCCTGCTCCGCATCTACCTTTCTGGCGCATTGAACACTTCCGAAGTGAAAGCCATCCCCTTGGAGGTACGCGAAAAAACCTTTTGTCGAAAGCTAAAGAAAGCAGTTGTGCCCATCTTGCCGGCCTGTTGCAGCACCCGCAGGCCGACCGCAACAAGGATCCGAAGCGTTCCAGTGGTGGATGCCGCACGCGCCTTCCGCAGCCGATCAAGGGGGTGCCAAGGCTCATTCAGAAGACAGACGGATTGGGTTGCTGCCTGAGGGGCTGGTACCGTAGCGCTTGACTTGATAGAGAGCTTCTGCAACCCTGTCGACAGTCTACAGTAGGTTCCATGCAGAATCGTGCAGAAGCGTTCAGGTTCAGGGATGGTTACATCTCACTTCCTGGGAGACCTGAGGTCTGGGCGAGAGCTGTTGAGCTTTCCACCGTCACAGCGCTTGCGTGAAATTCCACAACGCATTCACAAGTTAAAATGAGGCACCTTTGCCCTCCTGGCTTCCCCGTCCTGCCTTGGACCGCTTCGTCGACGAGTTTCGAAAGTCGGGCAGCTCGTCTTTGCCGGAGCTAATGCTGGAGCTAGTGCCGCTGTCCTGCTTCCTGCTGTTACGCTGCCGACCTGTCCGTCGAAGTCCTGACACTACTCTCGTGTTCATGCCTTTCCTAGTTGCAGTGTTTTGGCGAAGTAGCATTTCCTACCGCATTCAAAGCGCGACTCGGTGAGAGCCAACGTCGCTGTCTTCGTGGTCCGGTGCGTGTAGTTTTCGATTGGATGCTTCATTTGCCGGTATTGCACGGGAAGACGTGTCAGCTTTAGGTAACAGGCAGCCACCCAAGATAGGCACAGAACTGCTAGGCTCGTTCAGTGACTCTTGATGAAAAATCGTTGCCGCAGCAACTCAGGATTTCGAGGAGGGCTGAACTACTATCGATGCCTGGATCGAAATTGGGCACAAGTTCAGGAGCCGTTGAAGAAGAGAGGACGGAAAATCCTGCAACTCGTCACGGCATCCATGTCTTCATATTCCTTGAGTCCATGAGCTGTGCACAGAAGCCGGTGCAAGCAAGGCAGCCTCTCTTGTTCATCGCTGGGGAGCTCGACAACGTCATCCACACGAACGGTGGCATGGAAGCTTCGACGGCCGCGCTTCGCAAGACTTGCAAAGACCTTCGTGGGATCGTCTACATTCCGGACTGCGGCCACTGGAACACACAGGAGAAGCCGCACGAAACCAACGTCGCACTCCTCGGATTCCTGGCTTCAACGAAAGATCTGGGCAGAGGTGCGAAGCTCCGCAGAAAAAAACGGTTGAGTTCGGTCGCCTGCGGTTGCATCCTTGCAGGGCCCGGGCCGCGCGAGCCGACCAGCCGGCTGTAGTGAATGCTCTCGAGTAGCGGTAGGCTGGCGTTTCGGGGCAGATTGCAGCGCTCAGACCTGTCGGATCGACCGGGCAGCGTGCAAACACTGGTGTGCTGATTTCCTGATTCTGATGCCATCCGAGATGCCAGACAGAGGGACGCTCCAACCCCAACATCTGCGGGTCCGACCCGCCCCCGTGCTTGACCACAAGTCCGAAGCCCAAAGCTTGAACAGAGGCACAAGCAACAGACAGAGAAGTGAGACGCAAATTCGCAGCTCCAGACTTTCCGCTTCAGGGCCTGGGCCCTGTTGAAGGCTCTTGAGACGGTGGAATTAGGAAGCAAAACTCGTCGGAGGACTCGGGTCCGGCGGCGAGCTTTGGACTCCCGGCGGGACCACCGCCCAGCCGTCCGCCTCCGAGGCCTGGGGGCGGAAGCGCTTCTCCTCTCAGTCTAATCGTGCGGCGAGCGATTTTCTGGCAGACGTGGCAGTCGTAATGGCAGCAGTGCTCGTGCCGCCGAGAGCATGCAGTTGAAAATATCAGCTGGTCTCTGAGGCAGGGGCCGCCCCAAGCGGCGCAGGGGGCGGCGGCGGCCGCAGAAGGCTTCAACCTTAGCAGCTCCTTGGCCGAAGTGGTTGACATGGCCCCGACGCGATGGGAGCCGCTCTGATCTGAGATGCGACCTCGACTTTGGCGGAGCTGGGCCAAAACCTTTCGGCGCTGTCCTCCACGCCCGCGGCCTCAGAGCAATCTGCCATCAGGCTCAGCAGGCTCAGGGTCAGGCGGAGGTGAGCGGCGATCAGCGCTTCAGGTTGTCGACTTGTCAAGGACCCTGGGACTCTGCTCTGAGACCATTCTTGCGAAAGCATCGAAACTGATGGCGGTCTCCGTTGTCTCGGCAGCCGAGGTCTGTAGGCATAGCTTGATCGAACACCGTTACCGCCGTGCAAGAAGCATTCAGTCCTTGGTTCCAGAACCTACGAGCTTTACTATAGCCCACTAGTTGAGCAACCGTGGACAGCAGCCTGGAGCTTGAGCATCGTCGATGGGCCTTTGCCCCGCCTCCCGCGTGTATGTCGGAGCGGAGCCGCGCTGCCGTGGCCCAACTGGCAGAACAACTGCCGGATGGACGGCTGCGGATCTGCATCCTCGGGGGCACCTCCGTCCAGAGGCAGGGACCGGGAGATGTTGTTGAACCAGCATTTCCCGAATTGGTGACACTTGCCCGAAGGAAGGAGAGCGAAGAGCTCGCACATCTCATCGCGCAGGGCCTGTCCTCAAAGCTGCAAGGGCGCGTCTTTGTGTTCACAGAAGGTCCGGCTTGTGACTGTGCTCGTTCGGAAATCAGCCGACGTTGATCTAAATAGCGTGCTGTTTCACCAGGATCAGGGCGGCCTTTCAGGCTTCAGCACTTTGAGTTCCAGAGCGTCAGGCTTGTTCGATGTGATTCCCTGAAAGGAATGCCGGGCATCCAGAATGCCTTCGCGAGACAATGCAGCGAAACTATACTGCACAACCTTGTCCTTGAGGGGCAGGCGCGGAGTAGGATCGATGCGACATTGGGATCAGCGAGTTTGATGTTCCGAATCTCAGCCTTGAGCAGTCTGGGTCTGGTCAGATGGTCCCTAATGCGCGCCAGGCATGCAGCTGGCACGGAACGGAGCTGAGCGCCGGCGAGAGCATCTCTGAAAGAAAGGACCTCCTTACAGAATCTCGAGCAAGAAGCCTTTGCCTGTGGTTTTCTGGTTTGGACAGGAGATCTTTAGCTTGCTGGGCGACGTGTACGTCGTGTTGGAGGGCGGTCCCGGCGTCGCGAAGCAAGCTCGCACGGCCTTGCGCCGGGGCGCCTGCATTCTGCCACTCGCGAGAACCGGCGGTGCCAGCTGTGGGCTCTTCGACTTTCCCAAGAAAGCTCTGGAGAAGCCGAGCTTCGTGGAGGAGATGTGCTGGGAAGCCCTGCAAAACGCAGAGCTGCCCACAGAGGTGACGGCCGAGGCGGTGGTGGCCATCTGTGAGGCTGCTTCTGAAATCTCAGGAGGCTTTGGGAGGAGCCTTCTTGAGACGGAGAGTGACGCCGACGACACAGAGGATCTCGCTTTAAGTCCAGCAGCTTGGCTCCAAGAGCCTATAGCCTCGCAGTCCTCGCAGAAGTCTGATGTACAGTAAGGACTCGTCCAAGCCGCTCCTGGAGCACGATGTGGCCCTGGCCCCTGACTCGCGAAGAAGCGCGCCCTTCTACGCGTCCCAGGACCAGGAGGCTTTTGCTTTTCGAGTCGGAGCCGTAAGAGCGGAAGTGTTTGGGATGTGTTTGGGATGTCCAGGACAGCGGAATTCGTGCTGATGGGCTTTCGAGGGAGGAGATCGGTGCCGTTCGGGAGATCCTGGGCATCAGCCGGCCAGGTCGCTGAGACCTGCAAATTGTCATGAACTTGAACTTCATCGAATACTGCGTCCATGCAGCTGCATTCATGTCAGACGACCATCGTCTTTGACAATTATTGACCATTTCATGACAGTGGTAAGTGTTATGATTATGATTAGTTATTAGTAGTTCTTGACCATTAGCATACTTGTGTGATTTTCGTACTGTTCTTGTTTTCAGTTTTGGTCGCTGAACTTTGCGGAATCTCGCTTGCTGTTGCCTGGCAAGCGGCTTCTGGCATGTTCCAGGCTTGCCATCGGCATCCAGCACTGGTCACGGCCGTAGCCACCCAGTGCCGTGGCTAGGGCTTTAGGATTTAAGGTTTCCAGTCTATTCAGAGGGATGTTTAGGGTTTGAGAACTAGGCTTGAAGTTTTAGAGTTTAGGAAATTTGGGGTTAAAGGCCTATATGATTCACCAGTTGGGGTTTCATTGAGTGGCGCCGCACTGCGTGTAGCCTGCAACCAACTTCAGGACCACACGAGGTCCAACATTTCAGGGCTTAGTTCCTAACGTTTTCAGGTATCTCAGTGGGGGGCCTGCTGGGGGCAATTGAATTTTCGTGGCCTTTGCAGGTTTTTGGCGGCAAATAAAGTGCCATTGTAGAGTTTCTCCAGTGCCACCATGTAAAAGGGTGCCCCTGTAGCTGTGCCCCGCACTCCGTGTGGCGGGTTGTCGAAGACGTTCGGGTTTACCAAAGGTTGAGGGGGTTGTAGGGTTTCCATTCGATTCACATAGTGTGTGCGCCAGAAGTGATGCTAACTACTGGCTCAGGCTGTCCAAATCTCTTGTGTTCCAATTTTCGTGTTAACCATGCTGATGCAGTTGTTTCGGTCCCGATTTGTAGATCTTCATGGCGATGATTGTGTTGTGTATATATACACACTATATTGTACTATGTTACAATGTACTACACTATAAACTAAGATGTTGTTTTGTTCTATGTTATATTCTGGTAGATTGTATTGCTGTTTTTATTATGTTAGTATATGCTAAAAGAAGCAATGTTATTATGTTATGTCAGAAAATGTCACGGTATTTTTGTGATGTCGAATCATCTTATGTCGTTCTTATGGTCTACTATGTCATATGATGCTAGAGTGCTACCGGAAGAAGAGACACGAACAGGCACGCAAGAACGAAAGACCCGCCGCCGCGCTTTTCGAGCCGTGCAAGCTTGATTCAAAGAGTGTTTTCGAAGCCCATCATGCGAGCGTTGTGTCTGCAAATGGCTGCGCCCCCCCCAACCCCCCCGCAGTTTTAAGCCGTGCAGGGTTGCTTTGCAACATATGGCTTTTTTTGAAACCCATCACACGAGCATTGTGTTTGCAAATGGGGGGGCTCAGCCCTTGTAGATACATGCTGAACCAGAATCGCCAAATGAGGGGGCGTGTTTAAGATAGATGATGAAGCGGAATCGCCTCTGAGGGGGCGTGTTTAAGATATAGGATGAGCCGGAATCGACGAACGAGGAGGCGTGTTTAAGATATATGAGGAACTGGAATCGCCACATGAAGGAGTGTGTTTAAAGTATATTATGAGCAGGAAACGCCAAATGAGAAGGCGTGCTCTAGACATATGAGGGACCACTACTACTACTACTACTACTACTACTACTACTACTACTACTACTACTACTACTACTTCAACTACTACTACTACTACTACTACTACTACTAATACTATTACTACTTCTACTACTACTACTACTTCTACTTCTACTTCTACTACTACTACTACTACTACTACTACTACTACTACTACTACTACTACTACTACTAGAACTACAACTACAACTACAACATACTACAACTACAACCACAACGACAACAACAAGAACACTACCAGCAGCAATTACAACACGAAATCCGTCCTAAATGCGATATTGTAAGGAAAATCTGATTTTCCCGAGGAATTACCAAGGTAACGTATGTTTTCCTTCTGAAAATGTTTTCCTTCTGAAAACCTGAAGAAATGACACGAACGCCATAAGCAATAGGATATCGTGTTTCCTGGCAAAAACCAAGGAAAACTTAAGGAAATAACACGGAATCCGTAGGAACATCGTGTTTTCCCGAGGACTAACCAGCAAATCCTAAGGACATGAAAGAGAATCCGTAGGAAAATATTGGAAAAGCCAGGAATTGCTGTATTTAAAAGACTTTAATTTTTTTGGATGTTTATTTTAACTATTTGTTGATGCCTCTGCCCCAGAAGGCTTGGAAGTTGCGGGCGACTCGCGAGGACGTCACATCACACATGGAGTTGAATGCGGGTGATTTCACCCTTCTCGCTTCCTGCGACATTGGGCGGGTGGACAGGAGAAGGCATGAGGGCATTGCACCGGAAAGGCGCACTATCTTGGCTTCTAAGGACCATTCCCAACGTCCGGCCAAACCCACTCTGGACCTCTTCTTGAAAACGGCTGGCTTTGAGGCGAGTTCGGGACGTGAGGCGCCGCAAACCGGGGCGGAGGGCGGTCTCAGCACTGATGATCGACCAGCTGCGGGGGAGAATAAAAGCGAAGGCCAGGCTGAGGCTGAAGCCGCCAACAAAAAGGGCCAAAAAGGAGGAAACGGGCCCGCTCATCGCGGGATTGGAGGTCGTGCCCAACGCGGGGGAGGGCAACTTTCTCTTCAACGCGTTGTCGGATGCTTTTCGGCAGAGGCACCCGGGCCATGCCAAAGGGCCGGGAGTCCTGCGAGCTACGGCTGCGACTCACCTTCGGAAGTATCGTGACGTCTACGCTAAGGTCTGGGATCGCGGCACGCCGGATGCAGCGCAGACCATCATGGGCGAGAAAGAGTTCGACAAATACCTGGAACCCACTGGCTAAGGAGGGCGCTTGGGGTTCGGCATTGGAGGTCACGGCCATCCCCATTCGAATGGTTATTGACCGGGGCTCCTACCTTTTCAATGGCAGGGGTCGCCGAAAGGCGCGATACATCCGTTTTCACCGCCGACACTACGAGGCGCTCAAAGGGGAGGTGGCCAATGATGCAGCTTTCGGAGGGGCCGCGGGTTGGCCTCCGAGCTGGTGGGGAGGAGGACCTTTGTTCCATGGCGACGGCGGCCTCGCTGCGCTGGGCTCTCCGTGAAGCCTCCCTCTATCGGTGCGGCCTCGGCTCCTTCAAAGCTTCGAGCGAAGGCCTCCAGTCGCGGCCCTCCTGAGGCTGAAGTTTCGGCCCGGGGATCTAGTGGGTTCTCTTCTTCAGCAGAAGATACAGTGCTTCTTTCGGGCGGTGACTCCTGTTCCCACGGCGGGTGAGGCTTCCAAAGGTGCACCCCGTGCTGAGCGTTCAAGCTTCGCCTATCAGCCGGAGGTGGCCTCCCAGGCCGAGTTCGCTTCGTCGTCTTGGAAGTCGGGGCCGAGCCTGAGGCCTGCAGAGTGGCTGAGGACGATACCCGTCAAAGTAAGTTTTTGGGCTTAGGGGAGTTGGGTGGCATTCCTGTTGACCGGGCCGTGGATGCTGTGCGAAGCAAGCAGAGACCGCGCCGTTCTTTGCAACAGTGGCGCAGCATGATAACGGGCTGGGGTGGGGACGAGTTCTCCTTTCCGGACTACGGGGCCATGAAGGCCCGCGTCACAGGTTTGGTTGCTGATGGGGCGATCCTTGAGGACTGGCAGGCGCGTAAGCATTGCTCATCCCATGAAGTTACCCGAATCCCACCGGCAAGCGAGGGGCAAAATCACAAACCCTCTCATTGCGGGTGCCGTCGGTGCGGGTGCTTGTGGCACTCCTGCTAGATGCAGAGGGGCACGGGCGCCGCGCCAGACTTTTGAGCCACGGTTTCAGCGGTTGTGGCATGCTCGATCTGCGGAGGCTGAACGTCTGCGGTTCCGAGGCTGTTTTCACCTCTCAGGACGAGGAGGCTCTGCTGAATCGGGGTGCGACTGCCCGTTCCCGCCCTCAACGTCGGGCCGTCTGCACTGAGTCGCGAGGTGAGGACAAAGCTCGGCGGGCTAAGGCAGGCTTGCTTCGCAGGGACGGGCGTCCTAAGCCTGTCCCACGCGCTCAGGATCAGGCTGCAGGGCCCGCAGTTGAGACCTCGCGCCAGACGGAGGCCCAGCAGGCGTCAACTCGGATATGGAAGTGGCAGTGCTCTTTCTGTGACGTGGTTGGGTTTGCTAGCAGTGCAGGGCTTGCTCACACTCAGGCCCACAGGCATCGGCTCAAGCTTCATCGTGCTCAGGTTCTTCGGGGGCGTGAGGACAGGATTAAGCATAAGGTGCGCAAGGTTGGGGACCATTTTGAATGGGAGTGCAATGTGTGCAGTAGGGTGTTGAAGGCTCCGAGCAAGCAACAGCTTCAGTGCATGCATTGGCGACACATCAGGGTTGACCATTCTGATCGCCCGATCCGGGACTTCACGACGTTGGAGGGCTGCCGCTGTAGGACCAACCTGGTTTCGGTTCAGGGTTGTAAGCGTAAGCTGAAGTAGTTCCTGGACGGCCGCCGCCAGACCGTAGTGCGAGAGGGAGTGGCGCCGCATCCGGGTCCACACCGCTCGCCGCCGGGCTGCAAACTTTGTGGGAGGTGCTTCCCCAACTGGGATAGGGGTTAAAAAATTTAATAAGGATCAAAAAAAATTAAAGCACCAGAGACGGCAGGAAGGAAGGAAGAAAAGGAACAACAGAAAGGGCAGGAAGGCAGGAAGGAAGTAGGGCCGCCCCGCAAGCAAGAGAGAGAGAGAGAGAGAGAGAGAGCCCGGGGGCGCTGATCCGCCCCTACGCCCGGCAGAGAGTGAGAGAGAGAACGAAAAAAGAAAGAAAGAAAGAAAGAAAGGAAGACGGAAAGAAACAAAGAAAGAACGAAAGAGAGAACGAAAGAACGAAAGAAAACAACGAAAGAAAGAACGAAAGCAATAACGAAAGAGAGAACGAACGAAAGAAAGAACGAAATAAATACAAGAAAGAAAGCAAGAAAGAAAGAAAGGAAGGAAGGGAGTATAAAATGAATAAAGAAAGAACCACAGAAAGAAAGAAAAGGAATGAACGAGCGAAGTAAAGAAAGAAATCCAGAATAATCAAGCAACGTTGGAAAAGACGAAAGAGAAAGAATATGAACAAATCGCAGAAAGTAAGATACAAGCAATAGGATACCACATAGTCGAATCGAATATTCCGTAATATAGTAATATAATAACATAATATGACATAATGTAACCTAATGTTATATAATATACTAAATACTGTGTTGTATATATACACACTATGTTGTACTATGTTACAATGTACTACACTATAAATTAAGATGTTGTTTTGTTCTATGTTATATTCTGGTATATTGTATTGTTGTTTTTATTATGTTAGTATATGCTAAAAGAAGCAATGTTATTATGCTATGCCAGAAAATGTCACGGTATTTTTGTGATGTCGAATCATCTTATGTCGTTATTATGATCTACTATGTTATATGATGCTAGTGTGCTATCGGAAGACACGAACAGGCACGGAAGAACGAAAGACCCACCGCCGCGCTTTTCGAGCCGCGCAAGCTTGATTCAAACAGTGTTTTCGAAGCCCATCATGCGTGGTGCAGCGCTGCTAGGCCCCCCCTCCCCCCCCCACCCCATGGTATCCCCCCATTCCCCCCTGTGGTTCCCTGTGGTGTGGGTTGTGGTTGCGGTCGGCTGCGCTGCCGTCCATGGCTATGCGTCCGGTTGCTAAGGGTTTCGACCGCAGGATGTGATACAGTTCTATTGAACTCCGACCTGCCCTGAGCTCCAAAGCCAATGATAGTGATGAATATGATGGTGATGATAATGACGAAGATGGTGCTCATGATCCCCATCCGCACTCTCATCAGGTCCCTTGCTCAAAAGTCCCGAATGAAAACCATTCAAATACGTGCTCAAGCTTACTTGTAGCGAACCCAACCGAAACTTGGCTTGGAGTGACAGCGGTCGATATGGTTTTCGCAAGAACATCACAAGCCCAGCACGGTTTTCAACTAGATAAAGCGATGAACATGCGGTGCCGAAGCCCAGAGCAACAGAAGAGCAAAGGTACCACCAATAGCCACACTGGGACTAGCACATCAACATCATTGCGCACAACAGTCTCATAATTTGTGCTCGAAGAGAGGGGAAGGGAAGAGGCCCGGTGGTTCCCTGTGTTGATTATCCTTCCCCACCCCGCCCCTGTGGTTCGCCGTCTTGTGGTTCCACTATTGTGGGTTATCCATCCTGCACCCACCCCCGATTGCCAAGGCGAGAGGCGAGGCCTGGCTTGGGGGGGGAGTTACGCGGATGACGTGTGACTGTTTGATTGGACGAGACGCCTGGCTTCGGGGGGGGGGGGGCCTGCGACGCGGCGACGCGGCACCATGCGAGCGTTGTGTCTGCAAGTGGGGGGGCTGCGCCCCCCCCCCAACCCCCCCGCAGTTTTAAGCCGTGCAGGATTGTTTTGCAGCATATGGCTTGATTGAAACCCATCACACGAGCATTGTGTTTGCAAATGGGGGGGGGCTCAGCCCTTGTAGATACATGCTGAACCAGAATCGCCAAATGAGGGGGCGTGTTTAAGATAGATGATGAAGCGGAATCGCCTCTGAGGGGGCGTGTTTAAGATATAGGATGAGCCGGAATCGGCGAACGAGGAGACGTGTTTAAGATATATGAGGAACCGGAATCGCCACATGAAGGAGCGTGTTTAAGATATATTATGAGCAGGAAACGCCAGATGAGAAGGCGTGTTCTAGACATATGAGGGACCACTACCACTACTACTACTACTACTACTATTATTACTACTACTACTAGAACTACAACTACAACATACTACAACTACAACCACAACGACAACAACAACACCAGCAACAATTACAACACGAAATCCGTCCTAAATGCGATATTGTAAGGAAAATCTGATTTTCCCGAGGAATTACCAAGGTAACGTATGTTTTCCTTCTGAAAATGTTCTCCTTCTGAAAACCTGAAGAAATGACACGAACGCCATAAGTAATGGGAAATTCGTGTTTTTCAAGCAAAAACCAAGGAACACTTAAGGAAATAACACGGGATCTGTAGGAAAATCGTGTTTTCCCGAGGAAAAACCCAGCAAATCCTGAGGACATGAAAGAGAATCCGTAGGAAAATGGTGTTTTCCCTTGGAAAAAAAGTGCTTTATTTAAAATACTTTAATTTTTTGGATGCGTACTTTAATTATTTGCTGATGCCTCTGCCCCAGGAACTGCTGTACTTAAATGATGTATTTTTTTGATCATTATTTTACTTTTTCGATCCTTCCATTTATTTTTTTGATCCTTATGTAGTTTTTTTGATCCCTCACCCGTTGACTCGTGTGTAGAGAACGGCGAAATTTATCAACATGGCGGCAGCGGTTTTCGTGCATATATCCATGCCACAGTTGTGATTTTTTGGAATAGGTTGCATTCCTGCCCTGTGTGGGATGGGACAGAAACTGCGCTTCTTTCCTCATCCGCCTGTTTGGCATGACAACAAATGCAGCTGAGTGAAGCGCCATCAAAGATGGTGGTTTCATTCTCGCGTAGCTTTGCTCTCGTGTCGGTTGTTTCTCAATGGAGCGCTTTGACGCTGCCTGTGGGCCTCCATGTCCGCAGTGGCGACAAAAATGCGTTGCTGAGGAAGCACCACCTTTGGGGCCGAAATTGTCTACACCGATGCCTTTCCAGAGAAGGCTGCCGAACCTGTTGGGTGTAAACTTCTTTCTCTAAGAAAGAGGGCAGCCTGCATGCATCGTCCAGGACCGCGCCGCGTTTCTCGGTTGAGATGCCCCCGCCCCGTGTCAGGACACAGCTTTGAACCTGGATTGTCTTGGATTCTATTTTCCAGCCTCGGTCCTTTATCAGCGTGTTGAAATGGGTTTCGATCCAATCTCGAGAGTGATGGCACTCGGCGATTGTCCTCACGAAATGCAACTCAATCAGAGGTGACGATCATTTGCCTTTTTTTCCCCATGGCAAGTGGCAAGCACGGACATGATGCACACGGTGATGAGCACCCTCTGCCGCCTGCAAAGCAGATTTGGAGATGCAATGTAGCCAACCCGCAGTGATGCACACTTCTGTTGCTGTTACATGATCAGGAGCTCGGCATGCTTTCGCCGCAGAGTCGTGCGTGATGCGTGGAACACGCAGGACGGACATGATGGTACTGCAAGGCATGTTCGAGTGCGTACGGCACCGTCCTGTTGTAGATGCGTTTTCCGTAGGTGGGCTTGGGCGGATAGGGCGGCAATGAAGACTGACAGAAGGATCACATGGCAGAGAGGAACAAATGAAATCGATGCTGAAAGCAGGAGATCTTGCTGGCTTGGGCCATGGCACGCCACCCGGGCCGAAGAGCACGGCATCCCGCCTGCCTGCAGCAGTCTTTCAGTTTTCTCGGTCATGGGGCGAAAGAGAATGAAAGAGAGCTTTCTGCTGAGCGGACCCCTGTTGATGCTTATGATGCTGGCTCGTCGTCGGGTTGTGACATATTGTGTCTAGTCGTTGCCTCGCCCATGCCAACTTCCATCTTCTGGTTGCTAAGCTTTGGTCTCCTGCGTGGGTTCAAGCTTGAGAACATGAGGGCATCATGTCGAGGGCGGTGAGTGGTGCAGCATTGTCGTAGAGCCCACCGTCTCGGATATGTGTTTGATGCCCGGGTACGCTGGTGGCGTTGGCAGCTGCCATGCCCCATGCACTCACTACATGGCCTGAATCGTTGCAATATGTTGCAATTGCCGAAGCCTGGCGCTGAGTGCCCTAGACTCACAGCGCTGCACAGTGCTGCACGCCACCTCAGCGATATCAAGCTGCATCATCGATCAGCAAATTCGACCTGCCGCTGTGCAGTTCGCTGTTTCTAGCGGCTTGTGGTTGCATTCGGTTGGAAGCAAAGGCGTTGTCTTAGGGCTTGTGTGTAAAACGGTACTAAACGTTGAACTCGGAGGCTGACCCTCCTGGCTAATTAAGTAGCACTGTGTCGCACTGTTGCAGGCAGCGCCACGAACTGCCTACGCCGCTGGCAGACGAGACGGACGCCTGCATCCGAAGTGGTTTCAGATTCAAGTTTCCAGGCTCACTTGCAACGCAGCTGCCTGCTGATAAGGAGTTTCGCTGGTACTTCAACCTCCTCTTCCCGTCCTTGGAGATCGATCTCTGGGAGTCTCGAGATGCTGAGGGCCTGGAAGCTGCCGAGCGCGAAGCTCAGCTGGGGCTCAGATTTTCGTGGAAGATTTCGCGGAATGCTCGGACCGGCCCCAGGGACTCTGCGGCGCGGCAGCTGCAGCTGGCGCTCAGATCTGCCGACCGTGACGGAGATGGCTGTGTGACAGCCCTCCCGGCAGCAGAGTTCCCTAGAAAGCTCGTGATGCTGAGCCCCAGTTGAGGTCGAGGAGCTTCATTATGGCATGCTTTGCCTCCACGGCTATCGGAGCCTCATGGTGGATGCTGCGAGGCCTCTGGCCTCCATGCCAGCGACCAGGCTTCAAGCAGCTTTGCAGCTCCGGTTTTTGTGTGCTTCCAAAGACAAGATCTGTTGCATGGACGAAAGCACATCCCAGGTGACCTCCAACCAACCGGATCTTCAAGCCCTGCTGGAATCTCTGAACGGCGGGATCCCTGTCCATGCCGCAGAGGTGCAGAGATGCGAGTGTTTGCTATAGCCGAGTTGCCGAAATGCAGGCAGAAGACCGAAACTGATTCCCTTTTTGCCCTTACAGCTTCGTTTGTGCGGGCTGCGATGGTTGGCGCTTTGCAGAACAAATCGCCAGTGCATCTTGCCACAGGCACAGCTGGTGTTGCGCGAGGCGCGGCTTGTGCGCCCGGGCAAGCACAATTGGTGCTGCTGCCTTATCACAGCTTGCAGATTGAGTTTCTGGGAATGGTCGCACAAGAAGAAGACTAAATTGAGATGTCTGAACCTGGCAATGGGAGCTCATTCGGTAGGTGCGGCTTACGGCCCTATTCCAAGAGCAGCTCAGGCGAGGCGAGGGCGTTCCTGCCTCGCAGTCGTGCTCAAGGGAAGAGCTGTCTCCCAGCGGCAATGACTGAAGTCACGTGTTCACATGTCACATGAGAAGGGCCACTGCCCTTATGAAAAAGCTTCACAACATCGGAACTTCCTGAAGTTAAAGCAACTGTGCTTAGATCATGCACCACCCGAAGAAACTGGGAGGAGCAGCATCTGTGAGCTCTCACGACCAGTCAATTCGTCATCGAACGTTCTGAGGTTGTGGGGCCTGGGCTGCTGGTATGCAAACATCCAGCGTGAGGACCAGCTGACCAGGTTAAGCCACTTAAGCTCTTGACAACGAGTAGGGCTGCATGGCGCAGTCCCTAGCAGGCATCTCCAAGAGATTCCAAAAGTTTGCTTCAGATCAAGAGGTGACATTCCTACTGCCGGAAAGACTTGACATCCCCAACTCAAGCAAGCGGCCGCGCAAACTGCCCGTAGACGCTGTTTCGTTAAGCTCCTCCTTGCGAACCCAGCCTTGGCTGGGATACTGGGAGCAGCCTGTAGAAAAGGGGTTCTTCTCATTCCCACAAACACATCACACAGGCTGTTAACCATTTCCAAAGTATTCTGCTGAAGTCGGATCTGAGTTTGGGGGTGCACCTGTCCAGGATACGCAGTGGCGCGAGGTTCTCGCAGCAGCTGTTCGCCGGTGGGTCCCTTCAGATGAGGCCGGAGACACATATCCCAAGACGAGGCTACCCAAATGCTTTTGACTAACCCACAGCTTCCTCTCCTGTGTCCCGCAAGAGAGTGGATTTCAAGAGGACCACATTCAACCGCCATCGGCCTGCCACAATGGATAACTTGTTGAGCCGCTAAGTTGAGCGCGACAAGATGTCGACCAATAGAAGCCGTCTGGATGAAGCTCGACGCTTGTGAATGTGTAGAACTGCAGTCATGGATAGAGCTGGGGTGCCGTGACCGTGGTCTACAGTTTTCGCAGGAGCATCACGGATGCGTTCTGCACGCGACTTTGCTGAAACAGTTCAGTCGCTGTCGATCGACAAAGGCGATCTTGAGCCGCCGGGCTAGAACCCTAAAGCTGCGCCCGGAAGGAATGACTTGCTTGTTCAATGGCGCAGCGTACAGCAAGAGAGTTTCCGGGCGGAGATTTAGACTCCGGCTAAGGAGCTGGCTCGAATGACCATGGATCTTCCCCGAACACTGCCGATGCCGAGCCGCTTGGGCGGCCAGTCGGCGCGGAAGGACTGAGACGGCACTGGCAGCATTCGGCACGTTGGCGTTTCAAGCGGATTGTTCATTAGGCCCCTGATTGGAAGCGCGTTGCCCAGTGTGCTGTGCAGTGCAGGAGACGTCTGCCAGCCGTGCCAGCCAAGCATGCGTGCTGCTGCTGGCAGTCGCTGCTTGACGTAATTGATGCCGTGGAGGCTCCGGCTGTGAGCTGTGGATTGGCAGCAACTTTCAGCGGAAGCATTACCCAGGCTATTCACATCGTGTACTTCCTGCTTCTGATATTTCCGTCGGCTTTCTTCCTCACGGTGATCTTCATGGGTGATCCGGCCTGAACTTCACATTCGCGCATAAGCCCACCCCACCTGAAACAGTTCTTGCAGTGATACTGTAGTAAGTGGTCTGCGTAGCCGCAGCCTGCTTGCAATCGGCTGCCGATGCATGCATCATGCTCGATGAGGCAAGGTTCAACATCCCAAGCCTCTGCAAAGCCCATGTCGCTACAGAATCCCAAGCTTTAACCCCGACACTCGGTCAAAAAACCTCAAAAAAATCGAAACCTCCAAGCTGATCTGAAACAGAAACAGAGAAGCAGGGAGCGAGCACGGAGACGACCGGTGCCCCTTCGACCTGGATGCGCTGCTCGTGTGCCCCAGAGGGCAAAGAGCAACGGTCATTCCATGGTCAATTCCTGTCACTAGTCCTCTGTGCCGGGCAACACAGTTTCTGAGTGTTCACGAATGCAGAACTCGGAAAGTATTTTGCAGTCTGCGGCTTTGGCAGGTGGTTTGGAGCAGTTGGGTTGGCAGTTCTCATGGTGGACTGTGCGAACGGAGGCTGGGAGGACTGGGTGCTCCCCAGCCCTCGGAGCCCTAGCACCACAACATCTCCTTTGGCACATGGGAGACTTCCTTCCCAGGCAGCATCGGCATCACGGTCATTGCCAGTGGTTTGAAGGCTCTGCTGCTCCTGACGCCCTTCCTTGGCATGTTCTGGACCTGAGGGATTGAAACTTCATAGGACGGCTGCAGGTATCAATCCTGAAATTGCAGTGGTTTTTGCCCGCTTGCCGCCGCTTCCTTCATGCTTCTGCAGCCCGCTGTGTCTAGGACCCATGCGCTGAGACGCACCGATGCCGACATCTGTGGGCCATATGTGTTGCTCGTCGACCAAAACGCCTTCTGTGCCCAGCAGTGTTAGGTTGAATCCAATCTCTGGTTTGAGTTCACTAAGTCCGTTTCGTCAGCTCGGAATCGCCTTGTATAGAGGATTCGCACATGTCTCAGCAGCCCAAGCAAGAGTCTTTGGGGCTGTGGCTGTGGCTCTCAAGGTTCTGGATGTCCAAGTGGCTTTGGAGTGCATTGGCCTCCTGCGAACTGCACCCTAGACATGCAAGACATGGCTAGACAGTTGCTTGCGGTTGACGCTTTTGTCGGGAGTGTAGGGTGGTTCTGACAATTTGTATACTACGAAGACGGGCCGTAAAATAATGCCACCCTGGATCCTGTTTGGATAAACATAGACCATTTCCATGTTCAAGGTTTCAGATGATTCTGTCGTGGGTGAGCACATACAAACACGATCTGTGGAGAGGGGGGGTTCTCAAATGTTCATGAGCTTGCTTCTGTTGTCTTGCCCTGAAGAGCTATTCTTCTAGTTTCACTCGCAAGGTCTGGCGATTAAGTTGGCATGGTTTCTTTGGGTGGGCATTGACGCGCGGATTGTCCGGATTTCTGAGCGTGTGAGGGCGCTCGCGGCGATCTTAAGGTACGTGGCCTGCCTGCTTGGGTGGAGTTTCCACGTGGCACGCATTCATGAGCTGGCGCTTCGACGCAAGGCCTGGGCCTGGCTGAGATTAACTCTCAATTAACTCTTACAGTCTTGAAGGGGAGTTCCCTCTTTGCTGGTAAGGGTCCATGACAAGCGGAGCCCAGCTGTTCCTGTGGAAACTGGAAGACCAAGCATTCAAGCTACTCGCTGCCAGTTTTTTGCCGATATGTCGGTTGCCGCAGGCGGACGCCGACATGGATGCACAGATGAACCCGCCCTCACCTGAACACTTCTTGGCCGACCTCAACTCTGCGGTCTTGTCTTAAACCTGCTTCAAAGAAGCACAGAAGCACAGGACCGCTCTTAGCTCTTCGAAGGCACCTTTGTAGAGCGAGGCCAGCCAAACGGGCTCTCGGGTCCTCGGCTTGCCAGCATTGCTTTCAGAATCGTTTGCGAGGGGAGAAACTGTGAACCCCGTGTCCTGGCCTACGATCGGTATTGCGGTATTGCCTTACGTAGATGAGCATCGCCGCCATTCAACACCCAGGCTAAGCCAAGTTCCTGCGCCGGGCACAAGAGCTTCTGCAAGTCCAGCAGCCACAGGCCGCGCCTAGGGCTGCCCGCCACAGCACTTCACAAATTGTAGAGATCTGTTGTGAGGTCTGCATGCCCTGAACCGTCCATGAGCCCCCTCCTCTCTCCTATTCCAGGTCCACCTGCTGCTCGTCCTTCCTCAGCAGTGGGATCCCGCGCAGGCGGCGTGTTGTTATGTCGGATGCTGCTGCCTGCATCTCGGGTTTGACTCCCTGTCTACACAGGTCCCTGTACACTCGCGTCGATGTTATGTTGCATGGTCAGCACGAACCTATGTAGGCACAGGGTGAAAGTGCTTTCTTTGCCATGTTCCTTGCAAGCCCGGCTCGATGTGGCAGGCAACAAAGCACCCGGTGCACCTGAACGCCAGGACAAGGCAGGCTCTCGGTGGAAACGGGAATCCACGTGTGGGTTGGGCGGGGCACAAGCGGCATCGAACATTGGGCTTCAAACCAGCTATACATAGCTATAGTGACCTCGAGGTATCGCTCATTAACTTACTATCCTTCAGCCGGTCCACGTGACAACTGGTCAGGCCTGCAGACCGAATCGGTCTCGATTTATTTGGTAAGCAAGATACGGTTTAAGCAGGCGGGGAATTGGTCGCTGTTTCTCCCGTCCGCTACTTGTCGTTGTCAGTATCATGTGAGGTCTCTTTGTGTTTCTTTTTCTGTCTCTCTCTCTCTCTCTCTCTCTCTTTCTCTCTCTCTGTTTCTATCTCCAATTCCATCATTGCAGAGGTGCGCGAAGCCGCAAATCCTCAGGTCAGTGCTCCGCTTCGGCCCACTGGTGGGGCACGCCCAAGCTCTGCTGCAGGGAACCGTGCACAGGCGAAGAGTCTGCAAGAGTGTTGTTGTTTGGATGCGCAGGAGTAGTGAGTAGTGCTGTTTGGTTGATTTTCTCCGCTGCTCTTCTGAGCATGGCTTCCCCCTGGTCAAAACCTCTCATTGGGACCACGGCAGCAACAACTTTCTTCTCCTACTACTACTACTACTACGACTACTACTACTACGACTACTACTACGACTACTACTACTACTACTACTACTACTACTACTACTACTACTACTACTACTACTACTACTACTACTACTACTACTACTACTACTACTACTACTACTACTACTCACTACGACGGCTACTGCCGATGCTGTTGCTGCTGCTGCTCCTTCCCCTCCGCCTCCAACTTTTAGCACTGCGGCTACCACACTGGTGCTGGTGGTGGTATTGGTGGTGATGCTGGCGAGAGTGAACATGATAATGATGGCGGAAACGGTGACGGTGGTGGTGGGGGTGATGATCTACCGCTAGTGGCGGTGGCCGTGGCGGCGGTGATGGTGGTAGTGGTGGCTAGTAAGGTAAGGTGAAGATGCACAGTTGTGAGGATGGTGAGGACAGCAGACATCTGAGTATGATACGAACATGGAGGATGACGACGACAATGATGACTGGGCTTGTAGCCCAGGACCATTTCGATGTATAAACTGACGCCAGTTACTACCGCTTTTACTCTCGCGCTGGCGTCATTTCGAATCTCTTTGTGGCATACATGACTGGACTTATTCCTCGTCAGCGTTCTTGCTGTGGCTGTCGGGTTGTGTGGAGAGGCTCCAGCACCGACTTCTGCGGCACAGCGCCTGGCCGCAGCATCTGCGGCAACGGGCTCTGCACTGAAGGCAGTGCAGAAGGCTCCGCCCCGACACGAAGTGCAAGAGATTTGAACGGTTTTCGGCCGTCTGTGCAGCAAGCACAGCAGAAACAGCTCTTCAGCCCCCGTGCCAGGCACGTGGAGTGTCCAGCGGCTGGACCGGCTAAGCGGGGCTCCAGCGGAATCTCGGCCACAACCGATCTCAATCCGTGAGCAGCCTGCAGCACCATTGAACCCCTGCACCTGGTTTAAAAGGGCATAGAAGAGCTCATTTTGTCTTTGGAGAACAGGACAAGCAAGGGCACGCTGTGTTTGAACATGTGCTGCTTCCTTCAGCAAGAGTGTAGCAAAGTCAGAGGTTCAGGAATCCATGCTACTATCGCGGAAGATGTTGCAGGCCATGTGTCGTTCCAATGTAGATGGAATCAGTGGAATCTCTTGACTTTGACGCTGCGAGGAGTGGTGCCATTCACGGCCCCGTCATTTCGGTGAAGTGAGATTTCAATTGGGGCCCCCAGGAGGCCCCAAAAGGCGACAAGTGGGCTGCTCCGACATGAAGATACGCCTCCATCGCATCTTGTCTCTTGCACTTTCCGCCTTGAGTCGGAATCAACGATCTTTCTTAGAGGCTTTCACAAGCCATGCCTCAACCGGGTTTTCAACCATTTCACCTCAGCGCGCAAGTAGTCGCGCACAACTTCGATAGAGCAAATGTGCTTAAGTGGCAAGACTTGCGAAGCAAGACTGCCAAAGCAAAGCTTTGCGAGCTGCCAGCACGCATGCAGCCCGGCGCGGAGTTGTCACAGCAGCCGGGTTCCGAAGGTGTGTTTTTGGTCCCAACACCTGCGCCGGCTCTGCGGTTCGGATTCAGTTCGCCAATTCATTTTCATGCATAGCTTCGACGTTTTCTTCGTAATTGATGCAAGCAGAGTTTGCATTGGACCCATGCAGCTCTTGGTGTCTATGTGGTCGATAACGGTCCCAGAGTTCCACAGGAACGATGGAAACCAAGGCAGCTCAGTGGCAAGCAACGCTGGCATAATAAGCTAAGGCCTTTATCCTTGGACTTTGAAGCTAACATGGCACCACACGGGCCTGCGGGCTTGCCACTGCCCACCTCCCAGTGACGTGTCGCAGACACTGTACTAGTGAAGCCGCTCAGGAAACGCAAGCAGCAGCCCGTCGCACTGTCGTGCAGAACTGCAATGAAGCGGTGGGTGGAGCTCGGTGTGCTTGGTTGTCAAGAGGCTTCCGGGTTTGGCATGATTACGGGATTCATGCTGCAGACACTTGGCCCAAGCATGGTTCATCAGGTTCATCCTCAAGCGTGGCATCATCAGATCTGAATTTTCCCTCCACGCCAGATCGACGCGAGCAGACAAACGCATAGAGCATCCCGGAGCGTGCTCCAAGAATTTGTTGCCGCCGGCGTGCCGTCCACTTTGCCAGGCGAGGTGGTGCGACCAGAGGTGTTGACTAGGAAGCCCGAGCCAGGCCGAGCCATGACTTTTCAACGCATGTTGCTGTGATAGGCCATGGCCATCACCACCACGGAGGGCAACGAGCTGCAGGCACACGCCACACTTCATGGTTCCAACGGTGTAATCCCTTCAGGCCCGATGGCTCCTGAAAGAAAGTGTGCCAGGAGGTTTCAACAATGACCCCTGATGCAGGTCCCATAGATGGTCCATAGATGTACACTGAGATCACGTTGTCACATGAGAGCATGCAAGACTCTTGTTGTGAGTACGCAGCCTGCCGGTCTTAAATGAGCCTGCCTTTAACCTGCTGTCATCTTGCTGTATCTTGGCAGGTGCTTGGCTTGGCCGTGGTTGCCATCTGGGGAGTGCCTTTGGTAGCACATCTCCGTGCACTTTCATGCCTCGGGTATCACCAGGGTTCCACGAGGATCAGAAATACACGGATCGGTCACGTGCATTCATGCATCTCTCTCTCTCTCTCTCCCTCTCCCTCTCTCTCTCTCTCACTCTCTCTGTCTCTGTATGTCTCTTTCTCTCCCTCTGCCTCTCACCCTCACCAGACATAAACCTGCAGGGCGCGAAGCCGGCTTTTGCGTTCGTGCAAAGCTGCAATTGTTGTGCGGACCAAGATCTGCAGGTGTATCAGACCCTTCGCTGGTGCTGCTCTTGCTGCTGTCGCTGCTGTTGTGGCAAGAGGGAAGTCCCAGTACCTCCTCCGGTTGCGCAGCCTGATTCCGTCCAGGAGCGGGTTTAGCACTGGTACCTGGTAGGATTGCTGCGCTTACCAGACAGTTGCAGGTTGACGGCAGAAAAGTCAGCGTGGAGCACCTGATCCAGACCAAGGCTCGCCAGAGCGCAACTTCAGAGACAAATTGTCTCACGGGGTTGGAGTGCAGGATCCACGCACAGCGTATTTCCTCTGGCTGACGCTTCTTGGCTGTTACTGCAAGGATCGATTTGCTAGTGTTCACTCTGATATCGGTTAGCAAACGCAGGGACATGCGACAGAAACTGCTACAGCCTGAAACATCTAGCAACATTGGTGTACCCTACCCCATCACAAGCCGCATGCACCCCGACCCAGGTTGGGATTGGTGGGAGCACACCTTTTCTATACGGATCGACTGCTGCACGGGGTGCTTGCCGCTATCTGGCCGCATAGTCGGCTCTTTCAAAGCTCCAGCAAGAAGAAGGCCGTGATCTAGCTAGAAGCAGGCCGCGATTCTGTGCATAGGAGCAGCAGCCTCCCAATGGCAAAGTCCACTTCGTATGGCTGCTTTGGCCTGATCTGTGCAGTCTCAACTCAGGCTTGCAGCGGGATCTTTGGCTGAAGTTGGCATGACAGCCAGAGCTGCAGTGGCCAACAGTCGCAAAATTCGTGCCAAGACGGGAGCTACTTGCAAAAGGATTCGTGCATTACTGGATGACATCTGACCGAGGAACTTCCTGGGCGTGGGATGGTGCCTTGACTTCCTTCTCATCCCGCTACTCGGCGAGTTTGACGAACACTTCCGATGTGTGCACCAGCAGCTACAGCGACGGACAGCATCAACAAAGCTGTAAACACCGGCTCGGTCGAAGCGCGACACCCGAAGTCGAACGAAAAGAGCATGAACATGGCACGGTAACATTGCATGTACACAATACACAACAATATGGTCAATAAGAGTATGGTGACCCTACTTGTGACAGTGATCGGAGTGGCAAGTGGAGTCATTTTGGTCGTCGTGGCTGTAGCAGCACTTTCTTGTTGTCGTGGTTGTAGTGGTAGCTGTGGTCGTCGTTGTAGTCGCAGTCGTGCTTGGAGTCTCCGTAGCAGCGGTAGTCATTGCAACAGGCTGGTAGCGTTAGTGGTGGTGGTAGTACTTGTAGTCGTAGTAGCAGTAGTAGCAGTCGTAGTGGTAGTAGTGGAAGTAGCAGCAGCAGCAGCAGGAGCAGCAGCAGCAGCAGTAGTAGTCGCTGTAGCAGTAGGCAGTAGCAAAGCTCCACCACCCCTGAACAAGCACGAGACGGTGAAACGAAACGTAGGTTTCTCCGTTTGACTGACTTGTGCATTTGCGCTTCGCAGCCCTGTGGCTGATATGAACATTCTTCTAATCTCACCAAAACTTTTTGTTCTACCCTCGCCCAATCCCAAGTTTGTGAGGACCTATGTCGGGGCCATCAACCGGCAAGTGCCAGCGGAAGTGGCAAGACCGGACAACAGCTGCCGGCGGCCACTCGGTGCATGAGCACCGGCTGTTCTGCGGCGAATTTGTGAATCTCACGGTTCGAGCACGTAGCTTCTTCGTGGTCGGCAATGCACACATCCCTGTCGTGGTTTCCGGAGACACTGCGAGCCAATGAATTCTTGGCTATTGCGCAAGATCTTGGACATGTTGTATTAACGAAACAGATCGTGCCGCCCAGGCTTTGCTGTCGGCTGCCCTTGATCTGCGGGGTCGCTACCTCAAAGCCTGTTTCCGGCATTGACTCGAAAGGTTGGTTTCAGACTCTATTCGGGGGAGAAGCGGGACAAAAGGAATGCAGCAGCTCACAAGCATGCTGCGGGGATGGTCCGTGGGCCTAGCAGCTCCTCTGCTTTTTGACCAAGGTCATCATCACGGTGTTTCTGCTTTTGGTCTTCCGAGCCGAGCTCCGAGTCAGCTATTGCCATAGCAGGGTGTGGGTTCATGCAGCGCAGCTTCCACGGTAGCAGCAAGCAAGCCGCGAAGAGGGGCGGGCTCAAGACAGAGTTTGCAGCGTTTTCAGGGCATCATTCCAGAATCGCTCCGTCATTCATTGGGGGGCTTCAAGGTTGCACAAGTACTCTTGTTGCAATGCTTCAACGAAACTATGCACCACAGCAAAACCAACTCTCGCGACGCCTGCTACCTGCAGGGCCTGTGTGATTCGCGTGCCCGACACGCAAAGACACCCGACAGGGGCATAACACCATGCCGTTCAGAGGAAGCAGCCGAAGAGAGGGAGGGGATTCTGAGGGCTCTGAGGGTTCTTGTTCGATCTGCTGATCTGCGCGCAGCTCCCATCATTTCTCCACGGCACCGGGTTGGTGGACCTGGAGCAGAGAATTGCAGGACCGAGATTAGCCGGTCAGGGAGGGGCGAGCAATCGTAGAGTAATCTCACTTGGCAGGAACAGCGGGCAATCCATATGCATCTTGGCATCGCAATTCTTTGTCAAATTAGTTGTGACCTGTCGCTCAAAGCCCAGATAGGACGTGCTACCCTTGACCTTCGCAGACATAATTTGTCAGGGACTTGAGTATGCAAATCGTTGGCTCCAAGGTGATCCTGGAGGTGGAGCGCGACACGCCGCCCGAGGATGTTAGGAAGGCGGCGTGTCTTCTTGAACGTAGTTTGAACATGTTACGAGGCTTGGTTTCAGGATATATATATATATATATGTATGTATATGTATGTATGTATATATGATGTCCGCGCAGACTCGCGGCAATGGCCAGGCCTACAGTTCACAGCTCCGAGACGTGGAGGCCTCCAAGGCCGGGCTGGGCCTTCGAAGCATCGCATCACTTCTTTGGCCGCTCTGAGCGGCGGGCCTTTTCTGCCAGGACTGCCAAGCTTCCAACAAGGCCTGCAAAGCGAAGAAGCAGAACTTGAAGAAGGCGTGTCCTGGGTAAGCAGGGGCTTGGAACAAGAGAGGGTTGTTTGTTACACAGTCTTATCTGGCTCAGTAACGCTTAACAAGCGCTTCCCTCAAAGCTCGTCAGGCTGCCGATTTCATCCTTAATGGCGTCCCACGTTCAGCCGAGCCCCAGAAGGAGAAAAAGGCGCCAGCCTTGCGAGCGCGAGCAAAGCGCTCGCCCAATCGTCAGCCTAAGCGAGGCTCGGCGGAAGTCCCGAGAGCGAGAGCGATCCGACGACGATCCTTGGGGCGACTGGAGCGACCATCTCAAGCAACTTGGGGTAAACTTTGTGTTGAAGTTGGCTTGAACCATCAACCCGAACTGTTTCCGCACCCGTCGCTGAGGGCTGAATGGGATGCGCTTGGAGATGAGATCAAAGAAGGCGCCGACAAGCTTGTTCCTGTTCGAGTCGTGTCCGGGATTGGGCCCATGTTGCACGTGCTGCCGCTTGTCCCTAAGAAGCTTGGATTGAACTTCCAATCTCAAGTTGCTCAGACTGAACCAGGGTCGGCGCAGTTCGCCAAGAATGTAGAGAAGGCCGACGATGCTATGAAATCTTCAGTGAGTCGTGTCTCGTAGCCTATCTTCTCCTGCACGCAAGACCCTGCGTGGTTCCTGTGAGGACTACTTTAGCTGAGCGACAGCAGAGATGGTCTTTCCGGGCGGAGGGTGCGACTTCGTTCGGCTTGTTAATGACGGGCGGCGGCGCATCTGTCGCTGCCGTTCAAGCTTTAGTCCCAGCGTCTCCACAAGAGCCCCGCAGCCTAACTCGGATATGCGAACCGACAAGAGCTTGATCAACCAAGGGCACTTGGGGGACGGAGCGTTCTGCGGATTAGCCAGCTGTAGGCTGCACATCTCTGCAGCCATGTTCACCGCACGACTGTGGAAAAGGCGGAACGTGCGCCCGATTCTGCTTTGCGCCTTTGCGCTTGTGTGGCTTCGGACTGCTCGTCGGCAGTGATGCATGTTGCTGGCAATGCTGCACGAAAATCAAGCAAAGTTGTTTGTAGAGGGCAAGCGTGCCGATAAGCATCGATAACCCACGGGTCAGGAATTGTAATGGCTCACCTCGATCCAGTAAGTAATATAAACAATGGATAAGTTTAGTTGATAACACATGCCTTCGAGTTGGACCTGTACACGTCAGCCGTCACACTAGTAGCATCGGCGCAAGTTCCGTCATGGACCAAGCGAGCTAGGATCAACAGCAGCTGCTGCCCAAGCATGATGAAGCCGGAGTGTTCGTTTGGGTGGGAAGGTCCTCGAAGGACTCTGAAAGCGGGTGGGAATGCGGCACAGCAAGCGGCATATGAGTCTTCAGGCACACGATAATTGTCCTTAACCTTCGTTTGAGGTCTCGTCTCTTCGCCGTCGGTGCAGAATGGAGAAGCCGCGGCCGCAGTGCCTCTTCCCGCACCTGGAGCAGAGGGCCCAGCCGGAGCCGCAGGCTGGGCCTCTGCTAAACAGGCACAGACGCACACACGCGAAAGAGAAGAGGAAGGAAGCAAGGAAGGGCAAATGGAAAAAGATATTTAAGATGTATGCGAACTATCTATCTACTACGGCTTACCAACCTGCCTACCTTCGGCCCTGCGTAGCTACCCAACTGCCTCTTTTAGCTAGCTCGCTGGCACCTCTCCATCTATCGTTCGGTCGGTGGTCTCTCCCTCCACACTCTCGCTCTCTATCTATCTCTCTCTCTCTCTCTCTCTCTCGCACTTTCTCTCTCTCCCTTTTCACTCACAACCTCACGGATTATCTCTCTATCCCTCTTTCGATCGATACATATATTTAACCTACATATACATATACATATACATACACACACATATAAATATACATGCACATATATGCATCCACTTGCATATGCTACCAAACAGTTGTGTGTATATATATATATATACATATATATATATATATGCACACAAACAGGCACCTTCTTCCGTCATGTTGCATCAGTTTGTACTACAAGCACTACATCGTTTCCCTGACCATAAGACGCGGGCTTTGTGTTTTCTGCCCTCACAGGAGCTTCAACGAGGAGGAGGCGGCTGGGCTCTGTCTGAGAGGTCAAGAAGTGATTTGCAGTGCAAGCACAGTGCTTTCAACGACGGCACTCTAGTGTCTAATGCAGGGGACCAATAGACGGCAGAGCGAAAACATCAAGCGAGGGGAAGGAGCCACCGCTTCGGGCCCATGGCGCTTGTCCCAGTTTGTACAGCTCTTGGAGATCTGTCATGTGCTCAGGGCGATCCCGACTGAGCCGGTCGCAGCCGTCACTCAGGCGGTGTTGTGATTGTGCGTTTCTCTCGGCAGGCATTCTTACTTGTTCCGATGCATGTTCGACCACACGCCTGAGACGTTGCATTGCAGGGTGCACTGCTTCATGAAGTCAGCAAACTGCGTTCGTGTGTTTCGCTACAGTACTTGTCACGTTCAAAAACGGTTGCGGCCATTCGCTGCATGTTGAAACACGTTAATCGAAGCTTCGTTCCCAGCCATGGCGACCGGAAGAAGTACTTGCTTTGCAGCTGATTGTCGCACACGATTGCTTCCGGCTCAGAATTCAAGTTGCAGGATTCAAACTTCAACACGATGCAGAGACTAGCATAGCAACAGGCGACATGCTGACGTGTCAATGCAATAGGTGCCGCAGAAACCATCTGTGTTGCACAGCAAACATGCTTTGAATTCGCCCTGCAAGTTACACTGCAGCAAGGCAAGGTATTCCGTGCACTCAGCAACACCGCCCGGGCAGATGTACAATGCCGGCTGAAGAAGCGTTGGATCCATTTAGCAAATGGACGGCCGGTAACTCAGGAGACGCAACGTTGGTTTGCACAGAGCGGACTTGTTCAGCAGTACGCCCAGCACGCCTGATGTTCCAGGTCACCGAAGAGAGAAGAACCTCCAGGACAGCAGCCGGTTTCGCAAAGGATCAGCGGTTTCTGGGCGCGTTCCTGAATGGTTGGCTTGAAGCGGGTTGCCGAAGCGAGCTTTCGAACTGGAAGCTCAGAGTTTCTACTAGGAAGGCATAGCGCGCTTGCAGGCTTCATCTTCGCAAGCAGAGGCTTTCAAAGCCGCAGGCTTGGACTGCGAGGCTGTTGCACTTGATATTCCATGCAGAGCAGAAGACCCTCACTGGCCATGGCCTGCAAGCAAAATCGCTTCGTTCTCAGGTCGTTGTCGGCTGCCGCAGTGCTGAGCACCGCGGGGAAGGGGAAGCCTCGGCCAGTGGGGTACCGAGAGCCATCGAAGAGCAGAAGCGGAGCGCAAGCACCTCGAGCCCAGGCTGCAGGCGCCCCAGTGGTCCACGCTGAAGGCAGGGCTTTAGACATGGATTGCAGGGAAAGGGAAGCCCGCCCACTGCTCGTCGCTATCTGAGGAGGAGGCGATGGCAGCCTGCAAGGTGAAAGCTCGGCGGATACCCCGAGCAGGCCTTCAGAGAGATTTTACGCATCGGAAGTCTGGAATCTAGACCTTGTCAAAACGTTTCAAGGCCGTTTGAAGGGAGCAGCTTTTGAAGCATGTGCCGCCGAACACACAAGCCTCATTCTCGGAGCGTCCTGACTGCCCAAACTGAAGAAGGATTCAGACAGAAGCTTTATGCAACAAGCAAGGATATAGCAACTAGGCAAAGAAGAGGAAGCAGAGCCCAGCCGTCACAGGAGGCCGAGCAAAGAAGCAGACGGCGGATACGCGACCTTCAAGGCCTGGCTGGAGAACATCTCTGCATGTCTTCATGATTCTGTTTCGGATTCCACAGTATTCGATTGAGGCTCGCTTTGACAAACAGTATGCGCAGCAGCAGCGGATCAGCTGCACCTTGGATGGGATTGGCTTTTCTAGGCGTGTCTTTATCTGCTTTCGCTGTCAGGGTCTCGGAAAGCAAGCTGCATGGAAATTTTCCTGCACAACATTTGATAGCAATGCCTGCGTGCGTCGCAAGGATGCGACAAGCGCAGGGTCTTGACTACAAGACCAGAACTCTGAAGTTTTGTTTTCTGTTCTCCCTAGAGTGCGTGTTTGAAGCGTCAGGCCTGGCACTGAACCGCCGCCAGCGAGTGGTTGCAGAGACCCTGCAGGTGAAATTCAGCTTCTGGTAGCAGGGAGGAAGCTACTTAGTCAGCTCTTGCTCAGCAGCCTCAGGTCAAGGCAGGTGTGTCCGAAGTTTCGTGAGGTGTGCGTCATATTTCGTGGCTCTGGCCACGTCCTCAACCAGCTCTACTCATGTAAGCTACGAACAAGCACAACTACTGTACTCAAACCATAGCAGTTCGATGAGGTCGTACTTTGGGTGCATGGAGCACATGTTCACCGTACTCGTCTCGTCGCCGTGGCTGATTGATTGAAGCCGACGAGGAGGCACGCGACTCCTGGGAGCCAGACAATCGCCTTGCCGCTGCAGCTGCAGCAGAGGCGGAGGCACGCCGAGCAAAGCGACAGGAACGACGGATACCGTGTTATCTCACAGAACATGGCAGAACCACAGGAGATCGCCAGACTCTTCCGAACGCCTGCGGCACAGATGGCGAGCCACTGCCTGAACGTACTTATTGGGAGAGGCAGCAACTCGCGAGACCGATTTCCGCTGTGACGAATACAACAGATCGCGAGAGTTTGGCAAAGTGTCTTGGCCGAGGCTGCTCGGATCTCGCGCGCCCCAGGGTCCTGGAGTCCCCGGAGGAGCCGGAGGAGGCCTTTGCCCAGCACGATGGCCATGGTCGGAGTCGCATCTCATTTTGAAGCTGCAAGCCTCCTGTTGATTTCTGGTGTTTGGTTCAGGGGAAGGGCTGTTCGTAACAATAGAATAGTGACTAGGAGTAGGACTTGCATGATGCCTTCTAAGCTGCATAGGTAAGTCATCTAGATGATCATACTTCTCCATAGTACATCGAGTAGCATGCAAGATAGCAAGGCACTACAAGGACCCTCAAACAAGCAACCCAAACCCCAATGCCCCAAGGTGCTTTTCGCACCCACCTCGCTGCGCCCTTCATAGGGCTCGTGCTTGAGCCAATCGGATTTGTGCGTGTCATCCTTAGCAGGGGTCATGCACCTGCCAGACAAGATGTGGTACACTTCTCGATTTGTGCACCTGCGGTACACTTCTCGATTTGTGCACCTGCCAAAAGTAGGGATTGGGCCCTACAGCAACACTCCTCCTCAGCAGGGGACTGAAAGTCAGGCCACCTGCTGCTCTCAGAGTGCACAAAAGACTATCGCTGGCTAGTTGCCCACCGTCTTTCAAGAATGTCTGTCAAACACGCTTCAGTGCATGACTCAGCCTATGAGCTCTTGGCCGAGTACCCCCGTGACTCGGTCTTTCATTTCTTGTAACGAGGTGTCACAAGGTTCTTGAGGTCCAGTGGCTCACTGACGGTGTACAGCAGCGGTTATCACTAAATAAATTCCGGATTCCTACTGGACTATTCCTTCGGCAAGAATCAGACATGCAAGAACTGGACATGACATCGGCTACAACCTCTGTGCGGGACAGCAGCTTCTGTCCTATCAGCTCTTCGTGGTGTTCACGTGTGACGACAAAACTTCTACTTGAAACCGGCGCGGGAGCGAAGCTCAGCCAGCTTCGTTTTCGACAAGACTTTCGTTAACATGTCTGCAATCAGCGTAGCACCAGGGTGATGCTGCAACAGGACATTCTGATCTCTGAGCTGGTCTCTCAACCATGATGCCCTCAAAGCAAATGCACGCGTCCTCCAAGTTTTCACAAAGAAGGTCTCTCGATTCGCCACGACAATGCTTGCTGAGTTATCGCCAAACATCTTCACGTGTGAGTCAAACTGTCGACCTGAAAGGGCCTCAAGCAATGGAAGGATCTTCGTCGTTTCTGACATTGCAAGCGCCAGAGCGTCCGTTTCTGCCTCGCAGACGCTCCACGCCGTAACTGCCTGCTTCGAGCTCCACCATGCCAAAGGCGAGCCAGACAAGGTGATTGTCCCGCCTGAGCGTGATCTACTCCCCTCGGGAGCGAAAGATGCGTCGCTCCACACCTCAAGAGATGTATTAGCGATTGAGCCCTGAAAATACACTCCAATGTCTAGGGTTCCCCGAAGATATCGCCAGCAACCGTGGGCGACCTTCAAGACTTGCGTCGGGCACTTGTGCAGATGCGAGGCTGCTATTGACACAGCAGACAGGAGATCCCCTCTGCTCTTGGTTGCTACCCACAGTAGGCAACCCAGCTCGGTTTGGGCCTCCTTCAAAGCCGTGGCGTAACCAGGACTCTCCGGATCTTCCGTTCCTACAAACTCTACCTGTGGAAGGCTCTGGGATCCACGAAGATGTATCCAGTTCCTCTGATGTAGCTCACTCAGAACCCATCTCTTCTGATGGAACTTGACAGCACCGTCAGATTCGAAATGAATCTGAAGCCCGATGAACGTCAACTCTTGAGCCCGCTTCAAACTGAAGTCTCCCTTTCGAAGCTCTTCAGGGCCCTCACGGCTGATGAATCCTGAGAGTTTTGTATTCCAAGTCGCTGCAACAAAGTCCAGGAAGGCGGTGACTGCCGATGCCTGGCCTACCACTAAAACGTCGTCGACGTAGACTGCGGCGATGCCTATGACCTCTTGTGAGCTAACATCTCGTAGAACAAAGAGTCCTTCTTCATCTGGAACCAGCTCTGCCACAAAGGATCCTCCATCGTAAGCAAGCTCCTTGCCATGGATGGTGTCGTCCCTTAGCCTGCTCCAAGCTCTCGGACTCCTCCTCAAACCATATATGTGCTTGCGCGCTCGCCACAACACATTAGGCTTGACTAGGCCTAACCGCTTTAGAGTCGAAGGTGGTTCTAAAAGCACGATGTCGTCGTCATCAAGCTTCGAGTTCAGGAAGGCCAGAGACACGTCTCCAGATGCGGCCACCCACTCAGAGTGGGCACTCAACTCATGTCCCATGATACGAAGTGCAGCTGGACTGACGTTCTGCGTCGTGACCTCTGCCCCATCATAGGCCTCAAAGTTGCCACAGGCACAAAGACGGACTTTGGCTTTCCAAGGAGGCTCTCCTTGGACCTTCGCGTTAGACTCCTTACTAGTCTCCTCCTCGGGCTTGCGCGACGTCACCAACTTGGTAAGCAGTGGACGTGGAATCTTCACCCCCGGTGCAAGACCGAGATCCTGATGCAAATTGTCACGGGATACTTCTTCCAAGACTTCCATGTTTTTCATGCCCGTCATCTCCGCCAATGCCCCGCCGTACCACTTATCTCTATCCTCCTGGGATCCTTCGAAGAAGACTCTACAATCCGTTGGTTCCGCCGACGCCTTCATAGCAGCAAGTTCGGTCATCAAGCGAGCCTGCTCATCCGCTTGGGCCTCCTCGTCCGCGGTGTCAAGCTGGTACCCCCTCGGTTCTGCAGGCTCATGCTCCAACCTCTTTGCGAGGCATGCAGCCGAGGAGAGCCCACACACTGTGCACGATTTGCCTTTCAACCATGCGCTCTGCATCAAGGATTTCGGCTCCGAAATGTCTGCTGATTGCTTGCTTCGTGCTTGACAACTGATTGCTGTGCTATGGCTCATTCCAAGGAACGGACTGGCATGATCATGATCGTCTTCCTGAATTCGTTTTCGGATGATCGTGGCGGCTCCGGCTTCGTGATCAACTGCTTCTGGGCCTTCCAATCTTTCTTCAAGCGTTACGATCTCATCTGGATGTGGTTCCGTCCACCTAGCTGAACCATCACGAGCTACCCACACTGCCACGTCCTCATCAGGACTAAGCAGCTTTCGCCAGTGTTTCGGAGCTGCGTCCAAAGGCTCCGGCAATCGAGTAGTCATGATCTTGGTTCCGGCCTCCGTGTCCACAATGACTTGGGATCCATCCTGCATGGATTCGTCTACACATAGAAAAACTCCTTCTCGCACTCGAGGAGCAAAAGGCTCTGCCCCCTGAATACGAACACCAACGGGATCACTAAAAGTGGGCATACCAAGTGGAGGATCTTCCACAATCGCGCTCAACCGAAGTTCATAAGTTGCTTGCTTCACAGCATATGGCCAAAACGATCGTGGCATGTCCGCGTGCAAAAGAAGACTTGTGGCGCGCTCCTTGATGGTTTGCACTTGCCTCTCAGCTCTGCCATTCGCCTGAGCCTGAGGGTCATATGCCGATGAGCACGTTTTCCAAACGGCATCCTTAAACAGATGTTCCACGACTTGCGAAGCGACGAATTCCTTTCCACCGTCCGAATGCACTCTCACAACCGCTGTCGGGTCCTCAAACTCTGCCCTCACCTGCAGAATGATGCTCTTCATGTTCCGCAGTGTTTCTTCAGCCTTCTTAGACTCTTGAACGCGCACATACGGAAGTGTCTTCTTATCTGGAGATCAAAGCTGAGCACAGCCGAGCTCACCTGAGCTGCTGAAAGCTTGTAGTGCGCCTTCCGATGTCCTCTACTGCCCTGGCACTGAAGACAGTCCTTCTGATAGGACGAGTGTACAACACAGGAGGCGCTGCCATCAAGGCCGGACCTGCCTAAACCATCCCTGAACTCACCGGTCTGATGGTCCTGCACAACACTAAAACCAGCCTGAGCTTCACACACATCCTGCCAAAACTCACAATGCCCTGAAGGTTGGTCCAACTTGCAAGTTTCAGGACGATTCTCGGAGTACGGTTCAGGCTGGGGGCTAGATACAGGATTCTGGTGTGTCTGATGTTGCTGAGTCTGTGTCGTGATGTTTGCTGTTGCGCCTCCGGAGCTGCCGCTTTCTTCTGATGATGTCACAATCTCCACTGCCGCCTGGGGTTTTGCACACCACAATAGCTCCAAAGGCAATGGGAAACCCATGTCCACCAGCTGCATCAACTCTGACTGCGTCAACCTCTTAGCTCCAGTCGTTGAGTGACCATTCAGGACCACTCGCCTGCCCTTCCACTCTTCAGTGCCATGCCAGCACTTCGGTGAAAATCTGAAGCCCTTACCTCGAATCTCAACTAGCTTGCCCAACAAAGCATGATCCGGTCGAACCTGACGTAGCTCCTGACCCTGCGGATCTTCAATCCACAACCTTCCTCCGCTAGGCATCTCCTCCTTGGAAGATACACACACCAAGAAGTTGTCACTTCCTGGCATGTTGTAGCTGTCTTTGTGAGGTACAAATGTGACGTTGTCATTGATGATGATGCTTGTCCAAGTTCCGGTGGGAAAAATTTTACGTAGGAATGCGTTGATCAATCTGGTCAGACTCGGCCTAGCCCTGCACTGCTTGGACAAACCCTGGCAACCACCATGTGTCCATGCGCCCAAAAGCCAAGATTTGACTTGTGCTGATTTGTCCTGCACGCAACTACGGTACCTCACGACCGGCTTCAAGCTACTACTCCGAAGAAGCTGCATGATATTGGCATGTGTCCATGCCTTCGGCCCCTTCTGTAACAGCGCTCCCGCTGCTTCTTCATCTCGGATCAATGCTTCATGCGTGCTGACTTGTGGCTCCTCCTGAGCCGTATCGGCGTGAACTGCAGCCACTGTGGTTGTCACCAGGTCCTTAGGCGTCTCCTGCGCAACCCCTTCACACGCTCCCGCCTCTACCGTGGACACCGTGGCGTCATACGGCACTCGATGCTGCTTCCACCACTTTGACAACAACGGACGCAAGCGCATGAAGGTACCCCTGTCGAGGTAAGGCAAACCACCGTGAATTTCCAATTGAACCCACTCACCTATGAAAGCAGAATCCTTCGGCAGCTGCAACCAAGCACCTTCGTCACTCCACACGAACTTGCATCCAACAGCTGTCAGCCTACACACTCCCGCAATGACCTCGGGACCCGTTCCTGGAATGATCACTTCACCATCCCTGGTTCTCGAGGCCTCAATGGTCTGACTGTCGGCTAACAACAACTCCAGGGGCATGGATCTAGGTGGAGCCTTAGCAGCCTTTCGGAGGACCTCGTTTGCACCAGTATCCAAAAGAACATTAGACCCGTCACCCAGATTACCAACAGCACACACCTTTCGCGCTTGTGACCTATGTTCGAACTCAAGGATTCTTGCTCGCAGATGGAGGAGCCGTCGTCTGGCTGGCTCGGGGACTGTGGCGAACTCTTCTACATGGAGATACATCAAGTCATGCAGAATCTCTACCCCATACGTGTCAAACATGATCCAACCCTCAGAGAAATCCACAAGGCTTAGCAGTTGCTCCAAGGGCATGCGCAACACATGTGTGATGTCGGCGGCAACTGCTTCAACCAATGTGTCATGATGGCCTTGCGCTGTATGCTGAAACTGAGGGGCTCCAACAGATGAAGCTGATGCTACGCTAGGTCCTGTGGTCCTGACGCGTGGAGGCTGAGGGGCCTCAACGATAGCCAAGAAAAGCTCATTATGATCATCTTCATCAACGAGCCAGGCCACAAAACCCTTTCTGGCAACATCATCATCACACATCAGCAAAATATCATAAGCAACTGCGATACTCTGCGCTTCTCCAATGAGCAGATCTCGAACCGGCATTCGTTCCGCTCGCTCCAAAGCCCACGCAACTCCTACTGCAACATCCCTACCCTCCGTGACTTGCACAAAAGGCCTAGAGCTCATGATGACTTCACCGCGCTCCCAGTGCTGAGCCCATGTGTTGAACTCCCTAGGATTCAAGTGCAAACGCCAAAGCTGATCCCGCTCTGCTCGGTGCAACCTTGCGTCCCGCATAGCATCCGCAAGCTCATCAACTAGATCATGCTCACTTGACAAAAGACTCTGAGTGCTATCAGTCGAAGCAACCGTCCCGGCATTTGACAGTGCCTCCAAGTCTGAGCTGTCCTCATCGCTAGAAGAAGAACTGAAATCACTCACCGGATTGTTTGTGCCATCATGATCATGGAAGTCACTGCTGACGCCTTGGCCTTGGCCTTTGGTTTAGCCTTGGGTTTACCCTTTTGTCCTTCATCATCATTTGCTCCAACCAATGCTGTGGCATTAGGTGCTGCTGCAGCCTTGGGCTTAGGCTTATGTTTCTCGTCGTGGGAAAAAGGACAGTTTTTCCGATAGCATCCTGCTTCACCCCAAAACCACTTGCAAGGCTTGTCCTTCCTTGCATCAATGTTTGACTCCTTGGGTTGCGATTCTCCTGCTCCTTTGCCCTGATTTGCGCTGCTCTTTCCTTTGTCCTTTCCCTTGCCTCCTTTGTCCTTTCCTTTGCCTCCTTTGTCCTTTCCTTTGCCCTTGGCTAACACCGAAGACTGTTGCTCATTCTTGTTTGCCTTCAGCTGTTCGTCAGCTGCAAGCTGACGCAATTCCTTATCCAACGTTTCGAGGATCATCTGAACTCGTAGTTCCGTGGGACGCTGGATGTCCGGAGACAGCTTGATGAGACTCATCCTGGTACGTAATGAATCGCTTCGCTTCTCAATGTGCTTTACTAGCGTACATAGAGCTCTCATCGCTTCAGACGGGGCTGTGCTGGGAAGATTCAAAGCTGCTGCGCGCAATCTGGCTAGCTTCCACCTACGGATACTCTCCAAAGCATCTCTAGCTGATTGGGCTGGGTCAAGGTTGCGCATGTATCGCAACAAACTTGCAACTTCTTCTTGGCCTCCAGGTTGAACTTGATGCACCAACTCCTCTAACAATGACAGTGATGTAATCTTGTTCTCTGCATCTTCAACTGCGCTGTCTTTGACCTCTGCTGGAAGAATCCGCATCAAGCTAACCACCAATCGAGCCTCATATGTCTCAAAGCATGCTTCAAGCTTTGGGGCCTCAGCAATAGGAGCTCCAGACATCCGGCTCTCATGTCTCTGGTGTGCCAAGTGAAATCGATCCTCAACGAAGGTTGCAAACTCCGGTGCAACCGTCGTGCAAACCGCCAGGATTTGTCGTTTCCATGTTGTGAAACCCAATCCCAGCTCCCAGGGTTCCCCTGGTTCTTGATGATACTTTGGAAGATCCGTCAAACATTTCCACTTTCCGTTCGGAATCTCGGGTGCCGACTTCCGATTTCCAGGCCTTGCGCCAGGACTCGGTGACCTTCCTGAGGATGTTCTCCTCCTGGATCCTAGACCAGGTGGAGGAGCAGTGAGACCCCATGGATTGAGAGGATCAACCTCTGTTCTTCCACGTTCCCACGTGCTCCAAAGCTCTGGCTCTTCTCCAGTCTGATCCCACCAAGCGGAAGAGGCATCTTGAACCCCAAAGCTAGGTGCTTGATCAGCGTTGGGCGTCAGCTCAAAATGCACTGGCTCGCGATCGTTCTGTGCGGGCATCGGATGCAATTGAGGTGACTGTGTATCCCGATGAAAGTCCTTCGAAGTTGTACCCCCTAGCTGAGCTTCCTCCAACTTGTCAGGGCCTTCCTCGATAGCGCTCACTCTCTCATCAAGCCTGTCTATTTCGGTCTGGACCTTGGGTAACACATCAGCTCGAAATTGCTCCAAACTGTTGTGTAGGCCCTCACCTTGTTCACGCTGCTGCGTAGTCAACACAGCAAGCTCCCGATCGACCTTTTCAGCCAAGACTTGCACCGCTCGTGCCAGTGAAGCTTGATCCCCGGGTTCACCCTTCAAAGGTGCATAAATCTCACGCTCTTGGGCATCCAATCTGCGCTTATGCTCTTGCATGCTCATCAGAGTGTATTTCACAGACTCATCCAGCTCAGCAACTCTACCAGATAGGGCTTCTACCTTCGCCAGTAAGCTCGCCTCTCTCTGCAAGGATTCGTCTAGCTTGTTCTTGACCTGCTGCTCCTCTGCACCTCGTTCTTCTAGGTAGCTCCTAAGGCGATGTTCCCAGGTTCAGAACAAAAACGCCAACATAGGCATTTACCTGTCCACTGAAGGCCGAACCCGAAACTCGTAAATCGTGGAAGACCCGGAATCTTCAATTCCAAGTGTAACACATAGAGCATTGGGACGACAGTATTAAAGTTATCATGTTTGATCGCCTCGATTTGTGTGCGCGCATCACGACGATCACTCTCCCGGCCTTCCACCAGGGATTGCACTGCAGCTTGTTGTCTAACCACCGCGTCCCGAAGCTGATCCAGGCTAGCAGTTAGCACTTGACATCCTGCTTGCAACTCTCCAACTGATCCCCCAACAGCTCCCACTGCCCCAGCGAGAACTTCAGTACGGTACTGGATGCGAGAAGAAAGCTCTATGACCGCGGCCTGGATGTCAGCCGCAAAACTCAAATCCTCACCAATACTCGTTCCAAAGGCTCGCAGCGTTTCAGCAGGTATGCTAATGCGAGTCATCTGTTGAAGCGTCACCTGCCCTCCAAGCTGCTGCTGTTCTGCTGCTGCTTGCAAAGTGGCTGGTGCAGATGCTGTTGTTGATGATGCAGTGTCATGCGTAGTTTCGAGAGGGTTTGGACTCATAACCTGTTGATTTCTGGTGTTTGGTTCAGGGGAAGGGCTGTTCGTAACAATAGAATAGTGACTAGGAGTAGGACTTGCATGATGCCTTCTAAGCTGCATAGGTAAATCATCTAGATGATCATACTTCTCCATAGTACATCGAGTAGCATGCAAGATAGCAAGGCACTACAAGGACCCTCAAACAAGCAACCCAAACCCCAATGCCCCAAGGTGCTTTTCGCACCCACCTCGCTGCGCCCTGCATAGGGCTCGTGCTTGAGCCAATCGGATTTGTGCGTGTCATCCTTAGCAGGGGTCATGCACCTGCCAGACAAGATGTGGTACACTTCTCGATTTGTGCACCTGCGGTACACTTCTCGATTTGTGCACCTGCCAAAAGTAGGGATTGGGCCCTACAGCAACACCTCCCTCACCCTGCCACCCTGCCCTCATTCGTAACAGTTTCTGTGATTCCTGGAAGGCACCTCAGGATGTTCGCTCCTGGGCAGAGTCAGCCCGGCAGAGTTACGTTGGCTGGGTCGGTATTGAAGTGTTGCAATCTGCTGCAAAGACGAACGTTGATGATGGCGATGGTACTGTAGATGATGCTGGTTATGATGACGACGACGATGGTTATTGTAGTGATGGTTGTGTGATGATGTTGATGCTGATGCTTGAGATGGTCGTGACTGCCGCGCTTCGCTCCCAGGCAGCAGGCCCGCGTCCGCGCTTTGGCCGAGCCTCGGCCCCTGCCCCAACGGCCCGAGCCACCTCCAGCACCGTTGAGGCAGGGAGCAAGGGCCCAGGCTTGAGGGTATGTGCGGTTCTAGGAAGGAGTCAGCAGCTTGAGCTTGAAGGCACTTCGGAGGAAAGTAGAGATGGATCCGTGATCGTGCACGCAAGCTTCTGCAGCCGAAGCACAGAGTTTGGCTGTTTGCAGATGCATGATCGGGATGCTGAAGACCTGTGTAGCCTGATGCTCTCCTTGCCTGGATGTTCTGCCAATGGATGCGGTCACCTGTCACAACATCTAGCAGCGAAATCATGGAAACGGCCTGCACCCTGTAGTCGGCGAGGAGTGCAGCCGAGCAGCAGCGGCACTGTGCAGAGCTAGCGCAGCCCAGGGCTGTCACCGAGCCGATGCCAGGTGAAGCAGTGCTGTGCACAATCAAAGTCCGACCGACTCTTCAGTCTCTTCTCCTACGCGGGACCCTGCATCAGGATCAACTGCTGCCTGGCGAGCCGACGCTGCATGTGTTTGCAGATTAAGACGGTTGCAAAGTTGGGCAAGCGACGTCTTTGCCATGCAAGCCGGGGTGTGTAGATTTGCGAGGAAGGGCGAAGTGCTGTTCGGGAGTCTGTGAGTAACACAAGTCGCCTGCCAAATTTGATGCTGGCTGCTTTGAAACATTTGCAGTCGGCTCCTGAGCCAGGAGGAGCTTGCCTCGCGTGCAGCTGCCATGGTGCCGGAAGAGGTGCAGGCACGCCGAGTACTTCAGGATGTTATGGGCGAGCTGTCACCTCCCCCTTCAGGCACCGGTAGCTGGTTCCTGCCTCACGGCAAATGAAGCTTTGAGGCGACTGTAGGTCGAAGTAGTAACCCCAGGACTGGGACTCACGTCTCGAAACGTCCAGTATGAACACGGAAGGCCGAGTCATATGCCGGCGTAGGTTGAAACTATGTAGGCCCTGTGAGGCTGCACGAGCGCTGCTGGCCTCGATGCGTTCACGGCCGCGCTCGGCGCCGCGGAGACGGCCTTCGTCAGCACAGGCCTCGTGCCTCGTCCGTGGGGCTTTCGCTCTCGAGGAGAGACTGTGGCTCAAGCTTCAGGCAGCGAAGCCCGACGAAGCTGCGGAGAGCTTATATGGGAAGTTGAATGCCGCGAATTCGGAGTGGTGGTAGCTGGCAGCGTTGCGCGTTCTGCAGCCGGCTTCAAGGTTGCGGCAGAACCTATCTAAAGGAGTTGAACTCGATGGTAATTTTCAATCCTTCGCATGTCCAGGTTCAAACTCTGCACGCAGGCTTTTCCTGACGCCAGTAAATTGCTCGACCAAGGTTTCAGAGCAGCTGGCGGAGCTGAAATCCATGGCATGCCGGCCGCATGTGGTTCCTTGCGTTCAGTTCAAGGGCTAGACTACCAGCATGGCCAAGCTGAAGGCGGATGCATAGCTTCTAATTACAGGGTTTTGCAGCGCTTGGAGAGCTTTTGAGATTTTGATTCTTGCGCCGAGGTTGAAGAGGTCCTGTGGGTCGTGCTTTTGCAGGCCGGAAGGAGTGGCATGGATTGACGGCAGCTTGAACGCGTGAGGGGAAGGCGCTGACTCCTTGCAAACTCTCAGGTACGCAGCTGCCCGAAGCCTCAGAACTTCACCGGGACGGGGCCGGTGCCCAGCCTTGCTCTCAGTTGGTGCAGGGTTTCGCTTGCGAAGTTTCTTTCGGAGGAAGCTGTGGCTCTGTTGCTGAGGCGGACTGGGAGCTGTTGCTCTCGAGGAGCGCAAGAGCGACCCTCCGCTCTCAGCCTTTCGTTCAGCGATTCGAAGGAGCGGCTCGGCAGCCTCCTCACAGCGCAAGTGGGGCCCGCACTTCGACCGGCCGGGACCTCCCTTTAAGACTTCTCTGAGCTCCGGCCGCCCGGCCGCCTCGGCCTCGGCTTCGCTCAGGTCGCGAAGCGCCTTCTCGGCCCCGGTCAGGCCATCAGCCGTTTTCGGCAAAGTGCTCTGCCTCAGCTTCAGCCTTCGAGCAGGGCCTGCCCCGGCGGCTGCGTGCGGAGCCTGCGCCCGAAAATCAATGTGCCGACGTTTCTGGCAGAGTGGCAAAAGCAGATCAAGCGTGCACGGCTTCGGAATTGGCCAAGGTTTCCAAAGTTGGCGAGGCACCTGGGCTTCCGCGAGTCGGAGGCTGCGACGTCTTTGTTGGCCCGGTTGGCTCTGGCTCTGTGTTGGACTTTTTTGGAAGGACCCAGAGCCACTGCCAACGTTGTGGCAGCAGGAGGCGACGGCGACACCTCTGAGGCTCACCACACCACAGCACCAGAGTCTTCAGCACCGCTGACAGGAGGTGTCTGTACACCTAGCAAAAGTGCGCGAGAGTCGCGACGAGCTCCTCTCCATGGATCTGACAAAGGCTGCAAAACTTGACACGCAGAATCCCGCAGTTTTCCAGCATTTGAGCAGTTGCCAGGATGCCATACTTCGGCGAGGGCCCGAGGTCTGTTCAGGCGAGCTTCGGTGTCGAAGCGGCGACTCTGCCTCAGGCTCGCAGACCTCAAAGTACGCTGAAGCCGGCCACGATCCTGACACCGGCGGCTCGGCTTTTGGATCACTTCGGTTCCGCAGGCATCCCTGCTCTCTTAGCCCCTGGCTGCCTCAAGCGGTGTCCAGAAGCTATGCTGAGTCCGAAGCAGGTGCTGAGTGCGAATTGAAATGCTGCTTTGCCTGTGCGGACTTTTCGCAATTCCTGAGAGTCCAATTTTTGACCGACTACAACTACAGGCAGGCGCCGGTTGCGTTAGATTGCTTGCTTATGGCGGCACCCTCTTCGCCCCAGCAATCATGCAAAATGCCGTCGTTCCGCCACATGTCCAAATCTGCGATGGGCACTTTGAGTCCCTTTCCCTAACCTAAGCTGGTCCCTGCTGAGGATACAACGTTCTTGGACATGCCTGTGTCCATGCAACGCAAGGGGCAAGGCCACAAGAGCCACACGGTTCAGCCAAGTCTCACTGCAGCCAACAGATCGTGCATACCTCAATTCGATGCTGGCGAGGGCACTGGCCCAGTGGATGCCCACCCTAAAGGGGATCTTGGCAAGTCTGACCGCAATGGCAGAGTCCGGCAGAAGGAGTGCCAGGGTCAGTGCGGTAGAGGAAGTCAAGGACAGGCCCACTGCCTGCCCACTGCCCGCTGCAGGCCTGCGCAGTCCGTCCTCTCGGCAGTTAGCACAAGCTTCTTGGCCAGAGAGAAGGTCTTGCATGTTCGCAGGGTATCGCAGGTTCACAGTTCAAAGAGCACGCCAGTTGCATGCAATCTTGAAGGGGCAAGCAAGAATTTCAGCAACCGCTGGAGGCTTCGTACCTTCCCTCCCTCCAGACCAGCTCAAGCTCATGGCGTCTGGAGCTCATTTGTCTCACCTTGTTTGCCAGTAACTCGGTGTCAGCTCGGCTCTTTGACCAAAACAGAAGACTATTCATTGACGGTGAGCTGCAGCCTGGCTAAAACACACTCAGCACTAAAGCGCGCGCTCCAAGCTCAGAGGGCCAGTTCCAGTGACCTTGGGCGTGCGATGCCCTTTCCGGTGTTGCTTCTCTTGCCTGTCGTGATTCGGGCTCGGCTTCAAGATCTTGACCTTGGCCTCCTCGACGTGATCGCAGAAGTGGCAATGACGGATGCGGGCGATTCGGATGCTGTGATCAGCTTCTCAGGCAACGCCTACGATCCCACCGCCTTCTTTGCAAGCGGAAGTTGAACGGCTCTTCCCGTGCCACTTCACAACGGCGATCTCACCCTGGAAGCGCCACTTCTTCGAGTCGTCAAGCTACTGCAGTCACGTGACATGTCCATTTCTTGTCCATCACAGTGGGCAATTTTTGGATGGGAGGTCTACCTCTCTGGCACAAAGCCGAAGCAGAAGGTGGTCGATGTTTTCACCGATGGTGCATTGAAAGCCAAGATCGATTTTGCAACCGTGGGTGGCCACTTGGAACAGATGATGCACGTCAAGGGAGAAAGCCACGGTGAGGGTGCGCTGTGGGACATGGCTCAATCAGCGTCCTGAACAGCAACTTCAAGCACATCTTTGATCTTGTTCTCGCAACCGACTTGCCAGTTAAGACACTGTCAAGGGAGGAGCGCGTCGTGCGCTTGAGCCTCGGGGAGAAGCACTACGACTACGAGAAAGGAGCCTAGCCTATGCACTATCGGTCAGTTGCATGCAGGAGCGCGACAGCAGCCCGTACCTGCACATCCACTTCATCCTTCCCGCTGCCTGTTGAGAATGGCGGTGGCAGACATAACAACATGCGGTTCACATAGTCTTGTCTTGGAAAGTCCGGCAAACAAATATTGGAAGGCCAGTAGGCCCCCCTTGTTGCTGTTGGGACTGGAAAGCACATCGTGCCTAGAAATGCGGGTTGAGAATCTCGAATGCTCCACTTTTGGTGGTAACACAATGATTGGCCGCCCAGTGTCCGTTACTCCGGCTCAAAACGAGAAACTGATCTGTTACAGCGAGTGTCAATTTTGACTCTGAGGGCTTGTGTTCGTCTTTGGGCGCAGACTGAGAGACACAGAGTACAGTAACAGTAGCATACACATATAAAGCGCTGCGGCATTTACCGCCAATGGCCGGCCTTCTGGAGGACACCTGTGGCGCCTGTGCATGGTGCGACTGGTGTGAGCTGCCGCCAGCTCTCCTCTCCTCTGCTCCTTCGGCAGCAAGTCGAATCTGTGTGCCAGCATCTTATGCGCACTCGGATACTCAAGAGGTCCTCCTCCACCTCGATGTCGCGGCCCTCTGTGCCGCCGCCGCAGCGGCGGCTCCCTGGAATTGCGCTGCGCTGCCCGAGGCACAACTACTTAAATATAAAGCTTCGGAGCTATGCGTAGGAAACAACTCTCCGGTCAGGTTTGGGAGTCCGCCTTGCTCTCACCCCAGGCAGGCATCTCAGGGTCCTGCAAGCCGAAGGTCACTGCAAGTCCTGGTCCGGCTTGCGGCCTCAGGTGCCGCCAGAGCAGCCGGGCACGTACACGACCGTCTTCACCAGAGAAGGCGGGCAGGAGAACACTCGCAGACCGAGACGTTTTCGTATGAACTCAATTTTCTGATTTCGGCAGAGTTACACGAAATCCGGCACACCTTGTTCGTTTGCTTTCCGCCCCAGCTCTTTCTGCATGGCTCTGGCGGCAGGTCTCCAAGCTGCCCAGATTCCGTCGGGCTTTGATACGAGGCTATCCGGGTGGCAGCAGGACTCAACTCAAGAGAGTACTACTGCCTTTGGCTTCTTGGACCTGAGCTACTGCAGCCACTGCGAGGACTCAGCTTTGCAATGCCTGGTGTCCAAATACTCGCCCAGGGCACTGGCGCACTTCGTTCGGAGGCATAGGGCATAGAGAAATCTAGAGAAATGTAGGCACATATAGGCTCCATTGTGAGCTCATTGGTTCTGGTTCCTCTTGCGAAGGTTCCACAGCGGGGTCGAGGCGGAGGCTCTGCGCTTGGATCGATCCTGTGCGCACTTGGCTCTCGAGGCAGAGAGTGGTTCATTATTAGTTCTTCGTTCTGTTCGACGTCGTGCCGGCCGCTTCAACCTGTCGTTTGTCTCCCACCCCCGTCCCCTCAAGTGCGCCTCCAATAAAGCAGCACCCTACCTCGCTCAACTTCCTCCAAAAGTGTAGTGCCGTCGGGTTTGGCGAGCTGGGCTCAGAGCCTTTAGCGCAGAGATGCTCGCGCCTAGACTCCTGCTGAATCGGGCTGTATGGCTTAGTCAGGGCACGTAGACTCCAAGACGTTGGCGCCATTTTGGCTTCAGTGCGCGAGTGTCTAGAGTCCAGAGTTCTAACAAGGTATCTCGTACTCCTTCGTCAGAATATATGGAGTTTTCGGTCTTGCAGAAGACGATACAACATCTCAAACTGGACAGACATGAACTCAACTTTGACCCTTCGTGGAAGTTCTTCTACATGCTCGACAGTTGCATACCTGTTGGATGACCTTGTACATGGCTTGTTGAAAACTTGTCGCAAAGCTGGCGTTGCGTGTCTTGCCTTTTGACTCCTAGTTGCCGGAGCCGGTTTGCAGATAATCTGCCTACAACGTTGCCCTACTTGCAAGTGTTATCCGACATGGAGCGCAAGGTGTTGAACTTTTTTCCGGACCCCGTTTGGGCTGCCATCTGCCTGACCGACGATCCTGCTACTGTGTTTGCAATTAGTTTCCGGTGGGAATCTGCCCAGCCAGGCATTATGATTCTTGTGGCACGGCGATGCGAAAGAGGGGCATTATGCTGCCACATTTCTGGCATGAAGTCGGCAGGCGCACTCGAAGAACCCGCAACCGATTCAATTAGTCGATCTGCTAGCGTGCGAGTTCGTAACAACACCCCAGCATTCAAGGATTGACGCGATGAGTGTGCTGTGATGCCTATCCATCATCGAGATCACCCGTTGAGCCGCAGCAGTAGAGAGTGCGCCAGTGGCGACAAATCACCTTGGGTTGAATCGAGTCAGGAGTCTGGATCGGAGGGGGGAGTCGAGAAAGGTGTGCAAGCTTCCCTCAACAGGCGCGAGGAACAACTGAACCAGTGAGAGACAAGCATTGCGACGTACAGGGCAGCGTGTGGCTAAGATAGCATGTTGCAAATACACGTAATGCGCCACACAGAATCTCTGAAGCTCATCGTCACACACTGGGTGCTTTAGAACCCGAGGCCGAAGCGTTGGAGGGCAACCTGAACCAGGCCACCATCTGCCTCCGTGGCTTTCGCCACACGACCAGCTGCCTGGAGGCCAGAGCCTCAGAGCCAAAACACGACTAATAAGTGGCATCTATATTATAGTTATTATAAGTAGCATTCTCATTATCATTATTATATTAGTTTCGCTTTCCCGCCAAATGCGTGTGAAGATGTAAGAGAAGTTGTGTCTGGGGTCCCTAGCAGAAGAGGAGCCTGGCCTCTCCAAAGCTGGAACTCTGGTGGTCTGCACTCTCTTCTTGGGCGGCAGCTCCGTGGACCTGATCCGCTGCCCTGGCTTCAGCCGCATGGAGGTGGGAGAGTGCCTTGGGACGCAGGAGCCAGGGGGGCGGAGTCTTGTTCCTCCCTGGCTTTGCTGGCCGAGGCACGTGCTAAGGGGAAGCTACGTTGGAGATCCGATGCTCCGCTTTCTGCTTGCATCGTCCTTGTCTGCAGCAGCCTTGGGACCCAGTTCGGGGCACTCTGCCCTCCTCTGACTCCGTCTGTTCAGGTCGGTTGTGCGAAGTTGGAAAGCCTGCTGGACATGACCAGCCGTGGGGATACTGGTCCTGAGGTGGGAAAGATGCTCATGCAGACTGCATGCTGCAACATCAGTCCTTGGGCCAGGTGCTCATCCCGACCACGCGCGGAAGCCACTATGCCATGGAGCCGTGGCAATGGGAGGCCTGGGCAGCATGAACCTGTCACAGGTCAGCAGCTCACATCTGACAAGATCGAACGTTCATCTCGCGCTCACTGGCAAACCAGAGGACTCGCACATGTCCTTTGCCGGGGTTTGTTTTCTGCCAGGAGCGCGGAGCTCCGATGGATGGCACTGGCCACGAGCTTCAGATAGCAGAGGAAGGCGGGCGGTGGGAGGACGGGAGGACATCGTTGTCTGCGGCTGACGCTTGAGAGACGTTGTCGGTGCTGAGAGAGCCGTAAGCTGTTACTGTATTTGTCGTGGAGTAGGCGAAGGTGGCCCGGCAGCAATCTGGTTGGACGCTGGAGTTCTGGACCCTTCGGAGGCAGAGAGAGCGGGAGAGATTGCCTTCTTGGGCACTGCAGTTTCTTCCTTCTCGTGTGAGGCGCTGGAGGTCAATTTCTGCAGCGTCTTGTACCGGGGAACCATCAGGCTTTTCGCATAGCCGGAGGGCATCCACGTGGACTTCAGCAAGCCTTCGATGAGTACCACGGCGGTCGTGCAATCGCAAAAATGCCAGAAAGGGTCACGGCTTTCGGTCGAAGGCAGCGTCCAGAAGGTGATGGTCTTGGCGCGCCAAGCCACCGGCAAACCGCGGATTCGTCAAACGACGAGGAGAGCGGGCAAGATGCGATCGTGCATTTCGATTGGGAGCCTGGGCAGGTGCTGAATCGAAGGTATCGACTGCACTCCAGCTGGCGAAGGGACATTCGGCCGAGTCTGCCTGGGCCACCGACGCCGCAAAGAAGGGCCAGGTCGCGATCAAGATCATTCGCGATGTCAAGCAGTTTAGAGAGGCTGCTCAAGTGGAGGCAGAGGTCTTGACGACAATTCGTGCAGCTGACCCGTGGGGGCAATTTCGTTGCTGCTGGATGCACGCCACGCATCACGAGTTCTCCGACTTCTGGTATGATGAGGGAAGCAAGGAACCCCTTCTTCGATTGAAATTGGGACAGGACACGTCTGTGTCAAAACAGGGGGCAAAAGACTGTTGTGGGATCCTCGGACTTACCGGTGCACTGGAGAACCCAACATATGTGAAGAGGGTAAGTCTACGAGTGGAGTGTGACGAGGCGGAGGTCCTCTCTTATCCTTTGAGGGAAAGCAGCACCAGTACTATTCACTATCTGGCACGCAGACGTGCAGAACAGAAGCCCCGGACGAAGTGCATCGATTGGGGATGTTGCACAAAATGGGGCAACTAAGATGAACTACCAGCATGTGCAGGGGCCCGCAGTTTGGTGACATCTACGGCGGAACTGGAAGGCACAGACCACGCGAAAGGCAGACGTCTCGTAGATGGAGCCGAGCCAGGCAATCGGTAGACCGCGAAGAGCAAGCGAGAAATTGAAGGAGCGCATGGTTCTTCCAGGCTGCTGCCCTCTGGACGTCTCACGAAGCCGCTACTTCATGCTTCGACCCTCCCATCTCGGATATGGTATCGCCGTGGACAAAGCACCACAATATTTGTTCTGGACACGCAGCGACTCTAGCAGACGAAGAAGAGATGCACACCGTAACTTAAGATGTGTGATCAGCTTGCCTATTTAGGCCTATTTCAGCTTCAACAGAACTGCCGCCGACCAAAGAGGAGGCAGCGAACTTGCTGTCGGCTAGATTCCACTGTCGCCGCAGCTCCGAGAGTCTGTTTCCGATGTGCTGCAGAGCATTGCCCAGAACCTTGCAGCCTGACAGTGCCAGCGCCGAGCTTTGCTGCAGCTCGCAAGCCATGTGCACCAAGGGAAGAGGCGACGGCAGACAAACCGGTCGAGGCACGCGTGCAAAGTCTGAGCGTCTCAGCACCGGAAGTGCTGGAAGGAGGCCAAGACCGGGGCGAAGAGCAAAGTGAAGAGGTCACAGTCCCAGGAGCCTCGGCAGCATTTTGCGTCTTTTGTCCTGAGTATCTTGCTGGCCTGCCCATATCAACATGTCAAGGCATGTTGCAGTAGAGGCATGTAGGGACTCCTCTTCCATGCCTGCCTAAGACATGCCGGCACGTAGGACAAAAGACAAGCCGCACCTAGACAAACCAAAATCATCGCCGTCTTTGCGCGGGTGCATGATGATAGTTCGTCTTAGCCTTGAGACTATCTTTCTGAGCCGAATAGCAGTGCTCTAGTTTCCCGACAACCATTGAAGAGTTGAGGTCAGCGAGGCCCTTCAGCCACCTTCCTTCAGCCGACGCAGACCTACGCTTGCGACCTCGGCACCTCTTGGTTTCACGGGATGCTGAGATGAGCAATCTGCTAAGTCTGCGAACGAAGTCCACGACAACCCAGGCCTGGCGAAACTGCTGTCGCTTTCCTTCCGTATGCTGCAGACGCCTTACTACGGACACTCGGGGCCCGGTCGTAGTCCAGCCCATACAGCATGTGCAGACAAGGCCAGTGAGGTCTCGTCACTGCAGAGCGGCTGGAGGCACTGGAAGGATCTGCGGATTCCGAGTGCTTCAAGTCTTCCCAAATGGCAGGCAAGACTACTGGACGGAGCCCAGTCCGCTCTTTACGCAGGGCCTGCTGTCCCAGGCAGCTGAAGAATTGGAGGTTCAAGGTGAGGAACGCTGTTCACGTCCCAGAAGCCCATTGGCAGGATGTCAGATATGCGACAGAATGTTCGCCATGCAAGTGTGTATCGACCTCGGAAGTCAGCCTGTCCTTTCTGTCCTTGTCTGCGCAGACTCCTCACCATGTAATATGTGCCCCTGGTGGCTGCGGCAAACGTGCCAGTTGGCCGGGCTGGCCACCACTTGTAGGATCGGATGTCCAGCGATCGTGACGTCCGCTTCCGAAAAATCAATTGTGCTAGCGACCGTGATGAGGTTATCAAGGAGGCAGCGCTTCCACCGTCTGGAGACAGGCAAAATGCACAGGCCAGGAAGGGCTGCAGACTCAATAAAGAGATCAAGTCGTGATGAAGATCCGGCTTTTGCTGCTGTGCGGGAGGAATTGCAGCAGCAGCAGCGCCTTCGATGGCTGGACTCCCTGATCAAGCAAGAAGAGGAGGAGCGGTGGAGCGGGCTGTGGGCAAGTCACTGGCAGCTACCGGTACCACCGGGTGGTGCTTTTGCCGCTGCCGTGCACAGGGGCTCCCTTTCCAGCGACACTCCATGTCCAAGGCTCGAGCTTACTAATCCCAATCTGAGCCGTCGGTTCTTTTTGGCAGGTGAATGCCCGTGTCTTTCCAGAGAAGTTGCTCAACCAGCACCCCTGGTCACACAAGTGGCTGCCAGCCCTGGGCTTGAAAATTCGGGAGCCTTGTGTAAGTGAAGCGAAACGGAACTAAACGGAACGCATAAGGGCTTTGCTGACACTGCTGCTGCCAAGGGCCGAGACTGCGCTCAATTGCAGCCGCTTGTGAAGGCCACGGAGAGCTTGGGCTTGGAGTTCGGAAGGCGGTTTTGCACAGGCTGACGGACGTCGCATTGTCTGCAACACCTTTCGTATTGGCTAGGCGAAAGAGCGAGCAGCTGCCGCGTGACCGGAGCCGATCCGTGGAGGAGAAGTTTAAGGTCTAAGGTTTAAGTTCATGGAAACACAGCGTCACACCTCTACCAAGGCAAGAAGTGCGTTAAATCAGGCTTGGGGATTCGGCTCGACTCGTCAAGCGAATCGTGCGCGGCGTCTCACTCAACTGGAAAACGAGCGACAGGGTGCTGTTTTGCCAGTTTTTGTTCCTTCAACAGACGCGAACCAATTGACATTTGAGCAAGACGCCGAAGCATACTGGATGACAGATTCACAAGTTCAACCGCCTGACGAGATCTACGATCCCGTATCAGTAGCGCTGACATGCCGGAGAACAGAGCGTACAAGCTTGTCCTCCACTACATTCCAGCCTTTCTTTCTGACCTGTCACTGTCATAAAGCGAGGCGGCTCCACTTAGTTCAGCTCTTGATTTCCTCCTTGCTAAAGATGAGCTAGACCTTCAGGAAGTCCTCACTAGACGCCAGACTTCACCTGACAGCTTCTGCAATGGATGATTGCAATGGCTGGGCTACGGACACCAGCGCCTTGGTCTCGGCCGTGCCCACCACTTGTATGAGCTTGACCTAGTTTAGGGTTCCTCCGCCGTGTCGGATTCAAGCCAAGGCCTGTGTTCTGATCTTCCGGTGGTTCTTGCTGGGGGGGTGCTTCGTAGCCCCGACAGTGACTGGAAACCTTTCTTGGACGTTTCCAGCATTGGACATGACAGTACCAGGCTCTACGGGCTCTGTGTTCTGTGGCTCTTCCAGGCCACGGTCACGGAGCAACCGATTCATGTCTCGACGTGCTCCGTAGCTGGCAGAACAGACCCATGGGCAGTGTCATACAAGTGCAGAACTCCGAAAGTAGACACCGTAGATCGGCTCATGGACCTGAGAGATCTTCACAGGCCACTGCAGACAGCGATCCCTGTGCCGGGCAGGAGTGGGAGCAGGCCCGAACGGTCAGAAACTGTGACAGGTTTCTGGTGGCATGGGATCATTCAAACATGTTCAAATTGTGCGTCCAAGATGACGGATCAAACGGATGCCATTCTGCAGATGCACCTCCAACTGTGCACTTGCTTGCCGCTGCCGCTGAGCCAGGTGAGGCAACTACTGTGGGTCAGACGCTCGGGTGTTGGCTGGCGCTGGCGACTCCAGTAATGAGAGTCAGTGTCGAGTAAAAAGACTTTGGTCGTTTCGGCTTTTTTGGCTCCGTTTGACCTTGGCCTTTTTTGTGGCCTAGGTCGTGGCCGGTGATGGCCGCGACGGGCACGGAAGGCTCCGGTCTCTGAAGGACTCGGAGCTCGGCCCTCGGCTCTTTCGCTTTGAGACTCACGGCGGGATTTCGGTGCTTTGCCCCTTAGCGGCCTACGGAGGCCACTGCCGCCGATGCGACCCTCCGCCTGCGTGCACGGTGCCGCTCTTTTAAAGCCTCGGGGAGCTCCTCTGATGAGCTCGCTAGCTGATGCCATCAGCCGCCGTCCCTTCGGAGATGTTCGGGGCGTCTTTGTGCGGAGCAGGTGCGGTTTGTCTACATCTTCTCCACATGCTGCGAACGGAGCGCCAGGAGCGGGAAGTGTCACCAAGGCTCCTCTCCAGGAGTTTGCCCAACCCCTTGAAAGTGACCCCTCCTGATGCTCGCGATGCTCCGAGAGCGCTGCGCCTGCGACAGCTCTCTCTGCACCACAGCTGGCTGCTACCCGACCAAAAACAAGACTTTGCAGAATCGAAGAAGGGACCCATCAGGAAGAAAGAGAAAAAGGCTGAAAAGGTAAGGGCAAAATACTGCTGCGGCTGTTGCAACTTCAGCAACCTGCAGTTTTCACTTGTTAAGCTTTCGTTCCCCCTTCTCCGCAAGTTCTTGCGATGTCTCTAGTTTTCTGCATGTATCCGTATGGTTTGCCTTGTGTGAATGCAGGAGCGCATCCGCGAGCTCTCGGGGATTGGTGGCGAGGTCGTGACTGTGCTTATGGACAGTGCCTTTTCCAAGGCCGCGAAAGCACTGGGATGGCGACAAAATGGGTGAGAGATGTCAGTTGCGACGCTTCGCAGTTAGAAGCGCAAGCGCCAGATCGGAGCCGGCCGCTGGCCACTCTTCGCACTTCTGCACCTTGCACAGGCCAGGCTTAGCTGGCTTAGCTGCTTCCAAAACCTACCAGGGAGTTCGCACCTCTGTAGGAAGAAATGGGCCGAACCAAGAAGTGCCGCATGCATTTGCTGTCAGGTTCAGCTGGAAGGGGAGGAGGCTCGAAGACGTGTTGTGACAAACACGTTGCCATGTACTGTTCTCGTATGCATTATGCCTCCCGGGCAGGCACTCTCATCAGATGGAGCTGATCAGCGTGGTACCCCGAGCTTGCAGCAATCCCTTGCTGAGGTTTTTAGTTGCAACGACCCAGGACGCTGGCAGCCTCTCGTGACCGATGACCATGTCCGCTTTCGCAACTGGGCCGAGGGCTTAGCCTCATGGCTTAGGCTATGGTACTGTACTGTGGTGTTTGATGCCTTCGCCTCGAAGCCGCAGAGGTTCATGGTCACCTGGTACATGGCCAGACGCCGCCCTTGGTGGCTCGGTCCCCAGGATCAGAGAGAAGTTCCGAGCGATTCTCGTTGGAACCTCCAGTGAGCTTTCGTCCTTGTGGAGAGGACTCGGTGCACTTCCTGGCCCGTGCAGACCCTCGGGAGCCAGCGCAGCCTAGCAGCCTGTGCTCTGCGGCGAAAGCGGGTGCCTCAGCAATGTGGAGGATCCTTTGCTCTTCTGTTCACGATGCCCATTCGGCACGTGGAACATGCCGCGAAGTTGGGCTCCGACTCAAGAAAACTAACTGTATCAAACCCGTGCAGCTGCATGTGCCGCTGCCGTCCGGCCAATTTCTGCTGCTTCAGGCCGTCGGTTACCTGGCATCTGCTTTGGTCTTGGCTCAAGAGAAGGACGAGCAGATCCGAAAAGAGGCTGGACGTTGCTTTGAAACACCGAAGACTTCAGACCGCCCCGGCATGCAGGCCGAGCATCTTGTCGTTTCTGTGTCTAGGCTGCACGGGTGACCGCCTTGCTCTTCGCCAGAGTCTGAGTTCTCAACTAATCTTCCAGATTCCAGGCCGAAGGCCACATCAAGCACTGCGAGAACGTGGAGCCTGAGAGCTTCAGCCTTCTCCCGCTGCTCCGAACAGAGTGCCAGACTCAGACTCGGAGCCGTGAGGCCGAGGCAAAGCTTCGCTGAACCGAGGTGGCCCATCTGGTGGCTTGTGCATTCTGTCTTGTCGCACCTCTTCCCTTGGCAGGCTGGAGCCGTTTGGACATCTCCCCTTTGATGTACTTGAGCTAGGACCAGCTAGGACTTCAAAATCTGAAGGCTACCGTGCGACCTGCTGCTGCGCCCAGCCCTCCGCTCGGGTTGGAGACGCCGCGCTGGCTTTCGCTTCTCTGAGCATGTTCACCCAGGGCAGCAAGACTTTCGTACCCAAGGAAGCGTTAGACAAAGGGCGTCAAAGTTCGTTCTCACACCTTGAAAAGCTTGTGGGGCCCAGGGGGTACCTCGGCCAGGTCACCGAAGGTGCAGGCACCAGTTCAGGACGTGCGACAGCCGCAGCCAGGTGCCAGGGCAGATACTGCACAGGGTCACGGAGTCTCGTTTCAGAGATGAGCGGGAAAGCTGCAGCAGGGCTCGCCTGCAGCGCCTCGCGTCAACAGCTCTAGTGTCCAGGACCAGCGCAGATGTCCGCAAGTCCCAGAGAAACGCCGCCTGGTCCTCGGTTGGTACCTGTCAAAAACTGCGAAGAAGGTGGGTTGGTGATTCAAGGCAGTGCACGGGCCTTGAGAATCGGCCGCCGAGCCTATGCTCACTTCCGAAGGCCGCACGGCGGGCACGGGCAGCAAGCACCGATATCACTCAAGTTGCTTTGCATCAGGCCGTGTTTGTGCAGTACGATGGGGCTGTGTACCTCGTGGACACCCCACAGCTCGAGAAGCAAGGCAGTTGGAAAGCTTGGATTCCAGCATAACCCAAGTTTCTTGATGAGGTCGTAGGCGACTGTTTGCACGACAGAGCCATGCAGAGGCAGTTTCAGTGCTGTACCCCTGCCGCCCTCTCCGAACCCTTCGGAACCCAGACCAGAAGCGAAGCCTTCGGAGACTTCACGGGAAGGGCGGGGCAATGAGCAGCAATCCATCATTCGACAGGCATGCCCGGCGCATCGTTGATGCAGCCCGGCTGAAAGTTGAGCTGTCAGCACATAAGAATCGCATGCTCTGTGGCAGTGTCGAATAAGCCAGGTTTCAGCCGCCACAGCCTTGCCCTCCCAAGGCAGCTCTTCAGGGATGGCCGCCCGCTTCGACGTCGAGCAGCTGCTGCAGCTCTTTGTGAGGCCGAGACTCTACTAGACCCAACCCGCCGCCAACAGATGTAGAAATTATCGCGGCTTTCGGAAAGATCATGGAGTCGTAAAGTCTCTGTTCCATGAAAGGGCATGTGCCAGTATGTGCAAGAGGATGACGACGGGCTCAAGCTAGACATTGTGTGGATAGCTCCATCTCGACCGTCGAGGTGGCTCTCCACTGAATTTCATCACGGCACGGCTCAGCCACGCTGTCTCCAATCACAGTACTGACATGGGGTGGATGGGATGTGTTGGCGTGAGATGCACATGCGCTGGTTCGCGCTTGCCGGAAGAAATGGACGCCTTGGCCAGGACGGACTGGGACGGCGGCAGAATGAGGCAGCACTTGCACTCGTTGTTCATTTGGGGAGGGTCCTGGGGACGGCTCCGCATCTGCTAAGAATTCGTGCAGCTTCGGTCCTCCTTTCAAGGGATCTGACAAGCATTCGTTGGTGCTGCGCTTCTGCAGCGATCATGAGCTTCGAAGTGCCCAGCGCCGAGAGGAGGCTCCTGGCTTTTCGGAGTCCCGGATCTTCGGCCGGAGGCTCCTGGCGGTGCAGGCACTTGACATGGGCTTGACAAGGGCCCCGACGGTTTGTTTGACAGGATGTGTTCTTTTTGTTTTCTTTCCGGAGAAGAGGCGTTTGATCTCGCGTCACGCGGATGTTCGTACCGACTCTGTCGTTTCTCCTTTCCGCTGCAGGGGTGGGGAGGTGGGAAGTTGAGGTTCGGGGGGCGGGTTGACATTGTGTCGCGTTTCCCGTGCGCTAGGTCATCGCTTTTACTGCACTGAAACAAGCAGCAGCGGCAGCAGGGAGTCCCTGCGAAGCAAACTGAGTTTGTTCAACAGACGTCATGAAGTCATGAACTTTGATGCAGGATCCCGATCTGCAAGGCGCAGCATATTCGGTGAGGTCCACAGCATACTGAAGAAAAATCCTGGCGTTCGGGTTTCGTGGAATTGTGGAGTCACAGCGTCTTAGGGAGAATCCTGGCCCATGCAGCATCTCGTGCCGGCATGCCAGCTCACATTGTGGCGCTTGGTGAGGCCAGTTGGGCGCCACCGACTGTGGGCCTCTACGTGGAGGCTATTCTGCGCTTTGTCCACGACACACCGTGCTCACGAACCCACCAGATTTCTCAACGGCACTCTTTCAGAAGTCTGCTTGAGCAGGAAACATCTGCGAGCGATCCCTACAATGCAGGGCCGACAGTGGTTGCTGCCGTTGCTGCACTGTTTACGCTCTGCTGTTTTTAAGACGGTGTCGAACCAGTATCTACCAGTGCCAGTCCTTCATTGCTGTCTTGCTGCTTTGTCTTGTTCGAGGCCGAGTGGCTTCAAGCCTACATCACTGCTTTTGGGAGGCAGCTGGTGGAGTTTTGCAGACGAGCCTCGAATGTAGTTTCGAGAGAGGCTTCGCAACCCCTCCTTTCAGAAGGTTGGGCTTGGAGCCTCACGTCATCTCCAACAGCGAGGTCTGCGAAAACACTGACTCAGAGAGTGTTCAGAGTGCCGACGGTTCATGCGAGCCGAGCTGAGCAGGCCTCAGGCCATTGCGGACTTCTAGTTTGATACTTCCCAAGTCGGCCAGGAAGCCCAAGCAGGAGTTCTCTACTTCTGGCGAATCAACCAGATGTTTGGAGGCTGGGCGGGAGAGGCGGAGACTTGCCGCTAGACCGTCACGCTTCCATCAGAATCATGCACCTGGCGCTTAGCCAAGGTGGCAGGCTTGCGGGTGCTCCGGGCGTGGGCCTCGCCGTGGCGCAGCACCTTGGAGCCCTGCACTTGGAAAGCGAGCTGCTTTTTTTGCAAGCCGCGTGGCTACACTGTAGGGTTCCTGGGTTGAGGGTAGAAGGATTGGATGCCTGTCGGCGCCCGAGCTAGGCGCACCTGGCAGGTGCATGGCTCCCGCTGTGGCGTGCCGTGTGGCTTCCACTGAAGTCGACCCTCACCGAACTGTAAGATCCGGATTGAAAACTTGGATCACTGTTGAATCGTGCGCCCGCAAAGGTGTGCCCTGCATGCTTTTGTTCGTTGGAGTGGAAACCTGTCTTCCGTCGCCGTCCGTGCCGAGTTTGATTTTCAAGTCGCTGTCAGGGACACGCTACTTGCCTCCTGCGGGCTCGTGAAATCGTGGTACTGCCACGGTGCCGTGCAAAGGTCGGGAGCGACAGTCGTTTCCGGAACGCCTGTTCCCGCTGCCCTCGCGTGCGTTTCGGCCTCCCGATCATGCTGCCGTATATTCTCTAGGATGCCAAGTGTGCATGCTCCCACCACAGTCTGGTGAGCAGTTTAACGTACAGTACTGGTGGGAGCCTCAAGGATACTCTTGGAATGGTTCTTGCTTAAGTAGTGCTTGCACAGCTACAACAATGCAGCAGATCTTCTTTCAGGAATGTCACAAGCTCTGTTATCTGCAAAGTGCGAGGCCCTCACAACACGGGGTGCAGCACCCTGGCCACGCCCGGAGACAATGCAGCTGGAACCTTTGCTGCTGAATTACAAGGGGGGACAGGACGCTGTGCTCCTGTGGACCTGAAAATCGCAACCAGGCTTTACCAGGACAAGATCGCCCTTCGGGAGCTCTTTGCAAGGCTGGGATGTCCGAATCAGATAGTTTGATTGTATGATGGTACAGCAGCTGGCAGTTCTCATCCCAAGTCGAGCAGCCTCACACGGCCTGCAGACTCTGCAGATCTCCCAGGAATTCTTGAGTGGATGCTGAGAAGTTCGGGCATGTTACGTAATGTTCACGTAGTGGTCAAGTAAGTGTTACAATGTATAATGGCAGGCGAAAGTGGGATTTTAGTCACTTGATCCACTTGCTCAGTAGAGCTGCACGCGGCTTCAAGAATGTCCTTTCTCTTCCACGCCCCTCGTTCAAAGAGTAGGCGCGATTCCCAGAGCGTCCTTCCTTCGAGTTCCCCGAGCTTGGCGTTTGAGGAGTAGGCTGCATCTCTGCGGAAAGCACGCATCTCGTGGTGCAATGGCTGCAGGGTCGGTGTGCCAGCTCCCAAGAGCTGGGTTGTGGCCACCGTGGCGGACCTGGAGAACCTCCTGCGCTCCAGCTGCAGTTGTTGCATTCCTGTTTCAATGAGCATCCCAGGTCGGAGGTCCCAGTGTCAACCCACAGAAAAGCCGAACCTCCCTAGGAAGGAGGGCCAGCTGAAGGACGCAGACTTCCCACTTGTGCTCGCCTCTGCATCAGCGGCTCCGTGACAAGCAAGCGGCAGAAGTTCGTTTTCGCAAATAGGTCAGATGAAGCCTAGAAGTCCAGGACTAAATTTTCTTATAGATAGGAGTTCCGATTTTAGAGTCCGGGGTACAGTGCCTACTGGTAGTGGGAGGTGGTCTCACTTAGACTTGTGGTATATATCTGCTATTCAAGTTCTCCGACATGCATGCGCAAGGTCCTGAAGCATCCCTACGCCGCATCTAGCCGTGGCATGAGGCGCAATCTGCTTGTGAGCGCATCAAGAAGAACAGGACCTCAATGCTTCGCCGTCTTGGCAGGTCGTGTGCTTCGATGGCCGAGGCAAGGCAGGTGCTGGCGCAGTGGCTGCAGGAACACCAAGTGCCCGGCCCCCAAGTCCAAGTCACTATAAGGCCGCTCGCCTCTCGTGTCGTGTCGGCAAAAACGCTACGAAGAGGCCTTGCCTGCTCCAGCGGCGGCTGGCAATCTCCCGCGACATGCGCGTAACCTACGTCCGGCAGCCTGGGTGTCTTTTGTCACAGTCTGGCCATGGATGCAGGGCATGAGCTTCGTCATGTGTGGCAGCGCTCTTTCAGCAAAGAAAGGTTGGTTGTGCCCAGGTCGGTGGCGAAATCATTCAAGGCTACTGGCGGGTGAAGGCTCTCTGCTGTGATTTGAGCCACTGCAGCATAAACGCCACAAGCAATCAGAAAGACAGTGGCTCGGGTTTCGAAACAGTTGCGCTCGAATTTCGAGGCATTCAGCCGCCACGTTGCCTGTAATTGCCAGTTCAGTTCCAGCGGGCCCCTGTGGTTTCCACTCCGGCTTCTGTGCCCGTTTGTTTTGTCTGATCCCGTCCTGGCACCAGTGCTTGTCCAACTTGGTTTGCTCCTGGACCTTCGGCGCCCTGGCACTGTAAATAGAAAAGAGATGTATGGGAGGTTTTTCACGGCTTCTTATCTGCAGCTATGCCTGCTTGCGGCACTTGTACTTCAAAGGCGGATTCCGGAGACCTGAGCAGTGGCTCAGCGGCCGGCTCTCGCCTGGACTTCGCCATCCCGCGGGAAGCGCCGGAGCCTTTCATTACGTCGGCAATCCTCGGCTGTCGAAAGCTTCTTCCAATCAGGATTGCGCCTTTCGTCAGAAGCTTCGCGGAAGCGACAGGCGGGCAAGCAGCTAAGACTTTCTTGGCAGATGTTTGTTTGACTGAAGATATGTCAGGGCAAAACGGAGAGGGGTAAGCCGAAGCGGGGGAAGGGACGACCCCCGCACGAACTTCGTCGAACCCCGGCGCCCTTCGCCGAACCCCCCCCCCAAACCCCCCCCCAGCATTAATAAATATTAATATTATTATTATTAGTATTATTATATTATTATTGTTATTATTACTATTATTATTATTATTACTATTATTATTATTATTATTTTTGTTATTATTATTATTACTATTACTATTATTATTATTATTACTACTATTATTTTTATTATTATTACTATTATTATTTTTATTATTATTACTATTATTATTATTATTACTATTATTATTATTACTATTATTATTATTACTATTATTATTATTATTAGTAGTATTAGTATTATTGGTATTATTGTTGTATTATCAGTAATATTGGTATTCTTAGTAGTATTATTGTTTTTAGTATCTTAGTATTATTGGTATTATTAGTATTATTGGTAATATTAGTGTTCTAAGGTATTATTAGTATTATTATTTCAATATCAGTATTACTAGCATTATTAAGGTATTCTGAACTTAATATTATTAGTATTACTTCTATTAATAATATTATTTATTATTAACCTTAGCATCATTATTATGATTATGATTATGTCATACTGATAGGATTGTTACTGGTAGTAGTCTTTATTTATTAGTCAATAGGCATATATATATATATACATGTGTATATATATACATGTGTATATGTATATATATAACATATGGATGATGTTATGGTTTATATGGTATAGCATTTTGCTAAAATTAACATTTGTCTATCTTAATTATAGCATAATATTACAATCTTATATCAGATCATACTGTCTGAAATCCTATAATATTTTACTGTGCCTCACCATTTAATACTATATCATGTTACAGTAATAATAACAATTGGTCTGCATATTGATTTTATATATTACATCAGTGCTGTTCTGTAATAATATATATGGTGTACATATTCATATTCCATGTTTATACAACAGTGAGTGAATATTACATGGCATATTAGGACATTTTGTGATACATGTCTGATATGCTATAACTATTGGAATATGCCAGATGATATTAGGTAATGCTGTATTTTATCGTATTATTCGACTATTTGTTTTGCATTATGGTGTTTATGATGGTGATGATGAGTATCGTCATGATGACAAATATTACCCTTCTGATTATGATCATTCTGATATTTTGGTACAAGTGCAGTTTTTAGCTTAGCTTTGAGTGGCATTGCTCATAAGAGTTTGTATCGTTTGAAATCTCACAACTTCAGTAGCAGTGGTAGTAGCGGTATTCGACTTCGCCTTCGTATTCGCATTGGCATCATGAAACTTGAAGCTTTTGTCACTGCTATTGATTTCGGTATTTAGATAATCGCGATTATTTCTAAAGCGCGGTTGCGGGTCTGGCTTGTATCGCCTTCGACTTCGTCGTGTGCTACATCTTCATGGTCTTCAGGCGGGGCGTGAGTGAGCTTCAATTTTAATTTCAGGGTTTTGGTGGGGTTTCGGGAACTGGTTTTCCAGCATCTTATTAATTAAACAGTCTGACAGTTGCTCTTGGTCCACGGCCATAGGATTCAAGTGTTTTGGGATTTTGGGATTCAGAAATTCAGGGTTGGCAGTTATGGTCATGGTTTAGGGGTCCGGGGTAGGGGACCAGGGTTGAGGGTTCAGAAGGGTGTGGTCGTGAACCTATATGGATTTGGGGGTTCCTGAACTTAGGGGTTGGGTGGTGCAATATTCATAGGTCAAGGTTCCTTAAGGGTTGTTGGGGTTCAAAACTTCTGGTATGCATTTGGAGTTGAGGGGATCAAGGTTTAAGTGTACTGTAGGGATTTCGGGTGTAAGTTGGGAGTGTGGCTTGGGGGTGTTCAGGGTCCCGCCGAACCCCCAATGACCCAACTAATCACTAATCAGCAACAACAATCAAAAATCAAGAAACCCTAAACCCCTAACCATCCCTAAACCATGAACTTCCTAAGTGGTGGGATTAACTCAGGCGAAACCCACGAACCTGAAAATCCCCCAATAAAAAGGACCTCGACTCATATTATAAAACACAAACATAAATAACGAAGGCGAAACCCACAAATCTCAAAATCCACCTGATAATAATGATAAGTCCTAATATCGAACCCATTAAGTCGTCCCCCGAAAGCCAAAACCCCTAAACCCTGAACCCTTATTAAAGCCCGAAACCCCATCGTAGACCGCGGACACCACGTGGAGAGGAGGCCGGGGGCAAACCCCGGGGGTTTCGGGGTTTGACAGGTTGGGTTTGGGGGTGCTGATTGGGCGAGCTCTGTTCTTTCGGGCCCCAATCACTGGGTGAGCCCCTTTGGGCCCCAGTATCGCTGGGCGAGCTCCATCGTGGGCCCCAGTGACCACCAGGCGTGCCCAATCGGGCCCTGGTCAAACTTTGCTGGGCGAGCTCCATCGTGGGCCCCAGTAACCTGGCGTGCCCACTCGGGCCCTGGTAAAACTCTGCTGGGCGAGCTCCGTCATGGGCCCCAGTAACCAGGCGTGCTCACTCGGGCCCTGGTTTCACTCTGCTGGGCGAGCTCCGTCATGGGCCCTAGCAACCAGGTGTGCTCATTTGGGCCCTGGTAACCCTGCTGGGTGAGCTCCGTGGGCCCCAGCAACCAGGTGTGCTCGATTGGGCCCTGGTTTCACTCTGCTGGGTGAGCTCCAGTGTGGGCCCCAGCAACCAGGTGTGCTCGATTGGGCCCTGGTTAAACTCTGCTGGGTGAGCTCCAGTGTGGGCCCCAGCAACCAGGTGTGCTCGATTGGGCCCTGGTTAAACTCTGCTGGGTGAGCTCCAGTGTGGGCCCCAGCAACACATTTATCAGGAGAGCTTTCGGGCCCTGATTCCACCCCAATCACATGACATTCTTCATCTTTGTGCTTCCAGATGCCAGGTCTATCATGGTGGACGACGTCATGACCCTGATGGTTTGGGAGGCAAATGCGTGGCTCTTGATTTCGAGTGTGTTTCCCGCTTGGTTGCCAGGTCCTGGATTTCGGCTTCGGTCAGCTTCGAGGTAGGTGAAAGGCAGCAGCATTCGTGTCGATTCCAATGCCTGGCACGGCCAGGTCACATCCTTCGACTTTGATTTGGACAAGGCCAACAGCCTAGATTCTACCAGCTTCCGATTAATGAAATCCCGCTCAGTGAGGTCGTTTATGCCATCTTCGTCATGGAGACAGCGCCTGAGCTAGTTTCGCAGCTTTTTATCGGCCTGGTCGGAAATTAGATGATGGTCAGGTCCACAATCTCGACTTCGTCTGCGAAGGAGGTGCCTCTACTGTTTGCTGAATGAACACGGTAATTGGTGAGATATGGACAGGCCCCATGCCAGAGCTGCTCGAATGGCTTGGAGGCAGCTGCCTTAGCAGCAGTTGCTCAGAATTGGTGTAGGGCCTGATTGTGGTTCATTTCGAGATGCCAGGTCCAAGACTTCGTCTTCGACTTCGACTTCGTCCGCTCTCATGATGCCTCTGGGAAGAGTTCCCCTCAGCTGTTTGCACATTGCTGAATGAGTTGGTTGATGCACGAGAGGTTTGGCACTACAAGTGTTGCTTTGCTTGTCGTGTCGCCGGCCTCAAGTGACTTTTTGCCACATGTCACATGGATTTGACTCCAATATATACTCCGATCCTTGGAACATGGGTTAGGACTTAGGTGGCTGATGCTAAGGTAAATGCTTTACTGATCTGGTCCTCTACACGGGTTTGAGTCCTGGGATCCGATGTCCAGATTCTAAGATGACTTGCAGTGTAACTTTTTATCTCGTTCAACTATGACTGTCGCCCGAATCCTGGAACTCAGTAGGTTCAGAAGTTTAGGCAGGATGGCATGGCGTATTATTATCGAGGTCACTTCATCTAAGTCTTGAGCATTTGACTTTAATTGAGGTTCCGAGAACTGGTCGGCCGTGTGGAGTCGCCTTCGCCTTCGTCTTGGAGTAAGCGTCTCGGCTCTGCTGGGACCCCTGGGATTAAAGGCTTTCTCGTCTTCGTAGTCTGATTTGCGCTGAGCGCTGCTGCCATGAAACTGTGTCCACTGCATGGAAGCAACAAGATATCCAGAGTACTGCATGGTGGTGATGCTTTGCATAGATTGGTTATTGATGTTACCCTGGAGATTCAGATGCGGAGATGGCGCGCTTTGCGGATACCACAAGCAAGTATCATGGACCTGCTGTTTTTGTATGAACGTGAAATGGGACGTGAATCAGCCTTCTGCAACTTCTGGGATATGTGGAAACATTTTCAGGGCCATGAGCGGATTGAGATGCTTGAGCGTATCTCCCTCATATTCCCGCAGTTTGCTTATAGCATGCTGGATCAATGGTATTGCCACTCGATGCGTATTCACCTGGATCAGCTGGATTAGACCTTCTCAAGGCCGGCATGGGACAACTCCGAGCAAACAGCTTATTTCTGTGAGCGAGACAAACACCAAAGAGGGTACGAGCAGTTGGGCGCATAAATTTAAATATCTGGCGTTCTTCTGATTACTTTTGGAGTCATCTGCTTGCAGGGATTCTGGGCTTTTCTTGTGGGTCTTTGTCATGGATGGGGTCTCTCCTGGAATGGCAGACCCCCGGAATTCTTGCTAAACCATGAATTGGCGGATGTGCATCCCTCTCGTGATCGTTGCCGAGTGCTCCGTATAAACCCTGCTTTCCTCCAACAACTCTGGCGATGCAGCCGCCTCGGGCTTCTCGCGTCCACTTGTGTAGCTCACTTACCTGCTCCTTAGTAGTACTTAGTAGTAGTAGTAGTAGTAGTAGTAGTAGTAGTAGTAGTAGTAGTAGTAGTAGTAGTAGTAGTAGTAGTAGTAGTAGTAGTAGTAGTAGTAGTAGTAGTAGTAGTAGTAGTAGTAGTAGTAGTAGTAGTAGTAGTAGTAGTAGTAGTAGTAGTAGTAGTAGTAGTAGTAGTAGTAGTAGTAGTAGTAGTAGTAGTAGTAGTAGTAGTAGTAGTAGTAGTAGTAGTA